TCACGGGCGATGCGTCTGATACCCGTCCACACAGAACAATGTCGGCTCCTTGAGCGAAAGCCTCGGCGATTCCGAGCCCTCCCAGGTAGCATTGGGCGTATATCGGCTCAAATGACCATTCGGAGAGTGTCTCACCAGTGTAGACATTGCTAAACGTGGATTGGCCAGAGCATAAAGATTTCTTGATCGTGGGAAGAACTTCATCGCCTGATATCCAAGCAACCTGTACCTAGTCAGTGTATGCCTTCAAAACAAGCAAGAAATATCCCGACCTTTAACTTCAACCCTTTAGCTTGTACCATTTGCGCTACTACCTTGTACAAACCTTCAGTATCACAATTTCCCGCATTGACAGCCAGCTTGATTCCATGTCTCGCCAAATCCTCCAGCGCCGGCTCTAGGGCCAGCAGGAAGGAGGTCTCATACCCCGGCATAGCTGCCTCTTTACTCTGTGCCAGCAGCTGGCCAACCTTCCGTGCTGCCCCTGTGACCATGTTGGCTTCGCTCAAGAAGTCCGCGATGATCACATCGACTGGGTCTTGAGAGTAATTGTGCGCAAATTCAGCAATGGCATGGCGCCGGTCGGAGGCAGAGCCCGAAGCACCTTATTCAGTCAGTATCGACATCGAGCAAGATTATACATAGATCACCAACCCACCTGCGATGCGAATGGGGCGAGTCCTCATCGTGTCAGGCTAAGGCTAATTCTAATAGAGCAAGCAGTTCCCAAATTTAATGAGCAGACTTGACCAGCAAATACTACTCGATCCAAAAGCCAGACACACATGGTCGAAACAATCGACTGACGATGTGCCGTATAAATTGGTTGTATCTGGTTTGTTTGAGATGTAGCACCGAGGGAAGCTGGCTCGGTCCTCGGTCTGAAATGCGGGGTTAGCGTCATCATACAGTCTGGGGTAATGCACCTGCATAACTCCAGCCTTTCATTCCTTTGAATGTGACTGTATCTTTGTGCCTCGTTCTCGAGTTAAAAGTCTGTATATCAAACCTTTTAAAGTGCGACCCAGAATTTTGTATCAAAATCAAGCAACTCCCCACTCCTCAATTAAGTTGCTTCCAGCCCTGAGCATAAAAGTCTTTTCAATGGCAAACAAACACTTCCCAGACTTCTCCTTCACGTAGTTAATAAGGAGTGTACATTGTACTGCACAGCTTCACCATTTTCTAATTGACTCAGGTCAGCCACCCTTCAGAGCCCTTTATCAATACGACCTAATGTTCTCCCTATATAACATCCACAGAAATGTTTTGAAATGCCACATGACTAAGTGTCAGGTCAATACCGCTTCGCTAGTTCACGAAAGCAAGCAAGAGATGATGGAATTCGACAATAAACCAAGCATTTGTTCTAATATGGTTGATTGGGTGCTTCTAAAATTGGCTTTGCCAGCCAGCTGGAGAAGCTTCAACCTAGCCCGAGTATACTATGTCTCTTGTGTCTTTCAGGCCTTGTCTCCAGACATTTTTAATAAGGCGTGACTTGGTACTGGACTTTATGATAAATAGCTAATGTTGACACATGTCGTCATTGTACACGAAAGGCCGATCAGTCTAGGTTCAGCATGCCAGCAGAAAAGGGGACCATAACCTCTCTAGGCATCAATCGTTTTTAAGGGGCAGTCTACCAGGGCATTGGACAGTAGTATACGTTTATGGAGCATATTGCCCAGTGTAGTATCAACTCGTATCACAAGGCCCTTCATGCAGATCAGCTAATTGAGCGACGTCTAGAACTTGTGTTCCCAAACGCTTCTCAAGCTAAGCTATTACCCCTAGACTATAATTATTGAAGGTCTGCATAGGTTCTAGGTTTGCATATGGTTCAGGTTACTATAGGAAGCCGATGCATGGCTCTGTAGGGGCAGCGAACATTGAAAGGCAAAGTTATTTAGAATCAGAAGTTGACCAAAACCAATAGACCGACACTCTGGAGGGTGATGATCGGGATTCGAAACCGGGAGACGAAGCTAGAATATGACATTAAAGCCTCGTGAAGGACCTTATTGGCAAGAACCGTGCCCTGACACATCATAGAGGGGTAGATGTAGCTCTGAACAGTTGAACAGCTGTAATCTTGCATTATTATTCCGCATCCATTATCTAGTGTCACCTTAGTATTCATGATCGCCATTTGTTGCCTAGAACTTGAAGAAGTGGGGTTAAGGTAGGTTTCTTTGCTGCAGCTGGTTAGTCTCGCCTTGCCTCGGCTGTACATTTCCCGTTTTAAGGTGGCCGCTAGACCCCTTGATGACGCTGTGCATCCGAGGAAACAATCCTATTCGGAGCAGTGAGCGATGAGCACAATGATTGGCGTTTGGTCTTCCTGCATAATGCCTTTGTTCTCCCAAGTTTTATGACAGGAAGAAAGTATCCGTGCTCCGTTTTAAGTCCGTTGGGAAGCAACCCAACCCGACTGTCTGCCCTCGGTGCATTCGTGATCTTCTCCCCGAGGCCTGGAACAGTTTCGCTGCGCATCTTGCCTCGTTCGGTAAAACTTCCGCCCGTCAAATCTTCTAGGGGTCCGTAGTATCATAGTATGCAGTAGACTAGCGTGGAGAGTGGTAGACGTTCAGTCCAGATAACAATGGACGTTATCGATGGAGTTCTGCCATTAAGCTTCATTTATGTAGTACAACCTTCAACACATCCCGTTGTGATCCCGTCGGTAATTACGAGAGCTATCCATTGCCGGCGAGCATACTCTGTATACCTTCATTGCTCCCCTATCTGCCATTCTTGTTCTCCGTGTTGTCTGTTTAAGATTCACCAGAAGAGGTGAGCCCAGTTTCTCGGGCGAAAATCTCTCCGCCGGACCAGAACAGACGTTGTGCTGAGCAACCAAAGCTAGAGACCACTAGGGAGCTGCAGGACTCCACCTCTTTACCCCATTGCAGTTGATATGCGACTTATGAGTGGCACAGAAAACCAAACGGGCAGAGGCAAAACAGCAACCCCGCGCAAGAGCGGGGTCCCAGGAGGAGTTCCTTCGATCCATGCGGCAATCTTACTGGATCCTGTTACGTGTCGCCTCCCATGGCTTCCCCTCGTTCCCCTTCCCCCTTGCCCCTCCTCCTTACCGGCAACAGCTCCATACAGCTTGCCGTGGTTAACTCTTTTCCCTATAATAAGGAGTGTCTTCCCTCTCGTCCTGACTCTGTGATACCCCTACTCCTCATTAATCGTCATATCCACCCACCATGTCTGACCTTTCCGCCACTATCGAGACTCCCCAGGGCAAATATGAGCAGCCCTTGGGTTTGTATGTTTCCCCTGCATTCTATCGTCACTTCCTCCGTTTTTTCATGTCGTTCTAATTGCTCCTCGTTTCTAGGTTCATCAACAATGAGTTCGTAAAGGGTGTTGAGGGCAAGACCTTCGAGACCATTAACCCCACCACCGAGAAGCCCATTGTTGCTGTCCACGAAGCTACTGAGAAGGATGTCGACATTGCTGTTGCCGCTGCTCGCAAGGCATTCGAGGGTCCCTGGAGACAGGTTACTCCCTCGGACCGTGGCCGTATGCTTACTAAGCTGGCCGATCTGATGGAGCGCGATATCGAGACCCTCGCTGCTATTGAGGCCCTTGACAACGGCAAGGCCTTCAGCATCGCCAAGGGGGACGTGGCCGGTGCTGCTGGCTGCATTCGCTACTATGCTGGCTGGGCTGACAAGATCCACGGCCAGACCATTGACATCAACCCTGAGACACTCAGCTACACTCGTCACGAACCCATCGGTGTCTGCGGTCAGATCATTCCCTGGAACTTCCCATTGCTGATGTGGTCGTGGAAGATCGGTCCTGCCGTCGCCACTGGTAACACCGTTGTCCTCAAGACCGCTGAGCAGACCCCCCTCTCCGCCCTCTATGCCGCCCAGTTGATCAAGGAAGCTGGCTTCCCCCCGGGCGTCATCAACATTATTTCTGGCTTCGGTCGTACTGCTGGAGCTGCTATTGCTAGCCACATGGACGTCGACAAGGTTGCTTTCACCGGTTCCACCCTTGTTGGCCGTAACATCCTTCAGGCCGCCGCTAAGAGCAACCTCAAGAAGGTGACTCTCGAGCTCGGTGGAAAGTCCCCCAACATTGTCTTTGAGGATGCAGACATTGAGAACGTAAGTTTAACCCCATGTGCTCCCCGCCTCGTTCAGTGGTTTCTAACATTGACTTTTTCGCAAATTATAGGCTTTGAAATGGGCGTCCTTTGGAATCTATTTCAACCATGGCCAGTGCTGCTGTGCGGGATCTCGTATTCTTGTCCAGGAGTCGATCTACGAGAAGTTCCTGGCTCGATTCAAGGAGCGGTCAGAACAGAACAAAGTCGGCGATCCTTTTGATCCCCAGACATTCCAAGGACCTCAGGTTTCGCAGCTTCAGTTCGATCGCATCATGGGCTACATTCAAGACGGAAAGCAGGCTGGTGCAAGAGTTGTTACTGGCGGAGAACGCCTTGGTGACAAGGGATATTTCATCAAACCCACTATCTTTGCGGATGTCAACGGCGAGATGAAGATTGTTCAAGAGGAGATCTTCGGCCCTGTTTGCACAGTGCAGAAATTCAGCACCGAGGAGGAGGCCATCAAGCTGGCTAACAGCACCAACTATGGTAGGTGTATCCAGATACCCAGCTTGCTTCACCCATGCTAATCTCATGCACAGGTCTTGCCTCTGCTGTCCACACCAAGAACATCAATACAGCAATTCGTGTATCAAACGCCATCAAGGCTGGAAGCGTCTGGGTCAACAATTACAATATGATCTACCCCCAGGCACCATTCGGTGGCTACAAGGAATCGGGTCTTGGCCGTGAACTCGGCTCTTATGCTCTTGAGAACTATACTCAGGTCAAGACAGTGCACATCCGGACAGGCGATTGCCCGTTCCCCTGAAGCAGTGACACACTGCTCGGGAGTTTATCTGATTAACGAATTTTTTTTGTTTATCACGTTCAGACTCAAAATGCTTTCAAGGATGATGACTCTCAGATAGTGACATTTAGTCCTTTGAATGATAATTAGCGATTCCCAATCAGCTGGACTCGTACCTAGATTGAAGCCGCCTTGTTTAGTTTGCATTCCTTGTAGCAGTAGTATTAGTTCACTAGAAGTATGACTCCATGGCAGACATGCAGCAACTAAAGTCAAACCTTTTCACCGTAAAATCGTACAGTTCGGTCATGCCAATATCACTTATTTGTTTCAAGACTCCGCGAGCACCAGTATGAGCTACTATACCTCATACCCCATCCATCGAAGGACCGTCACAGCAAAGAACAAGCACAGCAACGACGTCTTCACCACCTCAATCTCCTCTTCATGGCGCCGCAACCAATTCCGCGCCCGTCCCACCCACACATACCCCCGTCATCCCTGATCGCAGACCACAGCCCGGGCAACCCATCCAAACTGCTCGAATTCCACTCCCGCTGATACGAGCGCAGCTGGCCCTTCTCCACCTTCTTGGCGGCAAAATGCCCGAGCGTCTCGCGGTCTCTCAGGTACGGTTTTGGCTCGTGAGTCTCCGGGTCCAGTTTGAGAGCCAGTTGCGGCACCCCGAACCCGCAGGACGTTTGGACCTGCACAATACAACTCTCAGCGATGGTTCCTCCGACCCAGTGGTACTGTACCCGTACTCAAATCAAAAGATAATGGTGTAAATAACACTTGCAAAAACAGAGTAATCAAACCTTATAAACATCCAATCGGATAATCGCCCTCGCTCCAGGAACGCTCTTATTCCCCATGCGTCCGAGATACGTCGCAAACTCAGGCTGATCCCACTCTATCACCGAACCAGTACAGAAGAAGCGCAGGATGCGCGGCGCCGCGTCAAACGAGCAGAAGAGGACCGTTATCCGGCCGTTTTCTCGCAGATGGCAGATGGTCTCGTTGCCGGATCCTGTTGCGTCGATGTAGGCCGCTTCGTTGGGGCCGAAAATGGCGAACGAGGCATCGGGGAGGCCCTTGGGTGAGAGATTGATGTGTTTGCCGCGGAGGGGGCCGAGGCTACGAAGAAGACGCTCTGGCGGAGGGCCCAGTCGTGGAGGTCTGAGGTGATTGAAGGGTAGAATTTACCCATGGTGTTTGTTGATCGATGAGACCTCGGATGTTCGTACGATACTCCGTAGGTGAGGTGTTAATAATGACAGTCGATAACTAGTTAATGAGTCACCGGTCACCTGGCTGACACAATGCAGGGATTCGTATTCGGAGTCGTACACAGACTCCATACGAGGATACCGCTTCGCATGTACAGAGTACATCTTACTCCTGCCTCCACAGCTTAACATATCCAAACAATCGCCATTATTGGAGGTTTATTTTCTTAGTCGCATCTCTGTACACCGTAGTCATTATGAAATCTTGTATTCTGCTTCCAGTGAAACTTATGTCTCCGACCACAGGGTTTCCAGGCAGGGCAGGTGTGTATCCTCCGGAAAGGAGCCATCTTCTTGAAAGCTTTGGATCTCGGACGACCTTTGATGGTTAGTAACAAGCTCCCATATATCATTCTCTCGAAAATGAGACTGGAGTCTTGTCCCTCCACCAGAGATGCTTGGTACTGGGTTACTGTCGTGTCGGGGTAGAATAATCCGAGGCATCTCGCGGTGCATTACTCCGTACCCCGAACGATCCCCAACAGTTTCTCCTCATCCAGTGGTGTCTTCATCTTGGGTGAAATCATACTTGTGACCTTGTGCAGAGATGGTTAAAAAACTGAACTGATCGAATGGATCAGGGTCTTCGCTTCTATAGACATACAATACCGCTAGGCTAAAAGGGAGTCCGGACGATGTACTCGTCAGTCTAGGGTTACATATCCAATCTGCCGCAGGGACTTGTTACGGAACGGTCTCTGCGAGATCATAGGATTTTCTCAGGAAGAATAAATGTACACTCCCCTGATCGCACCATGTCACCTCAAAGGACGAAGGTATAGCCAAGATATTACCCCAAACTTTGTTCTCGCATGTACTCCTATCAGGCATAGACTCGATAAAGAGGGCCGGTATAGTCACTAAGTAAACAGACACAACAACAAGCTCCCGCCACAGAGCTCTTCCCAAAGGGATAATTGACCTCGTCGACCGGGAGTAAATTCGACCGTTTTCATAAGGAACGACGATGCTCGAATCGATGTGCAGACAAAGAGATGGAGGATAAAGACCCGTTCGGGCGCAATCTTTGCGTTGCTTTTGAGAATTTTGCTTCCCATCTCTTCAGCCTTCCATTTGAAATAACCAAATGGAAAGAGTATTGCTGCATACTAGCAAGGCGGCTTCGCATGCTACGGCACCCGCGTTGAGGTCGAGAAAGGGCTATGACCGAAACAGATAGGGGGTTGTTTTGAAGAAGTCGAGGTTGGGTTCTTTATTGATAGGCGCATACCATCTGCCTCTACATTCAAAGAAGTCAGGGTCCGTCAAACAATCGAAGAAATCAGGGAATATAGGAAGCAACGTACCTCCCGTAGGCTTCATCGTTGCGAGGTGGTACGATAGAACTCTCTGGTGGCTTGTTCCTTCTGAAAAGGCGTTTTCAAGCTTTGCCAGGCTTTCCTTGACCAGTGGCCTGGTGGCAATCGCACCGGGGAACACGAGACTGGTATGTCTCGACCGTAACAGGCGTATTGATCGGAGTCTGCCCCATCGAAACATGTAGTGGTAATCTTTTGCGGAGTATAGAAGCTTTTTCCGCCTCTGCGGATTGAAAAGAGGACAATAAGTCGACAACCGAGTCGGAGCCTTTTTCAAAGGCCATAACGGTGTTAGAGAAGCATTTGAGGGGCTTTCGGTAGCTCTTCCGTTGCTCATGGGTCAGCGAAAAATGGCAGGAGAATGACAGGGCTACTAGGGAGATGACTTTGTTAATGAATGAGAGAATATGAGTGCTCAAGAGGGTACCCTGGTGAGGAATGGGACATGGGAGGAGAAAACAGGTTTGTTCTTACTGGGACGTTTGTCAGAATGTACCTTCCATATCCATATTAGCAGCCATCAGAAAATGCCTGTCAGTTGGAGGCAATAAGAATTGAATGACAGTTTCAAGTGATAAATATTGTTGGAAGGTTTATTTTCTCATTGACCAGTCACTCACTTCCATAGTGAAATTGCTTGGTTGCTTGAGAAGACTAGCGAGGAACGCAAGAAAGAAAAACATGATGACAGAGATGTATAAAGTGGAGAATACATCAAAGAATAATTGACTCAGTAAGAGGTAAGTCTTGAGAGTCTCTGCGGCCTGGGGACAGTAGTAAGGGATTCTGTAGTAGGAGGAGAGAGTCTGCCTGAGGTATTTATGGGCCATATGCTTAGACAAGTATTCACCATAAGTTTGCTAAGTAGATATGCTACAGCTTATTCACTTTCCTGGACTTAGTAAAAATAAAAGGATAAGACTTAATAGCAGCGTACACAAGTAATATGGAGTGTGACCACTCTATGAATGTAAGGTCTCTCAGTCACATCCTTTGTGGCAAAAAAAGCTATGATTTCCTAAACAGGTCAAGATGAAGCCATCTGTATTTCATAACTCGGTAGGTATGCAAGCATGGAATATGGAGCATCATCAGCATACAGATGGCGAGAACGGCATGCATAATACCAAATGACAGGCCAGATTAAACAGATAATTAGCAGTATGGACTTGATACAATGCAGTACTCACACTAGTATATACAGAAGATACATTCACAGTGGGTTCATATCACTGGTTCTGTCCTGCAGGGGAAGTGTTTCTTCTGTGAAGGGGAAGCTATCCCAGAACGGTAGCTCCATGCCCTCCCATTCCAGAGGGACACTATTCATATCAAAGGGACTCGTCAGTGTGGCTAGATTAACTGTGACCGCGCCATCCGTCTGGCGTGATGCCCTACGGCCATTCAAGCTGAAAAGCTTGCTCACATATTGGCTCTTGCTGCTTTGATCCTGGTTCGAGAGTCTTTGGCGTTGTTCGGCGATAGCGTTGCGGAGGAATGAGAGTATTTCGTAGTAGTGGCCCGCTTGGGCGGACTGCTGGGAGAACATGTGGAGGATGTCGATGGCGCCAGTGAAGGCTTCTTCGAGGTCGGGGTTTGGGTCTTTTTGCGAGAAGAGCGAAAATCCGACGACGAGAGCTGCAGCGAAGATGAAGGCTCTAATGAAGAGAGCCATTTAGCTTGTGCAGTACGCTAAGTCATGTGTATAACTCACTTCAGGATGCACATGTTTCCTAGAAGTAGATGGGAACGGTGAATCTCCAGACAAGTTTGGAGCATGTAAAGAGCCGAGTCTGTGCAGGCGAGAGCCAGCCGGGAATGCACGGGGTTCTCTGAGAAGACGTCACCCAGATTTCGTTCAGCGAGGCCGTCATGTACTCGGGCCAGCCGGACACCTAACGTTGATATCAGGAATGGTCTCGTCACAATGATGATGGCAAAGTGGTAGGAACAGGCAATGTGTAGGCTGCCTATGACCCGGTCCTGAGCAGCAAGACACTCCTGTTCTGTGCCTGGAGGTGCAAGCAAGGACTCCGGTAGACCATCGCTCCAACGCTTAAGCTTCTCCAGTATCGACTCGGCGACCTGCGCCGAGGCTGCCTTTTCGCTGTACAAGCGGGTGATCGTCTCATCCAGGATTTGCGCGAGATTAAATAATGCCACCAGTCCTTCCTCGGCAAGATCATTGCGCTGCAGTGCCTCAGTGATGCTGGCTCCTGTTTCCGAGCGGAGTGAGGCGGTTGCGGGCGGTCGTCCGAGGATGGAGCTGACGAGGAGATCCAGGTTGCATAAACTCATCCAAACACATGCTCTATTTCATAATCGTGCATTAGCGGGGGATGATATCACAGTGAAACCATGGAGGTACCTTCTCTGCTGTTCGTTGACCGATAGCGAACCAGAGACATCGATGTGTAGACCGAGTGCCACAGCTGCTCGAGCGGCCACCCCAAGATACATGAAAGCCGCATTTCTGCGGCACGCGCCGAGCATGTAGAACGACATTAGCAGAAACAAGCACACCATTTCCAGGCTGGGGTTCTCCAGCAAGCTAACGAACGCCCGGCGTTGCCCCCTCGCAAAGAAGAAGTGCTCGATTTGCACTTTCGTTGGATCATGCTTATGCGACTGTGCGCCAATGGCAATCATGACGTCGAGTAGAGCTGTTGTATGTTGTGCATGGCCGGTGTCGCAGCGCCGATTATGTAGAAGCTGCATCAATTCGGATTCCGGCATCAGATAGAGGAAGCCACTTGTCTGTCAGGCAGAGATGATCAGCGGGGGTATTTCTGAATAACTCGACGACGGACCGGCTTCAATAAGTCTCAGGCGGCTCTGGTATATCTTACCGCAATCTGGTATGCTCGAAGCAAGGCTTGACGCTGTTGGAGATCCAGCTGGTCGTCAAAGTCCGGCGAGACATTCTTGGGCGGTTCTGTTTCGAGCATATCTTCAAGTTTAACATTGTGTGAGAACTGTGACGGGCCTATGTGTTGGGTGACCGTGTCTCGTAGTAACTGCAGAAAGGATAGCGACGCTGCTCTGCCCACATAGACTGGATAGCATGTCAGCCCAGGTGTTTGAAAGTGGCGTTATCGACTGCCACACATACCTCTTTCCCCTTGCAGGCTACGCAACATTCTAGGACGCGTTTTGTGCGGCGCTTCCGGAGAGGCCGATCCCTGGTCTACAGGGTTCGCGAGCGGCGCATGACGCTGGGAATCTGTGGAAGGCAGTACCTGGGACGGCGTAATAGCAGCAACAGGTCCGCTTGGCGCATCCGGCGTGTTGGGTTGCCTTGAAGCTGAGAATGACTCCCTTCGTCTGCTTGGCATACACGAATGCGCCTGTCCCTTTCGGATGCAGTTTTGGCATGGGAAAGATCCGCTACATCTCCTCTTGGATGTTCTGCAGAATAGACATGCCTCGTATGCCCGCAGACGATTGGCGGGATGCACTTTGGGTCGTGCCATTGCCGATATCAGTGTTTAGCATAGATGCAGGTCCACATGTTCATGTCGTTGGAAGTGACGCGGCTGTCGAAATAGCTTCAAGACCTCCGATATATTTTATTTCCAGCTCTGCAGGGGAAGATAAGGTCTCCCCGCATCTGAGCCATGCTTTATTATGCGGTCTATCGGTTATCGTTGCCGCTGAAAGTCCCGGCATGTTTGGATTGGTCAAGCGACCTCCATGTGGGCGGGGGAACGTGTTGATCTCCAAATGTTCCCCCTTCCGACGTCCGACGTCCAACTTCCGATACATAAGTCTCGTGACTCGATGTGTCTTAGGGCTTCCTTGATATTTAAACCGACTTCAACTAGATTCAGTTAGGCATATGGCCATCATGATTGGTAGAATCAACTATAGAGGAACATTGCAATCGAGGTGTGGGTGGGTTCTCCATAATCGAAGACATATATGACAGCCAGACTGTGTAGTAGCAAGATATATATACTTGCACCCGATACAGGCCCCAACAATCCTACAACTCACACATCACTCAACTTTCGCAGGATCTAGCTTGTTCTTCGGTAATACAATAGAGGCGTACCTCAATAACATGATTATTCAAGGTAGGAGTAAAAACTGGATTTGAAGAAGCTCATGAGAAGGTTTCGCGTTCTATGGTGGACATCAGGGGATATTAATCTATTATCATAGAACTAATTTAGATCTTTGGCCCTTTGGCGGAAGGGATAAATCTTTCTTTTTTTCGCTCGTTTCTTTCCCAGACCACCTTCGGGTCACACGTTCGAGACCTGGATCACATAATCCAAGAGGAGTAAAAAAAGAATGTCGAGGCAATCTCAAAAGTTTATCATCACAATAAAAGTCGTCGGCGACAGGACGCAGCTGATGAGAAGGCAGATATTGCAATCCGACCACTACTCGACTTGTCTTGGAGGCAGCCCGCATTGATTTTGGCACTATACGCCTTACTGTCGAGTGTCGGGCCGTCCAAGAAGCACTGCTTCGATACCGAAAGATCTACGTATCTCGTAGGCTGCATTTTGCAAGCTCGAGCATCTCAACATGGATGCAACCATGAGGAGCTCAAGTCCTCCATACGAATTGCCAGATGCAATTGATAAGCCACTTATATGGAGTAGTGAGTGTAGCCGAGGACCTCTTATGTTATTCTCCCGGAGTCTTGTAGAAGTGATACTTCGACCCATTGTCATGGAGGCCATGGGCCTCAGACAGATATTGGCTGGCATTGGATGAATGGAGTCTACAGTATCCCTAAGCTTGTAATTCGGCTCTCTGCTTTGATGGAAAGCTTAGTACTCCATATGTGCAGGTGTTCGACTTCGGCATGCCGAAATAGGTAAGGAGACAGTCGGCAATGTGATCAACATAACAGGCCAGCCATAAGCCGGGAAATAATAGGCTCGCGTGTCGTTTGACCCGTCTGGCAAAGGCAGACCAACAGTGAACGATCATAATTGGCCACAGTAGTTTTGTTTTCTCAGAGAAACCGAAGTTTATGACACGTCGGATTGTAAGGACCACTGACAGCGTGTCATTTTGCTCCAATACTCCGTAAGTCTTGCCTCCAACTGCAATGGGGGTATTATATGAGTTCCCGTTTGTCATCGCATCCTCATGAACTTGCTCAACGGCCACTGACAAGCCGGTATTTGAGAAGCCATCCCTGATGTTGAAATTTTACACTGGAGCCCATTCACCGGTGAGCTCGGCGACAGTCTGGCCAGCGGAGCGGAAAATCTTCCACCAACTCTGATTGGACCAGCGGACAGACCCACCGAGCAAACCAGGCAAACAGAAAAAATTTCGCTTGAGGCTAGCGCACTCGCTAGCGCCAGGACGCAAATATAAAAGGCCCCGAAATCCCATTCATTTTGGAAATCAAGCGACTCTACGTATGTTCTCCCCCTCCCTACCTTTGGGAAAACCTCTCAACTGCGAGTCAAACATCTTGCTAACAGCTCTGCCACAGTTCAAAGAATCACTTTAGAGTAGACGTCCCACCTCTGAGCTCTTCTAAAGAGCCACAGAATCTCCACCCTTGCTGATGACTGCTATGTCCTCGATGCCCTAAAGTGAAGCCGTTCTTACTCCCGCCTCGACCTTGCTTCGTTCCGACGCTCTGAACGACTTGTTGCAAAACGAGCTTGTTCGGGCTGTTGGATGTTGCTCTGGTCCAGGGAGTGGTGATGATCTTGACCTTGTCCTGACGTCTAGACCTCGGTCGGTCGGACTTGGTGGGTGTCGAGGAGGTCTGAAAGGTGTCCCTCTTTTTTACACTTTTATGTTGGTGTAATCAAGTGATCGGAGTTTGCTCAAACCTCTTTTTTCCGTTGCTCAGATTAGATAGAAAAGAATTCTAATTCGTTTGGATGAAAACCTTGCTCTCACACAGTAAACGTGAATCTGTAGATCGCTTGATATTTGACCATTCTGCAAACACAATCGCTTTTTGCTCCCGTATATATGAGTGCAAATTCAATTCTGCCTTACTCTCGGTCGCTCTTGTGAGGCTTATGGTAAACTTTCGATTTGATCAGTCATAAAATTTTGCTTTCATTTAAGTCATCAGATGGGTATCACTACTCCGTAACATGCAACAATCAGTTCCTGCATTTCTCATTTCGTCTCCCCACCGGTCTTCCCACTAGTTGTGTTTGAACTGGAATTTGCTCCGCTGCTCTTCGAACCGCCCTTGTTTCTGGATCCACGGCCTCCACGCGGTCCACGAGACGAGGACGGTGTTCCTGGCCCAGATCCCCCATCTGAGCCCTGCTTGGCACCACGACTGCTGTTGCTGTTGCTGCCAATATTCGGGGCGGATTGCTCGCTTCGTCCCTTGCCGCGAGTCTTTTCTGCACCAGGATTGACCTTGCGTTCAAGCACGACGACTTGACTCTGCGCGACCGTGACAGGACTAGCGGCAATTGCCTTCTGAAGACCATCCGGTTCTGCAAAGTCGATGTAGCCAAATCCCTTCTTTTTGTCAATCTCCACTTTCAAGATCTTTCCGAAAGGCGCAAATGCCGTTTCAAGTAATGGTTCTGTAACTCCCTGTGATGGATTAGCGTGCTTGAGGAACGCCTGTGTAGCCGTAGGTGAAGCGATTGGCGCGGCTGGCTTGCTTTTCGCTGATTTCGACTGCTTCGGTGCGGATGGAGCGCTCGTAGGGGCTGAATTTGGACCAGACTGAGCACGGGAAGACGCGGACTCGCCAGATGGAGGTGTAGCATTGGCTTTGGTCCTTGGAGTCCCTTGTTGCGATGGTGACGCGGGCTTCCCAGACTTAATATCCTTCTTGCCAGTATCTGCGTTAGCAGCAGCGTCTGGCTCTTTCTTGCTCGAGTCCGTCTCTGTAGAAGCGCCTTTAGCAGCCCTCCGACGGCCGCCTGAAGGTGCAAGACCCAAGTCTCGCTGAAGGATCTTGGCTGCCGCAGCGACGTTACTACGCTCGCGTTTCCGTTCAGTTGGAGCAGGCTGAGAACTATCTTTGCTTGTGTTTTGGGTAGCTGCTGGTTTACCAGCTTGCTTAGCAGCAGCGTTGGCGGCCCTGTTTGCTGCTTTCACTGCCTCTTTCGTCGCCTTGTCTGAGGTCCTAGACTTCTTCTCTGCCTTGTCTCCTGTTGCTGCCAGGGCGACATCCTTGTCCGGCCGCTGCAGAAGTTTCTTCGCTTGTACCTTCTCCGACTTGGACTCCTTCTCGCCCTTGGCATGTCTCGAGGACTTGCTGGAGGCCTCTTTGGCTTTGTTGGCCTTCTTTTCCTTGATATACTGCACGAGAGGCGTAGTGGTAACGGTTTCCTTCTTTTCTTCGGCATCGGTAGGCGTTTCAACGGTGGCAGGTTTCGTAATAGGCTGAGTCAGACTTTCGAGGAATGCGATGAATTCGGGATCTTGATCAATGGTACCCTGGCGGGCATCCTTCCGCACACGGCTACCAGGAATTTTGGCGTAGGGAGCGAACTCAAGAGACGGTGGTCCCAAGAGCACGGGATCATTGAACGTGTTGCGAGCGTCTAGGAATGACGTTTGTCGGACTTTATCTGATAGAGGTGCAATATGCTCGCTGGATGTAACATGGATGTAGGCGCGGGAGGGTCGAGAAGGTTTGGCATGGCTGTATCGATGTCAGTTGAAAGAGGCGCTGATGTGATCCGAAGAGCTGGCACTGACTCTTTGGATACCTTGCCTGGCTTGTACTGGTACCAGTCGACTTTTCCTGCTCCAACCATCCACTCTGAGCCCAAGACATTTTCGAACTCGGATTGGGTTAAACCCGGCGGTAACCGTCTCACGAGCAATTTGAGTCGCGGAGCAGGTGGCTTCGGAGCTTTCCTGGAGGCTGTTGATGCATTCTTCTGTGTTGCAGCTGCAGGAATCTGAAGTACACCCCCTGTTGACTTGCCATCGGAAATCTGCGTCATGATGAACAGTTATGAGGGGTGCGTGGGATCTACGCTCCGACTGGGGCGCGACGAAACGTCAATCCCTGAGAATGAAGACGCTGCGTACGATCTGATATTCAAGAAGTCGGGGTAACAAAGACTAGTGAGGATATAGTGAAGGTGAAGTTGGTTCTGAGTTGTGGAAGACATACCCTCCGGTTCAAGATGAAAGCCAGCGAGTGAAACTACGGGACACGAGGGCCGCCAAGCACGCGACCCTGCACAGACAATCAGGGCCCAATTTCCTGCGGGGAAATACGTTCGCGCAAGTAGACTTGTGTTGCTTTCGTCGTTGTCCAGATCCTCCGCCGTGAATTAACTATATCAAGAAAGTGGTCTTTATATTCCGATTCTGCTAGCTCTCTAGCTTTTCTAAAGCCTCTCATCAACTCGGTCGAACTATCCCTTCGTCGCTTCCTTCATCCACACCCGCACCATGGTGGACAGCAAAATACCTGAGCCGGGACCAGCCAAACTAAAGCGCAATGCTGGTCCAGACGAATGGCTGGAGGCAGCAAAAGATTGCAAGTATCTGTCAGAACAACACATGAAGCAGCTTTGCGAGATCGTCAAGGAGTACATGATGGAAGGTGAGTCTGCTCAGGGGATCAGGGGATCAAGGGATACACTCCGGCTCTAACAAAGTATTTCCGAAGAATCAAATATCCAGCCCGTATCGACACCGGTCACGGTTTGCGGCGACATCCACGGCCAATTTTACGATTTGCTTGAGCTTTTCCGGGTATCGGGCGGAATGCCCGACGGGTCTGAGGCGGAGGCCCCGAAGACGCAGTCAGCTGTCATTACATCGGACGATATCGAACCTCCCTCCACGATCTCAGATCCCAAGCTACGAAAGAAGCTGAGAAATGCCACTGCGCCGGAGGGGGAAGGCGAAGACTCGAGTGCAAGCCAAAGAGACCGGTCCTCGAGCTCTGGGTCAAGAGATGTCGAGCTCAAGCGGAACTTTGTGTTCTTGGGTGACTATGTCGATCGTGGATACTTCAGTCTGGAAACCCTGACATTGTTACTGTGTCTCAAAGCCAAGTGAGTGTTTGCTCTAACTCTCTCTGTCATATACTAGTACTGACTTCGCTCTAGATACCCCGACCGGGTAACACTTGTTCGCGGAAATCACGAGTCTCGTCAGATTACGCAGGTATACGGGTTCTACGAGGAATGCTTTCAGAAGTACGGAAATGCCTCCGTATGGAAGGCTTGTTGTCAAGTGTTTGACTTCATGACATTGGGTGCCATCATCGACGGTAGAGTGTTGTGTGTACATGGAGGATTGAGTCCAGAGATCAGGACCTTGGACCAAGTTCGTGTGGTTGCCAGAGCCCAGGAGATTCCGCATGAAGGCGCCTTCTGTGACCTTGTGTGGTCAGACCCAGACGATGTGGAAACATGGGCTGTCAGCCCCAGAGGAGCCGGTCAGTTTTGTGTTCATTGATGCCAGGTCATATACTTACCATCCCTAGGCTGGCTGTTCGGTGACAAGGTGGCCGACGAATTCTGTCATGTCAACGACTTGACATTGATCGCCCGAGCGCATCAGTTGGTGAATGAGGGCTACAAATATCATTTCGCGAACCAAAATGTGGTTACTGTGTGGAGTGCGCCCAACTATTGTTACCGATGCGGAAATCTAGCGTCCGTCTGCGAGATTGGTGACGACCTCAAACCGACGTTCAAGTTGTTCAGTGCTGTCAGCGACGACCAACGACATGTTCCCGTATCGCGGCCGGGCCGCAGCGAGTACTTTTTGTAGAATACCTTTTTCGCGCATCTCCCTTTTGGCATATTTTCTGAGAATTCCGGGAGATACCTGATCCGCATCGACGCTGGCGTCCTAGCATACTTGATGGTCTGTCTTATTTGCCAGTGTGGGCAGTGATGATGATTTATATAATGATCTTAGACACCGCTAACGAGACTTTCATCTTTTGGGCCCAAGAGGGCAGCATGATTACTCGCTCCATCAGCTTCTATGCTTCCACTTTGATACCTTGCATGCCGTGCAATAGACTGTATCCATCCAATATACTCTCGTTCCATGTCGTTATGCCGGTCCTCTCTGATCTCAATGTTGATTGGCCGGCACTTGACCGAGGCATCATCTGCCGAGGGCCCGGGATGCATCCCGAACTTACGGGATGCGTTCCGGCCCTGGGTCCGAGTATACCATAAAGAAGCAGACCATGGCCACAAAATCCGGGGAAAGGGTTCTTCTCCAGATCAACCCCTCTTCCCCTACTGATCCATACTTAACTCATTCCAATGTCCGAGAAAGTCGATGTGCTGATCTGCGGGAGTGGATCCGCAGGCCTCTGCGCAGCGACATGGCTCGCGCGGTACGGCATCCGGTGTAAGGTGCTGGAACGCCGCGACGGGCCCATGACGATGGGCCAAGCAGATGGTGTGCAGTGCCGGACCGTTGAAATCTTCGAGAGCTTTGGTATCGGTGAGGAGCTGCTACGTGAAGCGTACCACGTGCTGGAGGTCGTGTTTTGGGCAGATGATGGATCTGGTTCGATCAAGCGTACTGGTCGGACGGCGGATACGCAGCCGGGTCTGTCGCATCAGCCGCACGTGATTCTTAACCAGGCTCGGATCAATGGGCTGCTGATCGAGAAGATGCGGGAGTGGAATAACCAGGAGATCGACTATGGATACACTGTCACCGGTATCGAGGTGAATAGCCAGCTGGCGGCAGACCCGCAGGCGTATCCAGTCAAGGTGACTGCTGAGAAGAACGGGAAGACTGAGACGTTCGAGGCTAAATATGCGCTTGTATGTCATTCTCAATTACTTCTATTTCTTGCGATAGAGCAGTCTCTGACGTCTCTAGGCTTGCGACGGTGCTCACAGTACCGTTCGGAAAGCACTCGGCTACAATATGATTGGAGACAGCACCGATGCCGTCTGGGGTGTCATGGATATGGTTCCTCGCACCGATTTCCCCGACATCCGCAAGAAGACCACGATCCGCTCAAAAGCAGGAAACCTGTTGATCATCCCCGGGAAGGTGGCAGTCTGGCTCGCTTCTACATCGAGCTGCCGGCCGGCACAAAGCCCAAGGAAGTCAAGCTTGAACATCTCCAACAGGCAGCAAAGAACATCCTCAGCCAGCACACAATCGAGTTTGTCGAAACTGTCTGGTGGTCTGCGTATTCCATTGGCCAACGCCATGCAGATTGCTTTCACAAGGATTACCGCGTCTTCCTTGCCGGCGATGCTTGTCATACGCACTCGCCTAAAGCTGGTCAGGGCATGAACGTCAGCTTGCAGGACGGGTACAATATTGGCTGGAAGCTAGCTACTGTTCTGAAAGGATTGGCGTCACCTTCCCTGTTGGAGACATATGTCCTGGAACGGCAGAAGGTGGCGATCGATCTGATCAACTTCGACCGTTATTTCTCCAAACTCTTCTCCTCAGGAGGCCAGACTTCTCCCGCTGAGTTCCAGGAGGGGTTTATCAAGGCTGGCAAGTATACAGCTGGAATGACGGCGCGGTATGACCAGTCACCGATCACTTCCGACGTGGACGAGTCAGACAAGCTTTCGACGAACGTTGTCGTTGGTATGAGACTGCCCAGCGCTCAAGTCGTGCGCTTCAGTGACTCGAAGCCCATGCAATCAGCTCAGTCGCTCAGTTCTGACGGCCGTTGGCGAGTGATGGTCTTCATTGGAGATATCAGCTCGGCCGAGACTAGGACAAAGTTGAGAGCTGTAGGTGGCGCTCGCCTTAGTGATGCCTTGGATGAGTCTTGTTGACCTCATAGTAGATCGGTGACTATCTCGGCTCAACAGAGGGTCCTATCCAGACATTCCGCCCCAAGGGAGAAGATATCGATAGTCTTATTGAGCCTATTCTGGTGGGTCATGGCAAGCGCCATGCCGTGGAATTGGAACAGATCCCCGAGTGCTTCTACCCTGTGACCGGAAAGCATCAAATCAAAGGCGGGTCTCGAAGCTCATAACAACCTCCATAAGATGTGCTAACGATCGTCAGACCTTCACAAAATCTACTACGACGACGAGAGCTATAACAAGGGTCATGGCCACTGCTACGAGCACCTCGGTGTTAGTCCCGAGAAGGGCGCAATCGTGATTGTCCGTCCAGATCAATGTGAGGATCCTAATCGTCAATTTGAGTAGCTGATGCTAATTCTTGCCCAGATGTATCTGCCGTGATGGGCCTGGATGACTATGCGCAGATTGGGAAATTCTTTGCGGGTTTCCTGATACCCCAGCTGCCTGGAAGCAGATTGTGATTGACTTGATTATAGCAAATCATATGGCAGTGACATTTTCCGACTTGTATATAGTTTTGTATGAGCCCGTATATATCAATGATGGCGAGCAGTAGGCGACTGCTTTGTATTAAGAGCTGATCTATTAAGATGTGGGGTATCTGGGTGATAAGAGCTTGACCACCCCGCATTCTCGTCGAAGGATGACTGTTTTTTTTCCGGATATTTGCATCATCTGAGGCTCAAAACCTGAAAAATGTAAATACTTCTTCCTGTACCATCCGGAAGTTTGGTCGAGTCCGCGTTCGTATAGCCTGAGTCATCCGACCTCCAGCTAAGAACAAAACGACCGAGGACTTATCTTTCAAAGGGTCGAGACCATTAGCTCGTCCCGAAACACATAAACATCGCACTATTGTCACACATCGAAGACCAAGATGGCGCAATATCCTGATTTCATCGTCCCTCCTCATCTCGCCCAGTACAACGTCCCTCTGCCCGAATTCGCCGCGTCAAAACCACACCTGACAGATTTTGTCGTCGGGGGACTGGTATATTCTCACTCCGTCGAAAAAGACGATGACGCCGCCGAATCGACAAGCGAAGAGCCAGTTACGCGCGTTCTGCTCCTCCAACGCGCCGCCACCGACTCGTACCCCGGTCACTGGGAAGGAGCAGGAGGGATGTGCGAGCGCACCGATGCGACCCTGCTAGCCGGTGTAGCGCGCGAAGTCTTCGAGGAGACGGGCCTCCACGTTTCCAAATTCGTCGATCTAATTGCGATTGACGAGTGGTCGCGGATTTTGCGGGATGAGTTGCACCGTGTAGCCAAGTTCACGTTTCTGGTTGAGGTGCATGAGGCGAGTGGGAAGGCAGGTGTGCCGTCCGAGGATGTGGTGGTGGGAGTTGCGCCGGAGCGCTGGGAGGATGGGGTGAAGTTGGAGCAGGCTGAGCATCAGGCGTTTGAGTGGGCGATAGAGGAGGAGGTGCGTGAGAGTTTAGAGTCGCAGGGCAAGTATAAGTTTCTGAAAGATCAAGGTTGGAATTTGTTGAAGGGGTTTGAATTGCTGAGGAGGACTACATCGGCTGAGGGGAGTCGAGGATGATACTCTAAACCCAACGGCCGTCTGAGGCTCGAAATTCGCCATCGCAGGTTTTGTATATGATGTTACCATGTCTTATGTGCTATGCTGCATTTCCTGATCCTGTTACATGGCTTTTGATACGCAGCCTTAGAAATGACCAAAAGAAGATGAACCTGTTGCCGCCATCAAGCAACGTAGACTATATTGTCTTCCACCGGCAAAGCTCCTTCAGCTTGCATCTGCAGGGCGACCTCGTCGACTCGCTTCCATACGCGCAGTAGGTTACCCCCTGCGACCTTGGCAGCATCCTCATCACTGACACCTCGTCGTAGAAGCTCTGCGATCAAGTCGGGGAATTTGGACACATCCTCTAGACCTCGAGGAACGGTCGGGATACCGTCAAAATCGCTACCTAAACCAACATGTTCAAAACCAATCAGACCACCAATGTGCATAATGTGATCCGCAACTTTTCCAAGAGTAGCATGCTCCATATCAGTCTTTGGTAGCTCATCGGGGTCGTCCGACGCAGTACACGAAATGAAGCCGGGCGCGAAGTTGACCATAACCAGCGAGTCTTTTGCCTTGACGAGTTCTAACACATCGTCGGGAACGTTGCGAGGATGGGGACAGATCGCGTACGTAGAGCTGTGACTATATATCACTGGCGCACGACTGCCGGACCAATTGTCCTTACCGGCACCAAGGACGTCTCGCATTGTGTCCACACTGACGTGAGCGAGATCGACTATCATGCCCATCCGGTTCATCTCATAGACTAGATCCTTTCCGGCTTCACTGATCCCGTGCCAGTGCGGAATAGCTTTTCTGAGACTGCCGTGCTGTTCGGTCAAAGCGGCATCCGCGTAACGATTATGGCAGTTGTGTGTCAGTGTGGCGTATGACACTCCAAGGCTATAGAAATTTCGCAGGAGAGCCAAGGAGTTACCGATAGAGTGCAGGCCCTCAATTCCGTAGGGAGAAATGATCTTGCCATCAAGGAAAGCTTGAAGAGCGGTTGTTCCATTCGGAGGTAATGAAAATGTGTCAGGGTAGGCCTTTGCTAGGCGCGACATGAGGTCGACTTGCTCAAATGTTTGGCGGACGCCTGTTAATCAGTTTAACAGTGGGTCTGAAATCCAAGGACTCAGAATGCCTACTCGTTGTATAGGTTGCATCGGAGAAATCCTCCCAATTCTTAGGACACTCGACATACACACTCCAAAAGGTACCGCCGACTTTGCCCTTAGAAAGCCGCGGCAGGTCAACATGACCTTTGAGATTTCCTTGGGTATAAGGAACAGTGAAGTTGTCCGCATAAATCTTGTTGTTGAAAAAAGCCCGAATGAAGATTGGAAGGTCATCGTGGCCATCTTTTTAGCCGTCAGTATACTCGCGCGGCTAGACTAGAAGAATACTGTACCAATCAATGGAGTGCCTGACAGAATCTTGTCAACTCTCTGATCAATGCTAAGAGGCGCGCTCAATCGGGGAGACACCGTCGTGAAAAAAAGAAGGCATGCCAGTATGAACGTCACAGCCAAACGTCGAAGATAGCGAGCAAAGGACGTGCTTTCGGAAATTTGAACTTGTTTCTCTTCATCATTTGAGAAGCTCCCAAGGAATTGCTTCTTCTCGACGGACATCTTGCTAAAACCTCTGATGATAAGCCGTAGAGGTCAATCGATATCAAGAAGATCGTGTCAAAGAAATCGGGTACTCTCTCAGGAGTGACAGCACTAAGAGGCGAGGCTGGCTGGGCTGACAAATACGATCGATACCACAGAGAGTTGACGATTCCTATCTTCATGCAATCATACCATGACGCTTTCCTATCTTCCATCTACACCAGAGGAATCAATACGCTCTCACGGATAATTGATGCAGGCCATCAGTGTTTGTGCAATTCAGGTCGTTAAACTCCTTATCTCAAGTCTGAGGTTGACTATCAAGGGACGGAGGCATTCGTTAGGTTGACTCATCATGCAGCGAACGTATATCTGATCTCGGTTGATTTTGTCCTTCAAAGGACGAGGATAGCAAGAACATATCGATTACTGTTTATTATTTTTCTATTTCGAAGTATAAATTGAAATTTTCGAAGTATAAATTGAAATGATCCTTCGGGTCCTGATTCCTGCCTGAGGTGTCTACCTGTAACTCAGCAAGCACAAAATGCGGCAGCCAATCAGAGTCCATCTGAATGGGAAAATTTATCCTCATCGAGCGTCCGACAGCAAACCTCCTTGATCAAAGGGGCTCTTGAAAGCTGAAATATCCAGTTAACATCGTCATTTTGTGCAAGTATTAGTCGACTGGCTCACTTCCATCTCTAGTTAAATGGAGCTGCTTACAAACTGAGGGACCCGATTCGTGCCCCTCTTGGCTTCTCCGCACTTGGTCCGATCGCCGTCCGTCAATCAATTTTATCCCGCCTACTCAAATTTCTCTCCGCGAATGCGACTACATATTCACGCGACCGCTTAAAAAGAAAAGGACTTGCACTGCTATTTATCGATTCTTTGGAATCATCATGGCGGAGCACTCCACGGCTGAAGGTTTGACAAAACGAGACCCTCCCACCAATATCATGCTGACTGATAGTTCGTTTATAGGTCTTTTGGCCTTCTGGCACTCGTACCGTCTACTGTTCCTGGTCGCTCTCTCAACCGTCTTCGTGTGTTTACGATTCTACCGCAAACTTCAATCCAGAACGAAAACCACTGCCTCGTCTTCGGTTCCGCCATCGCCCCGAAGCCAATCTCCCGAAAAGTCAGAGAAAGGCGTCTCGCTTGAGAGCAGCAACAAAGCAACGACACAGAAGGCTGAAGGGCAACTCGCCGTGACCAACAGCCCAGCAAAAGCCAATTCAGGTCCGAAGAGAGTTACCGGTAAAAAGCCATCCAAGGTTGCTGGACGACGAGGACAAACAGAGGATGCGGAGCCCCTCGCCTTTATCCAACCCATCGTCTTTTACGCTTCTTTGACTGGGAACACCGAAAGATACGCCAAAATACTGCTGGAGGAATTGCGCGCTGCGGCGCAAAAGCGGGCTGATTTGCAGGATCGCGAGCGTGGCCTTCTACCTCCTCAGATTCACGACCTCTCCTACATCGATCTCGACGACTACTTCACCTCTGCACCGAAGCCTCCGCCTAACTCACCCGGTACACGCTACGTATACTGCTTATTGATCCCTACCTACAACATCGACAGTATCCTGAATACTTTCCTTGACCATCTTAACGAGACTCATAATGACTTCCGCATCGACACAGGCCCTCTGTCAAGTCTCGCCGGTTACTCTGTTTTCGGATTTGGTGATAAGGAAGGCTGGCCTACCGAGGAGCAAGGCTTCTGCTCTCAAGCCAAAGAGCTGGACAAATGGATGGCCAAACTAACGAGGCGGAAACGAGCATATCCTTTGGGATTAGGTGACGTTAAAAGTGACGCTGAATCCTCCTTGAAAGAGTGGTCTCAGGGATTGCAAGACATCCTTTTTGACATTCTCAAGAATGGTGGACTAGGAGAAGGCGTACCTGGCAGTGGTGATCCTGTTGAGAGTGACGAGGAATTGGAAGATGAAGACACAGACAAGGACAATACTCAAAACGTCATGGACTTGGAGGACATCAAGTTTGGAGGTGATCAGAACGCGGCCGGGTCACCAATCCCCGTGGATTTTACAACCACAGGAAAATCTTCCTCTGGTCAATCAACCGAGAAGGAGATGGTTCCCAAGACATCACCCACCTACGCTGCTCTAACAAAGCAAGGCTATACGATCGTCGGGTCTCACTCCGGTGTCAAGATCTGCCGTTGGACTAAATCTGCGCTACGTGGTCGAGGTTCATGTTACAAGTACTCCTTCTACGGTATCCGATCACATCTTTGCATGGAGGCTACACCGTCGCTGTCTTGCAGCAATAAGTGTGTCTTCTGCTGGCGCCACGGTACGAACCCAGTCGGGACTACTTGGCGTTGGAAAGTGGATTCTCCGGAATTGATCTTCCAGGGAGTCAAGGAGGGCCATTACAAGAAGATCAAGATGATGCGTGGCGTTCCTGGTGTGCGAGCCGAGAGATTCGCAGAGGCCATGCGCATCCGACACTGTGCCTTGAGTTTGGTCGGCGAACCAATTTTCTATCCTCACATCAATGAGTTCCTGGACATGCTGCACGACGAACACATCTCAAGCTTTCTGGTATGCAATGCTCAACATCCTGATCAGCTCGAAGCTCTGCGTCGCGTAACTCAACTATACGTATCCATCGATGCAAGCAACCGTGAGAGTCTACGGAAGATCGATCGTCCTCTGCATCGGGACTTCTGGGAGCGCTTCCAACGTTGCTTAGACATTCTACGGGAGAAGCGCCATGTCCAGCGCACTGTTTTCCGTCTTACCTTGGTCAAGGGATTCAACATCGATGATGAAGTCATCGGCTACGCAAATCTGGTGGAAAAGGCACTTCCATGTTTCGTCGAAATAAAAGGTGTAACATTCTGTGGCACAAGCACCACTGCTGGAGTTGGCTTGACCATGCAGAACGTACCTTTCTACGAAGAAGTTGCCCAGTTCGTCACTGCTCTCAACGCCGAGCTGCAGCGCCGAGGCCTGAAGTATGGCATCGCCGCGGAGCATGCGCACAGTTGCTGCGTGCTGATTGCGTCGGAACGGTTCCACGTCAATGGCAAATGGCACACTCGGATCGATTATGATCGATTCTTCGAGCTTTTGGAGAAGGAGAAGGCCGATGGCACGTCTTTTACCCCCGAAGACTACATGAGGGAAACCGAGGACTGGGCATTGTGGGGTAATGGTGGTTTCGACCCGAACGATCAGCGTGTATACACCAAGGGCAAGAAGAAGCATATGCAGATCACGACAGAGCCTTGAGGAGAGATGGTCAACAGTTCTGCCAAGAATTACATGCCTACTGAGGCCGCCTGACTGCAGTCCACGTGAAGTATGGTTGCCCGCCATGCTTCTCCGTCCGCAGGACAGTTCCAGCAGGACGATAAGCATACCGCAAAGGCGTCGGGCTCTGGCGTCCGGTTTCGTCAGCCTGAGGCAAGTACGTCACGGGAACCCTGAAGTAGCGACCGCTCGTCCGGTAAAAATCCTCGAATTCAAATAACCAACCTTTTCCCTGCAGCCTTCTATCTGTCGCTCTTCCCTTTCTATATTCCCACCGCAAAGAGACAGGTCCCGTTCCTCAGCAACGCCAGGAGCACCTCAACACACAGACCCAATGCAGATCTCATAAGAAAGCATTGGTTGAGCCAACTTTAATCAGGCTAATCATGAAGGTGGTTGGGGTCTGAGACTTATGGTGTATCGATTGGGCCTTGTCATAGATTTCCATTGGACAGAGGTGGGATTCACCTACAACTGATGAAAGGAGGGCATACTGGAGGGGCTGTAGAGTTAGATACTCCCACAACTTCTAGTAACTAGCTAGTTGGCCTAGAAGCATGAATCACAGTTGGGATTCTGTATTTGCGGAGTCAGACAAAGCATCTATCACAATGACGGCGCTGGGCCGAGGACCGGGTGGCCCACTTAATAGTGAGATTCTAAACCTCTACGACCAACACCGAAGGCTTCGCGGAGGTATCGCGGATCATGTCTGAAAGTCTGAAAGCCACAGGTGCAGTCGTTCCTCAGATTGAATTTTTTTCCAAGCAGGACACACGATGGTCCGTGACCGATTCGAACTGGTAGAAACCACAGCTCCGTCGCGGCCTTCAGGTAAAGAAATAATGCCAATCATATCTCTGCTAGTATCGAGATTTCTGTAATTCAAGCTTTGCCACTGATATTCTTCAAGCGGGAGACTTAAATACAGGTTTTCCATCAGCCGGATCGGAATTCGGCCGTTACATCTTTCAGTGCTTTATGCCAACCGTAAGCTATCTGCTGCATGGTGCCCAAAAAGCTAAGAAGCTCGAGGCGGGTTCTTCGCTCGACAAGCTGCCACAACGTATACCGGAAACTCAACATCCAAAACTCTAGTCAGGACCTAAATCCGAGAAAGCCACGTCTCAGTCTTGATCGAAAAGAACAAAAAGGGGGACAAAAAAAGTATTCGCCTTACATTTGCAAACCCAAACCTGAAACCAAGCCGTATCTGAAGTTTGTAACTGCGGCTGATATTGCAGGTTTCGAACGTCGGCGTCAGTGAGTGCGGTAGCCGATGATGTCTCCACAGGTCGTCATCGAGGCTCACTGTCGATCCCACAGGTGTGCCAGAGGCATACGCTTGTTTGCGTAAGTTGCTCACTGTTTGCAGGATGTGAACTTGCATGCTGCTTTCGACGAATCCATGTGCTCGTACCTCGGTTGTTTCGATGAGCATTGACTGGAAGTCGTTCAGGATGAGGTCGCAGCCGGGTCCGGTGATTCTCGTCATATATATCGTCAAGGGGATTGGTTCACCGAGGAGGATACAAGCTCCGTCTGAGAGTCGGACGTCAATCCGATAACTGGTCGGTATGGGTTTCTCGCGATTTCCTGGGTCGAGGATGACTGAATGTCTCTCTATGAGGGTATGTGAGGGAGGGTTGAAGTCGGTAACCGGATAGAAGGTTATAGCTCGAGACTAGACAAGATTCAGATCGTTAGCTTTTAGCTATTCTCTTTTCCTCTTTAGCTTATGAGAGTAATGGTGGCCATGGGACGCTCAACTGTGATGATCTCTGATCCTCTGATTATTGCGCCAGTTCTGATGACTGCTTTTAGCGTGTAGCTGATCTCTCCAGCGGTTTCTCGGCCCCTAATGGTGGAGGGTGGAAGTCTCCGAAGTAAATGTATAGTTTGGCGACTCTTTTTCGGTAGGTTCCCACAACTGCCTCGAGAGCGTTTTCCCTCCGTGCTGGTTCTATAGCATTCCGAGACTTGAGGAAACTAGAGATTGCGAAGAATTGTTAGCGACAGACTTTTCAAATCTCATGCACGGGCACATTGCCTACGGGGATGGAGAATGGAAAGACGTATGTTCCATGACCCAGAGTAAACGAAGCCATGTCGAGGTTTCCTTGAGAAGGAGGAGGAAAGACTCGCTGCGTTTTATGAAACAACTGAGAGGATGGTTAGCAACAGGCCGCGCTCATGACATAGCCCAGAACCTACCTGGTGCGATTCCGTGCGCCTCCCCGAGTGCAGTCTGGATAATGCTGAGCCAGAGAGAGTAACTTGTATCGCTGATATATCAACTGATGATCTGGTATGAAGAATGAGGCGGCCAGAGACTGTGTCCTGGTTTGTATAGGTTGCTTCCCTCTTATCCAGTTGTATTTGGACGTCCATTCTAGAAGACAACAACGAGGAGTGTCCTAAGCGGGACAACATGAAGGATCCAAGAGTCAGGACAATGGGCTTATATGACAGCAGACGAGTCTGAGCTATTCCAAAGATCAACTTCTACTGGGACCGGACAAGAGAAGAATATATCTCTAAGCAGCGGACTGCCAAAGAAGACAGAACATCATGAGACAGAATTTTTCTTATTTAATGTAACTAGAGGGATGATGTAACAAATAGATTTTTAAACATATTCACTTGCCCTGCCCTCATCTGGAGACCATGTTGAGTGTTTCAGCCCATCTAAACGATGAAGCTATTGTGTCGCTCGCAGTTTTCTATCTAGACTACGATGAATGCAGCGCAGATGGCCCGCGATATCTCCACTTAAGCCCGAGGGTCCCGAACGCCAAGTGCCTGAAAGCCGACTATATTTATTCTTCACAATGACTGGCTCGGCATAAGAATGGAGCCCAAGTCCCCAAACCCTAACGACTGGTGTCTATTTCCAGGCTACCTAGCTACAGTATCAGCCACGGTGTCGGCAATCTCCGACTGCGCATCATTCAACTGCCTGGTCTCAACTATCACTTGCATAAACTTAAGGATGGATATGTTTTGTGTAAGCTAAGCCCTATATTATTGTTGTTGCCTTGCACTGGTTGGTCTTTAATTTTTTATGTTTAATTTAAAGTCATTCTAGTTGAATTGCATAGCCACAGGAACGTGCAGCACAGACTGTGGGGCCAGTAAGGCAGGCTGGATCCTGTCCCAGCATTTTTAGCTTCTCGGTACTGATGTTACTTACCTCTTCCGTTGTCAGTTGCCACTTTTCATCGACATCCAAAGATCTAGTATTATGGATTCTTGGATTACTCGAGCGTGTCTATCGAAACACAGCCATCCATAAAGAGGACAGGGGTAATTCGAGGTTTGTATGACCGTGAATCGATAGACTTCAACAGAACGGGGATCTTCAATCCAACGGAAAAAGAAAAGTATAAGAACAATGGCTTCTTCAGGCGTAGGCCGGCTGCGGTCTCAGCACTATTCGGTGGTATGTTCTCCTAGACCATTAGGGCCTTTCAGCTAATATTTTCCGAGTGTGACGCATGTCATTCTAGAAAGGTATGGATATCTCAGAATCCATGTCCAGTAATTCAGCCATGGACATCCGCCTAGAAACTCATCCCCTGCATCATTCTAACTGCGCTCTAACCATTGTTATAGGTGCGATGTGACAGGAATAACCCTTGTGGGAACTGTCAGGACCAACGAACTGCATGTACTCGCCGACGGAGCAGGAGACGACTACCAAAAAGAATCTCACTCCACGCACAAATGACAAGCAGTGCGCCTCAGTCGAGCCGGACTTCACCCATTCCGCTCCTACCTGACTCTCGTGGTGGTACTATCTTCGAGATAGTTCGGCAAAGCGACGCGACTGCAACAGATAACATTCTTTCATCTAACATGGACGACTACAAAATGTCGTTCAAGATCACAGAACAGGGGAATTACCAAGATCCAGATAGAGAACAAGAGCTCCATAGATGGATCTTGTTAGTTCCGCTAACAGATGCTCAGTTGACGAAACAGCGCCCACTAGACCGTATACAGGGTCTTGCCTGGAACAGGATCCAAGTTATCGAGTCAGCATTCTATGTCGCAAGCCATCTTTCACAGAGTATTGGTGGTTCTGTGAGCCCTCTAAACGTCAGAGGATACGGCGAGGAACAGCCAGAGATACCGTCCATTGAGTTTCTGACTTGGATGTTGAATGGTACAATGGTTTACAGCCCCTTGGACTCTATGATATCATGGAATACTGACTTAAATCTCATAGATCTTGGAGCCGACAGATTCGGATCATTTGTATTGGATTACTTCAGACACGTCTCTCGATCAACACTTAAGCACATGGGACTGTCGCTTCTTCGTAAGACCGCATCTCCCCATGACACTCTCCTTTACACGGTCTGCGTCAATTCGATGGCCTACAAGTTCATAAATTGCCTGTTGATGGATGAAGATGATGTTGAGCTTTCCCACATGCTACGGGAACGCGCTGCGAAGTACAAGCGAACGGCCCAGGCTGCGTTGAGGAGAATCCCACTCTTGACTTCACCTTCACTTGCTCTTTTACAGGCCACCCTTTGCGGTGTGAGTCATAAAATATCCGCTACTTCTGTCACGATCTGACAGGGAGCAGATTTTCCTATGCCAGGGGTCAGGCGAGACTCAGCTGTGCTGTGATTTGACGCGTGTTGCCTGTAGGGTCTGCGTCGATCTCCGCCTCCATGCAGCCGCCAATTCGCAAGGTTTGACTGAAGAAGAGTACTTCTGCGCCATGTGGTGCTATATGCTTGACAGAAACTATGCCTGGAAGCTTGGAAGATCCGGCTGTTTCCTCACCGTTGAACCAAGCATCGATGATACTCCAGTCTCTGAGCTTTTCTCCATTTACATGGAGTTGGCGCATGTACAAAGTGTGCTGATTCCCTTCCTCAATGACGAATCTTGCTGGGAAAGAGAAACGGCAGGCCAATCCTTTAGTCATGCGCGAATCCAATTATTCCTGAAAATGGATAGAATTCGGCGCAAGATAGACCAGGTAGTCCCATAGTTACGTTTATTGGTGCTAGTGACTATGAAAGCTGACTCGGCTGCCGCCAGGTCTCACCTCCCTCGCCGCAGTGGAAAGGCCTGGATGTCCGCTGCGAAGTCGCGGCCCTTGATTTCGGTTATCATTCCATCATGACCACCATCCTCCACTTAACCCAAGTGAACTCGGGCGAGATCCATGGCGCTGGAGAGCTTTATCTCCAGTCAGCTCGCCAGGAGCTCTCGGCACTGGTATGTCTGTGTCGACCAAACGATCAGCAAAGAACTGCTGCCTTTCTGCACTGGTTAGTTTGCTCATCGCACCTGTTTGGCTGGCGTGTTTAACAAATCCTCAGGACTTTGCTCTACTATCCTCTGACCGCCTGTTTCGTGCTATTCTGCAACGCCGTCGCGACATCCCACCTAGGCGACTTTCACCTTTTAAAGACGGTCGCGAACTGCTTGTTACAAAGCGGGACGGTCAGTCAACCGATTGCCACACTGCAGCGGCTGTTCCATGAGTTTGTCTTGCTATCCCAGACCTTCGTCAGTGAACCAGGCTCAATGGCGCCTGTAGATGACGGAGTTCTCGAGACGCGATCCAACCTCACACAAGGACCAAATCCTAATCGCGGCCCAATGTCCCTGTACGGGATGGACTCTGGGGCTGGACACGGTCAGGCGATGTTAGGTATAGACGACTATTTCATCGATCCGTCATTCTCTGTGTTTGATCAGATGCTGTCTCAAGGCGAGCTGGCGTTCGTGAGTGAATCACATTGTGAAGGAAACCTCGCTAGTGAGATATATGGCCACCAACAATGTAACTCATGGTCCAGTTAAGGCGATATAGAGTTTTGTGGGGGTATGGAAATCTTGGAGAGATAAGTGGTTTCACTTAGCCCTAGATATCCTCGTAGAAATATAGGCACACTAGAGATACTCTATCAATACTCTATAGATACCTGATAGATGGATTCGAGTGTATTAGATTCAATAAGATACGCCCACGACAACCCCACTACTACATTTCGTCTTACCTGTATCTGTGTATCTTGACCGGACGATCTGCCCGAGCGTTGTTAACCAACAGAATTGTCAGCCTTGTGCTCCCTTCCTTTCTAGTCACTTCCAGTATATTCGAGAGCTCTTTCGAAGTTTCCACCAAGTGTGTCATATTAGGCGATCATCATTTTGTAGATATCTACCCCGCCATGTCAGCCTTGCCTGATCAAAGTTATAAAACCAAACCTGTCTGTCTTCTGTGGACTATCGTCAAAATTATTGAATCGGTGATTTTCTCCTTGTTTTTCTCATCTCACCCTCCATCAAAGAATATACTCACCGTGCTCGCATCTAAACCATGTCCACCTCCGACATCGTGACCGGCAGCTGCCTCTGCCAGAAAGTCCGTTACAAAGTGACCGGTCTCCCCAAATCAACCATCATCTGCCACTGTGACAGCTGTCGCAAAAGCACAGGGTCAGCCTTTATGGCAAACAGCTTCTATATGAAAGATGTACGTGACGTGCCTCCGCTTCAGGAATGACTCCAATCAGCTAATCCCGTCTATAGCAACTACAGGTTCTTACAGGAGAAGACGCTCTGAGAGTTTATGACGACAAGGGCACGGGATCGGGGAAACCGCTGTCGAGGTCGTTCTGCTCGAACTGTGGTTCGCCCTTGTTTATTAGCAGCGAGTCCATAGCCCCTACTGCGGTGACCGTCACTTCGGGGACCATGGATATAGGGCCTGCGAAGAGCGAGTGGGAGCCCAAGATGGAGGTCTTCTGTGCGAGGCGGAGAGAGTGGCTTGCACCTGTGGAGGGGACAGAGAAGCATGATACTATGTAGTTACATTTCGACAGGGGTTCGTTGGCATGGATCTTACAAAACAGATGCATACGAACGATCAAAAGATCGGGGTCGTCCGGGTCCGGCAACGGATATGGATTGAGATAATTGGGGGATAGGGGACTGGCCACCGTCGCCGATTGTGGACTTGCTCATCGGCCAACTGTCATAGCCAAAGCTGAACCCCGGCAGCTGCAAACATAGCCCTTCACAATGCACTCACAATAGAGTTCCTCCTTTTGGGCCCATCTAACCTGCGCCAGCCTCGGGAATTGGCCGCTCGAAGCCGCGTGAGCAAGGCCCAGAAGGCTTTCCTCCAGACGAGGAAGCTCATCCGTGATATGGCCCGCTAGATGTAGCGATGTGATGCCAGGGGAAGAAGTTGGACGAGGAGTTGTGGAACTCGTCCAAGTTAAGAAACAAATGTTTCAGCGCAGTGAACTCTCCAAAGCAGAAGATAGCCAGGGGCTCTGGGCCGTCTTGGGTGTGAACCCGCTTCTGAAGGTCAAGATGCAGCGATTCAAGTGTTGCGCGGTTGGCGGCTGAGATATCGCACCGCATTTGACAACTGAAAGTGATCGCTGCAGTCGCAGGAACTGTTATATCCAGTAAAGGGGAAATTAGTGGCCTCATAAAAAAAAAAAGCTGCGTAAGCTGTTACAAGACGAAAGCAAGCCCTGCTGAATGTAAGACGGAGAGTCTTGAGATTCGGCAGGGAGGGAAATCGAGCCCGGCGCGAAATGCCCTTACACATGTGAAGATTGAGTGTTTCTAGACCTGCAGACATGTTTAAGAGAGCACTCGCAGGTAAAATAGACTCTAGTAATGCGCCTCCCATGCTGTAGCTCCCAAAGAAACGTCGAGGGTCCTGAGAGACAGGCGTGAAAATCCCGGCCGCGCGTAGCCCCGCAGAGCGAACGATCTGATCGTGATATGGGCCGACTTGCAAGCTGCAATGCTCTAGGTTCGGCAGCTCCATAATCAAAACAGTAAGCAGGTCGGCAGCTGAGAGCCGCTGCAGTTCTTCAATCCCTAATGCATGTGCCACCACCCGGAGGGCGACCCGCGCCTCGTCCTTGCTGATGAATCCTGAAGCTATCCAAATCAACCAAACAATATATTTTTATTAGATCTAGCTAGTATGGCGTGTAGGGCATCTAGTTCTAGTATGCCCTACAATGAAGCAATTAGAACACCTTGGTGGCGCTCGTTTTGGGGATTCTACATGTAAAGGCGTGGATAGCCCTTCAACCTCAATATCTTGCTCAGTTCTTGCCTGGATAAGATCCCTAGCTTCCTGCACGCAGATGCCTTCATTAGGAGTCATCTGGCGTCTAGATCGCTTCCTTTTCTGCTTCGCTTTCTCATTGGCTGCGCGTAGATCATGATTCTCCTTTGCTAGTAGCGCCGCACTGTGCATGGCCATCTCGCAACCCTTAATAAGCTGCTGTATAGCTAATTTTGAAGGCGTCGAAGGGCTTTGGGAGCGTTGTTTAAGGAGCTTCTTGACTGAGGATGCTTGCTCGCGTAATTGCTGAAGTGTATGAGGCGTAGCAAGCCATGATGAACTAGTTGATTGACTTGCACGGCTCGGAGGGGGGTAGGGGTTGAGATATAATTATATCGTCGAGCATATCGAGTTTTGATCTCCTCACGTCGATTGATAAAGGTAGACACCCAGTTCTTGCCAACAGGTTTGAATCCCGAGGGATCGTCAGCTTGGAGAAGGTTATTGGCCATTTCTTGCACATGAGATGGCCTAGGAAGCACGCCGCGTAGATCCCTAGATAGTATCCATTCCACTAATGATTCTTCCTGTGTAGGAGACAGTCGGTGATTATGGCTGCGTTTTTCAATTCGATATTGGCATCCATTGAGTCGGCCTTGGAGGGTAGATCTAGGCACATTGAATAACTCTGCAGCGCGGCGAATACTTGAAATTTCATTCTTTTTCAAAGCAGATATTGCTAGTTGAATCCTTCCCTCTTGCTCCACCAATTTTCCGGGGGTTTGACGCGGTTTTGATGGCATTTTAGTTGATTTGGATAGCTTCAGGATTCAAACGCGTCGAAATTGGATGGGGGGTGGCCGGCTCACCCGGGAATTACGTTCAAAGTTAGTTAACTAACTTAAGTTAATGGCAGTCACGTGTTAGGGGTAAGGCTCATGTGAGCTTTCAGAACAGCTCAAGTGACCTGTGTACACGAGTTAATTTAACTAACATACTCTTCCTCGCTTAGTCAGTCTCAGGGCAAGGGGAGTGGTTGACTGACTTGGCGACCAATATCAGCCGGAGGCACTGTACTCCACGCTAGCGCTAAGGAGGTCTGATAAGGTCAATGACACATGGATCATCTTTCAACAAACTTCTCCGTTGGTTGCTCGATTCAGCAATCTCGAGCCTTCAGCCGCACTAAAGGAGGCATCAAAAACGAGTCCTGCAACGAGTCTTGAGCGGGAGGAGTCCGAGGCGCCACGGTACTCCGTGACTATAACGGGTGGTTAGCGTATGGGTCTAGCAAGACGGCGAATAGTTTACATGAGCAACCAGATTGAGCGATTGTTTGGGGAGCAGGGTCTGCATGGGTATAGTGTGCATGCATCCTGGGGCGTTTGTTAGTCCGAACTTGCACAAGTATTCGAAGGCGGAGATGGATGCGATTTTGAGTGATGTGAGGATGCGGAAATATCTGTCCAGTAGGGGGCAGGCGTGTGCGATGTCTGTTTATGGGGCGGTGTCTAGTGAGGTGGAGGGGAGGGGTGGGTTGTACCTTGAGGGAGCGTCTGTTGCGGTGCACCCTTGTCCTCCGGATGGGGATGCGGCCGAGTATGGCCAAATTGATATACTACTAGTCGCCTCGCAACATAACTTGCATTCCGCGACTTATACTACTAGAACTCCATGCTTCAGAGGAGGGTGTTTTTTTTGCAGATGACTACCCCCTATCCCGAAAAAACCACTGCCGCTTCGCATCCTCCTCAGACATACGCTCCACCTTAGTCTCCACAAACCGACGATACAGCTTATCATGCCTCGCCTGTATCTCCTCAAAGTCCACCCCAGACGGCACCCATCCGCCATCATTCGACCGGAGAAGCTGGTGCGTATGCTCCCGCAGTTTCAGCCATCCCTCGTATTCAGCCATCTGGTGCTCGTGCTCTGCCACCTCCGCCGCGGTGAAGCGGTACGGACACTCCTGGCTAACCTGCAGATGCGCCCAGTGCTGCGAGAGCTTGAGCAGGCAGTCGCGGACCGGCAGAATCCCATCGCGGTAGGTAAAGGGGCAGGAGGTGAAGAGGCGGCGGATGGCGACGTCGGGTTCGGTGAGGGCGAGGTACGATTCCAGATGGGACTTGAGGAGCGCGGCCTCGTAGCATTTGGCGCGGAGGGCCTCGTCCTGTGCTTGTTGCGTGTCGTCGTTGTCCGTCGGGGCAGCTCCGGGTTGGGCGTGCCGGGTTGGTAGCCCTTGGGCGGGGCGAGGAAGAGCGGCCAGCGGACCTGGGTGAAGCGGGGGAGGATGCAGGTGAATTGCCAGTCGATGACGCTGACGATGACGGTGGGGTCGTCAGCGGAGACGAAGATGTTGCCTGGGTGGAAGTCCGGGTGGCTGAGGACTGGCTCGGTGTGCCGGCGGATCGGGACGGCTTCTGCGAGGATCGGCATCACCTGGAGGACTGCTTCCAGGACGCGGATGTGTTCCTCGGGGGTGCCGTAGTGTGGACCCCGGCCGGCGTAGGAGGTCTTGTAGTTGCGTACTTGGCAGATGCCTTGGTGGGCGAGATCGCGGCCGAGCTCGGCGAGGGTCCTCCCTTCTCGCTGTTCAGTATACTTTCAGCTCCAGCAGATTACAGAAAGGAGGAACATACATGGCCCTGAGTACTTTGCATAGTCGTCTGGATTTGCAGCGAATCCCCCGGGCCAGGAGCCGTGGTACATCGGCCCCAGGCAGTACGTCTCGTCCACGTCGATGGTGCGGCCGGGTTGTTTCAGCGCCGGAGGAAGAGCGTTTCTCAGATACAGGGCCCCGTAGCCAGGAAACTTATTTGCCGCCAGCTTGCTTTCGAGAGAGGCAAAATTGCGGATCAGCTTCACGCGGTCGTGTTCGGCCAGGTTGTTGTCCCACATCTTGGTGAGCTGCTTGCCGACGCTCGGCTCCAGAACGATATATTCCGACTGGACAGGGTTGGAGTCATCCGCGCACCAGGCGAGGACGTCCGACACAGGCGTGGTCGAGTGCGATTTGACTGCTCGGTTAGAAATGGGTCCAGGTCACCCGAGACGAGGTACCTACCAAAGTCCAAGACAGCCACCTCGGACGCGGTCCCGTACTGTCGAGGCACGATATTCCGACAGGGGATCTTTGCCAGGATATTGGCTCCGTTCTCCGCCGTCATCATCAGCGCCTTGTTATACCCACCCTCCTTCTTCTCGATTCGGGTAATGGGCGAGCCGGCCACGCGAGGTAGCGCGGAGACCGTGCGGCAGAGCTCGCGGATGTCAAAGGGCGAGTACCGTTTCGCCAGCTCGTATCCTTCATTGACGAGGAATCGGCCTTTAGTGTATCCAAACAGATCCTTTTCCGCCGCTGGTTTCCCTGATTTTGTTAGTAGTTGTCGGGAGATGTAGACGGGTTGAGGTGATCATACCATTGGCATAGAGGGATACTCGACGATGAGGGGACAAAAATCTGTACCCAAGGGAGAAGCAGCGATTCGGGCTGAATCTGCCCATTCTGAGCTGTTATTGTCCATTGCTTCTGATGCAGCGACATGGTCGATGGAGATAGGTGCCCGACGACGACGTCATGGTTGTGCCAGCATCACGACATCGGGGACCACCTCGTTGTCCAGGGTGCCCGATGTCTTTCTCTGAAGTGCATGCAGGAAGACTATTTCTGATGTACACAGACTATGGTATTATTCACTTTGGCGATGTTGAGTCCAAGCGACCGTAGCTTCACTTCTATTCAGTACACAACTGCATGGTCCCCGATAGAAGAACCCGAAGTCAAGCGATTGGTCATGTAAGAGACGAAGGTCAAGATGAAAGAAGACGAAGATCAGAATGGTCTGGACAGGGGATCATTGCAGATCACTCATAATAATAGTTCTTAGAGTTTCACGCTATCTCAGCCTAAACGGGGAAGAGGAAGCGCCCCGAAGGATTTAGAGAAGTGGAATACGAGGCTGGTTCCGGGAATCAAATTGGTATGCTATTTCGATTGTGTAAATAGGCTCGATTCTATTGAGAATAGGCTTTAGAGAATGACAGCTGGAGAGTCCGAGCCACATGGGTACGAACTCGACTCCACCTAGGGCAAGACTGATCTGCCCACCCCTGAACGAGTTCATCCCCAGGATATGAACAGGAAAAGGATTGCGAATCAAATGGGCGATAGTCTGCAGGTCGGCGACTTGAGAACTTTTTAAGACAAAGCCATTGTGATCACTAAGCCTGTGAAAGATATTGCTGGACGAGATTCGCAGCCCAACGGTCACGGTAATGATGATCAGCAAGTGGCTGGTCCGCTAGAGGAACACGACAGTAAGTAACGATAATGAAGATGAGAGGAATAAACTGATAATAAGATGATAAGAATGATAACAATGAAATAAAGGATCAATATGCTCCGAATGCTTATGTTCATGGCTTGATGTGTGGAATAACATGGGTACTGCAGGATCAGGCTAGTCGACATCCACATTACGGGGATATGCACCTGTGCAGAGACTGGGAATCCAATTTGCAGCGATAATAAATATCCATGACTCGGTCTCGACCTCCAACAGGAGAAGTGTTGAGACACAGTGGAGCATTTATTCGTGGTTAGTGTTAGTGTTAGTGTTGGTGTTAGGGTTAGGTGAGCCCCGTCTTTGCCAAGGGGAGGGGATGCATTTCCCACAATGAGGATGAAGCTCGGGTAATTAGAGCACTGCACCGTGGCCATGATAGTTAATAGAGGATGATCTTATGCAAGTACGTAGTCGAGAATTTAGAGAATCTTAGTCTCTTTACCAGTTAATAGGTCTGGTCGCTGAAACAGCCACAGCAACACTAAACAGTCAGTGCCTTCTGACTGACACCATTATGCTTTTGCTGTATGCCATCGCCATAGTCATAATAATGCATATGCCATCTATGATCTCTGCAGATTCATCAATACACGTGCATAATCTAGTCTTAATCGATTACCCCTGTCGTTTTCTAGAAACCAAGGAAACTGCCGCTCAGGCCCTGACTCCTCTGGAGTAGTCGACAGGTATGAACTTAGGACTGATAGCCCTTGGCCACGCTTCAAACGGAAAAGCCTGTACCGACTTGCTGGACGTTTTATAGGCTATCTCCATACTCCACAGTTAGTCAGTAGACTACTGGTTAATGACTCGGACTCTGCAAAGCCATGGAAACGGCAAGTGGCAATGCACATCACTACGCTTAGTTCCGACTCTGCACGGAGTAGACTAACAAAAGCGGACTACGGGGGGAGAAAAACTAACGCTGGTAACTGCCAAGTGCCAAACGGTGAAGTTACTAACACTTTCTGGGACGCTAGGATGCCCCCAATCGAGGTTAAAAGTTCCAGAATAGGAGAGCAATTCTCCTATTCTGTTTCCCCTCGGTGGTTGGTGCTGGTGGGACTCAGTTGGAGTGGCCCTTGTCTCAGTCTATATGAATGGATGGATTCCTCCCTCCACTTGTCTCATCTCATCTCAACTGCAATAATATCAACATGCTTAAGCCAGCATGAGCACTACGAGAAAAGATGACCGCAGCCTCGAGGTCAAGGTCGTTGCGGCCGTCTTCGTGGCCATAGCCTCGGTAACCGTGATGCTGCGATGCTATGTCCGATTATTTGTCGTCAAGGCGTTTGGCTGGGATGATGGCGCCATGGTCATTGCCATGGTATTCCGTCCTTCTATCCTCATGACTGTCTTTCAAAGACTGACCCTGACATAGCTATGGTACTTCATGTTCTCCGGATGTATGATCGGGGGAGCCCTCTACGGCACCGGCAGGAGATTCGCTAATCTCACGGCCCATCAGCGCGTCACAGCCATGGAGGTATATTCCCCCTTCCCCTTCTTCATATCCTATGGACACAACTAATGGAAAACAAAAAAAAGTACTGGTGGCTCTGTGAAATTGCCTACTGCTGGGCCTCCGTCAGCTGCAAAGTCTCCGTCTGCATCTTCCTGCGCCGCATCACCGTCAAACGCCTCCACATCTGGATCCTCTACTGCGTCATCGCACTCACAGCCATCGCCGGGTTGGCGTTTATGCTCATCATGCTGCTGCAGTGCAAGCCCATCGAGTACTTCTGGACCCGTACCGCGCTCGACCCCTCCATCCCGGGCTCCTGCATCAGCATCCACATCGTCATCGCCATGACCTACGTCTACAGCGCGTTTGCGGCATTGTGTGATTTCACCGTGGGTATTCTGCCCATCTTCATGGTGCGCAAGCTGCATATGCGCCGGCAGACGAAGATTGCGGTTATCGGGATTTTGAGCATGGCTTGCATGTACGTTTCCTTACACCCCCTCCCCCCTGTTGACCAGCCCTGAGCGCAACGCCAGCTGACAATGAAATAACAGTGCCTCCTCCGCCGTGATCATCCGTATCCCCTGGGTTGGCACTTTTGCGGATCCAGACTTCCTCTGTAAGTTTCTCATTCCTTGCTATCGGATAAACGCTCGACTAACTGGTTGGATGTAGACGCCACCGTCGACATCGCGCTCTGGTCCAACATCGAAGTCGGCCTGGGTATTTCCGCCGGTAGTCTAGCGACCCTGCGCCCCCTGCTTCGCATGCTGCGCGGCACCAACACCACCGACGATTACATGTCCCCGATGCCCGGCCAGTCGTCTTCGCGCCGCCTCGGGCCGAGTCGTGATCGCCCCGTGCCGCTGGGATCGTTAGATACGGATGGTGGTGGCCGGTTCCGCCCGGATAAACTAGCCACGACGGTGACGACCGTGCATGCGCCGGATAGTCCGTGGAGGGGATCGAACGAGAACAGCAGTGAGGAGCGGTTGAATTCCGAGGGGCCGGTGGCAGACGGCGGAGACATGGGACTGGGCATCCACCGCACGTTTGAGGTGACGCAGACCTCCGAGGCCAAGTCGGCCAGCGTAAGAGAACATGTATAGTAATAATGTATTTATGATGAAGTTCATTTGTTCATTATTTTAATTCGGCCCTCAGATGCTATATATAGACATAATACGCAAACAGGCTACCTAGCTACAGATGCAAGAAACCATTGACCACCTCTGTAAAAGCCTGCGGCTGCTCCACCATCGGCAGATGACCCGCCTTGGGGATGATCTTCAAATCCGCTCCTCCCTTGAGGTCAGCCGCCATCTTCTGCATCGTCTGCGGCAGCACGCCGTCGCCGTCGCCCGCCACAAACAGGCCCGGCACGCGCGCACTTGCCATCCGCTCCCGGACGTCGTACGCGCACAACGCCTGCATGCCCTTGTGGAATCCCTCCAGGCTGTTCAAGCGCACCACCTCCTTGACCCGCGCCGGCACCTCCGGCTGCGTCTCGTACGTCTCGGGTACGAACCACCGCCGCGTGGTCGCCTCCGCCAGTTTTTCGCCGATAATGGGCTCCTGTGTGTCAGGCGACACGGCTCCTTCGCTGGCGGCCATCGCGTGCCGGTCCGTCCACGCCTTGCGATTCGATTCCGGCGCGGAGCTGTTGGTGTCGCAGGCGATGAACCGCGTCACGCGCGAGGGGTACAGCAGCGCCGTGTTCAGCACGGTTACGCCGCCCAGGCTGACCCCGATGAGCGTGGCCTGCGGGATGCGGAGCGCGTCCAGTAGAGCGATGATGTCCGAGGCCAGGACGTCGATGGTGATGGGTGTCTCGCCGCATTCACGGAGGCGGCCGCGCGTCAGGTAGCGTAGGATTCGGTAGTTTTGGTTCTTCGGATTGGACAGGAAAGCGTCAACAAAGCCGTCCCAAATGCTCCAGTCAACCAGGATGGAGTTGCTCAGGACAATGACCGGGGCGGTGGGGTCCGTGCTGCCCTCGAGCCGATACGGCAGTGAGACGCCGTCCTTGGTTGTCACGTAGGACTCCACTGCAGGGCGCGTTGGCGAGGGATACGTCCGGGTGCGGTTGTCATTGGAGTGCCACGACCCGACGACGTCCTTGGAGGCAAGGGAGGCGAGCTCGCGCGGGGCTGGTCCAAAGGTGTAGGCCCACTCGTAGACCCGGCGCTTTTTGCTGATGGCGATCTCGCTGATCCGCTTGCCCCAGGGGGTGCTCTTCGCGGCATTGTGCTCGGGGCCTTCGAGTCCGTTCTCTGCCGCGTACTCGTACAACGAAAGGAACTCGCGAGGGGCGTTGGGGTCGATGGCCGCTGTCACAAAGCGGCGAGAACGACGCCAGCCAGGCACGCGGGAGAGCATCTCAAAGTGCTCCTCGCGGTACCAGCGGTTGAGCTCGTCTTCCTGGTCGGCGGGGACGACAACGGACACGGCAATGAGCACAGAGCCAGCGGAGGCGGCGTCGGTTTCGTCCTCGAGAGGACGGTAGTCGGGGCTTTGTGATCGTCCAACAGGTCGTAGAGTCGGCGATCGACGGCAATTTGAGCCATGGTGGCTTTCTCGCGTGGGGTCTTGATGCCGTCGCCTCGGAGCGCCAGGTACGTCTCGCGAGTCAGCTCCACCATGTCGGTGATATCGTACAGAGCAACCCATTCAGGCTCGAGGCCATCGGTGGCTCTGTATCTGAAGCCATTGGTGACAAAGGGCAAGCGTACACGCAACGGACCGTGTTCTGTGTTGTACCAGTCGTGGAACTGGGCCGCGGGGAGAGACGAGCGGGGATGCATTGTGACGTAGAGCATGCCGGGGGTCGCCATGGTGTGTTCTGTGGAATAAGTCAACAACCAATGAGTGATTGTATGGTGAAGAAACAAAGCAATACAAGTGTTGAATAGGATCAAGGATGTTTATTTGGCAGGAATGAGACTCACAGCACAGTCGTAGTATTCTACCCCAGACCCCCTCGGAAAGCACTCGACGCCGATCTCGACTGCCGACCGGAGACCCGGTCTCTGACAATGCCGCTGATGTTAGTCATCTCATGCCATCTTTATCAATACTGCCCTCATTCATTATAGCGAAAATTAAAATGAGTGAATTTGCATCATTCTCAGTCTGTGATGGATGCGATGATGAGTAGATGAAGATTGGGGTTCTCCTGACAAGGAAGAAGATGAATGACCCGGCCACGTGACTCGCATCATCACCACCGTTACGCTGTTGTTCGACTGAGTTGGTAGAGATACAGCACATTAGGTCTTTACTAGTTGAATAATCCTCTCTATATTGAATTCTATATCTCATTAATCATACCAAACGGCATTCATCCCGAATCCCTTCTCGGGAATATCCAGCCTAGCCACCCGGGCCAGCGTCTCGTCCTTGAAGCGATATATCTCCACGAACCCGTCCTGGTCATCACACAGCGCCAACCACTCATCGCTAAAATCACAGGGACTGACTGCATTGGAGTGACCACCGCTGTTGGACGTGGGATGGATGAACAGCTGTCGTTCAACATTACCATGAGGACCCAGCTTGAAGGCCGTGATATACCCGGTCCAGGGGCGCCCGTAGGTTCCGCGGGTAGTCGCAAACAGGTACTCGCCGCTGTGCGTGGTGAAGCAGACATCACCGCGGTATTTATTCGTGGGAGGGACGCCTGTTCATCATTAGTATCGACGGGAACGATAAGTCACGGACATAAGACACTTACCCGCAGGGAGCAATGGGTAGGTGATGTGCGTAAAGACAGGCACATTGCGCTTCTCATCAATCACATACACGGCCAGACGGTTACCCGCCTCCATCAGCGCGTACAGATACTTGCCGCTGGGGTGGATATCGACCCAACGAGGGTGGTCATCCGGCGACGGGGCCTCGAGACAGTCGACGAGGGTCAGCTCGCCGGTCTGAGCGTCCTTGCGATGGGTCCAGATCTTGTTGGCCTGCAGATCGGCCGAGTAGAGGTAGGTTTCGGTGGGGTCAAAGACCATGCCGTGGATGCCTGTGTTCTCCTGGTACTCGTAGTTCTGGACATTCTTGACCAGACGGCCGTCGGAGGGGTCGACGGAGAAGACATTACCATAGCCCGCGTAGTTGTAAAAGGGCGCGCCGTAGACGTTATAAGGGGGTTTGTGCGCGGCAAGGACAAAGATGGCGCGGGTGTTGCTTTCGCTACTGGGGGCCTGAGCTGCAGATCAGATCAGATCAGATCAGCAACAGCGCAAACAGCGCAAATATGGACCAGTGGCATACGGTGACCAGCAAGAGGATGGGAGACTTGGTGTACAATGTCTGTTGGGCTGTTGATGGTGAAGCTGTTCCATTTTTTCATGGCAGCTCCGTAGAGGGTTTTCTTGTCATGCTGGACAAACATTAGTGAATGCCAACTGCAACTGAAGGGCTGGGATACACACAGAAATGGTCAGCCATGAGATCGGCTCATCCTCTGGAATCTCTGTTTTCTTGACCAATTCCAAGGTCAAAGCCTCGTCGTCGAATGCGACGGTGTACAGCCGACCCGGGGGAGTCCACGTGCCTATCACCAAGTGATGCTTCATGTTTGAACAGAGGCAAGATCAATTGATCACAAAAGTAACAATAGTTCATAAATTTTTCAATTACATTGAGATGATAATTTCTCTCCATACTTCAGAATGCGGGGAAACGGCATTGAGTGACGGCATTGCAGATTGAGGAAGAAACAATACCCGCGGCTAAACTCAATTCCACCACATCCATCGTCTTACCCCAGATATATTCATAGTTCATCTCAACAACACAACACACATTCAACTCGATACTCTTTCCAACGCCATTACAATACAAATCTTCAGACTGCACCATGCGCCTCCCCTACGCTCCCTCCACCCCACCCCCGACGCCGACCCCTCCACCACCGAAATCTACGCCCGCATCGCCGCCCGCAGACACCCCCGCCCACTCATCCCCCTCGATCTCTCCCTGCTACACTCCCCCCAGTCGCCGACGGCTGGAACAGCTTCCTCGGCGCCATCCGCACGCGCACAGTTCTCCCCGGTGCGCTCCTCGAGCTATCCGTCTGCCGCGTGGCGGTCCTCAACGGCGCCGTGTATGAGTGGAACGCGCACGCGCCGCTTGCGTTGAAGGACGGGGTGAGCGCCGACGAGCTGCGGGCGGTACGGGAGGTGGAGGCGACGATTACGGACCGTGGGAAAGAAGCGCTGGGGCGGAGTGTGCTGAGTGAGGTGCAGAAGGCGGTGGTGCGGTATACGGATGAGATGACGCTGCGGGTGAGGGTTGAGGAGGAGACGTTTGAGGACTTACGGAGAGCTGGGCTGAATGAGAGGGAGATTGTCGAGTTGACGACCGGGGTGGCGGCTTATAACTGTGTAGGTCGGGTGTTGGTTGCGTTGGATGTGGGGGAGAATAATGGGAGGGAGATGAAGAGTGTGGAGGAGTTGGTATCCCCTTGAAGTATATAGAATTTAGAATTTCAATGGTAGTTCATTTTTAAAGTGGCAGATGGCTATGTGCTATGGAACTTTACAGGCATTGAGAGTACCAATCGTTCACCTTCTGGCAGGTATATGGGCTGGCGCAGGCTGTTGGACCCTTCCATCCATTTCCTCCGCACTGCCCCCAGTGCTGTGCGACTCCGGTGCCGCCAGGGTTACCAGCCGTGGTAGTGGTCGTAGTCGGCTTGGTGGTAGTGGTCGTCGTCGTGGTGGTAGGTGGGGGGTTACCACCCGAACCACCGACGAAATACGGCTTCAACAGCGAGAGATAGTTCTGATAGCCAGTGCCAGACGGCGGCTCCATGCTGAACATGTAATCAGCCCACCAGGGACCAGCGGCCCACCATGCAGCGCCCATCCACACATCCGAGTTGGCAGACAAGTAGTCAAGCATGCCTGTGACAGCGGACTGGCACACGCTGTTGGGGCCTCCAGCGAACTCGCCTATGATACCTTTCTTACCATTGGTCTTCAGCCACTGCGTGGCGGACTGCACGCGTTCCTGGCCGATGGTGGAGCTCACGCAGGTGGCCGAGGTGCCAGACCCGTCGGAGTCGAGATACTGGTGCATCTCGTAGACGATCTTGTCCTGGGGATCGGTGAGGGCCTTGAGGTTGTCATTGACGGTGGTCCAGGTCCACGCGCCGGACCACGAGTTGCCCTCGACGAAAATGTACTGCGAGGTGGCGCCGGCAGCACGGATGGCATTGATGGCGGCCTGGTTGAGGTTGAGAACGAGGGTCTGGTCCATTTCATGGTACTCGTTGTCTATCTGGGTCAGCTTGTTCCTTCATTTCAAAACCTGATGGAGACGTACTGGTGTCAAAAATAACATGGTCATTGGACGCAAACTGGGCAGCAACAGTCTTCCAGAACGCAGCAAAGTCATCAGTCGACGAGATGATATTGCCGTAGCTGTCCCGTCCCGTCAGCGCCGCCTAAAAATTCAGTTGACACAAAACTCACTATCTCCCATAGTTATGCGGATCAATCACCGCATACGCCCCCAGACTCGTAATCGCATTGACAGTCTATCCTCGTCAGCAACCCTTCGCACAACGCAGACCGCATACGAACCGCCTTGAGATCATTCATGTACGTCGCATCCGGAGTCCCCGTCATCTTGGTCGGAATCAGCCTCTCCATGCGGAAGGCAACACGGAAGAGGTTCATCCCAGCATCATGCAGAGTCTTGATCGTCGACGCACTGGGCCAGATATAATCCGTCCCCAGCACGCCCGGGAGCTTTGTCTCTCCAAACTCGGCGCCAGACTCGTTACTTCCGAGCCCTATCTCACCGTCAACTTCTGCGACAAAGAGAGAGAGAGAGAGAGGGAAACATACAAACAAACCCAGAAGCCCGCTTCGCATTCGGCGCCGCCAATGCAAGTGGGAGAAGCGCGCAGATAATAGTCGAAGCCTTCATCTTGCACTTGTTATCCAGCGTATACTTACCAGCTATACACTGAAGACAAGTACAGTTTGACAATGAAGGTATATATACTCATCGCTGCCAAACAACAAGACATCACGACGGCCTTTCGGACCGCACCCCGACACTTTCTGCATGCCTGCATGTCTGCAAGACAATACCATCCCAAACCGGAACGGAGCCAGCCAGGCCTGCCTGACCGATTCGTCACGGTACTTGAGGGTGTAATCTCCGGGGATAGATTGCATGGCGTCTACCCTGCAGGCGGCGACGCCCAAATCGGTGACGGCCTGTTCTGCAGGAAACAGATACAGCCACGTACGAAAGTGGCCGAATGGATACTACACCGACTTCTCTGCAGGTAGTGGGCTCTGCAAGTAGTCTGCTGTCGAGCTGACTGATTGTCAGGATGATCCGGCCTATTCCGGATCGCTAGGCACCAGTAAGTGAGGGCCAGGGACTTTAGTGATCAGTTCCGTACTAGAAAGGGCAATATTCTTTCGCGTATATTAATGAGCAGATTAAAAAAATAGTAAATTACATTAGTCGACTTCCTTACAATGCACATGCAAATCGCCGATTTCGGTAGTATTATTAGGCTAATATTCGCGTGATACGATACGACACAAATCAATCTGCGGGGGTGGCTGACCTCCTATTTCGCGGAGAATAGCTTGATTTGCCTGAATTTTGACTTAATGTAGTGTCTTGAGTGAATGAGTGATATCCACGAGGCGAGCAAATGCCCAAGTACTGGGCTCTTAAGGGATCCCTGCATGTCAATGTCACCCTGCACCCCAGAAACCGGCAAGTGACCCCGGAGAAAAGGATATGCAGGCGCAGGGGGATAACAGGATGCCTTGCAGCAGATGACTCCTCACAGGCTAAATCAAGCAGGTTAGTACTAGCCAGGGCCAAGACTTGCATTAAGTTCTTCAGGTATTGGCCAATCAGCTTGAGGAAATATAGACTTGTTCAGACAGTGCGTATTAAGGGTGCTGCTCGATGCCTCTGTCTGTAAAAGGGAATACAAGGAAGAATCAATGGAGGTAAAATAATTGCATTGAATTCAATTCAAACTAGCACCTAAATAGTAAAACATTTTCCTTCAAAGCCGTCAACGTCAATCCAGCTCCCCGGCTATCTTGTGCAGCAGGAGGGCCACTATCTACAGGCACTGAGAGTACCAGTCGTTCACCTTCTGGCATGTATAAGGGCTGGCGCAGGTAGTAGGGCCCTGCCATCCATTTCCTCCGCACTGACCATAGTGCTGAGCGACGCCGGTGCCACCAGGGCTACCAGCAGTGGTAGTGGTCGTAGTCGGCTTCGCGGTGGTGGTGGTTCCGCCGCCGGGGTTCGAGCCGCCGCTGTTGAAGGTAGAACCGATGGGGCCGACCTTGATGTTGGAGTAGACGACTGAGGCGTCGGGGTGGTTAGCCTCGACATCCGAGGGGGCGCCAGAGGAGATGTCGCAGGTACCACGGGCGACACCGGGGTGGTGGAGGAGGCAGTGGTCGGGTAGTTGCTGTCGAGCCAGAGCATGTTGGCCGAGTGGTCATCCCACAGGGACATGACAAGGACCATGCCCTGGGCGAGCGCAGCGCCCATACCCTCCAGGCCACCGTGCTTGGCGAAGACGTTTGTGTCCTTGAACAGGCTCTTCTGGGCGGTGCAGTAGTCGTTGGTGATGGAGTTGCCGCCGACGCCGGACCAGGTCGACTGGGAGTTGGGGATCACCTTGCCGTTCTGCACGTAGAAGCGCTTGATCTCCTTGAGGGTGCCGCTGGCGGTGCCATCGTTGGTGATGAACTGGGTGACGACGGTGAACTTGCTCTTGGTGTCGACGGTCATGCCGGGGCCGTAGAAGGTCTTGTTGCCCTGGCGGAAGGAGTTGAAATCACATCCGTCCGGGTCGCAGGTGCCGCCGTAGCGGTCGGCGCTGTAGGTGCCACCGCAGGCGTCGCCGGTGCACATCACCTGGCCGGGGGTGTCGCAGGGGTGAGGAGTGAAGGCCGTGGAGATGCTGTTGGCCTCCCAGATATCCATCTCCGCGCAGCAGGAGCCGTGGTTGCCAGTACCCGCATTGGCGTCATTGGAGGACGGTTGCCATCCATCAACGTTGGCCTGACCGTTGATGAACTTGAGGTCGCGAGGGCACTGAGAGTCACAGTAACCAGTACCGTACTTGGCACCGGCCTTGTTGGTTGGGTATTTGGACATTCCACCGTCGGCGTCCATGGCGACAAAGTACAGGGCGCCGTTGAGGCCGCAGGGGAGGTTGGAGACATCGACATCAAAGGTGAACTCCTGGTTCAGCAGCTTAAACATCTCGTAGCTGGAGTCGTCCTTCATCATGTACAGACGCGAGCCAATGTTCTTCTGCTGGCTGGTGGTGACGAAGTTGAGGCGCAGGGAGTTGCCACTGGCAGTCACACCATAGGTGGACTGGTAGTTGGCACCCTCGAGGGCGCAGTTGGTTGCACACGTCGCATCGTCAGGGCAGATGGTCTTGTCCCAGGTGTTGCCGGTGTAGCAGTTGGTGTAGTCGCCGACTTTGTGCACCCAACGCCAGTTGGCGTCGATGACCACCTTGCCGTTGTTGGTGGTGCAGCTGCCGCCAGCAGTGCAGCTCTGCCAGGTCATGGAGGGATGCACTTCCGCCTGGGAAGTACCGACCTGCTGAGCCTGACCAGAGCCCAGAATGGCGGCCAGGACGAGCGCGGTCTTGTACATGCGGTAGGAGAAGGTAGAGGCCAGCATGGTGATGATGATTGTTCAAAGGATTGACTGGATTGACTGGTTGAGGGAGTGATGAGGAAGAGAATGAGACTTCTGTGAAGAGGGATAGACCTGCTTTTATGTCTTATGAGCGTTCACGAGTTGAGGAGATTCACCATGCTCTTCTGCTAAGGACCAAGTCCGTATCGTCGCCGCATTCTGCTCAACGTCGTCGTCGACGGCTTTGCGGACCGCATGCCGTTGTATCGCCCCATGGGGAAGGGTTGATTCCCCGCGTGAAGAGATGAAGAAAATTACAGAGTTCAGTCAACTAGTGCTAGCGAGATGAGATGTGATTGATGCCCTTTAGCCTCCGGTACCTCGACTAGGAGCTAGTCGGCGCAGTGCCTTGACCGATCAGGAATCGGCTAAATAGCCGTCAGGTCAGCGGTTATGCAGTATCCTAGTAGACAACACTAGCCCGAACCCTTTTACTCCTTACTACGTCGTATTACCTCTCTGCAGAATCTTAGGGGTTCTCTTTCCAGATTCGGCCCGTTAGGCCGCCGCTTTTTGGACAAGCATCAACTGTCTGATTCGTGGACATGTGTGCTCGGTGCGTGTCCTGAGCCATCTGGAAGTAACTCTGGAGCAGCCAAAGCATAAGCATCATTTCTCCTCTAGTAATAAGTCTAATAAACTGTGTAGCCAAGCCAGACGGTTCCACCAAGTGACCTGTATTCATAGTCGCATATCGGTAATTCTCCTGGTCTTCCCTGTCTTCACCATTTGATAATTAACCAAAGCTTCATACAACTGAATGGCCAGCGGATCTAGCCTCTGATACTAGTATTTGATATGAAGCCTTTAGTCCAATCAACTCTCAACTGCCCTATACAGGCATGCTATAAAGGAGTGACGCTCTGTTTTGATATGTACCCCTTGCCTTCGGTATCCACAAACTCCTCTCTCAGACAATACATCGCGTCCAAGTAAAATGCTCACATTAGGTCTGGAGATCGCCTGGAACAATCAACTTCTCGTCAAACTAATCGGAGAGTACAGCAGCTAGTCTGCCCGATGCGGCATACTTTGTAAAGGGCCTACTTCAGGCGTTTTTTCCCTCTAGCTAGGATCTTGCAGCCTTGCTGTTCGTGGATCCGTTCACCCTGGGAACTGTTGCAGGGATTTAGCATCGCACTTATGTATGAGCTATTGCGCTATTCGTTCAGGCATGTCTAGCTCTAACCGAAGATCAGTATCAACAGCTGGTCCCAAATGCAGCAAACAGCATGAATTGGAGCTCATTGAGAACTCATAGAATGACACATCATATACAAAGTCTCACTCTGCATGATCAATCGTCTTGGGTTATGCCTTTCCCTAATATGTTCCAACCACGATGTGGTCCGTTTCGCTCAGTCTTACAGCACTTATCTGACGGTGTATTTACCCACTGAATTGAAATGGAACGAGGTATCACAATCAAATGTAGACCGGAATGACCTTTGTCAAATTAGGGGAATGATGTAGTTGCAGGAGAGGATCCCCAAACAGAGAATCGATTCTGTGTTATGGGTACATTATAAACAGGCGAGATACAAAAGTAGACCCCAGGAGATTTAGTGCGTGTTCTGACCATCAATTGACGTGTCCAGACCATCAGGAGTAATCCCGGACTAGTGCTCTAAGCTCCTTGAAAGCGGCGGGCGGTTCCAATGCAGTATCGCTTGATGTGACGCTGACTGCAGGCCATCCTCGTTGTTTCCTCGGCATTTGGGCGGCTGATCCCTTTTTAATTAATTAACTAACTGCACTACGCCACAGATCCTGCAATCATATCGTGGCCAGATATTAATTATTCTCTAACTTGGAAGTCGCTAAGTATTTTCCTCCTATCCTCCGAATGATTTCTGCCCAAATGAAGAATGCCGAATAGCCCTTCTGTTTCCTAATCGGGAGGCTCCGGTCACTTTACTGCCCTTACACATGCCCATACCACATGTTTCCAATCTGCCATATTCCCTCTCTATTAATCTATATCCGTCTTCTGACCATAGGTATAGGGCTTGCATCTGATGATATTGTCATAATCAGTCACCATTGTCCAGTGTCCGATAGTATCCGCACTATACATTGTTTCATCAACCAGTCCAGGAGGATCTCAGTCTCCGCGAGCGGCCAGCAACAAGTCCATTTTGACCTGCCTTAGCGTCGAGGTAGTGAGATTAAACCTGGGCTCATCTGACCTGCCATTTCTCCTGGTCCTTCAACCACTTACTCCGCAGTCCGGCCCCGCTAACTTACTGCCAGTACGTATCCTAAGCGCCAACTTCTATATTGCTTGTGCACTAAGTCTCCTGACTCACGGAGTAAATGGCACTTTTTCCACCCTCAAGTTTTTCCTTCAATCGGCCTGTTTCCTGCTCAACAAACAAGACCGTCTGTTAACTCGCGCATTCATCAATGACCGAAACCCGAGGTATCCCCGCTCGTCCAACAGACACCAATGTCTGCAGTAGTATGTAGCAATCTGGACAGGGAGTATGTACATTGGAACCCCCGCAGTGGCAAGAGCAAGCCGGAAATGAAGCTCAATCGACCTGTTTCAGGAGGTCAGAATAGGTATAGTCAATACGAGAGGGGTAACTTGCTAATGGACCTTAGTGAACTTTAGCAGCCAAACACAAGCTCCGGATTTGAGATCCTTCAAGGGTGCCTTTGGCATTGACATGGTGCTACCGCCTGAATTGTCGGCTCTTGCAACCTAAATCCCGAAAGGTACTCTGGCGTATCTGGTCGTCCAGGAACGGGGTGTGTGTGCTTCGGTGAGAAGTCTAGGTATGGTTGAATCCTCACTGTTGACGCTGGAGACTCGGACTTAGAGCCCGTCGACCCTGCATGTGGCTCCTTACAGTATTGTGGTCTGAAGATGCGGGGATCGCTTAGGCTGAGATTGCTTGATCTGAACCATTTGGACAAGACGGAGGCTCCGACCGAATCTGCCGAATTGGGAAATACCCTTAGAACGGGGAATTTTCCCTTTACTGCTTGTGAATGATCCTTGTTATTTGCCTATGGAATAAGTCATTTCAATCCTTGTGATAAACCTAATCTTTGTCATGTTTAGCTAGACTAGAGTGAAGACGCCGCATGGGTCTCAGGACTGAGCAAGATATTTACAGATAAACAGTCTACATCTCATGGAGGGCTACTGTCTTTAATATAACCTTCTACTCATTCTGCTGCGCTTGAAACAATCAAGGCGCCAAGTTGCTCAAAATAATAAGAAAAGAAGTTTTGAACCTTTTCTGCGAAGTATACACTTGCTGTGCTCAAGGATGAGAATCAATGTATATATATATATATATGATTGACATGGTATTCCTTATCGGTAGATACGCCAGTGGAATTTAGCACCCTCTACCTCTCTTATATATTTCAGTCTTCATGGCAGATCACCATAGACTTCTTGTACACTACTCTTATAAGCATATGATCAACAACAGCTATCTCCACTGCTGATACTGGTCATGAAGATGCTCAATCCGGAAATGATAGCCAGCCCAACCCTAATCTTATCGATCAGCCCCACCTTAGTCAGCGCCGAAAACGGCCGCGGGTTTTCTTCCCTTTTTGTTGCTAAATTCCCACATCGACCCGGATCAGCCCATCTCCTTGCTGTCATCTACCGTCCATTGTCTTTTGGGTTCGACTCATTCAACACTCCCCCTCGATTCAACATCATGGACAGCTTCATCCTCACCCTCTCCTGCCCGGACCGCCCCGGCATCGTCCATGCCGTGACCGCCTTCCTGGTAGCCCGCAACCTCAACATCGTTGACTCATCGCAATTCGGCGATCCGACCTCGAAGCGCTTCTTCATGCGCATGCACTTCGCCGCCTCCGCCTCCGCTACTGAGGCCACAGACGAGCACCCCAAGCTGACCGTCGAGGAATTGCGCGCCGCCTTCGAACCAACCGCCAAGTCCCTGTCCATGGACTTTGCGATCCACCCCGCCGCCCAGAAGCCCCGCGTGCTCATCATGGTCTCCAAGATCGGCCACTGCCTCAACGACCTGCTCTTCCGGCAATCCACCGGCCAGCTCGCCATCGAGGTGCCACTCATCGTCTCCAACCACCCTGATTTCGCGCCCCTCGCCGCAACCTACAACGTGCCATTCGTGCACCTGCCCGTCACCCCGGACACAAAGCAGCAGCAGGAGACGCGCGTGCTGGAGCTGGTGCGCGAACACCAGATCGACCTGGTCGTGCTGGCACGGTACATGCAGGTACTGTCGCCGATGCTGTGCGAGGCCATGTCCGGGCGCATCATCAACATCCACCACAGCTTCCTGCCGAGTTTCAAGGGCGCGAAGCCCTACCACCAGGCGTATGACCGGGGTGTCAAGATCATTGGCGCCACCGCGCACTTTGTGACGAGTGATTTGGACGAGGGGCCGATCATCGAGCAGAATGTGGTGCGAGTGAACCATGCGCTGAGCCCCAAGGAGTTGACGCATGCGGGCAGCAATGTCGAGAGTAATGTGCTGGCGACGGCGGTCAAGTATGTGACCGAGCGGAGGGTTTTGCTTAATGGGCACAAGACGGTTGTTTTTGCTTAGACGTTCTTGCATTCTTCTGTCTGCATAGTCGGCGGATTGCCAGGTAGCACTAAAAAGTCTCAAATAGGGGTATACAGGATCTAGACTCATTCAGTGGCGAGTACAATACAGTGCGTTCAGATATACTATTTCAGTGAAGGAGCATCCTCGTACCCTACCAATGCTGCAAATGGCGCGAGTGATTGGCTCGAGAGGAAGAGAGGATATATCGACGTCGAAGAGAAGTGTGAAAGTAATGGGTTGTGTTGCTAGGGGTATATTGATATGGGATGATGGGATACTCAATGAGGCTTGAATTATACAATAATAAGTATTAATCGGATTTCTCTCTTTTCAAAGGTTCTGTAGATGAAGGAAAACAGTTAATGCACTGATGGGTATCTGTCTAGATAATCATCAGGAAACCTGTCACTCCAAAATTGCCATCTCCCATTGCTTCTTTGCCGTCTGAAACAGACCCTCATCTGTCAACATCTCCCATCCGATCATTGCTAGAGACTTGCCCACAATGATTGCATCCCCATGCGCAGTATCTGTCCCAGCAGCAGTAGCAAACGAAGAATGGTGAAGGAATAAGCCTTGCTGGTCCGCGATGGCGAACATGGCATGCAATGTTGGAACTAGATAGCTCACGTTTCCTATAGAAGTCAGCTTCAGTCTTTGCTGGGGGACCAGGACATACCGATATCTGACGACCCTGTCAAGACCTTGTCGTGGCTTTTGGTAATCTTCCGTCCATAACGAGCCATGTGAGTCTGGTATCGTCCGCAGAGCGTGTCATTGATCTTGATATCAGTATACAGTTGATCCCTGCATAAATCAGCACTTTAGCACTCTCAAAAAGACACTAGAGACATACTCAACAGTATCGACGCGACAACCCGACGATAACGCCCCCGCCTGGATGCAATTCCTAACTCTCCCCATCAACCGATCCAACCCCTTCAGCGTCGGGCTGCGCACCTGCCAGTACGCCTTGGTCCGCTCCGGAATGACATTGGCCACAGTGGGCGTCTCCGTGAACGCGACATGCACCCTCTCATCAGGCTGCATCTGCTGCCTCAATACAGAGACGTTGTTGTACGCACTAACCAGAGCATCCAGCGCATTGATCCCGTCCCAGGGGTTACCGCCAGCATGCGCCGACTTGCCAGTGAACTCGCAGTGGATCTCCTTGCGGGCGTTCATGAGCACACCGGCGATACCGTCCGAGTCGACCCCGGAGAAGAGCTTCTTGGGTCCAGCATGGCTACATTGTCAGTTATTGGAACCCAGGGAAAGGGAAAAAAGAGGCTTACGCCATCAGCGAGATATCGACACCCTTGTACGCCCCATTATCAATCAACTTTGTCTTCCCGCCGCCGTTCTCCTCGGCCGGTGTCCCAAGTAACTGCGTCCGTCCAGGAATGCCATACTTCTTCAGCAGCGCCGACAGTGCCAGGAATGCCGCCACGCTGCTCGTGGTAATGAGGTTGTGCCCGCAGGCATGCCCGATCCCAGGAAGAGCATCGTACTCCGCGTTGAAGTTGATCAGCCGGCCGCCGGAGCCGCTGGTGGCTTCGAAGGAGGTGTCGAGCCCATAGGCGTGGCGGGTGACGGTGCAGCCTTGGGCTTCGAGAAAGGCGCAGATGATCTCGTGGGCTTTGTGCTCTTGGTATGCTGTTTCAGGGTTTGACCATATCTGTATTGATTCGGTCAGTTAACTGATGTAGGTCAAGTAGTGACAGGAATATACCTCTCGGTTGAGTTCTCGCAAGGGGGACTGGAGGCTGTCTAGGGTTGCGTCGATGGACGATTTGATATCATCAATGCTGGGTGTGGGGATTGCCATAATGTCTTCCTTGATTGTCAGTAGGGAGGGTATAACTGTTGTGTCAATAACAGGATGACTGTGCTTTCTTATACCCGGCAAAGACCGCGGTCACTCCACCACGCATCCATGCAGATCAAACAGCTCCTGTCTCTTGGGAAGGAAGCAGGAATTCGATTATGTACGTCGGCTTATCAATGCGGGGTAAGCGTTGGAGCAATAATTGGAGTCCAATTGCCGTCGCAAGTCACTGTCGATCTCTTCGATATGCTCGGCAGAATGAATCCACAGGCGAGAGTGGTACACATGGGGTAGCACTCGGGTTTCATTCGTATGCCGTTGACCAATTCCATCATTCGAAATCCATACAATACTAAGCGACTCTAGAGTTACGCTTTGCCGAGCTAGCTTCTCCCCGGCCATATCCACCTATATCTTGCTAGAATGAAAGCGTATCAGGATGTTGTCCCAAGTTTTCCTATCTTCAGGTGACTATCCCTATCAATCGTCTATCTTTCTTACTTTGGTTCAGCACTGCATATCAATCTGTCTCCGTTGTGCTCTCATCGCACTCAACACCAATCCCGGTAACTAAGGGAATCTCTCCTAGACCAATAGTCATCTGGCTCCCAATAGGTGAAGAGCGGATTTTCTTCCTGCCTCCGCAGTCCCGAAACTTGTGGCATTAATCAGGACTGCCATCCGCTTGGACACACGGCTACAACCTTTCTCTATTGCTGAATGGTGTTTATGTTCATGTTGTTTGTTGCATACTGCGTGGAAATTATCTTTGGAACCAAGATTTTGCCATGAGTGAAGAGCCGTCGTATCCAGTCGTCCTCTGCCTGTGTTAACGGGTCAGATCGGTATAGACCAGAATAGAAGCGGCGGTCTCGGGCTCGCACTGCGAGCATTCTTGCTTTGCCTACTTGTCCATTATGTGTTGAGAACTGGCAGAGAGACGCGGTTAACGGCTCAGTAACGGAGTTGGCTAAAGCCCAAGGGTTGGCGCCAACAAGACGGGACCTGGAGTTTGAGAGCTTTCGACACGTTTTGCGGTTGCTCATAGACCCTCATAGGCCATACACACAATGAATGGATAATCACTGCCTCCGTTTATACCGCACCCCATGCGACACAAGCAGGTACTTCGAGAACAGATCCTCGGCGAAATCATCAAACGGCTCATACGCAGCCCCAAGACGATACGCAGCTGCTAGACCGGAGATGCACGCAATCTCATGCATATTCTGCAACGCCGTCAGCCAGCCCATCACACCAAAAGGGAAAAACCTACCACCATAGTCCAAGCCCCGCATACGTCGTCCGATTCCTCCCATTAATGAACATCATCCCCGGGACTACCCGCAGATAATGCTGCCACAGATGCCCAAACTGCCGCCACCACTTCTTCGAAATGATCTTGTCGGGATCAACACTCTTCCACGTCCACAGGTGCTTCTGCTGATCATTCAGGTAGATGGTCTGGTAGACATGCCTCTCCGGCTCTAGCGGGGTATTCCCCTCCCCGACACGTTCCCTGAACTGATGCTGGTAATTCGAGCAGTCAAACCCCATCTCGATGCACTGCGGCGCGTTGGCAAACGAGTGCGTAAAGTACATCGGCGCGTAGCCTTCCCATCCGTCCCCCGTGCACGTGGGCCGCTGTTTCGCGAACGCGATCTGCTCCTGTTGTTTAGTAGCTGAGGCACCCTTAGCGCACAGATCGGACTTGTACCGCGTCTCGAAGATGCTGTTGAAATACTCGCTGTCCGAATGTGTGATGGTGATGTCGTTGTAGAAGGCCACGCCACCGAGGACGTACCGCTCGCGCCAGGTGGCGTGTTTGCCCAGCAGGGTCTTGGCCTCATCGGCGGGAAGCGAGAGGACGAGTTCGTCGTACGTCTCGCGGAAGTTGTCTAGGACGGCTTCCGCGGTTGCGCTGTCCGGACGGGTGGGTCGTGGACGGAGCGTGATGCCGTGGTTGTCTCGTTGCAGGATCTCGACTGTTGTGTTAAGACGGATGTCCACACCTTTGGACGCGAGGTCTGCGGCCCAGTCGCGGTAGAAGTCGCCTAGGTTAGGGAATGTGTACATGGTCGGTTGATTGGGGAGGAGCGTATCGGGGTCGTACTCCCATAGTCTCATATTGGGATCATCAAACAGTCTCTCCAAGAGTGCGGCCGAAACGTTCGGTGTCTGGTTCCCCGTTCCCAGGAAGAGAGCCAAAACCGGGATAACCATCTTATCCGCAAAGTCCTCGCTGAACCGGAACAGCTTCATTATCACCTTGACGGGCATGAGCCCCAGGATCGGAAGCAAACGCTTAATCCACTCGAGGACGCGGCCCAACTTCTTGATCTCGTCGGACAGCTGGTCAACCAGCGGCGAGGGAAAGACGTTCGTGAAGAAGTTCTCCACGCCCTTGCCGAACGCGACTTGCAGTTTCACCGGACGAGGCTCGTAGCCGTACCGCCGGAAGAAGTTGAAGGTGTGTCGGAAGATCGGGGAGCCACCTTGCACGCCGTCGTTGAGCCACTCGGCGCCGTAGCGGGCTTCATCGAGGGAAATGGACGTTGCTTGGCCGCCGCTGTATGATGCTATGTCAAAGAGGGTCACGTCGAAGCGATCGGGATGGTTGGCCAGAGCAGAGGCGCACGACTGTTCATTCAACTGTTCAACTGGTGTCGGAACAGATCGACCTGGTGGAAGCAAAGCTTACCATGCCTGCCGGCCCAGCGCCAACAATAGCAACTCGGTTTTTCTTTTGGGGCATTTCGCTATCTACAGCTATTCCTACATTAACGGATTTGAAAAATTAATTGAGCAGTCAGATTGGAGTTTTGGACACCTTATGCTTTAAATATGGTTTCATGCGTGACCATGACATCAACTTCCGCCATCGTCCATCATCGCGATTAGGCATCTCAGATCGATCAGATCGACTCAGACCGGCCTTGATAACTCAATAGACTAACCGATCATTGCAGTAGAAGCGGGACAATCTCTGAGAGAATTATGGGAACTCTTCTCCGGGCTCCAGAGTCCGGGTAATTATGTTTCTCACCAGCTCAATTTGCCTTTATTGACGTCAACTGGCATCGACTGGTCACGATCAGACTCGAAAAAAATAGTAGTACATATAATCCTTCATATATGCGTTGATAGGCTGTGCAATCAATCGCTAAGTAACATGGTTCTAACTAGATCCTTGCACTGGGAATATACTCAATCGCTGTCCTTGGAAGAGGGTTGTAGGTATCTATGTGATAACAAGGACCTTCAAGTCAGACATAGTCTATGCAATGAGTGTCTCTCTTCAATAGCCTCAAAAGACTATATGTATATCACTTCTCCACCCACATCGACGGGACCCTACCTATCATCAGCCTTGCCTTGGATCACAAGGAGAAAACTCACCGAACTTCAACAACCGCACACCGACCTCCCTGGACAACCTCCACGGCCTTCGTCAGGGTCGAATCAACTTCATCCGTCTTGGTGACCGTCGCTCCCCACGCGTTGCCAGCCGCAGCCGCAATCCCAGGGTAATCCGGCGACGGCTCGAACGATAAGTTCAAGTCTATATCCCATCAGCACGGCCAGCTACTCTGCCGAAAAGGAAAGCCTACCCGCTCTATTCGACTTGGACGCCAGACCGTCCTTATGGACAAGCAATGTAGACACCTTGGGTGCATTCCAGCCGCTATTATTCAGCACAATCAGGAGGAAAGGAATGTCGTATCGCCGTGCGATCCAATACACGGATTCCATCTGTGAGAAGAGGTATGTGCCGTCGCCGACGCTATATTCTGTCAGCTCGGCTGTATACTTCCATGAGTGGGAACTTACATTGCGCAGATGAAAGAATCTCGTTTGGCCATCTTAACCCCCAGTGCTGCACCGCCGCCCCAGCCGAGGCCGCCTGCGCCGCTGCCGTAGAGCGTTCCGGGCTGGTGTGTCAGTCAGGTGTGAGGTCGAGGGAAGTGACAGTGGTACACATACCTTGGTAAGGTTCAGGTGATGAATGATAGGAATGGCGTTGGTGACCGCTTCAATCACAATAACACTGTCTTCCGGGAGATGCTGCCGGAGTCTGGATGACAGGTATGGAACCGTTACGGTGCCTTCTGGTGAAGGTACTTCGAGGTCGCATAAGCTTTGTCTCCACTGTTTGTAGCGTGCCGCGCGTGCGTCAAATGCCTCGGCGTACTTGGTTCGGTTGAGAGATTCCTTGTCAAGGTAGGCATTGAGCTGTCGCAGGGCTAGCTCGCAGCTAACCTTGTATCGTCGGATGGCTTGCATGAAGAAGACTACATCCGTTAGTATCGAGGGGCGTTCGGCAGAGAATTTTCAGCTCACCTGGCATCTGTTGCTTTAGTGGGTCTACGTCGAGGTGGAATACCTTCGTTCCTGCGCTACATGAGCCATTGTCTGAAGAATAATGTAGGAAGAGCATACCATCTGTAGGCTTGCCTGCCGTCGGAACCCAAGGAACATCACAGTCCATCACGAGGATGACATCCGCCTCGCACACAGCCGGATGAGTACTGACAGTCACCCCGAGGTATGCCTCGTGATCACTGCGAAGACTCACGTCCGACCCGACCGTCTCAATAACGCTGATAGGGAGCTTGTCGCATAATTCTGCCAGGAGGGGCGGCGTCTGTGGATTTCGGCCCAGATAGCCTGTGATGATCACGGGTCGCTTTGCATCCACCAGAGCAGCAGCAATGCGCTCGACTTCGGGTTCAGGCAAAGCACACGGGGTGACAGGGCCCATGAGTTCGTTGCCAAGATCGGGGATTTCCACATGCTACTTTCATAAGTAACCCACCTCGAGATGGATGAGAGCGACACTTACTTCCTCCAGGACTTCTCGAGCAGCGGTAAGATATGCTGGACCCTTTGGATCAGACATGGCAAACTGCATAGCCCGATACACCATTTGCTTGATGTTGCGGCCGGTACGGATCTCGCCTGAATAACGGCAGTACTGTCGCACGATAGATGCTTGGTCGGGAACATCTTGCAGCCAGTGGATGAACCTACAGCTGTTAGACTGCATTCTAGACAAAAATGGCAATTAGCTCACTCTGTTCTGGAACCGAGCATCTCCCCGCTGTCGGTGAAAGGACTCAATCCCGCAAAACACAGGACGGGTACTCGGGTGACGGAGGCATTGTGGATGGATTGGCCCATTGCTAGAGTTCCGCAGTCGACATGTACAATAACGCATTGCTTCCGAGTCAGTGCGATTCAATTGTAGTAAATAGATGAATACGTACTGGAGATCCGGTTACTTGAGCGAAACCCAAGGCCGCGGATAAAGCGACCAGTTCCGAGGGACAGGTGATGATCGTAGGGAATTTGGTCGAGTTTTCTTCACTTTTTGTCAGAGTGAGACTTAGTTAATGATGACTGGAATACATACCCTGTTTCGCTTTGATCATGGCCTCGAGCATCGCCGGATGATCACTCCCCCTGATCACAGTCAGTATGATTGGAGCAACAGAGGACCATCGACTGACAAATTCACAAAGCAGTACTTGACTCCAGCCTCAACTGCATCATATCAGCTCTGTCCATCCACAATAGTAAAGTTTCATATACCCAGTGCCTCAAAGAAGCCCGTGGCAGCGGAGCCAACACGTGCATCACTTTCCCATTTCCGTTTCTTAGTCTGTATATCGCCGTTCATTGTGATTTCTTGATGCGTGAGTGTGAAAGGCCCTTACCAAGGCAGAAAACAAGAGCCTTTTAACAACTAACTAAGCTACAGGCTGGGAGATATCGACAGGTCAAATACCGAACGCGCGTGGAATCTCGTCAGCCCTGATGAGCTTGTGTTTCTTGGCGCGAATACGGAACTTCCGGGGGCCAATCAGACGCGTGTAAATAGGGGGCAGCTCCTTCTTTCCCCGCGTTTGCCTGCCGATGAACATGCCGAATTTATATAACATGGAGAGAGATATCATCCGGGGAAGGCCCACAAGGACAGCGGAATTTCTCCGCTTGGGGTGGGAGGAAATCAAATCACAGTTTTGAAAGGAGTATCCACCAGCATTCACGTGGCCAGAATTTGAAAGTACTTTCAAACCCGAGGGCGGATGCTAAGAAGATGATTCACCTCCATATCCCTCTATCTACGAGCGAATGGCGACGATATGCTCACATAACAAAACCGTTTCATACTCCAGGAAAGTCGCGATTGTCGCAGTGGGCAACCTTCCCAGTAAATGGATATGGGCAGATTCCAAAGCAGCGATAACCGGGTCCAGCAGTTGTAATGGGATTCGTCATAGACACCGCCCTCGTTCCTGAACGGACTGACAAGGGCTTCATACCTGTCACAGCCTCTTGTAGAAATAATCTCCTTTGACATCTCCGGCGAGTCACTAGCGCAGGTGTACACGCTAAAAGAGGCGCTAAAATGCGCTACTTCCAGGACCGGTTCTGTCCGCATTTATCCCCTCGGCTTCCACAACTATTTACATATCTGTTGCCGTCTTCAGCTCACCAGCTCATTGAAAAGTTCCACTGCTACCACAACAGCATGGTCACGTTCCACCCTTCCCCCCTGCGAAATTTAGCCTATTTGTGATTCAGAACCTAAGCATTAAACAAGACACTGATACCACCCGCTACTTTACTCCTATTGGAGGGAAATAAATCAAGAGGGCTGGGTATCACCTTGGCGCTTGCTTAATCTCACTGTCACTGCCTTAAGACTTGAAGGATAGTAAGTAATCTGATGCACCACAATTGCATAGGAAGCTAATACTGATCAATATGGCTTTGGATAGGCTAGCCCCTGCCAAGAATCATATCCGGGATGGCACGAGATTCTTACTAGGTGATTCAGGGTCAAATCCCGGCTGGATCGGAATGGATTTCTCGCTTAGCAGCATTGCCTCCCCTCAGTCTTACCATCTCTAGGCTCAGGCTTAATGATGAGTATACGAGAGGAATCACCGACCGTCGGGAATTGTCCTTAGGCAGCATCCTATATATGTATCTTATGTTTACCTGCCTCTAGTACATACGACCATAGGGTGTGGAAAACCGGGCCCGTCCGCTCAAGCCGTACTTAAGCCAGTATTACCATCATAGATAGAAGTTATATATGCCAGGTCAACATTATGCTGTTGAAGAATCCTTTGGCCTTACCCCAGATAACATCAACAGCTGTAGGGATTCCGAAAAGGCGCCTGGCAGAAATGATCGCTTCCTCCTTTGCACTGAAAGTGAGTGTGCTAGCAAGTTGGCCCTTGACTGAACTCCTGTTGCCTTTTTATTTTGTCGAAAAGGACCTGCTTAGCCGAGGAACTCGAATGCAATCACTATCAGAACAAAAGACCAGTGAGGCAAGATGCTACTTGTATCCATAAAGAGGTGTATCAAACACTGCCAGATAGGGAAGTAAGTACGGTAGCGGCCGGAAACCAAAGGAGAAGGACGTGTCTATAGCATTACTGTCTTTCATGCTCCTCGCAGCAAGGGACAAAAGGCTAATAAAAGGGGGACAGGAATACTAGCATAGTATCCCTTCTCCTGGCTCTACACTCGAAGCTTATCCTCTGGCTCATCCGTGACCATGAGCTGATATGAGGGAGATTAGACGAAACGAAGTCTATGATATATTCACCACGGCCACCGACCATTACTCATCATGTTTTGTAGCATTTGTTCAGTGGCGCAATTCCTGTTTGCTACAGCGTTTGATGCAAGGGACATTTGTTGCCAAAATACCAGCGGTCAAGATGGTGGTTGCATTCCCTTGCATGAGCTCTCAGGTGATTCGCAATCGCTGGTCCTATTTGCGCAGCTGCAGGTAAGGAGGAACGTGTAGCCAGGGTAGGGGACGCGGAACCGCTTTAAAGTGACAATGTCCCTTAACTTCAGCTTTTTGAAGTTTTATCAGTTTACCAGTATCAATATCCTACAGTTGCCAACTTGCCCTGAGACTCAATCTAGCTCAACAGAATGGTGTTAACAGCGGACTCGCCACTGAATCTAGCGGTTGGAGTGGCGCAGTTTGATGGACTCTCTGCTGCCAATTTGTTTTCCTTGCGGCAAAGGCCGACAGATACCCAAACAGACACCGAGGACGATCGAGCGGAGAGTAATGACGACAATGTCGCTCCTGTTCCCTTCCCAATCGCTATCGTGGGCATGTCAATGAGGCTGCCGGGAGGTGTCAACTGCGAGAAAGGGTTTTGGGACTTCTTGTTAAACAAACGAGACGGTCTGTGCCGAGTCCCCGACAATAGATATAATATCGACGCCTTCTACAAGGAGTCGACCTCTGGTGGGATTCGGACGCAACAGGGCTACTTCCTTCAGCAGGACATCGCTCATTTCGATGCTTCTTTCTTTGGAATGAGCAAGGTCGAGGCTGCCAGGCTGGATCCGCAACAGCGAATGTTGATGGAGATTGTCTGGGAGTGCATGGAGAACGGAGGTCAAACACAATGGCGTGGGAAAAACATCGGATGCTACGTAGGCGTCTTTGGCGAGGACTGGTTGGATCTGCTGAGCAAGGACACCCAGGCTAATGATCGATATCGGGTCATTGGAGCTGGGGATTTTGCTCTATCAAATCGGATATCATATGAATTTGACCTGCGGGGCCCGAGCATGACCATTCGAACAGGATGCTCGTCCTCGTTGGTCGGCTTGCATGAGGCCTGCCAGGCTTTGTACTCGGGGGAATGCGCTTCTGCCTTGGTTGCTGGGACTAACTTGATTATCACGCCGACTATGACCACCTCCATGTCTGACAATATGGTCATCTCGAAGAGTGGGATTTGCAGGACATTTGATGCCGCGGCGGATGGTTACGGCAGGGGGGAGGCTGTGAATGCAGTCTACATCAAACCGCTGGATGCCGCCCTGAGAGATGGGGACCCCGTTCGAGCGGTTATTCGGTCAACTGCTGTCAATTGTGATGGTAAAACGCCTAGTATAACCACCCCGGGCTCACAGGCACAAGAGCGCCTAATCCGGCGAGCATACCAGAGAGCACAGATTACGGATGTATTCAACACAGGCTTTTTTGAGTGTCATGGCACAGGCACGGTTGTCGGGGATACAGCAGAGACGTCTGTTGTGGCAAAAGTCTTTGGAGACCATGGTATACACATCGGTGCAGTATGTTGGAATCTTATTATTCCCTACGGTATACAAGCTAAAATGGGAGCAGGTGAAGGCGAACGTCGGTCATTCAGAAGGCGCTTCAGGAATTACAAGCGTCATCAAATGTGTCTTGTCATTGGAGAGAAAGACTATCCTGCCGAATGTCTTCTTCAAGGACCCAAATCCCAATAGTATGTCCTGCACATACTTCGTTCTGTTCAAAAATTGACACTTGCATTTGCACATTAGTACCCTTTGAGCAAGCAAAGTTACAGGTTCCCATCAAGGCCATGCCGTGGCCCGTCGATCGACATCAACGAGTCAGCGTGAATTCATTTGGAGTCGGCGGTACCAATGCCCATGTAGGTCTCATGTTCCCCATAATCGTTAAGGAACGGCCCTGTTAGCTGACTACCTAAGCTCATCATGGATTCCGCATCGACAGTGTGTAGAGAAAGATTATCATTGTGTAGAGAAGGATTGTCTGACAAGGCGTCAGAAAAATGCTCTTCTCATTTGTTGCTTGTTTCAGCCAAATCACCCAAGTCATTAGAGGGGAATATCGAGGCTCTCAAGGCTTACATCGACACTAGCTCGGTTTGCCCCAGTGACCTCGCACATACCCTAGCCTTGAAAAGAGAACATATGGTCCACCGAGCCTTTGCAATCCTTGATAGCAACGGCCAGGTTTCGTCTTTTGAGCGATTGAAGTCTGGGTGTCCACAGGTGACATTTGTACTCACAGGACAGGGCGCGCAATGGCCAGGGATGGGAAGGGAGTTGTTCCTTGAAAGCGAGAGATTCCGACAAGCTATCAAAATGCTGGATCGCGTGCTGCAGTCGCTAGAAAATCCACCAAAGTGGACCATTGAAGGTGGGCCATCGTGACCCGACTTCATATCTTTATTAACATCTTCTAGGGGAGCTCCAACAGTGCAATGACCCGGACAGGTTCAAAGAAGCTGATGTGGCACAAACTTTATGTGCTGCCGTCCAAATAGGCGTCGTGAACATACTCCGTGAATGGGGAGTCAAACCTTCATCAGTGATCGGACACTCCAGTGGTGAGATAGCTGCGGCATATGCTTCCGGTGCAGTACCTGCAGAGGTAGCCATACGCATTGCATATCTGCGGGGCCAGACTATTATGTCGTCAAGATCGAACGGTGCCATGGCTGCGGTGGGATTAGGACGTGAACAGATCAGACCTTACCTGAGGGAGGGTGTCGTGATAGCATGCGAGAACAGCCCACAAAACGTCACTGTTTCTGGGGATCAGAGAGCTATAGATGAAGTGGTCGAAGAAATTCAGGCCACCGACGACATCTTCTGCAGACGTCTGACGGTAAATGTTGCCTACCACTCTCCCCATATGAAGGATCTCGGGGAGTCGTTCGAGAAGCATCTGAGTCCACACATGGCGTGCAATAAGTCCATGGTCCCTCTCATTTCTACGGTCACTGGGGAAGTGATCTGTGAGCCAGACCGCTTAAATGCCGGATACTGGCGACAGAATTTGGAATCTCCTGTGCTTTTCAGCAGCGCAGTCCAAAAATTGACAGACGCCGACAAGGAGGAAAGGCTCTTCCTTGAAATTGGGCCGCACAGCGCGCTCTCCAGTCCTCTACGTCAAATATTCTCGGCAGCGGACAATAAGCGGCTATACTACGTACCTACCCTGGTGCGACGCCAAGATCAGTGGAGGTGCATATTAGCTACAGCAGGTCAATTGTACATTCATGGCGCCGCTATCGAATTTGCTGGCCCACTTGCTGACAGTGGGAAGACATTGACCGATCTACCCCCTTATTCGTGGGAGTATAATGAACGCTTTTGGAGCGAGACGCGGTTAGCCCGAGACTGGAGATTGCGAGAACATTCGCATCATGAGCTGCTCGGGTCTCGCGCCCTCGAGTCTACGGACATCGAGCCAATGTGGAGGAACCTCCTAAAGCTGGATAATGTACTATGGCTCCTGGATCATAGGCTCAGTGGTGAGGTCGTGTTCCCATGCGCCGCATACGTTGCTATGGTTGGTGAGGCCATCCGACAGATATCAGGGTCCAATGGCTATTCGATCCGAAACATGTTCATCAGGACTGCGCTGGTTCTAAGCCACGAAGAGCATGACGAGGTGGAAATCATAACAAGCCTTAGGCCGGCAAGGATAGCAGACAATGTGGATTCAGTATGGTATGATTTTACCATCACAGCCCACCAAGATGGCGTTTGGACCAAACACTGTCTCGGACAGGTCTGTGCTGGGCAGGATCGTCAACATGTCCCTATCCCACTTAGCCCACATACCCGCCATGTTCCATCAGACAAATGGTATGAAGCCTTGGAGGCTAAAGGGCTGGAGTACGGCCCCCGATTCCGGGGGCTTGACTCCATCACTGCGAGTCCGTCGAGCCCACATGCTGCAGCCGTCCTGCATCCGATTGAAGAGACCTGCGAGAGTCACTACGCCCTTCACCCTATTCTCATTGATCAATGCTTGCAGCTGCTCAGTGTGGCAGCTACGAATGGCCTTGCGCGTCGGATGACCAGGCTGTGCATCCCAACGGCGATCAGCAGCCTCTATATTGCTGATGGGCCAGGAGAGATGTCACTAGGTGTTTCCTGCGACAACAAGGTGGGGACTACCATGCGCGGTAATGCGCTTTTGGTTGCTGATAGCCGCACCTTACTGTCTATGCAAGACGGCGTGTTTTTCAGTATTTCAGATACTGCCTTGCGAGACGACGCGCCGCCAATGGCATCTACGCTTCACTGGAAGCCCCATGTCGATTTTGTGACCCCCGACAAGCTCTTACCACCATTCCCGAATACGCCGTACGATAAGGAACAGATTGCCTTCTTCGTGAGGTTGCTGATCATTGAGACGTATCATCAAACCAGGTCGGCAGCTCCTGCCAAAGAGCACTTGAGACGGTATCATCGATGGATCGAATCGCAGTACAAGTTGATCCACGACGATGTCAGCGATCTGCTGCCGGAGATGCGAGACAAGCATGCTGCCGATCCCGCCACCCGGTGGTCTGAAATCCAACGCATCCTCGACGCGGAGCAAAGCCCTGTGCTAAGAAGTGTCTACACACTCGCCGAAAGGACCCTGCGTCATATCCGCGACATTCTGGATAATAAATGCAGCCCCATTGAACTTCTGATGGAGGGTGACGGGATAGAGCAAATGTACAAGGCGATAGCCGCTGTCACGCATTGCGACGCATTCCTCGCTTTGCTCAGCCACTCCAACCCCAGCCTTCGCGTCTTGGAAATCGGTGGAGGCACTGGTGCTGCCACGCGGGTGGCATTAAACGCACTGACTTCTTCTGGCAAGGGCCGTCTGTATACTGCACACACATTTACTGATATCTCGGCAGGTTTCATTTCCCAGGCCAAGGAAAAATTCGCCGAGTTCAGGGGCATGGAATATACAACACTCGACATTTCCCAAGACCCAGAATTGCAAGGGTTCACGCCTGGGTCGTATGACTTGATCATCGCTGCCAACGTGCTTCATGCCACGCCGCGCATTTCTGACACACTCCGCAATGTGCGCAGACTTCTCGCACCGACCGGCCGATTGCTTCTGCAGGAACTGTGTTGTGAGAACCCCCTCATGGGCTACATCATGGGTAGCCTGCCAAGCTGGTGGATCGCAGAGGACGGCAGGGATGTGCCCTGCGTGAGTCCCGAGAAATGGCACGAGGAACTTATACAGGCGGGCTTCACAGGTGCTGATGTGGTGCGCCTGGACTATGAGGCCCCATACCAGTTCAATGCCCACATTTTGTCGCGGCCGTCTCCTCGTCTACCCATCAAGGGTGAAATCGGTCTTCTGCATCAAGGTGAAGTCTCCGATTGGGCTCAGGGGCTTGAACGACTTCTGTCGTCGAGGGGATATGTAGTCAAGTGGGTGACTTTGGATGAATCCCAATTCCCCACGGGGACGGATTTTATATCCCTCTTGGACTTGGAGAAACCCTTCTTCGACAATCTTTCCCCTTCCAAATTCCATCAATTCCAGCGGGTTACCTCACATATCACCAAAGGCCGCGCGCTATGGCTTATGCGATCGATCCAATTAGTTGAGGCGGATCCTGACCCGGCCCGTGCACTTACTTTGGGCGTCATGCGCACCATTCGACAAGAGCTGGCGCGAGGTATATCCACGGTGGAGATAGAGCAGCTTGACGACGCAGCGATGCATCGTGTTATTGAGATATTCGAGAAAGTGAAGACATACGACGAGACTCAGGACCCTGACCTCGATTATGAGTTTGTTCTCAAAGATAACGATGTCTATGTCGGTCGTTTCCAGTGGTCCTCCCTGGATAGCGTCATAACCTCTGCCCCCGAAACTGGATCTCGTGTTCTGGACATTGGGTCCCACGGAATGCTGGATACCTTGAAATGGAGCTTGAGCGGGCGAGGCCTTTGCATGGCGGAGGACGACATTGAGGTTGACATCAAATGCGTAGGATTGAATTTCAAGGTACGTGGTCTTCCTCTTTCATTCTACCTGCTGGAGGGTGTAACTTACAGGAATGCGTCCAGGATATTATGGTATCCATGGGCCTGATGGGAGATACAAGCGAAATGGGTCTGGAAGGTAGCGGAATTGTGCGGAGAGTCGGTCGTTCAGTGACAACTCTTCAAGCCGGGGATCGAGTCCTGTTTGCTGGCAAAGGCATAATGGCTACACGGAGGATAATGCGCGTGAGTAGCTGCGTGAAAATTCCAAGTAGCCTTTCCTTGGAGGATGCCGCAGCGGGACCGTGTGTGTTCACGACGGCCATCTACTCGCTGATGTATGTTGGACAGCTCCAGAAAGGACAATCAGTGCTCATCCATAGCGCCTGCGGAGGCGTCGGACTCGCCGCCATTCAGGTCTGCCAGATGATCGGGGCTGAGATCTTCGTGACAGTCGGAAGCAATGAGAAAAAGCAACACCTGATTGACAACCTCCAGATCCCTGAGGACAGTATTTTTGACTCTCGGAGCCCCTCGTTCTTGCCAGATGTGATGAGAATGACGGGCAACAGGGGAGTTGATATCGTCTTGAATTCCCTTTCGGGGGAGCTCTTGCATGCATCCTGGAAATGCGTCGCACCGTTTGGAAAGATGATTGAACTTGGTAAACGGGATTTTCTGGGCCATGGCAGGTTGGACATGGACCTTTTTGACGGAAATCGCACCTTCACTGGCGTCGATCTGTCTCAACTCGCCGACAAGTCACCCGAGCTGTTCCGTGGTATGATAGACGATTGTCTTCAATTCTTCACGGAAGGAAAGCTCAAGCCAATCCGTCCCGTGACTACCTATGAAGCAACTGATATTGTGAAAGCCTTTAGGCTGATGCAGAGTGGAAGACATATGGGCAAAATAGTAATCCGCATGCCAGAGGATCCTTCGACCTTGCCAGTATCCCGAGTACACGAGAAAGGTAACTTGTTTCGTGACGACTCGTCCTACCTGCTTATCGGAGGGTTTGGAGGCCTTGGTCGAGCGGTTGCAACATGGATGGTTGAGAAGGGAGCGCGGCATTTGATTATCCTGTCCCGATCCGGCGAGGAGTTGCCCCGGAATCGAGCATTCATTGAAGATTTAAAAAGCCGAAGTGGCTGCCATGTCGTCAGTGTGACTGGAAGTGTCGCGAACTTGACCGACACACAAAGAGCAGTATCAGCCGCGACGAAACCAATTGCCGGGGTCATACAGATGTCAATGGTGTTAAGGGTGCGCATCCCCGGCTCTCATGACAACGCTGATGATGCTGACGTTAGTTTCTTGCCTCCAGGATGCAAGGTTTGAGGATATGGCCTTCGAGCAGTGGAACGAGGTCCTCGCGCCAAAGGTCCAGGGCACCTGGAACCTCCATCACGCACTCGATGGCCAAGCTTTGGACTTTTTTGTCCTTTTTAGTTCACTGACGGGCATTATTGGCTTTACCGGCCAAACGAACTATGCAGCAAGCAATACTTTCCTTGATGCGTTCGTGAAATATCGTCACTCGCAAGGCCTAGTTGCAAGTGTCCTTGACATAGGCTTCGTGGGAGACATAGGATATATCCCTGAGAACTCCCCCAAAACCCTCGAGTATGCTCGGTCAGCATCGTCACTAATTGTAACCGAGCAGGATTTGCTTCATGCCCTAGAGCTTTCCATACTTTCCGGACCGCTCAAGGGCCCAACTCAGCTTTGTCTTGGACTGGGAACCTCTAAGCCGCTCTCTGAATGCGCAGCGCAGCCAGTGTGGGGCAGGATGCTCGCTTCCTAGGGTGGCAGAACGTCTTGACAGTCAACGAGGGCCAAACGACCGGCAAACGTGATGAACTCCGGCGATTGCTCGAAGATGTTAAGCGTGATCCATCCATCCTCTACAAGCCGGACACAGAGGAAAAGCTCACCTATGAGCTTGGAAAGATGATCGCGTCTCACATGTCGTACTCTGAAGATTTGGAGCTGCACGAGCTCGCGAATATTGCAGTCGACTCTCTGATGACCATTGAAATCAGGGCTTGGTTGAGACGGTATGCCGGACTCGAGGTGTCGTTGGTGGAAATCTCCAAGGCGGGCACGGTTGCTGGGCTGAGTAAAATTACTCTAAAGATGCTTCGTGAGAAATACCAGTCAGGCGAGCTGGAGGTTGCGGACGTCAAACACGTGGCATGGGGTTCCGGAGAGGAAGATGAATTGAAACTTTGCCTGCAGGATATTGAGCTGGGCAAGGACATTGAGCCACTCTCGACTCAAATCACGGATTGGTATGCTGACGGTGAAAGGCGTGTCTTTATGACCGGGGCCACAGGATATTTGGGAGCATTTTTCCTGGCCCTCCTGTCTGGTTTACCGCAGGTCAAGCAAGTCGCTTGTCTTGTTAGAGCCAAGGACGTGGATTCCGGAGTATCTCGCATTAAAGAAGCTCTGGCTGGATATGGGCTTCCGTTCGACTTTAAACAGAAGCTTCGCATTGTTCCTGGAGACATCAGCAGCCCCACGCTGGGGCTCAGGACGGAGGAATTTGACGAACTCGCTCAGTGGTCCAGTGTCATCTTTCATTTTGCGTCCTACTCCAACTATACGCTCCCTTATTCCTCTCACCGAGAAGCAAATGTTCTCGGTCTGGTTAATGTGCTCCGCTTTGCGAACGCTGGACGCCCTAAGCCGCTTCATTATGTGTCCAGTATATCCGCCTGCGGAGTGGCGGGATACCTGGCAGGGCAGGTCATTCCGGAGGACCAGAGGCCCGTGTTTGATCCTGACATAGTCAAAGAGCACATTGGCTATACTCAGAGCAAGGCCGTGGCGGAGCATATAGCGTGGAATGCCATCTCGAATGGTCTCCCGCTGACCATATACAGGCCTGGATTCGTCACGGGCCACAGCGTCACTGGGGCCCATAAACAGCAGGACTTTATTAACCGTCTGATGGCCAACTGTCTTCGCATCCGCAGCTATCCTGTTGCTCCACATGCCCGAAACCAATTCATTCCAGTTGACTTTGTCTGCTCCTCCATGCTGCGGATTTCTCTGTCTAGTGAAAACCTCTGCCACGCCTTCAATCTTGTCCGGCCTGACCAGACACAGACCGTTACGTGGGAGGAGACATTTGAGATCCTCAACCAGAGTTGTACCGTGCCGCTGCGGCGCGTGTCTCCAGAGCAGTGGATCGATATCTTTGCCGAACATGGCAACGAGAGGGAGAAGGCGTGGATTTCCATACTAAAAGAGAGACTGGATGGGAACTTGGTCTGGTGGGCGGTCGATAAGGGCACCATGGCTTTTTATGAGACGAGCAACATGCGCCGAGCGCTCTCGCGGTTCCCGGAGATCCTTGAAGTGCCTTCTATGGCTGCCCTGATCAAGACCTACTTGTCTGTATGGAGGAACCAAGAGTAGGGAGTAGTGGTGATACAACGTGTATACATTCCACGACGCCGTGTATGCAGGCTGGGCAAATGTCTGCGATGTCTACAAATGGGCATATCCGCAATAGTATAGATATTAAATGGGTCCATAATATAGACATAGCCAAATCTATAACGCATATTCACTGTGTGTTCGTCTGTTATTTAAGTTTAAATTATGGTTGTGAAAGGCAGTATTTATCACAGGTTGCCTGAATATATGCTGAGATTTCATCCTTGAGGGCTCGAGTGTCGTCTATTCAGTGTTTTGACTGAAGGAATATGAGTATAGGCTCACAGGTCTATAATGAGGTGCTATAATCATGACATGCAGAAATAACATAAAACATCACAATAACAATCACGGACAAACGACACGCGATTCCAGGCTATTAACGTATTCACCTCACCCTACACTGACGATGTAAGCAACCACTCGTTATACATATTGATCGCGATGAGTAAATACCTACCCAATACCTTCATACTGGTCTAATGGGAAATCATTTCTTGTCACAGGTTGACGCGTAGTCATCTAGCCCTTGAAGAATCACACCTTCCCAAAGCTCCGGCCCCTTGAGATACGCATTCATCTTGTCGCACATATCCTTTGTGATGAAGCTCGAGAGCTGTTCCAACTCACCCAGCACTACAGGCATCATATTCTCTTTCAAGCAAGTCCCGATAGCCTGCATTGCCTTCTGGTCCTGGCATAAATCGGTCTCCCCTCCGCCCGCAGCACATTTATCTTCAATCTTCTTGGTGATATCTCCGGAGATACTGTCGGCAATAGTGGAAAAGCCAGACAGACCCATTTCATTCATGCTGGCCGTGACGATCTGGCTGACTAATTTGCTGTTGATCCATTTTTCGAACTGCGGTATTGTTACAGTACAGCCTTTCTTGCAGACGCGTTCGTCAAACGCCTGCAAGGTGGTGTCGAGTTTGCTGGGGATGAAATCCGAGATGGAGGTGCAGCTTGATGGAAGGGCGCAGAGGACGGGAATAGCCAGGGTAACAAGACTGTATAATGAGAGAGTAGCTGTAAGATGCATCTTGAATGTTTTTCCTGGAGATTGACGCTGCACCGGCAGAGCAAAGAAGAGACCTTCCTAGCTGTCGAACGTTCGCTATTATTGACAATATGTATATTGTGTATATTGTCAACCCTACCATCATCAAACATAATGTCATATGTCTTGCCTGTCAAGAAGCCCCTTCATTCCCCGGAGAATGCCAAATTGACCCCTTGCATTATATAAACGGCGCTTGAATGCTTGAATGTGGCAGGCAGGGGTTTCTACTGTATACAAGAAGGGATATTCAGGGCGTAGCCTCATAAACAAGTATCAGAGTTACACTGCATACATGGGAATTTAGCCTAACGGCAGGATATTCAGTGGCTAGCAGTGCTCCCCTGTATCTCCTGCCGTCTTTCATACTTCAAACCACCTAACGGAGAATTTGCTGCTATGGCGGCGCCTCACATTCCGGGTATGCTCTACGGTATTTGTCCCTCCCTGTCTTGGGCCAGTGTGATATGGAGGAGTGGGCCGTTGCCGTGCTGCCTCAACTATAAAGCCATGACATGAAACAAACTGTTAAGACATCCTCAATCATACTACACTCTTGATTTGAATTTCAACCCAATCCCATTCTTTCCTAAGACACAATGCTCTTCTCCCGCGTGACCCCAATAGCCCTACTCGTCGCCCTCGCGACATCCGGCCTGGGCGCAGTAAACACCAAGCAGGCTATCGAGGGCATGAACGTCCTCCAGAACAGCGTCGCTGAGGCCCGCAAGAGCATCGAGGGATGGGGCGGTAGCCTTCTGGGCGTCATCCCCGTCGCCAGCAAACTGCAAGGAGTGAAGAGTTCCGCTTCCGACGCACGCAAGACCATCGAGCAGTCTGATGCCTTTGGCGACGATGACCAAGATGACGTCCTGGCGGCTTATCAGCAGTTGCAGCCAGAGATTGTGGGAGCCCTGAATGCAGCGGAGCAGAAGGTATGTCATTCCCCTCCCTATTTAATGGCCAGCAGTGCTGACCCGGATCCAGGCGCCGGCCTTCAAAGATGCGGGAGTGGCGTTCGTGGCGAGGGCTATGATGGATGATCTCAAGAATGAGAAGGAGAAATTCGAGACCACAATGCAGGGAAAGGTGCCAGCTGAGAGATACCGCAGCGCTGAGCCCAAGGTTGCTGAGGTCGATGCTGCCTTTGATAGTGCCCACAAGGCGCTTTCTGCTTAAGTGGCTGGTCTGACTACTGTGCCTGCGGAGCACAGTGAAGCTGGCGAAGGGATACTTACTGTGTTATTGTTCTGGCTTATCTTGCAATCTAACTGAGAATTATTTAATCCGCCAGAATTAAATGTTGGCACTGTCTCTACCTCCTGCTAGTATAATAAGTAGCCTGAGGCAAGGAAAGCAAAACCTACTCGGGACCATGTTCCGGTGGGCTGTCCTGAAGCCGACAGGTAAGACACGGCACGCGTGCTACTGCGGAGAATGTAGAACATTGAAGGCATACTTAGCATGCAACGCTTTGCATTCCCCAGGGTTGCCATGTCTTTCGACACTTGATAACGTGATTTCATCCCTTTGAATAGAATTGCTTCCTTTCTCGCGCCCATAACTGAGAGACTTGTTAGAACCAGATATGCACGTAATATATCATCTTCCTAACTTAACGACGAGGGTCCCGTCGAGGCCAGAAGAAGATGCAAGCCAGCACATCTCTTACTTTACTCGTATCAGGCCAGATGTGGTATGCTCAAAAGGTCTTCCTTGCTCTACTTTATGAGGCTTAACTATAATCATGAAGTATCTGACATTATAAGCTCTATGGTTGGCAAATAAAAATGACAAATGCAGTTTGAATAAAAATGACAGCTATAGGAGCATCCCTTGAAGATATAATAAACAATGGTTAGGATTTTGTCTACGGGTTTTAACAACGACTTACTCTAAGTTTCCTTTTTTTCTTATGTCTTCCCAGGTGAGAAGAGGCGGGAGAAGGAATATATATCACATTGGGCCCTTTCTTTTTTTTTAAGAGCATAAAAGGAACTCCTTAGCCGGGATAGGCCACTATCTTTGACGGAGCGTTCTATAAAATTAGGCTGCTAATGCTTAAGTAGCAGCGCATTCCTCCGCTTGCAACAGTTAACTATTCAGCGGGGTTTGGACCTAAGTTTATTGACTGGCACTAGCCAGTTTAGGATGAAGGTTGACGAGCTCAAAGATAGAGTATTCCATGTTTTGGGGGAGTTTTTCGATAGAATAGCCAGAAGGACAGTCTGACTTCCCGGGATAACTCATGTTATACACCAACTACCTCTAGGCTTGAGACATACAAATCAAGTTCCTGAACTGATTGCCTCACACCATGAACCTCTCGGATGAAAACTGCTCGATCTAAGTTACCCACGGCGGGCAAAGTCGCGGGCATGCACGCTGCTGGAACGAGAGAGGAGAGCGCGCAACGCAGCCTGAATATCAGCGAGAAGCTGTGCGGCAGTGGTGGGGGTGGGGAGCTGTGCCGAGGAAGGTTCAGCGGCGGTTGCCGCATTAGTGTCTGGCGCAGAGGCTGCAGGCGTCGTCACAGCCTGAGAGGTTGGGGTTGCAGTTGGCTGTGTATCACTCGTAGAAGACGGCTGAGGGGTTGCTTGGGGGTGGAAGGAGTGGAGGGAGTGGAAGCCGAGGGACTGGAAGCACTCGAAGCACCAGAAGAGGACGAGCTGGAGGAATCAGAAGAAGAAGCACCGGCAGAACCAATCTCCTTCGTGATAGGTGCCTGCTCAACATAAATGCCAGACCAGAACCAGTCTTCCGGTGCGTCGTTGGAGGCGCCCCCGTTGGGCAGGCGCAGCTGGCCGACGTGCCAGTCCGCCGAGTTGGTAGAGGTGGAGGCGCTGACGGGCGAGACAACCTCGGTCAAGGGATCGGAGCCATTAGATGCCCAGAGGCCGACCTTCTGCGAGGCAAAGTCGATATCGTAGGCGAAGTTGTACCAATTACCTGGCTCCAGCTGGACCGACCAATGTGTTTGGCCACCTGCATTCCAGCGCAGGGTGTTGTCGGATGAGCCTGACGCGCCATACTTGAGCTCAGTGAAGTGGCTCTCGAAGAACGCGATCTGGTGCTCGAAGGAGGCATCGGGGGCATTTGTTGTCTTGGTGGACAGGGAGAAGTGATAGTACAGATGACCCGAGCCGAGATTGGCGGTGGTCTGAGGGATGAGTTCAGAGCGCTCCATGTTCTGTCCATTCCAGAAGGAGGTTCCATCCTTATTTGCTGTCAATTCCTCTTCCACAAGCATAGGATTGAATGACATACAATGGTGATCCGGACCCCCTGGGCGTCGCTGGTGTCGGCCGGGTTCTTGAAGTCGGGGGACAGACCCAGATACTCGCTCGTCTTGCCACTGCCGTGGATGTACCATTGCCACGCTCCGATTTGGTTGGACCAGGACCCTATATTATCAGTGAGAGTTTCAAATTAGAGGCAACGGGGAGATGAATACATTTGTCAAAGTCCGCAACCGTAGCAGAAGAATCGAAGATACCGCTCCACAGCACGGATCCAGCCAGCGATGAAGCGGGGAAAGCAAGAAGAGAAATGAATGACCTCATGGTAGGAGAAATGCAGTAAGGAATGTAAGAGAACAGAAAGTGTGACCGGCACAGTTGATTGATGGACAAGTAGACTGTGGGCTGTAGAGCATTAAAGTACTTTAGAAAGGTGAAATGATTAAGGGTGGGGCCTGTTAGGGTTAGATTGGCGGGCGAGTGCTGAAACATGCCATTTCCTCACTGGCAGTTAAGCTTGTTTCACTTTGATCAACTGGTCTCACTCTAAGGCTTGATAGACTGGCGCGTTCCCAACGCCTTACACATACACCCTGGCAGTCTGCCCCTGGGTGGGGTGCGTCCTGATTATCCTGCAATACCATTATTTCCACCCATCACAGTCCGAGCAGCATGAAGAAGAAGACATTGACCCATTGCAATATGGCCTCCTCCAGTTCGCATCTATCCGTAGTTTCTTTTGAATAATATCATACTATTTATGTGCAAGATGTTATTTAATGATTTCCCCTGAATCGCATCACATCCATACGCCCTAACCCAAGTGGGCAATTGGATTGTTTTCTCCTGAACACCACAAATCCACGACGGAACCACACTCTCGCAATTCCATCTCTCTATATCTGCCAGATTTCAGAGCGCAATATGCCTCATGGGCGACCTGGAGTTTACGAAAACGATGAAGGCGGGAGACAAGCGCGTAATCAGCGTCGACGCCGGCGACGACGCAAACATCCTGCGGTTGTTGTCGGGTCTAGCAGCCCAGGGTCACCACCTCTTGACTTACTTCTGAACTCTTCTCGCCCCTCCATCGGCGCCCAACATAATGACCCCTTCGAAGAAATACTTTGAAAAGAAAGTGCCGTACTGCACTTTCAGAAAAGATCACCATTCAAGTTGCTTGGAAATTTCGTATGTCCTGCGGACCCTAGGCCCTGCCTGGCCAGCTCTGCTACTGGAGAAGTACGTGGCTACTGTTGGACTCACCCTTATGGCATCCCTAACAATGCACTACGGTAGTGAGCTCAGCGACTAGCTGGATATGGCGAAAAGTGATACCTGGAATTACAATGAGTACATCTTGGTTTTAGACTGCAGACGAACATCGGTATTTGCCGTTCCAGGGAAAGGGACGGAATCCGAGCCGAAGCAGCCTGTCCAACTACAGTACCTTCACCCGGCAGTATCGCGGCTGATGCATCCGAACCGTACTTCCTGGCTGAGATAGCTATGCGACCCATGCTACACCGCTGGAATACAGTCACCCGGCAATCTTCCGACGGGAGCTACGAATACCCACCGGGAGTAGCGTTAGAGCGCGAACACCGGTTGGAAAGCTGGTACGATGATCTCACGGAGAGCATCGGTTCAAGAAGATAGAAGACCATCCTATATCCCCGGCGGCAGCTTCTGGCAGTCCACGGCAATGCCCTCTTATGACCTTCCTCCGGGTGCAATGTCATTGCTGCTGATTGTCCATCTACTGGCGCGCAATATAGCAGGCGATTCTGGACGGACGACGTGTGTTCAACAGCTGGACAACTGCAAACGATTCTTCGATTCCTACATTCAGCTCATGCATAGCATTTTCGATGCCTTCCAAGTCTGCATCGTCAATCGCTGGAGTTTATTCATCAAGTAAGGGACAGTGGCTCCTAGACTCGGGTATTTGTGAACCACTACCAGAGTAGAAGTATATTCGTGGCTTCAATGGTTGCAAAAAGAGCATCCACTAGCACAGTACTGAGCAGTATCTGCTCGGAGAGACTCTTTCAGTGCTTTGCGACTGCGACAACAGCAGACGGGAAAGTCCTGGAGAGAAGTCCATCTTTGGTTATGCTACAACGTACGTTGGACGAATGGCTACTTACTGAGCATTACAAACCATAATCAATTCAGTACAGAAGCGCTTCCCACCAAGGTGAGGCTAGCGGAGTAACGTCAAGCGTGTCTCAATGCGGCCATATTCGTTATGCTAATGTTTGACGCACATATGCTGTCTGAAGCGGATAGTGTGTTATACAAACGTACATCGTGTCATCGACAAACGCGCTGGCCCTGTCCGGCCGACAGCAAGCCCTAGGTCCGGATTCTCATGGCTCAAATAGAATATTACCAAGAGTGTCCCATTGATGGATTTCTCAGGGTGATACGGTAAACTCCTGGTATGCTAGGAAATACGCGCAAGTGTGGGAGTCAGCCTCGCATTTAGGCCGTACTAGTGATGCAAGTATGCTGCGCCGCAGAATCAGTCCTTCCCATCAGGCTGATAAAACATGACTGCTGCCGCCGGGGAGCAAGGTGCTTCAATTTGGTTTTTCTCGTCTTCAACACTTTTCCACCCTTTCTATTAGGTTCATGTTTCACGAGATGGAGGACAAGGCTTTGCATCAGCTACAACAAGAACAGTCCAAGCTTCTGGATAAGATCGATGAGCTGCGCACCATCGGCGTCGGCGGCCTCGTGGAACTGCCTCAGCTAATTGTTTGCGGCAACCAGTCAAGCGGGAAAAGTTCCGTCCTCGAAGCCATCTCTCGTGTGCGGTTCCCCGCAAAAAGTAATGTCTGTACGCGATTTGCGACAGAGGTGGTCCTGCGACGGAGTCCATCGTCAAAAATTAAGGTGTCCATCGAGCCCGGTCCTTCTCGCACGGACGAGCAGGAGCGACGGCGACTCCGTAGTTTTGCCTATGAGGACTTCTCTAATGGCAATGACCTGCCTCCCCTGATCGAGAAGGTCAAAGAGCACTTGGGAATCACGGAGTCGGTTAACGCAGGCTTCAGTGATGACGTGCTCAAGGTCGAGATTTCAGGGCCGGACAAACCGGAGCTGACTCTGGTTGATCTGCCCGGCTTGTATTACTCTACCAGTCAGGAGCAGGACTTGCAGGGTATCCTGATAGTTCGCAAGCTGACAGAGAAATACATGAAGAATCCAAGAAGCATTATTCTTGCTGTGATCAGCGCAAAGACGGACTACCATCTTCAGGAGGTTCTGAACATTGCGGAACGATTTGATCCAAAGCGCGAGCGCACGCTTGGAATCATTACTCAACCGGATATTCTGGAGGCGAATTCGGAAGAGGAAGACACTTATCTGCACTTTATCAAGAATGAAAAGATTCATCTAGAGCTGGGGTGGCATGTCTTGCGCAATCGGTCGTTTGAGACCAGGGATACCTCAGACGGCGCCCGCGACGAGATGGAGGCGGCGTTCTTCAACCAGGGACGATGGGCGTCGCTCTCACGGGAATGTGTCGGCATCGAGAGCCTACGCCGCCGCCTCAGCAGTATATTGCTCAAGCTCATCCGTCGGAATCTTCCGGGGCTGATCACGGAGATCCAAGACAAGGTGTCTGATCGACAGCAGCGACTTTCGAAGCTGGGGCCTCCTCGATCTACTCTTCAGCAACAGAGGGGCTACCTACTCGGCATTAGCAGTAACTTTGAGGGCATCACTATGCAAGCTTTGAATGGCATGTATGCGGATGACTTTTTCGGTGGGTTGGATGATACAAGCAGTACCGAAGACTTCCGGCGACTTAGGGCTGTCATTCGGCAGCTGAATGAATACTTCGCGGACGTAATGGCCATTCGAGGCTGCCGGAGGAAGATTGGCGACCGTCGCCTCCTTTTCAGCAAAAATGGCCTCGAGGTTGCTGCTGGGAATCCTTACACGGACGTCTGGGAACCAGAATATGTACAGCGCAGTTCTCTCGAAGCAGAGGTCGGCAAGCAAGCACGCAACAACAGGGGCATTGAGCTGCCAGGGAATGCAAACCAACTCCTTGTAGGAAGCCTCTTTCGCGACCAGTCCAACCCATGGGAAGGTCTTGCGAAAGAACACTTAATGAGGGCTTGGGAGTCGGCGAGGTATTTTACATGGCTCGTTCTACAACACACTACGGACGACCATACCTACTCCTTGCTAATTGGCTCAATCATCGACCCTGAATTGGAAAAGCTGAAGCAATCTTTGCTTGAAAAGCTTGACGAGCTGACCGCATACACGAAGCGAGGTCACCCATTGCCTGTGGGCAAAAGCTTTCTCTCTCAGATTCAAAAGGCCAGAAGCAACCGTCAGCTAGAGTCACTAAGATCTAAGCTTCTATTCGCTGGATCCGAAGAAAACGGGAGAAAGTTATATACGATGAAAGACATCGAGCAAGCCACATCGGCGATGGAGACCTCTCGCGATGAATTTGCAGCCGCCGAGATCATCGACCAGATGCAAGCGTATTATGAGGTGAGAAAGTCTTCTTTTTGCTCAGCTACTACTAAATCACCCCTAACAAAACTTCCAGACTGCTATTGTGACTTTTGTCGACAATGTCGCAATTCTAGGCATCGAAAATTGTCTTCTTGACCCTCTGCAACGTATATTTACCAGCCAGGTCGTCAATAACATGGACGATGACCAGGTCCGAGAATTGTCCATGGAACCGCCTTATATACATGAAGAACGACAACGGTTAGCCAAGGAGCTCGACAAGTTGCAAGCTGGCCTACAGGCTCTCAGAATCTTCAACCCCCAGAAGCCATCATTGAGCAGTCTACCCTCATTCGGTAAGCTCCAGTGTCCTTGCATGAAGGATTACGGTATAACCCGACTCTTCTGTAGGAAAAAAGCCGGCTTCAGGACTATCAGACGGTCTCAACCCGTCCGAAAAAAGCCCTCCAGGACCAACAATGCCGTCATCCAATGGAAGCCCCTTCGTTGGGAAGGAGTGGACCGAGTTCTTTCCATCTCCTGGGCGTAGGTCTATGTGCTTTTTCCCTAAACAGGATCTTGCTAATTCGGGCGATAGCTGCGAGGAATGACAGAAAATATACAAAACCCAAATCCCTTAAACCTCCCACTGTACTTGAGTCGGCTCGGACTTCACCCGCGCCTTTCGTGAACCTATTCGGTACAGCTATCCCTGAATATAAAGCTGATCCTGTGGTCTTTGGTGCGGGCCAATCTGAACACAAGCGTATTTGCACGGATGTCGGTACTAACCTGCTCGAACAAAAGAATGATTCTGGGGCCTCCGGCACTAGCTTATCAGAACACAAGTCTGTTTCTGGGGGACATCGTACGAAGGTATATCCGATCACCGGCGGCAAACCTATAATAGTGAGTATGCCAAAGACAATGGATCAGGACCGGTAGCAATTGAGATTTTTTCATGTTATGCGAGAACTCTTGTACTTATGAAAATATTTAAGATTCCTGATCTGGATAATCACATCTGCATATGAAGTATCTAAAAGTTGCCTTGGAACTGTTATGAGTGAAGCACATATCTCAGCTGTGCCTTCCTTATGGACCACGATTTTATAACGCTGGTAGTGAACAGAGGGGTGGACTTGTAGACATTTATCACTGTCAATGGCCACCTTGGGGGCCGGTTTTGCAATTGTCTCCGGGAAAGTTCCTCTCCACCGAGCAGCAGTCGTGTACTTTATTTGTTTGTTTGCAATTACAATTGGGGTCTAGCAGAACTTCCAATTTTCCCTGGAATGAGCATCCCTGCGGTGACAATGAGGGTGGAAACGGCATAGCATGACAGATGGAAAGGCAAACAACCGGCTCCTCTGTATCAGGATGCAATGTCAAGTCTATAGCTTATCTGGCGTCAAACAACTTTAGAGTCTTAGTGTGAATGTGATCCTCCAAACATCGCAAGCGATCTATTCCGTTGATGCGGCCCATGCCATTGATCCTGGCCGTGAAGCGGGTCCTTCTCCGGTTCTTAAGCATCCCGAGCAGCAGTAATGTTGCGGCCGCTAGGCATGGTTGAAGTCTCACTTGAAAATGTTGAGATGTCTCGGACATCAGTATTGTAGAAGCCAGTGACCATGCATTTGTTCAGCAGGCTCTACTTGTGCCATAGAAGAGAGAAATGCAGGTGTTATTCCCGTTTCTGCCTTGGAACCGAGCGACACAGATGTCACTATGCGTGTGGCCCAGTGTTTCAGTCAAAAACCAGTGTTAAAATTGTGCAGTCCGCAGACTAGATCTATCCCTTCTCCAGGCACTTCAGACAGGGAAATTTAATTATCTGAGACAATGTTATAATTCAGTCTTTTGCTAACTCGGATTTGATTGTGACTCGGGGATATGCATCTGTAATTATGAGTTTGATCCACTTTTTCACTGCTATCGAAATCTGTGTTGATATGCTTAGGTAGCGGCTTGGACTTATTCTACATACAGGGTGTAGTTGTGTACGAATCTTGAAAGTAGGATGATATCAATAAAGTTTTAGAAGAAGCTACCTAGAGTTGGGCTGGAATTTGGTTGACCTGCACTATATCTGATCCAATCATCCAATGACCCATGTGGATTATGAGCTGCCCGACCTTGCAACATACTGAAAGATACTGGAATACGGTCTAGCAACAGCCCATCCGTGCACTGCCTATCCTAATTCAGAAAATGCTAGCTGGTCAAATACAAGCTCCTATAGTCAAGGTCAACCTGGAAAGGGGCCTTGGTATGCATAGACTAGTAACGTACTACTCTAGAGTAAGAGAGCACATGCTTGAGATGGCTAATAATAAATTCCAGACACACAGACACACATGTTGTAATACTCATATGTTTTAATCTTGACTTTAAAAACAAGTTGTAGCTGGTCGCAATTGCCTAAGGTCAACAGGGCAAAGCAGTATGCGAAGGAGCAGATGATCAACTAGAAAACTTTGGCTCATTTTAGTAGGGCGTGCTGGTAGATTCTACATAGATGGTGGATGATTATGTTATCGCCGATGGCTGTTCAGCAAAGACTAGATTCTGAAGCTACCCAATAAGTTAGAGAGAGCCGTGTAAGCAAGAAAGCCAGCCAACAGTTACCAGGAGGAGTCCCAGCTCCCATGAGGCTAAATCTTGTGTAGGAGAGAGAGACATGACAGCAGACTGATAGCTGCATTCAGAGCCTAACAAAAAGCCAGGAAGTTCAAGTTTTAAAACCATTGAGATGCACACCAATACACGAAGGTAAATGACCACGCAATGACGCTTCCCTCTGCAATAATCCTGGAATAGATGTTTGAACCAGAAGGACAGGGCGTCCTTAGGTCACACAATAGCTAGTTACACTAGCCTTCCATCTCATAGCAAGTCTTTGCCGGGAAAGGCTCCTTTGGTCTGGAGCTAGATGCGCTCCCTGGAGACGCCTAGGGGGAGTTCCAAAAAGTTATTTCAACCCTTCTAAGTCCAGCCAAGGATCATCACAGAGTTCTCTTGCTGTCGCTCGACATTCTGGGTCCCACTGCAGCATTCTTTTAGCAAATCTAATAAATAACTGCTTGTCCTCTCCGTCCAAGAACGGCGTAAGGTTTGGAAAAGAGAAATCCTCCGGAGGGATCAACTCCGGATGCTTAAAGTCACCTAGATAGAGAGACATGTAAGTACAGAAGAAATCATGAAGGATAGGAAGTTGTACCATCGTCGGAGAAAAGAATAGAACGTATAGTCGGATCGACCCTCTCCAGAAATCGCAAAGGCGGCGGGCCAAGGAGACGAAAGATCTGGGCCAAGTGAGCACCGCGGCCATAAGCATTAGCTCTGTGATCTATGCAGTCGAAAAGATCGGTTTCTCCAAGTAGCTCCCAAAGCTATTCAATATCAGACATGGTACTCCATAATCAAAGCTGCATGTGATTACCGCAGTCCCTAAATTCCATATATCCGCGCTATACGACCACGCGCACTGTAAGAGGACTTCCGGTGCGCGGAATTGCCGCGGTTGGATATCGTGCGTATGAGGAGTAGACTGATCACCAAAAACGGCAGTACTGAAGTCTGCTATCTTGACACACCGCATGCCTCCTTGCAAACGCCCGAAATCAGGGCGTGACTGGCAGATACGACGACGACCAGCACCTATCTTGTACGGAGGAGGATGGCTTTCCTGGTGGTGCACGTAACGGTCAAGGATGGTGTCGTTTTCAAATCCCACTAGGAGATTTTCCGACTTAAGATCTTCACATTCTGTCAACAATGGCCAAGAAGAGATAAGTAGAAGGCAAATTACCAGTATGTATGATACGGCATTCAGTATGGAGGAAATCCAGACCCTCTAGCAATAGTCTCAAGAAGGCCTTCAGCACATTAGGAGGGACGCCAATACCGCCGAATTGCCTCCCCAAACGCCAGAGCGGTTCTCTTAATGGGTCGAACACTAAACACGTATGTTCTCCATAAGGACCCTGGATGTCGAAATACGCATTTGCTACGCGGACATACGCCCGACCTTGGTGGCTGGACTTTAGTTGAGAAATGTGGCGAGATATGAGGAGCTCTTCCTGGGCGAACTCCCGATCTCTAACGCCGCAGTTCGAGATTTTCAAAGCGTAGTACCGGTCTGACTGCCAGGGCCATCTTCCACTAATTAGGTTGATTCAAAGAGATATGAATTACAGCTTACCGCGAAGTGTCCTTAGCCAGCCACACACTAGAATTGCCGCCCCATCCGAGTTTCGATATCAAGCGGTATTTGTCTTGAATAAGCTCTCCAATACAAGCAGGATAGTACTTAGTTGCATCGTAACTGGTGCTGCTGTCTTCTTCATGGTTAATATTAGAATGACAATCGCTCGTGTATCTGGCTACTGTTCTAGTCAAGAAGCGAAGCCGAGAAGCCTCGAAACGAAGCAGACGCTGGATCGCCATCGAAATAGTTAATTCTTCTGTAGCAGAAAAGTCGGCATACCGCCGTTAAATACCAGGTATCGAGCACCGGGCCGTTATTACATTTATCCGAAATTCGGTGCCTGATCTAGTTAGCCTATTTCTTTCATAACTTTGCACGCCAGAATTCAAGAGAAATAAGGTGGTCAAGAACAAAGTTCTAGAAGATCTACCGCTATTGGCTGCACTACAAACGACAGAGTAAGATGGCTCCTCAGTAATCATTTTCGGTAATTTGTACAAGCAATTTAAAACTACTTTCAGGTGTTCGCGGGCCGAACCGAACAAGACCCACAGGCCCACTGTCCCCCGCATCAGGCTTCCTCCGCTTCCCCACCAGATGCCTTGCCGGATTCCCCGGCTTTAGGCAAGTAATCCATCACTTTCTTGCCTCCATTGTACTTCGCTTTGGAGAACCAAACGTGACTGCCCCCAATGGGGGTTGGATAGTAATGGGCTGATGTGATTCTGAGGCCCTCTTGTGACGTTATAACGAAATTTGCATGAAAAGGATCCTCTCTCCCATCGGCCTTGTTTGCACGATGTGGTTTTTGCCTATCACTATGTTGGCAAAGCACACGCCCCACGAACAGGACAATTCATACTTTACTTCCGCTTTGGCCGCTTGTCTCAGCTCAGGAAAAGCATCTTTCACTTTGAGAAATTCGGTCTCAATGGCGTTCTCAGCCAATGCTGGGTTGATCCCTTCGACATTGGCGGTGCCCTTTCGCCAGAAAAACTCAAGGACCCGGCCAGTTTGAGTAGAAAAAAACTTCTTTATCTTCATTGTGAATTACACGTAGCAAAAGAGGTTTGAATAGTAGTAACACCCCGACGACCTCCGGAATTCCATGTCAGATAAACATCCAATATACATCCTTTGGGCAGGCGCGACCTTCTTCTTCCCTTCCTCGCTTAGTACGGCGATCGATGGAGGGAAAGAGAATAGAGCAAGGCTTGGAACTGGAGATGTGTATCCTGATTTGGACTCATGTTCTTCTTTTCTCTTGCCTTCCGCTGGTGGGGATTGAGAAGGGGATAAAGGAGCTGGAGCTGGAGCTGGAGCTGGAGCTGGCAAGGTCCCTCCTTCAATATCAGGGAACTTACGACTTTGTCTCAGTTGGCTGGAGAGACGGATAGCCCCAGCCATGAGCCTTGGACATCTGCCGTGCATAGGTATAGTTTGTCCTGCCTCTCGCTGCATCACACGGTTTGTGACCCAGGCGGCAGCGAGGGTGAGTACCAGAAGAGGAAGTGCTGCTGCCGGATACAGTTTTGGATTGGCATTCAAGTCAGGTATAGCAAAAAAGCTCTTACTCTAATGTCAGATATCCATCGAAGATAAGCGCTTTCCAATGAGCAAACACTTACTGCGACATATGATAACGGGATATAGATCAAGGCTAATACAGTCAGCCCAGCGACCGACCGGCTCTGGGCCACGGTGGTCAAATTGAATTCCTTTGGTCTTATTAGCGTTTCCACGATACTACCTTATCATCAACGCTTGGGTCTATACCAAGTTAATTAAATTGGATAGCTGATCTTTGAGTGTATCCAGCGTGATCATATTATGGTCGAGCTGTCTCTTCATTTGGCGCAACTGGTCGCTCAAGTCTTCCCCAATGCGTCCATTTTGTTTGTCTCTAGTGTGCACTATAACGGCCTGGTAAAAACGGAGGCTTTCCCTCACCTCAACCACGGTGGCTGTCTGTTGGTGCAAAAGGCGTGTTCTCACAGCGACGGGTAGACGATTTCCGGAACTACGCAATTCCGCCTCACGGAGTTTGTCTCGCAGAGTATCGAGAATTGACGTCCAGTCCGCGAAAAGATATAGACAGTCGGCAATCCCCCATCGTGGTTCCTTTAGGAGTCGTTTCCACCTACGAGCCGAGTCGCTACTGTAATGTTTCGTCACGGTCTGGATGAGATCTGGTCTGGCGTGGTTGCCAATAAAAATCATAACGGGGTTTCTCCCCGTTGTCCGAAAGGAAGTTGCTAGGTAGCAAAGCATGAGTTCGTGGGGTGGCAAAAGCAAAGAATTAGAGTGGCCCATACTAAAAGATGTACGCAAGTATCTTATTTCTCCAGTGCGGCTGCGATTGTCCGCTGTCGCAGTCAAATGGCTCATAGAGAAATCAAATCCTAAAAAATTGCCAGGTTAATTTCTATAATCCCAGAAAGCTAGCCGGTATTGGGTAAAGTCAGAATAAAGAGAACACAAATGCACACTGACCCTCCGATGCATGGAATGAATTCGATGCATGGAATGAAGGTAGTAGACTCGGCCCCTGAGATTCTGGATGCTCAACCGCTGCTAAATACTGAGTCGGAAAACCAGGGAACTTTTGCAGTAAAGCGCCTTTAAACAACGGATCCCACCGTTCAATAATCCTAGTTCATTAGCTCGCTGTTAGTGAATATCTCCGTCCAAGTGGAGTTGAAACTCACAGAAGACTTGCGTCTTCGATATGTCTGTCGGCCACATCCTCAAAGCTACGCCCGATAAAATTGGCGAAGTCTTGCAGCTCTGTGCGCTGGAATGATCGGGTCTCAGTTTTGATCTTTCCGTAATAATCGAGTCGGCCTAAAGCTGCCGAAAGTGGGCCTTCAAATGGCACCGACATTATCGAATCGAAAATGAGAGTGTTATGACTATAGATTTTCGGATGTAAGTGTAAAGTCCCTTGGTAGCCTTCTTGTTTTCCCAGCCATGACTTACTTGGATGTCCGTCGTCGCCTGTTTTATGACGGCTGACCAGGCGAGGCAGCAAACGGTACTTAAACAACCCCTCTTAATAGGAGTTTGCTAAGACGACGAATCAATCAATGACGCATCAGCGTGGGATGCACGCCAATTAGCTCCATAATTAGAAGACAGGGTTATTATGTGCGTGTCAGAAGCTCAACATGTGTCACGAAGCCATAGGAAAGTGTTGTTAGCCCCGCTAGTATTGTCTCTGCAGAAGTCACCCCTCCACTACCATATGGGAGGTTGATAGGTTGGAATAATGGTCAGCATGGTCAGATAATGAACTCCTATTTTACTAGACTCATTCAACAGTTATTCAAAACTAAATGGTTATAAGACTAGTTAAACTATAATATATTTTAGTATATAATACATTATAAATCTAGAACTTTGTCATTTTGTAAGATAGCATAATAAGTTAAGAAACTGTAGTTATCTAAAACTATATATTTGCACGAATAATACAGAGTTCTCGCTAAATAGTATTTTGTTAATAAACATATCCTCTTTCTAAATGGTCGGACATGTCATATTTTTCTGCTAATGTAGTATGCTAAACTACCTTTTTTTAACAGTGTTTTAACCATTATTCTAGTCCACCAAGTTCCCGTATGCTATGTATGAGCGAATCCTACAGAGACAATACTGCTCTGAGGGTAGCCTTAACTCTACTAACTGCTTTGTGCCTAGGTAATATATGTTCTTTACATTCTATACTATTTCTGCCTTTAAGTGCCCTGTTGTGGCGGAACATATTCTATTCTCTGACCTGTTACCAAGCTGTTGTCATCAGCGTGGTTCCATTCTATGCAACTCTAGCTAGGTAGTTATTTTTGTTAGCTTGTATTTCACCTTCCGGCCACCCTAATAATCTGTCCCTCGGACTGTATATATTGTGAACAGCATCATTTGAAGCTACCGGATTTTGCCTGCGAGAATGGACATGTGGCTACACCTCGTGCCTTGATTACCTCCATGTCAAGGCTCATTTCTTGCAATCCTTTTCCCTTCTGTGGCTCCGGCCCTATTGTCATCAAGTCATATCCTTGTGGCAGATACCGGTCTCCGCCCGAACCAGGCATCCTGCCTCCGAATATTCTAACCAGCAACGCCCCCGGTCCCCATTTTGACCAGAGAGTAGGTCGGACGTACCATGGTTGCAGGCCCTTTCTGTCGAAGTTGTACAGATTCGTTTCCCGGTTTGGCGTATCATGCACGAGTTTGACGGCAAGGAAAGAGGGACGTGGAAGTGCAAGATATCTAAGGACTAACTTTCGTGAATGTCGGACGAAGCCCAGCACAATGGAGAGGAGAAGGCTGGGAGATTCGAGACTGGGGCTGTGAGCAACGTACGTGTTTTTACGGGTGGAAAATGGGGGTACAGAACTTACCCAAGGCTTGTCCTCATGATATCATCCAAGTCAGCACCCAACATCTGTCGCACCACTGGTTTTATGAAGCCGGGAAGCGCAGAATCCACGTAAACTCGCACGTATTGGTCGTTTGTTGCAGTCGGTCTCGCGACTTCTTCCTCATAGTGGATTGTCCAGTTGCGCAGTTCCAACGCGAAGTGCAGGCCATCTTTCCACCCTTCTGCGCTCGAGGGAAGCGCATCAAATGGGATTCCCATATCTTCGCCCAGGTTCTTGTGAAAGATGCCAAGGGCACATTTCTCAACATCCGTAAGCTTACGCCACTCTTCTCTCTCAATCACATTCAGGATCTCGGCAAGACCATCACCCAAGGTGTGCAGAAGATCATCATCGGTAATTTTGTTGGCGCGGCGGTAGCGGGCATGGCTGAACGACGACAAGTTTAGTCAACTAAACGAAAGCCTGCTATTTTGGCTTCAGTTACATACAGATAATTCATTCTTGCCACGGCTGATGCATAACGGTCCGAATCCCGAGGCTGGGACTGCGACTCCCGTAAGAGAACTTCCGTGTCAACAGCGCGCTTACCCGCGTTACGCCTGGTGTTCTGGCCAGTAACGGCGAAAAGCTTCGACATAGTTGGAATACCACCGGCCTGTTTTTGGTAGTACGACGTAGGACTTAGCGTTTAGGGTAATCCAGCATCGAACGCTTCGGCCAGCTAGCCACAGATGCTTTTTATCGTACCTTTAGTAGGGCCATTCGACGAGCCTTGGCAAATGCATATGGAAACTCCATTTCCTGCAATTGGGTAATAATTGCATGAGCTTCTTCGACTGTCATGCTTGCTAATGGCCTCCCGCAACTGACGAATGGGGCCTCGATCTTTGCCATGCGGCGGTACCGAAGAAGCTTAACCAGTGCCATATAGCTGGTGAGACCTATGACAATTGCCAAGGAACAATTGTTCCATAGTGCATGGAAAGCTTCAGTTGCTCCAGGCATCCTGTCAACAGTCCCTGGCAGTTCTCGCTTTGAATCAGGAGAGGTAGGGCTATCGAATCGTCGTTTCACCACTGTAAGGTGCAAAATAGCTAGCCGCCAACTAAACCGTATTTTTCGCTCCGGGGTTGCTTTCAAAGGATTCTGAAGAAGTATCCCAGGGTGATCGAGGATATTTAAGACGAGTTCGAATTGACAAGAGAGGACTGTGAATCACTACGTCCCAACATAGCCTCAGATATGGAGAACGAGATATTGTAATCGGACCCATGCACCGAGGCTGCTCACCGAAATTCCCGGTCACCAAAAAAACAAATTATCCTTAGGCAGAGTATCGTTCATGAGTCTAATGATCTTTAATCTATCCCCGACCCTGGCCAGTTATCTCAATTAGTCTCGTTAAAGACGCAGCCAGAAACGCATATATGGCGTAGTAAGTCCAGCACTGTAGCATGTTCTGGGGAAGATAGTGCTGACTGCTGACGGCTGAAAGTACCTAGGAGAAGTCGACGTGCTGGCCAATCAAGGCGCGTATGTAAATGGGCAAATTGTCAGCCCTAGAATAAACGGGACCCGCTAACATCTCGGGGTGGCTGCCATGGACGTTATGGTTGATTCGTAGCCGCAGGTGAAGGTGGGACGACGTGTTGGGATTCGCTTGTTGAATCCAGTTCCATGGATGGATTGCAGTCAACCAATGAACTTTGGGGAACAAATAAACGTTGAGCATTGAATTGCCGAGGTTTAAAAGATTACAATATCGGATCACGCTAGTTTTACGCACTAAACGCCACAATTGATACAGTCCATTGACTCCATCCAGCAAGGCAGATATAGCGTTGCAAAAAGCAGTCTAATCTGCAAAAATTTAGTCGGTCCTCAGGCGACACCAGTCTCTTGCCAAACTCCGAGTCAATCCAGACATGGGGCCCCGCCCATCGAAACGAGCTGGACGCCCTCGTCTGGACGCCAGCAGGGACGCCATCCTCTCCGCCGATCGTCGCAGCCAGGTCCGTCGCGCCCAGCGCACATACCGACTGAAGAAGGAGGCCGCTTTTCGGAATGCGACCGCCAGAGCCGAACAGCTTCAAGAGAGAATGCGCACTGCCGCTGAAGAGGTAACCTGGCTGTCCGAGGTCGCCACAGAGGCGCAGCTGCATCTCTCTCATCCTGATATCTATGCGAGTCTGAAGCGGCTTTATGGAATTGTAAACGCCGATGATTATAGTCCGATCGAGGCCGGTGGTGCCCCTGCCGAGCCATCTGCGGATTCATCCGATCAAGTGTCCGTGGTCAGCGCGCAAGTTAAATCCCCCAGACAATACCCACCTACCCCTCCTCTGCCAACCAGCCAGCACACCTACGCATTCCAAGAAGTACGTTTCGCTCGTCGACTACAGCGATACTCCCTTGAGCATGCGTTTCGTCTCTACACGGAATTCCGGTCGGATCCGCGTGAGATCCACCGCGTGTTCCGGCTCGTCCCCTGTGTGAGGGATCGGGGAAAGACGCAGCCGCGCTTCCGGCAGCTGTTGATGGGCGGACGTACGGACCCTCTGGAGGTACCAGGTCTCCCATTTTACACCGTCGGCGGCGCGGGTACGCACTTCCCGGATGTCGATGAGGAGGGCAATGCGATATACCCGGCCAATAGTCGGATGCCACGGCGGGTTTTGGGGATATTGCCGTGGCCGGAGCTGGGAAGCAAGGGAGGTGAAGAGGCACTGGAGGTCTATGGGCTTGGAGGGGAGTGGTTTGATAGTCGTGATGTGGAGGGGTATCTCAGGCTACATGGGGTGGACGTAAATGGGGGTTTGTTTCCTACGCTGCACATACCCAGTGATGGCGCAGCTGAGAGGGATCGCACTCGGTCCTTTGTCTTGGACGTCGAGGGTTTTTTCGCACGTGAGTCCTTCATACTGCCGCGATTGTTCCTATGCTCATCGCTCCAGGGCTCCTCTCCGGGCTTGTCATCCTTGGCCGCGCACCCGGGTTTAGGAAGACAGACGTCCGGCGTGCATTTAAAGCTTCGGTAAAGAGGGTTGATCTTATATCACCGGTACATCATCCTTGGAATCATGTTCGATATGTACCTCGGAGCCTTCGGCTGATCACAATTTTCTAGGGGAACGACATGATTACAATATAATCTTACCAGTCCGACTTGATATGAAGTCCTGAGCCAGTATCTTTATCTCCATATTGTGATACCAAAAACCACTGCCAGCTTGGCCTCACTCGAAGATCAAAGCACCGTCGAGCGCATCGACACCGACTGCTACCGTTCTGCCGTTCCTCCCATCCGCATGGGCGATCTGGCTGACTAGGTCTAGCCATCAACGCTGCCTACGCGACCGTCACAGCAGGCCAGCACCTGTGCTCCATCAGTAGCTGTTTTGTGCAACCCCGGTAGCTCATCCCAGAACCTCATCTACCGCGTTGAGTGCATGCGACACGCAGACCTTCCAAACAAAGGCATCTCTGTGGGGGTCCAGTCCGGAGAAAAATCCGAACAGCTATGCTCAATTGCAACAGCAGACTTCACTCTGATGAACTGATTGACATGGTGAATTGTCCGGCTCGTTACTGTAGATTTAGTAAAGAGAAATAATTACTAACCCTACTTATATCTTAAGTTAAGTATTGTATTTATATGAGCTCTTCTAATGATCATATATCCTTACTACTTTAAGAAGGCTTATTACTGAATAAGAACCTATAGTACATAATACCTATTATTAATTATAAATACTTTTGATCTACAGCTCGAGGGATTATATAGATCTAATCTTAGGCTATAGCCTTATAAGTGACCCACCCTTTGCAGCAGTTTGGGTAAATATGGCTATGTAGTTCCTGTGCTATCTATTCTATTAAGATAGAGTGTCACAGCCAGAGAAATTCTATTACTTATGATGTTTGCTGAAAACTGGACAATTTTATGGTAGCCAAGACTCATATTGCTAGGCAACAACATAAGCCAATGCATGATCTCTGTCCTCATTGCTTGATGGGTTAGTCGTCAGCCTGAAAGTATTGCCTCTGAGGAGGGTCATTAGAGGTTCTGGGTCTGATCTACCATGTATTCCCTTTCTGGCTGATCTTCCCTGGTCAGCTACATCACCTGCAAGGAGGGATCAACCTTCAACAATCAGGTGATGCCATTTTTCAGGGCACGAATACCTTCCCAAGGCTATATGCTAGGAAAGAACAACAAAATGAGATGAGTCATCCATGCTGAGAGCGTTGCGGTCAAGGAGAGATGAGTTTATGGAGATTGGTTGCTAAGTTCTTCTGCTCCCTTCCGCTTGGTGTCATGGTCGAGGATGGGGTTGAGGGAATTTAGCGCAAAACCACGGGGGAAAATGAGGGTAGAGAGGCCCTTCTAGCAGAGGTTCGTAGAGTTTCTTTAGGTGGGATTCTGGATGTGTCTCACGTCGCCGTGGTACCTGTGTCCGTCTGCTCGTAAACACCCGCACGAGTACTGGATGGTACCAGTCAGCATTGTCGAGGGCATTGGATTAGGAGCTGCTGGGAAATTATGGCTGGCTTATGGATTGGTCCTGTACTGGGCGATTGGCGGGGAGATTTACTAAGCGGCGTGATTTGAGGTTTCTGTCAGAGTCATTGACTTGTTGTATATACCTACTCGGGATACTTCATAGGTCTGGACTGCTATATTATATATCATGTCTGAGCAGACCGCGATGACGAAGATACTTGAAGACTTGAATATGTATCATAGTAGAATAGTTCCAACATCTATCTGCCAAGTAAACTACCTGCTTCCATCACACCCTAGTCACGGACTCCAGGGGTGCCATTAAACCGAATACGCCTCAGAAACCGTCTGGGATCCTTAATCTCCGTCCGACAGTGCAAAAAACGCGCATTGTCCATCAGAAGGATAACATTCTCCTTGAAGACATCCTCAGAGAAAGACTGTCCCACAGTATCCCGCTTATCCAGAATGGCGTTCAATTCCGCAACGGCTGCATTGGCAGCCGGATCGTCACTAGGCGGATCGGACAGGATATCGCGACGGAAGCGCACAAGATATCGCCCCGTATTCGGTTCGATGGATAGCAACTTGTGTCTTGTCGTTGCGGCCCCCTTGTAAAACTCTGGTGGTACTTGGAGCTCAAATTCGTACTTGAGGAGGGTCTCGATCGAGGCCGGGGACAGTAGTTTGACGAGATCATCTACGGCGAGCACACGGAAGATACCCCCGCCCAACCTATCTGGATGGAGGATGTGTAGCCCGAAGTAGCGTTGCGGGCTGGCCTCGAAGCAGCCGTCGGTGTGCCAGGCGAATTCGCCCAGGGAGTGGGAAATGCTGACTACGTTGCCGCCAGTTTTCTGGCTGATGACGCCGCTGGGCCGGTAGGTTACGTCCCACTGAGAAGAAATGCTGGTTAGTGGGGGGATTTTGGAACGTGTTAAGATAAATGGGAAGCTAATACCAATGCACCCTGTGTGCTGGAGTGGGTGTCGGGACTACATCCCATCGCTTCCACGACTTCGAGCATAAATTGACTGTTCATATCACTGAAACCAAGCTCGACGGCAACAATGCCGTACTCTCTCAGGGCCTGTGCAAATGCATCCTTCATCTCGAGGCCGATTTCGCGTGAAGGAGCCTTGAAGGTGGTACCCAGCGGAAACTGGAACTCCTCGGCTTTGCGCTTCGAGGCCTGGAGGAACAAGGGCGACTTCCTGACTAGGTTTTGCAGGAAGACAAACTCTTGAGCAGGAAACGAGGAGTCTAGCCCTAATTGCTCCCGTGAAGGGACGGCAGATCTCAACGGAGAGTGGGATTCATGAAGCAAGCGCGGCAGGGCCTTGGAGGCCGACCTGAGGACGGTAAAGGCATAGGAACGGCTAGTATAGCCAGCCAGGCGCTGAAGGCAAGATCTGGGGACTTGAGAAGGGAGAGACATGGTAACGGGGGCGCCACACACTAAGCAGGGGAAGGGTTTCTTGATAGCGGCGTTGGAGCTTGCCTCTGAAGAAGATGCCCAAAACGAGAACTCGTAAGGGTTTATATAGATACAGATCACCATATCTCTATTTCTCAGCAACCAGCGCGTGAGAAAGTGGGTGGATGGTGATTGGTGCAGTTATTTTCAGTGGTGATAAGAATCATCCATGCATTCTTTTCGTTTTTTTTTTTTCAGCTGGATGAGACCTGGTGGGTCAACATGGGCTAGAGTACGTTGCAGATGTAAGGAGGTGCATTTTGGCAGATATTGAAGAGCGTAATGGTGTCTCCTGTCTGTATGTTTTACCGAGCAACTTTCCAGATTGGGAACAAGTAGTGAGGTTGCTCTCTCGGCGTCTCGAAAGATACCATCTCCCCTGTACCAAAGGGCAGGGATGTTCGAATCATGCTGCCTAGCTGACCGAAGACCGACAGCCGCTTGAGATGTCGGGAATATGATAGGTGAAGGAATCTTTGCCAAAGTTGGATAGACAGGATTTTTGTCTACTGTATGGACGGTCGACGCTCAGTGGGGTTGCTCTATCCTTGTCATATAAGAGCAATGCCAAGAGGGATTGATCTGCATCAGCCATTCAATCATGACCGAGATTCCCGCTTTTTCCCCCAGTACGAAGTGTCAAAAGGGCGCGCGCTGGAACATTCAAAGTCCCTTTCCCCACCGGCTTCCGGATAAAAGCGATCCGCCCATATCAGCGCATATGCTTCTGTCCGGAAATATATCACCGTGCTTCAACCATTGCAGCGTAACTGGTCTGATGAAGTGGGATTCCTCAGTTATTACCACTTGCTTTCCCATTGGCAAAAAGACGAAACAACATTGAATGACAAGATGCTCAACACTCAGCCGGCTGAGTCGCCACAGAACAACGGTGCGTGGACTGCTATAAGAAGTTAATAGCATATGCTTATCGTTTTGACTTCAAGAATCATGGAATGGATGTTCGTCAAGTCGAATCTGGGCCAGCGAGGTGGACAATCATTCGGCATTCCCGACGGCACTTGAGGATGTCTCGGGCCTCTCGGTCCCCGAAAAGCCATCCCGGTCGTGGCTTGCGCGGGTCTTGCTTGGCATCGGGGAGTTGGCGATGGACCAGTGGTTTCTGATTGTCATGGGCTTCCTGATTGCGTTTGCCTCGCAGATACAGGTGCCGCAAGCCCACCAGGAACTGAAACAAACTGTGACCAATTACCTGGCGGTTGCCGTCATCTTCTTCATTAATGGCTGCACCCTGCCCACGAAGGTCCTGGTGGAGAACCTCAGCCGGTGGAAGATGCATATCTTCGTCCAGGTGCAATGCTACCTTTTGACCTCATCGACCAGCTACGGGGTCGTTAGTGCGACGGCAACCAATCACCAATTTATGGACCCTGCGCTGCTGGTCGGGATTGTCATGATGGGCTGTCTTCCTACCGCGTATGCACACTTGCCTTGAATAAATTGGATGTTGATAAACGGCCCCCATTACTAATGAGAAGCCAACTTCAGAATTGCGTTCAATGCGATTATGACCAACAAGGCCAATGGAAATGCAGCCTTGACCGTAGCGCAGTCCACTATCGGAAACATCCTTGGTCCCTTTGTGACCACCGCCTTGATCAAGCTGTACATCAGCACGAATGTGTGGTACACGGACATTCTGCCGGAGACGTCTTCAGGATTTGGTGAGACTTATCGATATGTCTTCAAGCAACTTGGACTCTCGGTGTTTGTTCCGCTGGTGCGTCTTCTTTCCCATTCCTTGCACGTTCCTCTGTGCTCTCCGTTGACAGGGTCTTGGTCTTCTAGGCAGTGGGTCAGATCGTCGTGAAACTGTTCCCTAACCAGGTGAGAAAAGTCCTTCTGCAATGGAAAATGAGCAAGCTGGGCTCCTGTGCCTTGCTGGTGCTTATCTGGAGCACCTACGACGGTGCATTTGCTTCGAATGCGTTCGCTGAAATCCCGTCGAACAACATGATTTTTACCGTGTTCATTCTCGTCGCCCTATTTTGCGTCTGGATTACTATCGCCTTTGCATTATCCCGAGTGTGGCTTTCTCGCGAGGATACAATCGCAGTGTCGTACTTGGTTTCTACAAAAACCCCTGCCATGGGTGTGCCACTGACTACCATCATGTTCGTGGGTCTGTCGTCCGCCGAGCAATCACGGACTAGACTGCCAATGGTCATATTCCAGGCTATTCAGATAGCTGGCAGTAGTCTGTTGACGATACCGCTAAGGAAATGGCAAGCGCAGGGAAAGGTTGAGGGGAGAGGGGACGGTACGGCATGATCGTCCGAATGCTGACGCAGGGGGATCTACAGATGGAATTCTGGGCAACTGTATTGATCACATGTGAAGCCAAGAATTCAATGCAACATATAGAAGAGAATCACCAGAAAACGCAGATCACTGATCTAACGGCCAAAAGTCCGTGACAAGGCTGCGTGCCAAGTCGGAAAGTTTAGATTGGCCCCGTGTCTGCAGTGTACGCCGTCCAATCGGATCACCATTGATGTAGCAAGGATTTGAAAGATAAGTAGTGTAATAGACCCCACAGACTTGCCTCTCGGCATTAGGCAGCAGCATAGTTTTTTGTTCCTGATGCAGTAACAGAACCGGTGGTGTCCATGCGACATCTGTCGCCATTGAGTGAAGCCATGCCGTGATGATTGTACAGGTAGACCTAATGCACGGTCAAAGAACATGGGTGTTGATACACTCGGTGTACTATAACAGCATAGCCATTTACAACGTCGGCAACCTGGGTCCACGATAAGCCTCTTTTTAGGAACCTAGATCCAATCAAATACGCAGTGGCGTTTTGGAGATGCGGTGGTACCGCACAGATGACTGTCCATGCATGAGTAGGTTACTTATTCAGCCCTAGATAATCATGCTGATCAGTCCTTCTCAGTATCAATTACTAAAATAACAGTTGACTGACCCAAGACCAATTTAAATTGTGAAGAAAAATGTCTATCAGAAGGATCAACACCTTAGTCATAACATCATTCCAGCGGTGTCTGGCACATGTCTCATTACCAAGCCTATCTACTAGTATCATTTCACCTGCACATGGACTATCGCTGTGCTGTGAGTGCCTGTATCTATGAAAAGACTATGAAATCTATCCATCCACTGTTCTTCAGAGCTTATATGTCAGGGTCATTGACTTGTTGTGTACTCCGGAGGATAGCTGCTTAGGATACTTCATAGTTCTTCACTATGATATTATATATCATGACTAAGTGGACTGTGCTGGCGAAGCTACATAGACGCTGGGAGACTACTAAGGACATAGAAAATTATGTGACTATTGCTACTAAGCTAGGAGTGGTTGTCCAGGTCGCCTTTGGTTTTAGTAGTAATATTATTAACTTAGGGCTATAGCAGGGGGTAATAGTATTAGGCTGGCTGAATTCCCAACCCATAGTCCAGGGTGTATCTTCTAATTGCGGAGCAAAGCAAAGCATGTCTTATTGTATCTCCTTTCATCTTCCTGGCTCAGCGCCTAATCTGATTAGTCTAAGAAATACGCATTCTAATGTTCTTATTAGTTCAAAACCTAGCCTTCTTATTAGCTTTTGAAATTTGATATCATGTGCTGTCTGCACTATACCTTTAGAGGTAGAGGGGCCTTAGGGCAAAGCCCCCAGAGTATCTGTAATTACTCTCTTCATTATAATAGTTCATAGTATTTTAAGTTAAATATACAGTTAAAGGGGGTCTAGGTGCCCTGCGCCCCTGGTTAAATATTAATGCCTTCCTTACTTATATCCCTCTCTCTTACTCTCAAGCCGCTCTAGAGACTACATACCTATAAGCCATACCTGACTAGGCCACCTAGCATCTAATAATAATCAATAATTAATGATTAAAGTACTTATCATACTGCTTGCTCCGCACGCCTTCGGTGGTTGCAGACCAGCTACACCTAGTATAAAATAGTAGGTAGTGGTACTTGCTGGTTATTGTAGTTGGAACACTCTCTGACTACTTACCTAATGCACACAGGACACGTGTAAACTAGTATCTTTTGTAGACTTTCATGTAGGAGAAAATACGAAAATACCAAGTTACTAAAGCTTATCCTATCTATATACTACATGAACCTCCATCTCATCTGCACAATGGGACCAGACAATGCCTTTCTCGATGCCTTTCTCCATGCGTGCTGTGAGGGTGAGCTGTTAAAGACCCAGGAAGCCATTGCCAGCGGGCGACTAACCCCCGATGATCTCAAGTAGGGACTTGAGCTCGCCACTGGAAGCGGACACCCAGACATCGTGGCCGCGCTCTTCGACGCCGGTGCTTGAGTGTCAGCCTCAACGGCAGGCTTCCTCCCAGGGAGGACAGACGACAGCACCCGAGCGTCATTCGCCACTTCCTTCACCATGGCCTTGATCCCAACACGAGCCTTTCTAGCGGCGAGCCTCTTTTATCGTACGTATCGGCCTTGCTAGTAGAATATCTGGAGCTGAGACTGACTCCTTCTAACAGCCTCCTAACCGATCCCGCATGTGCTCGCGAATTACTCTCACGAGGCGCTGACCCCAACCATTCTGACCCCGGGGGGGGTGTACCTCCCCTCATCCGCGCCATTGTTGGCACCCGTGAGGAAGACACATCGCTGCCTGAGCTGCTTCTCGCACACGAGGCTAAGCTAGACTCAGATAACATTTGCTGCCGTGGGTCCGCGTGTGCCCCAACGAGAGCTCATGACTAGGTTTCTTCTGGCTAAGGGTCTTGATCCTAGAACGACCTCTGAAAAATGGGGCACTCCTCTGCACCTCGCTGTCCGCCTCGGGCAAGCCGAATCTTGTTAAACTACTGCTGACTGGCTACGACTTCAAATAAAGGCCAACATGCTAATCCACACGGATCACCACCTTTCCTGTATGCGTCGACTCCCACAGATATTCATATGCTTCCCTAACATTCTCGAAGCTGAAGATTCGATCAATGACAGGCCGGATTGATCTTGCCTCGAAGCATTCCAGCATCTCCTGCAACTGCTCTCTCGAGCCGACAACCACTCCTCGGACGATACATAAACGATCCAGTGCCAGGAAAGCAGCATCCGGTCCACGGAGGTCCTTGCCGGCACCCAATGGATCCGGGTTCGTGATATGTCCGATGCAATGGATAATTCCGTGCATCGCGATAGCATCGAACGATCCCTGGAGAGTCAGTGTTCCTCCGACCTCAATGATATGGTCGACTCCTCGGCCATTCGTGATCTGCTTGGCCTGGGCAGCCCAGTCAGGGTTTGTGCGGTAATTAATTGTATGCGTTGCGCCGAGTTCTTTCGCTTTAATCAATTTTGCGTCGGACGAGGACGTTACGATAGTCGTTGCGCCCGCTGCATGTGCAATCTGCAAGGCAAATGTCGAGACACCGCCAGTTCCTTGGAGAAGGACGGTCTGACCGGTTCGCAACGGTGTTAGACCGTATAAAGCATTCCAGGCAGTGAGGGCGGCACAGGGAAGGCAGGACGCTTCTTCGAAGGAGAGATAGTCCGGGATATGGATTACTCCGGTCTTAGGGAAGATAAAGTACTCGCCAAGCAATCCCTGTGTCTCACCCCCCAGTTGCGTCAAAAGTGTCCGCATATCGAGTCGACCAGCGAGGTGATCTTGGGTAAAATTGGCAAGGACTCGGTCGCCAGGCTTCCATTCTGCTACTCCTTCCCCTACCGCTTCGACGACGCCTAGTGACAGGTTAACAAGAACGTGGACCCATTGCAGTTGCAGATAATTGGTTACCGGCACCGTCGCTACCTGGGACAAGCGCATCCGGTCCTGGAAATGGGTACGTTCCCATAGCGATGATCGCGTCTCTCCAATTGAGTGACACAGCTTTGATCTGGACCAATATCTGACCATATTTGGGAGAGACTTTGGGGACCTCACACAAAGTGAGGCTATCAAAGCCTGCTTTTTGAGGAAGATAGTATTGCTTGAATGATGATTGAGACATGATAAAACCTCGGTTGCTTGGTCTGTCTTAGAATTCTCCCTGGCGGCGTGGGGACGTTTTATAATATCGAAATCATGAATATTAATAGCATAACTGACAGTACAATAGTCATATTCTTGCTTTCATGAAGGCTGTTGATGCGCCATTTACGCCTATCGCGCCGTGCAGCGGATGTCGATGAATTGTCAAGATGTGGAAACTGGGCCTCGGATCCTGATTTAAACTTTCAAAGTGGGGGGGGGGGGGGGGGGCACTCTCAAAAAAGCCATCTACGCCGGGCACACGAAACCAAATGAAGAAAAGAACAAGCCAAGGAAAGCTGCTCGATCTCTATGGGCTAGTATATAGAACGGGGCTTGGACCCATAGAAACGATAACATAGCCAGGAACCAACAAGAAGATCTCTTAGCGGCTGAAATCGACGAATCAGCGGCGGGAACGGGCAAGGGGTGTATGCAAGATGAAAATACGAACCCGATGTACGAATGCGAATCCGGCTTCCCCGGCCGGGGTTCGTCCCACACGCTTGCCGGGTTCGTCCAATCATTCCTAATTGACGCTATTTTGATAACTTGCCTTGGCCCGAGGGCCAGTGAGAACTAGGTAGGGAGTGCACGGAAAAGTGATGTGTTCCCATTGTGATTGTTTACCCTCGCCGGAGAGGGCTTCAACAAAAGGGTCCGCACCTGGATTGCAGTTTGAGACACACGGGCTTCGGAGTTTAGCACAGAAGGTACCCGAAGCCGAGAGCTTGGAAGCCTTGGCTATATAAGACGAGGTCCCTCTACACTCCGTCAGTAGCCCTTTACTGTCATTGAAACGCCTGGAGATACCTTTCTTAACGTTGAGGGAATGGACGGCAAACAGAACGCCAACACTCGCGAGTCCGAGCCACCTCAAAACATGACAGACATTCGGCCGGCGGTCCATCTGGACATAGAGAAAGGGTCTGATGATGCGAATTCCCTTTCTGAAGTATCAGGCAATGGCGAGATGATCTCATCACCCATCCAAGCTTCTACCGAGGGAGGCCAGAGCGGCGACATTGTCACATGGGATGGAAACGATGATCCGGAGAATCCTATGAACTGGTCTATGGGGAAGAAGTGGCTCACCATCGCTTGCATCTCTATCTTAACACTTGTTACGTACGTCGCCTCGAAGCCAAAGGTTGCTTGCACTTGAAGCTGATAGCTTTTCTAGGCCGCTGGTAAGGATGGATGGTATAGATTTTAACATACAGGGAAAGCCCTCAACTGACATCAGACATCGTGCAGGGCTCATCCATGTTTGCACCGGGCATCCCTCGAATCATGGTCGAATTCAAAGAAACATCGCCTCTATTGGCAACATTTGTGGTATCCATCTATGTACTCGGCTTCACCTTTGGTCCCTTGGTCGTTGCGCCTCTCAGCGAGATTTATGGTCGAGCGCCCCTGTATAACTGGGGAAACGTATTGTTCGTCCTCTTTACAGTCGGAACAGCCCTGTCCCAAAACATGGCCATGCTAATGGCGTTCCGATTCTTGATGGGGCTTGCTGGTTCCGTACCAATCACAATCGGAAGTGGCAGTATTGCTGATATAATGCCGATCGAGAGCAGAGGAAAGGCCATGTCAGCCTGGGCTCTGGGACCTCTTCTGGGGCCTTGTATTGGCCCTCTCGCCGGGGGCTATCTGATACAAGCTGCTGGCTGGAGATGGGTATACTGGTTGGTAACGATCCTGGTAAGTCTAGCTCCGTTCTTTGTGCCGCTCGGAAGAAGTTAGAATATTCATTCGCAATAGGGCGGTATATTTATCCCCGGTTCCTTCTTGCTCATCAAGGAAACCTCTGGCCCCGTTCTCCTTAGGAAGAAAGCCCAACGACTTCGCAAAAGAACCGGGGACATGTCGTCCAAACCGGCTGAAGAAAGCGGACAGGCTATAGGTCAAAGATTCAAGTTGGCCATTGTCCGACCTCTGAAGCTACTCCTCGTTACCCCTATCGTCGGTTTGATGGCTCTGTACATGGCAGTTGCTTATGGGATCTTATACCTCCTCATATCCACTTTCTCGTTTGTCTATAAGGACAACTACAATTTCGACGAGGGCCAAGCCGGCCTGACCTTCCTTCCAGCCGGCATCGGCATGATGATTGGGGTCGTAACCTTCGGTGCTCTCTCCGATGCTATTGTCCAAAAAGCACAGAGAAAGGGACTGGAGCATCGACCAGAGGTCCGGTTAAGCCCTGTCCTGACCACACCTTGTTGTATCGCTCTCCCTGCTGGCTTGTTTATCTATGGGTGGACAGCGCAATATGCCATCCACTTCATTGTCCCTATGCTTGGTGTGGCCGTCTTCAGCTGCGGGCTCATGGGAGTCATGGTACGTATCAACTCTTCCATGTCCAATTGCTCTGTGACAGACTCTAATATATGATGCGTAGATGTCCGTACAGAACTACCTGTTGGACACCTACCCACCCTATGCAGCATCCGTTACTGCTGCCTTGGCTGTTCTCCGCTCTCTCGCTGCCGCCTTCCTACCTTTAGCAGGCTTGGACATGTATAATACCCTTGGGCTTGGCTGGGGAAACAGCTTGCTGGGGTTCATCTGCGTAGCAATGATCCCAATCCCTTATGTCCTCTATACCGTTGGCGAACGGCTGCGCAGACGTTTCGATCCAAAGCTCTAATTTAAACATGATATGCCACCCCCTGCCACTACTCTGCGCACCTTTACTTTCTCTCCGTGTCATAGATATATTCGCCTACATACCTCTTAACGCACAATCAGGTAGTGGCATTTTGCACACTTGGGATTGGGGCTATTGCAGTGACTCTGTGACGTTGTCGATCGTAAGTGGCAACGCTGTCGAAAGCCATTGGGAATTGCTAAAAATAATACCACAAAATTGCTAAAATTACATCACACACCCCATTTTTAATTCAACGCAGTATGTGTAATACTATCCATCAAACCATTGCCTGGGCTCAGTCAATTTTCGGAACCACCCGGCTCTGCAACAGCTACGAAGGGCGTGTCCTCGTCCATATCGTCAGAAATGTGCCCATTTTCCACACATTTCTTCGGCCACATGATCCAATCTCTCCAAGACGGGTCCAAGTCATGCTCCACCACGTGTAGGACGCTCGTGCTCCAACCTTGGCTTAGCCAGCTCTGATGTTCGAATGCTCGAGTCAAAGCTGCGTAATGTGCAAGAATAACAAGTGCCAATGGGTGGCTATTCCCTATCATATCAATGAACAGCTGTGGCAAAGTATTTGGCCAAGCCCAGACCCAGCGTGCACTAAGAAGCGGCTCGTTGTTCGTGGTAATCGCGTAGGTACTGGAAAGCGATTCGATAGCGATCAGGCAGGCCGATCGGTCGTTGATGACTGTAAATCGAGGGGGATCTCACGTGCTAGGACGGAAAGCTTTTCCATCCGACGCTGAAACATACTGTTGGGTGATATCCTGGGTGGCTCTTCGAACTGCTGGAGGAGGACGCCCAAGGGCCCTTCTCGCCGCCATCTCTCCATCGGTTTGAAGTCCAGGATGGTTTGCAGTCCTGGCATGAGTGAGAACATGCTAGCAACGTCTTTCGCCGTAATTACTTTATCTTCATCCTGTGGGTTTGCAATAGTAGCCAGTGCCAGCACAACAATGAAGGTGGCGAGGAGGAAGAAGGCCACGCAGTTCTCCTCATTGATAGTATGAAGGCAGGGTGAAAAATGTTGCAGCGCCAAGTCCTGGTAGGCAGAAGATATAATCGCATACTCTCTCCGTTGGTCCGGGTGAGCGTGAGCATAGTGTAGTGCTGAGAGAGCCAGCAGGCCATGCATCAGGCACTCCTGTCTGCTTGTTACAAATGTATTCTCGAAAGTCTTTAGATGGTCTTACGTGAGAGCAAGCAATTTGCGGCACGACCAATCTCCAGAGGTCGGCTGTTTCTGGTTCACGGGCGAGTACAGAATAAGCACTAGAGCAATAATGATGGAGGAGCCGCAGGCTTTGCATCCATTCTGGACGTTTGATGACACCCGCACTTTCCTCGACGAAACTAGCGGGCACTAGACCAGAGGACACTTCTGACAGAGGAGAGCGGGACAGAACATTCCTATGAGACTCTCGCCTGTCAACAACAGGGCTTCCGGCCGTCGCAAACGTCGTGTTGTCGTTTAGCACGTCCCCGGAACCAGAAGACGGGCGTGAGTCGTCAGATGTGACCAAGCTGCAGGGAACATCGTGTCGCACACAATCTCCGCAGGGACGCTGCTCGTCACACTGGATCCGGAGTGGTCAGTCCGGCAAGGCAATGTTTCGGATTGTGCTAAATTACCTTAACATGGCGCGCCTTGCAGCGAAGACATCCTTTCCGTGATTTACGATGGCCGACCCGCTTAACAGGCATGGTTCCACATGTGCTTGGCGCAATACGAGGATCTTTCGTGTAGGATTGGAGGCTATGGAAGGGCGAAGTGGTGTAGAGCCTGCAGCAATGGTCGGATTCGTATAAAGCACTGAAAGGTCGTATACGGGATCACAATCACCGACCCCGTCGGACCCATCAAACCTGGATGCTGATGTCAGGTGACAGTCAAGTTTCGGGTCCGGGTCCGTATTCACGGATACGAATCCGAAAGCGAAATAAGGTGCTCATCCCCCGGATCAGGATGACTCCGAACGCGCATTAGCTGCCGATCAGCAGCTGGATCCTATGCACATGCACTGTCTGCCGCGCCGGGGTGGCGCATGCAACTAATGTCATACCATCTTGGGTTGGTGCCCAATCGTGAATTTTTGTGATCACACCATATCCAATTATTTCCTGGGGCTGAGTCCGCGACTGTTGCTTTAAAACCCTTGAACGAATATATTCGTTTCCGAGTAACCTGTCCTTGATTAAAGACAATGAATTTGAAATGATGATCTAGGATCTCACTACCCTATTATTACAGTCTTCCATCGTGTCTACAAGAGTGTGGAAAGAAAGGAATGTCTGCTGGTACAGAAGAACCTGCTGAACTTTCATCCCAGTTACCATGCTACTCAATGAAGTACTGCTATCGTTTTCTCCAGCCTTTTAACTGCTCCTCTGCCGCTGCTTCTACCCGGTTGGCGAGCCGTTCCTCATAGGTAACTAGTCGGCTCTCTATCGAGCAGTCATTTCAAGATATTTGGTGAACCGTTCAGTCCGTACCTCTCGTAACAGAGAACAAGCCTCTCAGAAACGTCCAAATTTCCTGCGTTAAATTGGTCGTCGAATGATGCCATGACCAGCTTCCTGATTTTCTCTTCGTAAGGCAGTTTGACAATCTTAATCTGATTGATAACCATCCAGTTCCTTTTCATTCCGCGCTGCTCAAAACCTCCCGAGGGCCCGCGCCATTAGGCGGTCGTTCCATCAGGACTGCTGCTGACATACATGTATGATCAAGAAGTCTACTGATATTTGTCGCCCTTGCTGACCCCAAGAACTCGCTTCGGATATGATAAACAGAATACAGAGAATAAAATACTAAAAGCTGGAAGTATTGATCTGACTTTGGATAAGGGGAGATATCGGAACATCCCACCTTCACCCTCAATACGAACAGGGACCTTTTGACAACTTCAACAGATGATAAAAAGAAAGGCAAACACAAGGATATGCCTTTAAAGGCCGATGAGCCCAATAATGTACTCTTCAAAGTGAGCATAGCCGCCATACTGCTTCCCCGATCCCTTAACCCCTCCTTGAACGACACCATTTGCGCGCTGATGGAGGACCTCATCGAGGACGACACGCGTTTTGGTAACATTCGCCTCCAAGACATGACCGTCAGGCAGCTGGTAACTGACTAAGATTCCGCCAACATTGTTGAGCCCGGTCGTGGGGGATATGCAGCTTCGCCGCCCCATTGACGGATCTGAACAGAGCCATGGCCACAGCCTACATGAATAGGCTTACCATTTTTGGCCACATAAGCGTAAGGGTAGGTTCTGTTGTCCTTTTCGGTCACCGCGAACCAGACAGCAGAGTATGGGCCAAAGCTAGCATGACCCCAATCCCAAAATTTATGGGAGGATTGGACAATGGAGGCATCCGCGAAGTTCTTGTCATGATAACCAATACCGTCGGTGAACTTCACGCGTGTGCCGTCAATGGTAACGTCAACGTCGGCTATAGCATCCGGTACGGCGTTCGACCAATAGAGATTAGGGGCCAGAGCTTCACTGACCCCTGGAACGTTAAGGTCGCATGGATAGTGGGCAGGAGCACGCTATTTGTGTAAGCAGATCATGTTTCAAAAACCAGGGGAAACTCCAGCCCCCAGAAAGAAATCTACTTACCGATTTCAGGGTCACAGTGCCATACACATTAGTCTGCGTTGAGTTGATAGTAATGCGATACGTCACATTCGGCTGATCCAGCGGAGAACCGACAAAGCTGGCGTCTACACCTTTCCACTCTCCTCGAATGCCCTTCGCATCATTGGTGACTGTAACGCCGCCATCAGCTGCGGCGGTCTTGTGAAAACGAGTGCCGTTAGGAAAAGCTCCAGTCACCTGGAAAGCCAAGGGGTGCGGAGTTCGTAGATCGGGAAAATTGAAAAAGACGACTTCGACTGCAGCGTCATTACCGGGGCGTGCTGCCTGAGTGTCGAAGTACCAAAAATCCGACGTAGTCCGGTTCACTGACGTTTTTGCCTTTGCGCCATCAAGGTTGCCGGGAACCGACACCTGCTCAACTAGCACGGTGCCGTTGGTGAAAGCCGGTTTGAGATGAACAGTATAGCCCGAAGCTAAGCCAAAGAGGAGCGAGGCTATAATTGTTGCTGAGAGGAACATCATGGGCAATCTCAGCTCTCGCAGTAAATCGTTTGGAAGCTGGAGTTAAAACAAGTGCGATGGGATTTACATTGGGCTGACCGTAGGAAGCTTGCCGGAGATTTATAGCCAGAGCATCCAGGTCAAATGCAACCCAGCGCCATTGCGGTTTATCATCTCTAACCAAGCAGCAGTATTGACCCACAAAGCTAAGAGAGTAGGCCGACGATCTGACTCCCCTTCAGGAGATTATGATATAACAAAAAGTTACCCGGTCTCACCTTCGAACAGTTATTATAGGAAACATCTGAACCGTTCTTTCTTGGAAGTGGCTATCAGCCAATTCGATATTTGCCGTATTAGTATCCGTACTCGTATTCTTGCCTTGGATATAGGCCCCGTCCCGTTCCACATGGAAGATCAAAATATCCAGGTACATAGATCCACTTGCATTGGTTTAGATAATGACCCTTCCGCGGATAGGTGCTACTTTCAGCAAGTCTTCCTGTCGACCATGATTTAACCAAAGGGCCAAACAAGAGTACGTACTTGGCATTGGAAACAGGGGCTTTCCTTCCGCGCTCAGCTATCACCGATAGTTGAAGGCCGCTGACCTCGGAAGCTCTTGCTTTTTGAACTAGGGCTTCAAAATACCTTCGATGATTTTTTTTTTTTTCCTTTTAGCAAACCCCCTTGACACGTCATCACAGGCAGCATATCTGGGCGGTAGCATCCATTGGTGTGGAAGATGAGATACATAGCAAATGAGATATAGAGCTGATGTTAATACCAACCTTTTTGCCAGACGGCGTGTTTGGAGTCAATAAAGGTTTGAGAGCAAGCTTCATAAGCGGTGCGAGGCATCTTTGCTTGCATTGGGACTTGTGCTGCCTCTGTTACAGGACCGAACGATACGCTCTTTACATTTGCCACTTTTCATGCCTGCTAGAAATCCTCACATCTTCCGATTTTCGTAATCATTTGAGCTAACCCTTCATTGCCATATATTGTCCAGTAAAACCTACTGCCCAATAGTTATAAGAATGCTTGTAATAATAAGCACTCCCCTAAAAACCACAGTGTCTAACAGATTTAACGATGATGTTCGTGATGAAACCATCAGAATTCTTCTCACTAATCTCTTAGATCTAGTTCCATCTCAGCCTTCGCCACAATATCCCGAGAACTGAATCCAGCCTTGAAAGAGAATTTGCCCCTCGGTATGACCCACGTCTGGGAACTAGTATCCCAGTAGCTGACATCGCGCCTAAGAAGTTCAAAAGTAATCTTTCGTGTCTCGCCCGGTTTCAATGCAAGTTTTTCAAACCCCCTCAGGACCTGCACGGGTGTCCCTTGTGGTGTCGTTTCGAGCGGCAGGGATACATACAACTGAGGCACAGTCGAGCCCGCCTTGGATCCAGTGTTAGTGACACTTGTGCTAACTTGCAAAACTGGTACCCAGAGATCAAGGTTGCCGCCCGGTCGGATCTCGCGTGAAGAGTCAGGCTTGGACGTAAGTTTTCGGCTCAGCTCCTTGACCTTGAGCTCCGAGTTCATGCTGAACGTCGTGTAACTCAAGCCAAAGCCGAACTCAAACAGAGGCTCAATGCCCGCAAAATCCAATTGTCGATAATCAATCATCTGGCCCTCAACGAAGTCCGACTGCCAACCCGTTGGGGAGTTACCCTGAGCTTCCGTTAGGTTCACAATTGGGATGTCATAATCCTCAGGATTCTTCGCAATTGAGTATGGCAGCTTGCCCGACGGGTTAACATCGCCCCATAGAACATCAACAATAGAATTGCCTGACTCCTGGCCGGGGAGATGGGCAGCTATGATAGCTGTGACATTGACGTTGTTGGCCCATGGCATAGAGTTAATGCCGGCGGAGTGTGTGATGACGACTGTTTTAGGGCAAATCCTCGCTACATTCTCAACAACCAGCGTAGAATTCCAGTCGGCTTCATATGTCTGTCTGTCCATATTCTCGGATGCGAATGTGTTGAGGAAGACGAGGCAAACATCTGGGATGGGGAACAAGCTCGAAAAATCCCCAGCTGCGATAATCGAGTTGCGCAGAATATGCTGGACCCGGCCGCCAAATATCTTGGCCCGAGCCTTGATAGCCTCCAGTGGGGACACGAGATACGTGTGACGAACGCTTGCTGCGCCAGCGCCAATGTCCAGCGTTCCAATCTCGAATCTTTCGTTAAAGGTCAATCCGTCGCTGGGATCGGCAGCATCGTTGCCAAAAACTCCAATGTTGAGAGGGGCTTTCAGCGGAAGAGTTGAATCGACGTTCTTCAAGAGAACACTCGATTCCGCACCGATCTTGCGGACCAGGCGATGATGGTTTCCGCGAACGTCGCGACTGTTGGGTATCGGTTTGGGGAGGTAGTCGAGTACATTTGACCAGGCCGCAAAGCTATATGCTAGGGACGGGTCTACCGGTGGGTAGTCGTCGCGGTCCTGGCCGAAGAAGAAGTATGGGATCATGATACGACGGACCATCTCATCAATACGCTCCTCCGATACAGACCCCGCTTGCACCATGGTCGTGATGTTGGCTCCCCAGTAGCTCTCCCCAGTGGCGGTCGTCTCCACACTGTACGCGCCAGGCATGTTGAGATCCAGACCAGCATTGATCGATTTAGCGCCGGAGTGAGTTGCAAACCAATCGGACATGATGTAGCCCTGGAATCCAAGCTCCACCTTCAAAATATTGTTGAGTAGAGCCGAATTCTCACAAGCATATGTTTGATTCAAGCGATTATAGCTGCACATGGCGCTCGCAACTCCAGCCTTGATGGCGTTGGCAAATGGCCAGATATACAGCTCATGCATTGTCCGGTCATCTATGTTTGACGAGATGGCCTCAATGCGCGTGCCATTCGCAGAGATTGTGAAGCTGCGCTGAGTCTCTTGTTCATTGCCCACAATGTGCTTGGCACAGGCCTGAACGCCTTGGGACTGTATGCCTTCGATGGTGGCAGCTATGGCAATGCCCGAGAGGTACGGGTCGACGGAGAAACCTTCCCAGTTTCTGCCCCCAAGCGCATGTCTACCAAGAGGTCCTGCCGAAGGTCTGCAGTCATCAGTCAGTAAATTTCGAATTGGGAAGCCGATGCTAGTACATACCCAAGGGCCACGTGGATGCCTTTGGACCTAAACTCTTCGCCCATGGCGACTGCTCGCTCGTACATGAGTTTTTTGTCCCAACTCGCACCAACCGTCACTCCAGAAGGGAAAACAGTGGTAAGATCAGCGAGGTTAACACCGTTGCCGCCGTCCTGCAGGCACAAGCCCGAATAACCGATACGATTGATCGGCAAAATGTTGCCAATGCAGCCACCCGTACCCAAACTCAACTTGCCAGTGAGCATGGCAGACTTTTCGGTCAAGTTGAGCCGAGATACGAAGTCAGTGGCCATTGCCGAAGCAGTGGCCCAAGTACGGAAGTTGTCTGCATGGCTAGCTGCAAGAAAGGGTCAAAAGGTCTCAAGCCAAGTAGCACGTGGAACGTCAAGTATTATACGTACCGGTGTCATTTCCACTGAGGGGTGTGGCCAGCGCACAGGTGAGTAAAGGTAAAAGTGAGAGTGAGACCAAGGACAACATGCTGGGTAGCACATTCGGAATCCTGGTTAGGGTGGTGGAAAATTAATCAACAACGAGATCAGATATAACTTTATATTGTTATTCTTTGAGTTTGGTTTCTCTCCCACTCAGACTCGCAAGTTCCGTATTCGTAACCGTTCCCTTGCAGGGGTCACCAAGCTTGATTCCCTGCATAATCCCCCGCATAAATCCCCCGCATGACATGACGGGGTAGTTCTGCAGTCGGGGCTATACGCGGACACGGCGGGGGGATCACGCATGGGCCACTCAGCCATTCTGTTCTTGTAAAGTTATCTGGTATTTAGCTCCTATTCTCTTAGCTGCCGACCTACTCTGGGAAAGGCAACAAATCCGTTGAGGGGGATCAAAGCGCTAGGTGGGGAATCGGGGTTTTAGAAGAATACGCGTATAGAAAAGTGCGAATTTCATTGGGTCTATTGCACCATCACAAAGTGGCATTCACTACTATCTGACTTTTTTGTTAACCATTACTGCTATAATCTTCACATTTACTTATGGGATCTTTCTTCGTTTATTCGCCCCTTTCATGCATATAAGTCTATAGCAAGACCTATGATGCCAGTGGTAGAGTTGAGGGTTATTACCATGCCCTTATCTCTCATTAACATCAAGATATATATACCGTCATGAGCTGTAGTTGGGTACTTCTAATTGTCGGTATCCTACCATTATTTGCCAAGCACGCAGATTAGAGCATACAGCGGAGTAAGATTTAGCGTGGTTTTATGCCTCACTCTCGGGTATATAAGATCAAGTTGGTCTATCGACAGATCTATCACTCTGCGTTCTTAATTAAACTTCGCCTCTCTGATCCATAATGAGGTTCCCGGCGACATTGTCTGCCATTCTAGGGTTTTGCAACTGCAGCCAAGCCCAGATCCAACATTGTCTTTATCTTCACTGATGATCCAGATCTCCGACATGGCTCCTTGGACACCCAGAGAGCAGTGCAGAGCCACTTGGTCGCAAAGGGAACCACCTTCACCAATCACTATGCAACCGTTGCTGTTTGCTGTCCTAGCCGAGTATCGTTGATGCGTGGTCAAGCTGCGCACAACACGAATAACACAGATATCAAGGCGCCTGGGTTCGTTCCTCCTTTTCTCCTCCCTTTTATTTCCAGATGATTAAGAGGAATCTTCGGATAATTGAGTGCCAACCTTAGCGGCGGGTTTCCCAAGTTCATGGCCTCTGCAGAGAACGAATATTATCTACCACACTGGCTTAGCGAAGCTGGCTACAATGCTGAATGTAATGTATCTTTATTCATGCCCTCCTATTGCTATGACACTGACGGCCCCTCTAGATATCGGAAAGCTTTTCAATGGCAACTCCCTCTTGAATTACTCGCCTGGCCCACAAGGCTGACGGCACATTGACGTCCTTGTAAGCATTGGAGCGTACGGTTTAGTGTATTGTCTAACGTGGAGGTCTAGCTTGAGCCCTACATAAATGCACTCAATACTGTCGTTATGTCCGAAAACGGAGAAAGACCAAAGCTATACAGTGGCTATGATCAAACAGACGTCATTCGCATCAAGGCGTATGTCTCTCGTTGTCGACGCCGATATGATCTATAGAAGCTGAGCTGGTACTCTAGACTTGAGCGGCTGGGAGTACTCATCGACGAGGAAGACCCTTTCTTCCTGATGATATCCCCAACCGCACCGCATGTTCAGAACCTCACCGATCCCCGACCCCGCCTGCGCGCTATTTAGGTCTCTTTAATACATCAACGGTCCCGCGAACACCCAACTTTAAACCTCCCGATAAGTACCAAATGGGCAAGCCGAGTTGGCTTCGCGGGCTACCTCCACTGAACTCAACCCAAATTGACGATATTGATCTACTCTATCAACGTCGACTGGAATCTCTTAGGGGTGTCGATGACATTGTTGATGATGTTGTTGAAATGCTTAAGGATAGAGGCGTCATAGACAACACGTACAGTACGTTGAGTCACTGGCTCCTCAAAACTCTCATATATATTTTATGCCCTCTTGCTGACAGCCTGCAGTCATATACTCCACTGACCAAGGTTATCATCTCGGGACACATCGTCATGGTGCGGGGAAGTGCCTCCCCTACCTCGAGGACATGAATATTCCTTTAGTTGTTAGGGGCCCCGGAGTGCCTGAAGGAGTCATTTCACACACCCCTAGCACAGTCACTGACTTTGCACCCACATTCCTAGAGATCGCCGGGCTCAGATCTGAGAAAATTCCACCTTTCCTGGATGGGCTCAGTCTTTTGCCGGCATGGAAGCACCCAAATACTCCCAAGCTAGCCAAGAAGAAGGAAGCCATCAATGTCGAATTCTGGGGTTCGTCATACACTGAGATTCCAACGTGGGCTGGCGGTGACTATGCTCCCTACTTCCGTGGACTCTACCTCCAGAATGACTACAAGACGATACGGGTCGTCGGAGAGAAGAGTTCGTGGATGTACTCGAGGTGGTGTAACAATGATACAGAGCTGTATAACACGAGCGTAAGCTTCCACCACGGAGAACCACATAGCGCTGTTTATGCTAAAGCTTGCAAACTAGGATGACCCTTATGAGTTGACAAACCTTGCCAACTCGACTGATCCGCAAATTCGAAGAGTCAAGTCTAGACTAAATGCGCTGCTGATGGTTACCAAGTCCTGCGCCGAATCAACCTGCCGCGATCCCTGAAGTGTCATTCAGCCGCCATCTCCTCGCCATGGCAAGAGAGTAGAGACATTGGACGATGCTCTGGACTCGCGCTACGATGCCTTCTATGAGGCATTCCCGCTAGTCACAATTGACGAATGCCTGAATTACCAGTTCGCCGCCAACGAGTCTCCGTTCTTTCCACCAAGTGCAGAGTTCGGGCTCGGTTTGAAGTACCGAAACAGTACCGATAACTTTGCTTTTCCAGAGTCGAAGCCCGTGGAGGAAATTGCCCCTAATAACCCACTTGGCGGGGACTGGGACCAACGCCACTCGACATTTAAAGACCTGATGAGGAATGCTCGAGTACTCACTGATAAAGAGATTAACAACGCGCCGTAGTCTAGGCGGAGCTCGGAAGCAATAGTACTTATTATGGTGTCAGCGAGAGGTCAGGCTCTCCCAAGAAGGGTTAACCCTTTTTGGCTGAGTAGAAAAGACCAAGTAAAACTGTTTGTTGGGAAATTAATGTCACCAACTTTTTGTCTGGAACATTTGAACTTGTTAGTGGTCTTATGACAGAACATTCAGCTAGTATTTTTGTATTCTTCTTAGAGTTGCATAACCGAACCGCTAAAAGCGAATCCGACCCTCACCGAACTCACAGCGGTTCGGGTTCAGTTCCTAGCCTAGTATCTAGTCTATCTAAATATGAAATATCAATTCAAAATATCTAGTGGTTGGTGAGATATAAGGGAACAATCATTTCTGTCATGGGTTGGTATGAAAGTGGTGTGGATATATGTATAGGTATATATATATCCATTATATAGCCCACTTCAGACTTATTAGAAGATGAGTAGATAAGGCACAATAAAGCCATAATAGCAGGTGTACAGTATTACAGTTTCTGTAAGGGCCCCCCTCTCTATAGACAGCTAAAACATCCTGCATCAGACAATAAAGGATTAATAGCAGATCCACTAAGGTTCAGAAGAGACCAGAGCGGCCGACTGTAATAGTACAGGAGGAAAAAGTTAGTGCTATTAAGAAAAAGGTAGCGGCAGACAAGCCATCTATGTGTTTTCAATACTTAAAAGAATACTTAGATATTTATGGCGTGAGGAGACACTTCAAGACATCATATCTATAGGATTACAGGTGCAATTCCTATGACCTGTTACTACAGCATAAGATACACCTATAGAGGCATGCGCAAGAGGTCCATCGGCTTTATACCTAAGCTTCTTACTTCACAGCACGTGTAAACTTAGAGTGTGCTTATTAGTCTAATAGCTTTAGTTAAGGTAGGGTGTTGCATTACACACTACATCTTAACTAATGCCATTATAAGTACTACAATAGACTACTATGTGAACACCATAGCCAGGATAAACACTAGCCATCCCTATGCTCCGTATTTTAGATGAGTTAGACCCTACTTTATTATCCTATGATCTTTTAGGTAAAGGGTGTGAGTACCTGTTTCAAGATATTTTTGAGTCCACCTAGTCTCCATTTGGCCACTAAGATGAAACAAGGACGGTCTAGGTCATAATACTATTATTTAAAAATCTATAAGGATGCTTTCCTTTCCTCTTTCAGCCATTGCTGCTTTAAGAGGGTGAGCCAGGTGAGTTAGGTGATCTGCTCACCTATAAAGGTGATTCACTCACACCTTTAAGGTGACTCCTTCACCCATCCATAGTAATTTATTCAGCTCTTTAATACTAACACTCACCCTACCTCCATATGTCAACACCAGTCTTCTAGCTACTTCACTTAGGCATTAACAATGTGTTAACTAGGAGACAGGGAATATGGCCCTGAGAAGTCAGGGTCCCTGCAGGCCCCCAACAAAAGGCGCGAAGACATCCTGCCTGCCCTCCTTAACTTCTCTTCCACTCCTTTCATCATGACATCGCTTTGAAATCTGCCGCCTATTCCTTCTCTCAGCCTTGCTGTGAATACTGTTCCCCGCCGAAAAATTTTCCCTCTTTGCGTTACACCCTGTCTCTGCCGCAGAAATGCCCAAAGGAAGACGAAAGGTTGATAGACTGGCTGTCGCACAAGCCAAAAGCTATATTCAGGGAGTGAATCAAGAAAAAGACCAACATCACTGTAAGACCTTCTATTCAGATGAATCTAAGATTCTCCAGGAATAAGTACTATTAGATTATATCATGTTAGTGCCATCCATACTTCTCTATTATACACTCATTCATCTTACTGAATCTATGTCTTCTGAATAAGTAGGTAGGCATCCCAGGAGGATGAAAATCTCCAAGAAGGGGGCCTTCATAAAGGACAGCCTATATCAGACCTAGCCATGATTAAGGATTTCATACAATTTTACATTTTCTTTTCACACAGAATGATATCTTGCGCCCTACAAAATCATCTATACTAAATTTCACTAAGCGGTTCTTTACAGGCTTCATATATCTTACCGAGTCTACTTTTGATAAGAAGGATACTCAGGACGTTTACAAGGTTTGTGAATTTGCCATTAAAGGACTTCCTGCAGGTACTAACTATGAAAAGTGGATTTCAAAATTGCTTATTAAAGCTGACATTATCAAGGATATAAGAAGGGCGAAGCATATGTTCACACACTATGACCTCATGAACATTCACAATTTCAGCATCTTCTAGTGTGAAAGATATTAAATAATTAACTTCCTCCGGGTCTCCCAGCATGTCATTGAGCCACTGATCTATGGCATCTATATCCTAACTGTCTTTAGATAATTGAAGGGAAGGAAAGTCGCTGACAACATTATCAACTTTGCAGTCAACTGCGGCAGGGGTACGGCGATACCCCCGGCGCTCTAAAAGGAGTAAAACAGATTCAGGTCCAATGCGTCTGGAAGAGAAGTAGAGCGCTACGGCAAGCTCATTGGTTGTCCAGTCTAGAAGGCAAAGTCAGGTGACTCATCAATACTGACAGTAATGCTTGGCGAGCTATTTTGTGAACTCTAGACTTCAGCGGTGATTCTCTCTGCCGTTGACTGAGCTTTTGTTTTTGACTGGAACTACAGACATTCTCAAGTTACGTCAGAGGCTACAGAAATCAACAGTCACTTGAAATTGATATCGGAGATTGTTGCTATGGAAAAGTATATTACATGCAAACGAGTCAAACAAACTTGGGCCAAACAGACGGCGCCATACCAGAAGCGGCAGGTGGCGACTGCCGAGCGACACCGCTCAATGTTCCCATTCGACCTCTTCGACTACCTGACTTATCCAGCGCGTATCGTACGGGAGTGCTCCTACTCAAAATGCTGCTTATACCCATACCTGACAGTCTCCGAGTGTAGGTCCCCATGCTAGCAAGAACAAAAAGCGCAAGACGACTGACAGGCTTGGAAATTCGCAGGGCTCTCACCATCGTAACCGCTCTATCGTTTCTCCCTCAGCTGCATCGCATCTGGACACAAAAGACCAGCAAAGGGATTTCAACGGACTACGTCTTTTGGAACCTCCTCTGCGCAACAGAACAATTTAAATTCTTTGTCTATCTTCTCATTGCAAAGGATCCTGAACAAAACATCCCACTTGTCTATGATCCTCCAACGTTCGGAGATAGACTGAATATGTACCAGACTGCTGTGGTCTGGTTATCATTTTTTACACTGTCAGTAATGCCCGACGCCCGGTTACAGTTACAATTAAGCAAGCCCCAACTAACGTATCCCCCAGTTTCGGTGCCTGCTTACGACACACACCCTCCAAGTCGTTCTATGTCATCGCATACGCACTCTATATCACCATATCAATCGTCCCTCCAATCTTGGATATCCTCTATGGTTTCCCTTCGCCAGATCACACTTACGCTGATCCTCTAGCTTCGGGAATATTCTTCCTCTCCATGTGTCTGCTGAACCCGCTCGTATCAGTGTTGGTGGTATATGCTGTTTTCTCGCAGATACGGGAAATCAACAGTGCAAGGGGCCCAGAATTATCGATTCCACCAGGCAATGCTCTAAGTATCTGCGGTTTGGCTGTGCAAGCTGTCGTATTTGCTGCTGTAGCTTTTACATGGATCTGGCGCGTTCCGATTGAAAATGCTAGATTGGGGTGGGATACGTGGTCATGGACGGTGGTCGGTCTCGACAATCTTATGTATTGGTATAACTTGGTCGGGTTCCCCGCTTTTGATAATGGTGTATTTGCGATGGGGCAGGGTGTTTTGTTTGCTTCAGCTTGGCGGAGGCGTAAAGGCAGAGAAAATGCGGTGGATAGGGAGCCTCTACTAGGGCGGTCTGGGTATCGAACAACTAAATTCGTCCCTTTGTGTAACGAATAGCGGTTTGGAAGATAGTCCGGCGAGTTCTACATGCGTGGGGAAGATAAAGTTTGCAAGTTCCTGACAGATGATGTCCCAGGATAGCGAGGGAACTACAGTGATTCTCGAAACCGCCTTGACCAACGTACAATGAGGGGCTCAGTAAAATGCGTCGTGTATGTTACAGTAATATGCGACGTAAGATTACATTTTGTTATGAAAGAATGCCTGTGGAGTTTCATGGAATTCCTTAGTGAATCTCTGCAAATCACGTTGGAAAGGCCTCTTTCTCCTTCTCCTCTACTTTTGTGCGGTGCTTGCTAGTCATCAGCTGCAAGGGCACTGTGGGCCAGCCACTGGGTATGACAGGCAGGCAACGATCCGTCCTTAAAAGACATCACCCGGCAGTAATACACTTCCCCTGGTTTGATGGGTTTCACAGGTTATGATGCGAAGTAATGCACGATACAGTGCATAGATCTCATCTTCGACTAATCTACATTCAAGCTGCAACAGTGCTACTCTGTGAGCACCTTGGTAGGCGCTAAGGAGAGGAACGGCTTGTGTGTGATCCATTCTTGTTTTGGCTCTGGTAGGGTGAGGCAAGCAAGGTAGAGTACTATGTACATTGAGAGTGCGTCAGCAGCGGCTACAGATAGTTCTTCTGAGGTACAATACAAGTGCAACACATGAACTCTGACTGGAAGCTGATGTATTCAGCCTCACCTATACCCCACCTTCCTCTGAGTTATTCCTCTACTCACAGTTCACACTATCTTCTTTTCTTCCACTTTCCCTACAAATAGGCAGGCCTGTCATTACAAGGTTATGTAAGAGCACAATGCCAAGTGCTGGAGCCGTCATGGAGCAAAATACTACACTCAAGCCATATAGTGAGCCGAACCCACTTAACAGTACTAGCTTATGCCTGCTGTCCTTGGATGGCGGCGGCGTGCAAGGCCTCTCATCACTGTACATCCTGAAGAGCATCGTGGACGGATTAAACCATGTGTGGGAGCAGATGAATCTCCCTCCAGTGAAGCCATGCGAAGTGTTCAACCTTATCAGGGGTACAGGTACTAGGGGGCAAGTGGATGAGTAGACTTCTCATATTTAATCTGACGCACTAACTGTTGGCAAGCCTCATTGCGATCATGCTGGGCCGCCTAGGGATGGATGTTGGTAAGTGTATAGACACATACAGTGACCTTACTGCAACAGTGTTTGGCGAGAAGCTGAGGTCAATCCCTGTCAACTTTAAGGGCAAAGTCACGGTCCGATTCGACTCAGCAAAGCTGGCGAGCGCAATCAAAAAGGTGGTCGAGCACAGCGGAGCATCCAAACAGGACCTTTTTAACAACAGCATTGATCACAGATGCAGAACGTAAGTAGATTACTATTCAATGTAATATGTCTAACATAGCCAGCTTCATTTGCACCAGCAACCATCACACAAAGGACAGCATCTCTCACGAGCCAAATATCCATGTGATGATTTGCCAAGCCGCCCTCGCGACATCTGCCACCACAACCTTTTTCGAACCTATCACCATTGGAGACCGCTCATTTGCTGATGGCGGTCTAGGCGCGAACAATCCGGTAGACAAGGTAGAGGGCGAGGCGTCAAATATATGGTGCTTTAAGACAGGAGATCTAAAGCCGCTGGTCAAGTGCTTCATCTCAATTGGCACAGGGAACCCCGGCAAGAAGCCTTTAGAAACGACAGACGCCAACCACAGCCTCACTCTCACAGTTGCACAACTTCTGGAAACAGAACGTATAAACGCCGAAGCAGAAAATGAAGACCTTAGACATCAGATCCATGCGCTTTTGGACAGGTCGAAGCAGCGGCGACTGAGTAGTCTTAAGGAAAGATGTGACGCTCTACATGCTGAGGTCGTGGCTTCTGACGAGTCCGTCCAACGGGCTGCGGTTCAATACCACCAACACCTTGATCAATGGAACGCGAGGAATGAAAACTTCACTCAAGATATGGCTCTTTTGAAGAACAACATCAAGATAAGGATGGAGACAGACCAAGAGGTAAGATACCTGTACATCTGTCAATGGCTTGACTAATCAAAATAGACTTTGAATCAGCGAAATTCCTCAGTACAGCAAGACATGGAACGGGTAGACCAGAAACTGCGATATTGGGTGGAAGGTCAAATGCAAGACATGACTGAACAAGCGGGAGCCTTGGATAACTTTATTACCATGGCACAGTTAAAGTGTATTCTTTTGCACTAGGAGCATGTGGAGGTGTTAAACAATCTTGCTACAACAGCCCGAAATTCACACCCCGCTGTCCAGGGGGATTTGGACGACTTTGTCTAGTATATCCAAACCATCTTTTTGACGCCCACTGGTCTTCAGAATAGTTGCTGCCTACATGAGCTGCTGATTTGGACCTTACACCCCACCATGTTTGAAAAATTCATGGCAAAGCAAGAGAGCTTAGCAGAGGAGCTAAGCCGCAGAGAGTGCCTCAAGCGGGCGTGCGATGTTGTACTGTGTGTGGCTGTGGCCGAGAGCACGCGGGGCGAGGCGCCCTTGTCATCAGCCTTGCTCTTGAACGCATAATTAGGAGTCACCACCGAATGGCAAGATAACACTTTCTACTGCTACCAGCCGATCAACGGTAGAAAGCCCCGATCACCCAGTCACCCCAGATTATTTACAGGCAATCGCCGCCTATCCTAAACGTGGCATAGACTATTTCAGATCCCAAGGATGCAGCCTCTGTCAATTCAACAGAAATCATATACTAATCAAGTAAAACTAGAATCAGTGAGATTAAATAAATGAAAGTCTGGTGAGGCGGTATTATATCCATCTTCTGTCTCAGACTTGCTGAGCTTATATTGACTAGTCCCATAGTCAATATGTGCTACTATCACTGTATAGTGCAGGTCTTCTCGCCACAATCTGGGTCTGAAGTGTCTCTCTCATCCCGTGGCCCTGAAAAGGTCTTTTGGCAGATGACAGTCCATAAGTTCTCCTACTGACCATCAGACAATCCTTTCAAGAAGTTGGACGACAGGAAAGTTACCGTAGCCATCCATGCGTAGTTATCTGCATTCCTAAGGGCGTCACTTTCCTTGAGATTGCGGGTTTTGAGAGGTCCATAGCTATTGGCAACGTCTATTATACTTTCTCCCAGCCTGTCTGAAGTTGGTAAAGGTACGGCGAATGGTGTGGTATATGTTCTTTGGTGTGAAACTCACACAGCCTTTCCAATAGTGTCCGCGTGCCTGTGGTTATATGTATTAGTTATCCAATAAATATCTCCACCGTGTATGCGTCACTGCAAAAGGAGTTACTCACAAGAACTCATGCAATAGAGTGGCACCCATCACAGCCATGGTAGCACCAACGGTGTCCCCGAAATTCTCACATCTAACATCTTTGATGAGTGGCTTGTTATAAAGACAGTCACATAGATGGATAAGCTGGTTGCCCTTTTCATCTTTACCAGTATATGCTAACAAGTTAGGAGCATCTCCACATTGTTGGTTCACATCAATATTTGTGATGTAGAGATCCCCCAATTCATCTGCACGTCTTGCAGGGTTACCGCCAAGTGCTTTCTAGAAAACACTCTGGACCTTGTTTTTATCAACTTTGTTAAAGTAATGTTTGAAAACGCCGTCGTTAAGACCATTGATAACATAGTCCATCAGCTGAAGACTGTCACGGAAGGCCTGTCGAATCTTGAGGTTCTTTTTTCGGTCATCGGCGTTTTTATTATCAAAGTTGACAAGTTACGGCAATGAATGTTTAGTTATCTGGCTTCGAGCTTCAAGTTCCAGCGCAGTGATAAAATCTTAATGCAGTTCTCCAAAGGGGGTTAAAGGGGAACAGGTAGAATGGACTCTGTAGGATAAGCCACTGATCTGATTGCCAACATGGCTGAAATAGCCACAGCGAGGGTAAAAAAGCTATGCATCCTGGAGGAAGTGCTATCAAAAGAGCTCAAATCTTGTGACAATGCAAAAACTCAGAGTATCTTCGGATTCTTTTGAAGAAAGAGATACTGTAAATTGGCTGAGCACGACCCCTTCTTTATATTTCATGGCCAATGCCCTAGAGCACTTATCACCCTGCAAGCATCCTGTTATCCCCCCATCGACGTTGTTTTCTGACCAAGTCACCACAGAGTGCATGTGCTTGTCATCAACAGCCACGACGTCCAGTGTTCTGGCTTCGTGCCAAGGAGCAAAAAGCTAGATGAATACCCTGTTGATTATAACATATGGACGTCATTGCGATCTCTCAATCCTGTGATTGATGCAGGGGTGCGGGCAAATGTTGTCCTCGAGATATTTTTCGAATGCTTCGGGCGTCAATGGAATCGATAAAGAGCTAATAGCTAAGCACCATTCTCTGGGACGTGCTGTCCCTCCAGACCATGTACTTACACTAGTTCTGACTGAGAAAGAGGAGGTCAACCATTTCCTGCCTTTCGGGAGCCGAAGGAACGTAGGTCTCGTCCCAGAGCTATCCGGGGAATACCGCAGCGGTTGCTGCGAGACACCCATAGACGGTGCATAGATGCCCCTAAGTGGCCTCTAAAAAGTACCTCAAGAATGGGGCACCAGCTACGTTACCTCCAGGCAGCGCCGCAGCAGAATATCGTCAACATTGGCAAATGGATTTGAGGATATTGGATGAGTCATTTTTGCCAGTAACATGTCGCTACTTCAAAGAAATCCTCTTATTTCAATGCGGAGCATGCCAAGAAGGTTTTCTGCCCCATCAGGATGCCGCAAGGGCTTCATTGAAGCTCTATGCTAGATATACTACGACCATGTTAGGTGAGGTCTTCTTTTCTAACGGGTTATGTGCACATCAGTGTTATTGCTAGTCGACAGTCCCGTCAAGGGATCCACAAACAAGCTTGCCTATCTTAGGGCCTGTAAATTCTTACTCCTCGACAGTGAAGCTAGCGGAACCCTGCATCACGAGGGGGATTGGCTGCATCTCACTGTCCCCCACTAGCTCAGGCCGCCGTTTCACAAGGCCCGCTCCAGCATCCTGTCCTTCCAGAACCTGCTCCTTCGACCCATATCGATACCAGGATATCTGATTCAACTTATTCCCGAGCTCAACACGATACATCGATCCCACTTCCAAATATGTGACCTGAGAAAAAGCCGCTGCAACTTTGGCCTCATTCTCATTAGTTATAACTAGCTCCCCACACGCAGCTCTAAGTCGCTCAGGATTGTCTTTATTGTGTGGCTGGCTCCTAGGACAGGGCCATAAGGTAAACATCACTTGGTGAGGCACACCAGGCTGAAGGGTGACAAAATATCGCTCAAAAGGGGTTTGATGGGGATATCAGACACCCCACCAAAGCTATAATGTTTGGTCAGGCTTGGACGTTTCGCGGGAGTGCCTGTGTCAACATTAACGAAGTCAAAGCCGTTTTCATAGAGGGCTATGCCGCTAGGGTCTAGGAGGGTGCCAAATACAAGGATAGTAAGCGGCTTGTCGGGCGTATTCGGTGTTTGAGGAAGAGTTGCCTCAATGGTGATGTGGAACTCATCGTCAGAACTGTATTTGTGGAGTGTGGATGATGAGACAGTAACAGCGATATTAATCTGGGTTGGGGGTGGAATTTGGGAGTCTCTAAAAAGAAAAAGTTTTCGAAAAAAATTCGCCATGATGATATCTAGACGAATTTGGACTTTGTTGAATTGAACTAGATAGTTGACCAAAGAGCTTTTATATTTGCAGGCAAGATCCTGGCTGGTGGCAAAAGAACAGGCAGATGTTTTCCTAAGACCTCCGCAAAAGTTAAACGGTTATTTCTCTACTCCACCTTAATCTAGTTAGATTAGTTAGGGTAGGTATAATGTATCATCATACTCTATACTGGCATAGTCTTGTAAACAGCTATTTGAGTTTCAGTCCCCTGTTCACTTCAGAATTCGGATAGTACGACTCCCTCTCTAATAAAGTATTATTAGTCACTATGGCGGTCCTATTATCAATCTATCAAGTTCATAAAGAAGGGTAACCACATCTGATTCTTCCCATCATATGGCCCCTATAGCCTTGTTTATGAGCTGTCTTTAGCCACATGCCTCTCAAGTATCTCCATGGAAATCATTGTCTAGACCCACTTCACTACAGCCTAGCTTAGCTGATCCACCTTAACTGCACATAGTACACCAGTCCGGGATCCTGCAGTAGTTCTTCCCCCGCAGGGATACACAGAGCGCGATAAGGGTTCTGCCTTTTGCCACCTTGGATTGTAGGGGTGTTTTGATCACTTGTGGTCTGATGTCTTGCCTTGGGAACCCTTGAAACTGCGTCCATAGTATCATTGGCTGGCCGACTCCTGTCCGATCTATCAACCAACCTCGTTTGTCCCTTCTCTTGATGGCCAGGCTGAGGTTTCTCAGGTATCCTGGTCTCGGCGCCATCTCCTTGGTCACTATTCTGATCAGCCTGCCAGGGGTGCCCTCAGACCTGTCGCCAACGTGTTCCCTTATTCCCTTTTTTGCTACCTTCGATGCCTTCTCGTTGCCTTGGGTGCCCAGGTGTGAGGGAGTTCAATGAATCCAGAAATTAAGCCTGCCTTCTTGCTGCTTTGTCTGGAGACAGTAGGGTAGGTTCCAGAGGATAATACTATGATTGTCAGCCCGGAATTTGTACTGCTTGTAACACTAAGTGGCTGTCAGTGACGATCACCACATCGCGTATGTGGTGGCAGAGAGTGATCACTAACACAAGTAGGACCCCTAGTAGTTTTGCTGCGTAGATCGTGGTCTCTGATTACCATCCCATGTGCGCTGAGTATATTTCTTAGTGGCGCAGGCACACCGCTGCCCCCTAACCCCGGCCCCGCCCGCCTTAGCTGTTGATGCCACATCTACGTATGTCATATTACTGCTAGATGCAGCAATCTGGCAGTATTACCCTTGCTTTGAACTGTCCCATGACTCCCATCGCTTATGGGCAGTTGGGCGGTTAGTAATAGTCACATATTGTCTGGAGCTCCTGGGACACCCCAGCATTGCACTAGTGTAGTGACAAGCATAATGATAGTCACATATTGTATGTTTTATGGAAGTGAGGGATTGTTAGTGGAATTTTCCGCGGTCTTCTATTAAACCACCCCAGCAACTTGAATGGACCGCCCAATAAGTCCCCATGACAACCCAGGAACTCACAAACCTGGATTATAAGCAAATTCTTTGTCTGAATCCCATAGTATTTTAATACTTAGAGGTCCGAACTTGCATAGATGGTTTAAATATATTACTCTCCAGCCCCGTCAGCCCAAAATGCCTCCTAATGTTGATGAAACTCCTGCTCAGTAATTCTCTGCTCCTCTATTTATTTATGTAGTGGAATCCTACTCCATCCACTGGATTAACCCTAGAGCTCATCCATTATTTATAATAATTTCCTTCATCTATTATCAAAAAGCTCTCTATTAAATTTGCTCTCCCAGCCCACATTATAATAGAGCTTCTATAGCACTCTTTATTTGTGTGCATTCATATCGCTATCCAGTAATTCTTGGACCTTAGAATCAAGTATGGTTCCTCGCTTTCGCTCTATATTTGTATCAAGTTATCAGTTCATGACGAGGGGCTTAAAATGACGAGGAGCTTAATATCGGGGGGAAATGCGCAAGCCTCTCGCGATGAGCCGACGGAGGTGACTCGGGATTGTGCGGCAGCGTCACCTCCCCGGCCAGGTGATAGCAGCATCCGTAGCCGCAGCCATTCTGTTGATAATTCCACAGGCAGGGGAGATCCCACCACCATCTGAATATGTGGGGATTACCTTTTGGAGCTATGAACGAGAGGACTGGAGGCTATCGGACCAGCTCGAAGTAGATCCGTCGGATCCGTCGCCGGTAGAACGTGTTGCGAAAAGATTATACGAGGAAGGGTTATTCATTATACGACAAGGGTATGCAGAGTCTCAGTCCAGCACAGAGTTATCACGCGGCTACTATTGATGGGAATATAGCGATATTTATCGCTTCCGCGCACGAGGAGAAACCTGCAACTGAAGGCCGGCCGATTCGTGAGGGACAAAAAGATTCTATCATTTTAAAAATGGTAGTAAAGAATGGAATGAACAATAGCCGCAATACACACTAAACATAAGGTCATCTTCCCATGTAACTCAAGGCACCACAATACTCTTCCAACTCCAATCATCTGCCACGCCTTCTGTGCCCGTAGCGGTAGATCAGCACTCGGCAAGAGCTCTCTGACACGTGCCCCTCGCTGCCTGGAGGAGGAAGGAATAATAGTTTCGCAAGCTTGAGGAAGGAAACTCGCCTCGACTGATATCAGGGCGATATATGAAGGAAGGAGGAGCACAAGATGAAGGGCCAACATCAAGACAGATACCGAGATATCTGACAGGGTGATGTTCGACTTTCTCGCAAAAGTCACATTCTCGTGCGGCGTACCGCTAAAATTCTCAATGATGGAAGGAATATGACTCATACAAGTTTCAGTGGAGGCATAGATCAAGGCCGGAATAGTCAAGGATTTCCATCGTCTCCAGTCGCGCCGTCTGCTAACTTGGTTGATCTGGTCTCGAGGAAGGATCGTACGAGCGGACCAGAAGAAATGGTTCTCTGCGAGCACGACTGATGAGACGACATAAGCAAGCGGCCTTAGGGTTCCATGTTTCAGCACCAGAGATGATAACAGCTTGGTTAAAGAAGAGTGAGCAGTCCAATAAGAACATGCCGCGCCAAAGCCACTGAAGAGAAGATAGAGACCACCCTTGCTGTAGAGGGAAGAAAGCGTCTGTGTAAGCTGTCGGCAAGAGGGAATCCGCTTTTCGCCGCCCGTTTCATGGGAGTCAGTCTGGGCCTCGGCGGTTTCGAGTATCAATATGGACATAACAACGTGACCGATCACATATTGGATCTTGCTGCCATGAGTCACCGGAGAGACGGGGATTCTGAGAGAGGGACGAAACTCACTAGCAAGTTGAAGATAATACCCACAATAACTGGGATTAAGCAGGTGAAGTCTTTTGCTTGGGCAGGTTTCTCTTGTAACAGCCTATGAGCTCGCGCAAGGAGAGGGTCATCGCCCGAAGAATGGATAAATGTGTTTAACAATTCGCGGAAGAGCGACAACACGAAGTTTGGGCGTGGAGAGTATGCCATCATTCGGGCTTTGAGGGTGAGCCTTGTTGATGGAAGAACTTAGGGGATGAGTGATGGCTGGCGATACAATTTCTCTCCGCGCCCGTTGATGGAAGCAAAATAGATTCGTAATGCCTGCTCATGTATATATGATGTCTCAGGTAGAAGGGAATTTGGTTGCCCTTCACTCCAACCAATCGCAAAAATAACGCAGTTGGTTCAATCCTAAAACCAAGCTAACACCAAGCTAATATAAGACTACGGGAGATCCCCCAGACTCTGGACCAATGGATGGCTAATAATATCAATACGTGATATAGTTCAGGCCACATTATTTCTGGTCCTTGGTATCAAAAAGGGTTACATCCGACTGCGCTGCTGGAAACTGAGATCACCAATCACTTCTACCCCTACTTGGGATTCCCAGTCCGTATTTTCTGGTTTAACTCGACTTGTATGTTGTCGAGGATATATTATTATATTCCGTTTGATATACCCTACCCATCACTCCAAGATATACATACTGGGTTGCTGCTGTAAATATGGACGGCTGACCTTGGGCATGACAACGAATGGAGAAAGACACGGGCGAGCATAAGGGCCGCAGAACTAAGCGCCATGATTTGAACATGATTTTATTATCCCGCAAGGCCTAGAGACCCTAGATTCACGTTGATAGCCTATTGGTCTTGCCTGCCCACCCAACACATACGGGAGAGTCCCTTTGAAAATATCAACGCCGGAAGAATGCGCACATATAGTTTCATGTCCAAGAAAAAGGATCGCGGGGGAGTGATAGAATCGATGATGAGAATGGTGATGAAGGCGAAGGTCGTCGCAGCGATGACTCCTATCTAAGCCTCAAGAGGTAGCTCGGGGGCCAAAGGCCCCAATACATAGACCTATGCACAATTGACGTTTTTAGTATACATTAGTAGCTCATCCAATCCCTAAGACAAGACGCATGCTTCCTGTTAATCTGCAGGTGTCTGTATATCTAATAGACTGCTTTTAGGCTACTAAAACGGGGCCGCACCCTGAATGTGCGGCCCGTACTCTCCGAGGTCGAGTCATCATAGCTATGAACCCTTGAGGCATACAACATTCTCCATTCATGGTATCTAGGATCGAAATGATATCCACATATCCACCGTCTTATCCATTCAGAGGACAATGCTCGGCTTACTCCCGGATCTTCTCGGCATACTTGGCTGCCAGATCCCCGGCCAACTGTTTCAGCGATCCAGAGCCCATGATCTCCAACACGCTCATCGTGAGTCCAAATACCTGCTTGATCCACCGCCGTAACTCAATCGCCATCAGCGAATCGAGCCCGATGTGCGCCAGCGTCCGGCCAATCTCGACCTCTTCATCCGGTTTGAGCATCAAGTCGTGGATCTTCTTGCCCACTTCGACGGCGAGAAAATCCACCCCTCCCCGCGTAAGAGGCCCTTGTCCCCCATCTCGCGCACACGTTCCAGGAAGGCCTGCAGGGCGCTCGCCTTCGCGCCGTTTTTGCCGTCTCTGGCGCTCTCCGACTCCCGCACCCGCCGATTGTGGTAAAGCCCCATGCGTCGATTGTGGCGCCAGCTGGCCCGGTTGTGCGGGTCGCCCAGGTCCTGCTCGGAGCGCAGTCCCATCACGACTTGAGATCGGTTCACCCATGGCCGGGGAGGGGTGGCTGTTGGACTTGTATTCCCGTCAGCGGACGGAGTGCTGTCGATGAGACTGAGCTCCACCAAGTCGAGGAACTCGCGCTCCCGCAAGGTGTAGATCCCTTGCGCCTTCATGTTCTTTTTGGCGTGCGGGTTCTCGGCGACGAACCCGACCCCCTCGACGGGGCAGATGTTCAGCACCGAGGCCGGCAGTCCGAGGGAATGTCGGTATTGGCAGAATGCCTCGAGGAATGTCCCCGTGGCGAGGTAGTTGGCCTGGCCGGGCGTGTCCACGGCGGTCAAAATGGAGCTGGCCAGCCAGAAGAAATCCAGCGGCTGGTCCTTCAACGCGTGATGGAGATTCCACGTCCCTGTCACCTTGGGCCCGTTGACTTCGACCCAATCCGAGTACGTCATCTCCAAGAGAGGCGCATCCTACCGCCATGTCAGTGGAATGAAATCGTTTGGGTCATTTTGGCAACTTCACCTTCAGCACCATGGCCAGCTGGAACACGCCCTTGATCGGCTTCTTCGTACTGGCAATAGACCGCTCAATATCCTCGAGGTTTTCGACGCTTCCCGCCACCAAGTGGACGCTGCATCCCATCTGCTCGAGCTCCTGGGACAGGCTCTGACTCTCTTCGTCCTTGCCGGCGCGTCGGGAAAGCAAGATCAAATCGGTGGCCCCATGCTCGACCATCCAAGTGGCCATGGATCGACCCAGACCACCCGTGCCTCCGACGAGGAGATACGCTGCCGCCGAGTCCAGGGTCAGGGCTCGCGATGGGAGCTCCTTCTTCAGCTCAAACGGGTGGTAGCGGCCAATGCACACCTGGCCGTCAGTGACCACAAACTCCTTGTCCGCATGGAGGCTAGCCTCATCTTTGGTGGTCCGAATTTTCTGCAAGACCCCGTGGACCAGTTCTTCAAACCGGGTCTCGTTGGTGTCAATCTCCAGGGTGAATAGTGGGAGGGACAGCTCCGTCCGCACCGTTCGAGCGACGCCGAGCGTCTGCGCAGACCGCGGGTCTTTGCACCGCACCTGGAATGGCGGACACAACCATAGAACCTTCTCGGCATCCAGGTGTCGGATCAGGGCCTGGAATGCGGCCAGCCGATCAGGCGACAGGTCTTCACCGAAGAAGTCGCTCTCCAATCCGACGCTGGCGATGATGTCCCGGCCCTTGGGCGGCATCTCCTCCCCCAGCCGGCACGTCTCGACCTGCCAGCCACCGTCCCGCAGATACAACTGGAGTCGCTTCACAATGTCAGCGTCCGCGCTCTGGCAGAGCAAGGTGACCGCTCGGTCAATCTCCGGCACATCGGCCTTCCGCGCAGGCTGGGAGATGATGGTGGCCGCCAGCCGGTAGGAAGGTACGTCCTGGTCCGGCACAACGGCGTCGACACCGGTGAAGCCGGCCGCCTTCAGTTCAGCATCCCACCGCTCCGGCTGGACATAGGGCTCCCAGTTGCGGCCATCAGCCTCGCCCAGCCACCATCCGACGAAGTTGCCAAAGATGTAGTTGGGCGACTTGATGAGGGAGCACAGTTCAGTCAGGATGATGAATCCATCGGGCTTGAGCAGCGGCTCCAGGTTCGACAGCGTTTCCTTCAAGGATGCGGTTGCGTGCACGACATTCGGGGCGAGGATGAGGTCGTAGGACGCGGCTTCGAAGCCCTGGGCGAGACCGTCTTGGGAGATGTCGAAGGTCCGGAACTCCATGTTGGGCGCGTAGGTGAACCGTTCTTTGGCCTGCGGGAAGAAGCCCGCGGAGACATCGGTAAAGGTATAGACGGAGTAGGGAGGGAGGCTGCTCCCGTCGACCAGACCGCGAAGGGTTCGCTCGGTGGTGCCGCCCGTGCCTGCGCCGACTTCGAGGATGCGAAGGTTCGGTCGGTTGTTGGAGAGCAAACGGACAAAGTCGCCGTATCCAAAGCTCACCGAGTCGTACAGCTCGGCGAGGATGTCGTCTTGCATCAGCAAGTCCAACGTGTCGGCTTCACCGGTGAAGATTTGGTCTGCATGCTCGCAGATGCGCTTGATGCCGACGGAGTAAGCGTGTCGGCCGGGAAGATCCAGGATCTTCGCGTATGTGTCTTGGATGAGTTTCTGCCGTTCAACGCGAGGCAGTCCGACCCATTCCGTGGCATGCTCGACAAGGGTATACTGTCCAGCCTCCGCCATACGCACCTGCAGCGCGAGCCACTCACGGTATTTCGCCAGGTGTGGGTGGCACGGCGGGATGTGAGCCACCTTGTCCATCGACTCGAGCACACAGAGCAGAGTCAGGTGCTCTTCGAGTTCGATCTCCAGCAACGGTCGTTGCGGCTTGTCGAAGAGGCCGCTGTGATCCACGAAGTCGAAGTCAGGAAGCCACTGCAGGCGGGCGCCAGCATGAACATCAACCTGATCCGCCGCCTCCGCCGCCAGAGGAGCCAGCTGCAGCCCCGACATCCGCAAGGCTAACTTGCTGTTTTCGGTCACGCACTCCACTCCCTGAGTGAAGTCGTGTGCCCGGGCCCTCAGGTTGGCCGAGCCTCTGGAGACCTCGACATTCCCAACCACGACGGGTACCTCCAGCTGGTCGAGGTTGCGGCACAAGCCGCGAGCAGCTGCGACGATCAGCAGTTGGATACATGCGTCGATGGCCGTAGGGTGCAGGGCAAATGGCCACTTGTTCTCTCGCTGCGCGGGGCTCATGACTCGAGCCTCTGCCAGGGGATCCGTCGCGGAGGACGTGATATCCACGAGACGCTGGAACTCCGGCCCGAAAACGACCCCGACCCGTGCCATGGCCTCGTAAAATCTCGTGGGCGTGAGCTTTCGAGGCAGTCTCCTCTGAGCGGCAGACTCTGGCTCCCAAGGGAGTCTTTGAGTCTCAGCCAGTGGCGATACTTGGCCAGTGCAGTGGATCAACCAGGACGAGCCGTGACACGAAGCAATTGAGAAGTCGTACCAAGAGGGACCCTCGGCTGGAACACCCGTGTGGGCGTGTAATACAGTCACTACCTCCGTTGCCTTGGAATCGGTCAACACGAGGGCCTTGCGGGCTTCGACGTCCCGCAGACGGTAGCCCGTGTCAACTCCGGTAGTCTGTCGAATGGCCTCTCCCGCCATCACAATGTATCCAGCTAGAGGAAACACGACATCTTGGCGGATCTTATGGTCTGCAATCCAGGCCACGTCTTCCAGACTAAGCATGTTCCGCCATATCGGCGAGAAATCGGGCGAGTCGACCGTCCGCTCTCCGAGAAGAGAGTGATGTGGAAATGGGCGCTGGCGCCAGGCGCTGGACAGGCGGCTTTCATACCAGTATGATCCGCTGTGGTCCCAAGGATAGACGGGCAGTCCACACAGGGCTCGTCTGTCCTCTGGAAAGAGAGCTTTAACATCAAGGGGCACGGCCTCCTGATACATTTTGCCAACAGCAGACAGGAAGGTTGCGGCGCTGTCCTGGTGCCGGATCTGGCATGGGGTGTAATTACAGGGTTTCGATAGCGTCGAACAGATGTCGCGGAGGGGTCCGGCAAGTGTCGAGTGAGGGCCGACTTCCAGGAAGACACTGCTCCTCCCCCTTGCTTCTAGGTTCGTCATGGCGGAGTGAAATCGGACGGGGGAGGTCAGATTGTCCACCCAGTATTCCGGACCAAAAGAGGCGGGATCATCCACGGGTTTGCATATGACACTTGAGAGGAACAGAGCCTTGTCTGTAGAACGTGGGACGCCAAAATTGTTCTCCGCCCGGAGCAGCTCCAAGTATTCTATGCCCAACGGCTTCATATGATCTGCAAAAATGTGAGTAGACCGAAGATAACCTAAAGGAGAGGGTCAGGCGCACGAGAATGGTAAGCCATCTCAACTTTGAGGAGACGGGTAAAGATATCTGGCCTTTCTTCCTTCAAGCATGCTAGCATCTCCTTCAGGGCTTCCTTATCGCCGGAGATGGTCGTGCTGCTGGGACTGTTTTCACACGCGATGCACACACCAGCACGCAGGAATGGCAGCACATCGGCAGCCGATAATCCCACGGCTGCCATGGCACCACGGGAACGATCCGCATTCTTAGTGATATATCCGCGATAGTAAGCTACCGCAAGGGCATACTCGAGCGTGATATACCCGGCGGCGTACGCCGCTGCGATCTCACCGCTCGAATGACCGACAACTGCTGTGGGTTTGATGCCAAGTCGTTTGAGCTGGTGGAAGAGCGCCACTTGCAATGCCGTACAAAGCGGTTGGGCCATCTCGGCCCGGTTGATCTGGCTGTCCTCGGCTGGTTTCTGGAGCTCCTCTAGTTGGTCACGGTTAGCCAGGAGCCATGGTCCAATTCAACCCGTCAACATACCAAGTATAGACCAACAGGGGGGTTTGCGGAAGCTCTGCAAGATGCTATCCATGGAGGCCAAGTCATGCCGGAAGTTCGCATCCATCTGGATGAGCTTTTTCCCCATCTCTGCCCACTGGGCCCCCTGGCCGCTGAAGATCATCGTAATGGCCGGGGTGACCGCGGGGGCCTTGGAGAGACTGGATATTTGGAGCTCGCCATTTTGCCAGATGGCAAATGCCCGGTGGGGAAGCCGTTCTCGGCGGACGGCTAGAGTATACGCGATGTCGGAAATGGCGTCCGGGTGGTCACGGGCATAGGTCTTGTACGCTTCGACCTGCCCTCGGAGGGACGTTTGAGTATTGGCTGAAAAGAGAAGAAGCTGCGGGCTTTCGGTCGCCGGGGAATGTCCAACACGGCTGGTCCTCCTGGCAGCATGTCCATGTGCAAGGTGTTGGGCCACCGATTCGACAATCACCTGCGACGGTTAGTGCTATGATCTGAAAGAGGTGACTGATTCAATTACATGAGCATTGGAGCCGCCGATGCCGAATGAATTGACACTGATCCTTTCTGCCTTGTCCGACGGAAAGGGGGCGGGTTGTATGGGGACAACGAGCTTCTTCTCGACGAATGGGACTAGGAAATGGTCAGATCACTACCATCAGTAGAGTAGGAGTCGACTTACTCTTGGGATTGGGGTTTCTGAACTTGATATTTGGCGGGATTGTTTTATGCTCCAACGCAAGAACCGCTTTGATCAAGCTCGTGATGCCGGAACAGCCTTCAGAGTGCCCAATATTCGGCTTCACAGAGCCAATATACACGCCCCGTTCACCGAAGACGTTGCCAACCGCCGTGGCCTCGATGGGATCGCCTGTTGCAGTACCAGTGCCGTGGCACTTCGATGCGTTACTCAACCGTCTTTGTTCCTGGAAGCTTGAAACATACCTCGACGAAAGCCGTTTCACGGGGACTCAGCCCAGCTTGATCATAAACCTGGCGCATGAGGGCTTCATGTGCCTCGGCGTTGGGGCTCATGATTCCCATGCTCTTACCATCACTGTTGGTGCCTGTCCCCCGAATGACCGCCCGGATCGGATTCCCATCCCGGAGAGCATCGTCAAGTCGTTTGACATAGATTGCCGTAATGCCCTCCGCTCGAGCAAAACCGTCGGCCGACTCATCAAACGTCTTGCAGGAAGCTTCCGGGGAGAGAATGCCTTCCCCGAAGAAATTGGACGTCAGCGTCGGAGCTAGAATCAAACTCGTTCCGCCAACAATTGCGCCGCGTATGTCCCTAGCCTGTAGGGCCCGGCAGGCCTCGTGGAGGGCGACGAGTGACGCTGAGCAGGCGGTCTTGATTACCACACTGCGGGTTGTCAGCGAGATTGTGATGACGGAAGCAGGTGTCAAGGAAAAGAAAAGCAAGTCAAGGAAAGAAAGAAACAAACAATCAAAGAAAGAAAGAATATAATCAATAAACGGGACCTGGCAAGAGGTGACGGAAAGCTACCTTGGCCCTCGCAAGTCATATTCATATGATACTCGATTGGCGAGGATCATGTCACTATACCCAAGCACATTATAGCTTCGACTATGCTGTGGTTCCCGAAGACTCATCTCCATCCAATCGTGGCCAAAGTTCCCGATATAGCAGCCGACGTTTCGACCACGATAGTCTGTCTCCCCCGCGTCTTCGAGGCACTCTCGAGAGACTTCCAACAGCTGACGTTGCTGCGGATCACATTTTTCGAGCTCGGTCTTGGTCATGGAAAAGAAAGACGCATCGAGACTGGACAGGTCTTCATCCAGGAAGTAGCCATGCGTAGTCTTGATGGGGTCTCTGCCGTCGAGGGAGCCGTTGAAGCCAGAGATGTTGTACCGACTGGCCGGAATGGGCATCCGAGCATCTCGGCCGTTGACCAGGAGATCCCAGAAAGAGTCCCCATCCCGGATCCCTCCTGGGAGACGCAATCCCAGCCCACAGATTGCAATTGGCTCAGTGAACGGTGAACCGTTGGCCTGGCCTCCGTTCACAATGCCACGGTCAGAGTCCGAAGAGTCAAAAGGCCCAGAGACAGGCGAAGTATCCCGAGTTGAGGCACTCCCCACTGGTAACGATGGGACATCAAAGTGAGGAGAAGACATGGTATCTTTGAGACAGATAGATGGGAAAAAAGAAGATAGCGATTCCAAATGATCTGTATTTGACTCAGGAATTTGAAGCTCTGAAGACCATTGCTTCCAGTGGTTGATGGACCATTATATACATATGGATTTCCACCTAGACATGATATCTGGAACCGCACCTCTTCGACACTCAATTGCAGCCTGTTCCCGTTGAATCCTACTACACCCATAGTCCGCCCCAAACTAGTGTTCACGTTACGATAGTATGATCCCACGGAGGGATGAAGACTCCACGGGACAAGCAAAGAGACTCCAGACCTTGGAGTTGGGGTTATTCACAGTCCAATGACGGGAGAGCCACTGTCGATCCTAGCATGTGTTTTGTCGGGGACGGATGGTGGACACGACATCCGTGCAGGATGTCGCAGCCTTTCAAGCATATTCCAAGATCAAAGAAGCTCAAGTAAAATGTAGCTCGTATCTGCAACACCGGATTGCTGATAGCATTGAATCAGCCAATCTAGGAGCATCGAGCCCTGTCTAGCGTACTCCAACCAGTCTAGGTAAATACGTACGAAGAAATGTCGGGGCTCCCCGCGCGCTAAGCGAGAGGAGCGGTTACCTGGTTGTATCTCTGTAATGGAGGGTTACATTCGTATCCAAATTCAGCAGCCTCGGAGCGCCGCAAGTCCATCCTAGAATAGTGGCATCTTGCGATACATCTAGAGGAGCAGGGATGCAGCTCGTATCTGCAGTGCAGGCTTCCTAGCTGTCAGTGGACATGACTTCTCGGATGCAGGCCAGAAGCGACACGGACCAGACTGAACGATGGGATAGGATACTTCCCCTCGTCGCCAGAGGAAGGTGAGTGAGCGAGGACTTGGCTGAATACTCCATCCTGTGCTTGGGATGTACGGTGGGCCCATATCCGGCGTGTGATATTGGCACACACACATCGGTCGTGAAGTATATCAGCGGTGCTCTCGACGTCTCTGCCATCTTCGTGACCACCTCCTACGAACGAAATTTCCCCGTCCCACTTACTCCCTGATTGTACCAACCGGTCGAAACTGATTGCATCTTTTAAATGACTGTCAACGGAAAAGTCATCGATAGTCCGAATGGCCAGTATGTGGCTGCGGGCATCGACATGAGTGATCTGTTCCCCGCCCCGTTTCCTACCAATGTCAAGACGGTCCACCTGGAGACTCTCTCGTTGGCCAAGCTCCTCCAAAGGGACGAAGACGAGCTCCGTCGCATCTACGAAAACTGCAAGGACCCGGGGTTCTTCCAGCTCGACCTCACCGACGATGAGCAGGGCGTTCAGCTCCTGCGAGACGCGGTGGACTGCGCGCGGTTGATGAAGCAATTGCTTCCCAACATGAGCGTGGAGGAGAAAAGAACGTACAAGCAGCACTCCCGAGTGGGCGTCTACAGCAAGGGGTATGGGCTCGTTTGACAGCGACTCTCGCGAGCCAGTTCTCTAACCTGGAGCAGATACCAAGTCTATGACGTCCTGCCGAACGGACAACCCAAGTACAATGAGACGGTCAATGTAAGCAGTTCCTTTTCCCCTTTCCGCCGTTCCTCGACGGTTTCTCACGTCTTGGATCTAGTTTCCCATGACAGAGATGCTTGGCTACGGTGATAGCACCGTGGATCTCCCGGACTGGCTCAGCCCGCACCGGGAGCTCTTCCAGCGGACCATGCGCAGCGGCAACAAGATTGCCAACATTGTCCTGGCGGCGCTGGAAGTCGGACTGCAGGTGCCGCGCGGCGCCCTCACCGACGCGCACCGCATCCAGGATCCGTCGGATGACTTCCTGCGCCTGCTACGCTACCCGGGCCTTCAGCCCGACCAGCCGCGCGACGACCTTCGCTTCCCGGCGCATAAAGACTTCACCTCCCTCGGCATCTTGTTCACCTGGCTAGGGGGCCTCCAGCTCCCGGCCTCAGCCAGTGCCCCCGGAGTCACGTCGGGCACCATGACGGGGCCCTTGGACATCGCGGAGGATGCCTGGCGTTGGGTGCAACCGGTGCCCGGGACTGCCATCGTCAATGTGGGTAACGCGCTGGAGATTCTGACCAACAAGGCGCTGACGTCGGGGCTGCATCGCGTGGTCCGCGCCCCTGGTGAGCAGCTGCCGTTCGACCGGTACAGCGTGCTGGTGGGCACGCGCCCAGCCAACAGTTTCCCCATGAAACCGCTGCAAAGTCCGCAGATCTCGCCCGTGTTGGATCCCGCGGCGGCCGAGATCGCCACGATGACCAGTGGCCAGTGGGGAGCGCACAATATCGGCAGCTTCAACAATTGGGTGAAGGCCCGAACCGAGCGCCAGGAGGTTCTGATCATCCCGTGAATGGATCTCTCCCCCAAGGGTTTCTCTGCCAATCGCATCCACTGTATGTAGCTAGGACCCAGATTCCAGATCAGATGGATAGCGTCCACTCGTTTAGCCATTTCAATGCAAGTGACCTTCGTATTATGATCTATGCCGAGTAATGCCGGAGCGGTAATCCGGCAAATCATTGCAGTGCGGTTTATTTTCACATGCACAATTGCAGGTACAAAAGCACCCCAGGAGGATGCGAATCCCTGTCGAACGAACCCCACCCCCATTCATGTGTGGGTTCAGGGTTCAGGGGCTGACGGGGTTTGTGGGCTGGCTGTCCGTATCGAAACAAGCATTAGTCGATGACGTGGCTCTCTCTGGCCGGCTTTTTCTCGTTTATTCTCAAACCGGCTTTCCTTAGTCTTTCTTCGAGTATTCCCCTGCCTCGGCGCAGGTCTTCAATCGTATCGCCGTAAAGCAGTATGTCGTCAGTTGTCTCAGAATGGACGAATCGCAGGAATCTGCTCCCGCGCACTGACCCCGGCTTAGAAGAATGTTGAAGATGCCAACACCAAGGAAACCTTACTCCGCAACTACGCTAAGCTCAAGGAATCAATCTATCGCATGCATGCGTGCATTGAAAAAAAGTCCGAACCCCGGCCTTAACTCCGGATGGATTGCAGAAGGTGTCAAACACAGGATCTACAAAGCCCCTTCCTCAGCCCTCCCGCCCTGGCTTGATCCTTCTCGTCTTCCGTCCATCCAATCTTGTTGACTTTCGCTTCCGAGATACCACTCAACCACTCGACAAGGCCATGGACCCGAACAGCCCCAACAAGATCGTGCTGGTCACGGGAGCCAACCAAGGTCTTGGTCTCGCTGTCATTGAAGTCGCCGGCGTACGCTATCCGTCCAATGCGTACATTCTCTGTGCGCGAGACATCGAGAAGGGCCAGCAGGCGGTCCATCAGCTCCGTGATCGCGGGGTCAGCGCCGTCATTGACCTGGTGCAGCTGGACGTGACCAACGACGATCACATCGCCGCCGCAGTCAGACATGTGGAGGCGCAGTACGGACGGCTCGACGGTAAGCACGCCATCCACCTTCGTTTCAGGTTCAGCCGAGACGAAAGCAAGAGACGAGCGGCGAGGCTAACGAAAAGACCGTTGCTTCGCGCGAGGGCAGTCCTCGTCAACAACGCAGGTTTCGTCCGACTCGGCCATCAGGACACGGACCTCTCGGCGATGCGCGCCACGTACAACGAGTACATGAATGTGCATATTACGTCGGTGGCCGTGGTGACGCACGCCTTCACCCCGTTGTTGCACCGGTCGCCCGCGCCTAAGGTCATCAACGTCACCTCCGGGCTGGGGAGCATCACCAACGTGCTGTCGCCGCGGCGGATGGCGCGCGTCCCGCCGTACGGCGCCAGCAAGGTGGGGATGAACGGGCTGACGGCGCACCTGCAGGTGGGCGAGAATGAGCGGGCGGCGGCGGGGGAGGCGAAAGCGCCTCGGATCCGCTTCTTCATCTCGAACCCGGGGTTGCTGAAGACGGCGTTCTCCAATTACATTGCGTGGGGGAAGGAGCCGCAGGCGGGCGCGGAGAGCATCGTGCAGCTGCTGGGCGATGAGGAGGGGAAGTTTGATCACGCCATGCAATGGGAGCATGAGGAGGGGGAGATGCGTGTTGTGCCGTGGTGATTCCTGTACAGAATAAGAATAGGTACCTATCATATCAAGCCATGTGGAACCAGGCGAGATTGCGTTCGGGTCGTTCCGAACATATATACCGATTATAGTACGGAGTGCACGGGCCCAATGGCACCGATCTGAGAGGGGTAAAGACAAGCTTTTGGTTGGAGCGGGCACAAGGAAGTCAAGCTTCCGGCAATCCTTCCTTGGCCCTTGGCAGTGTCTGTATTCTTTAGGCGCACACCCCCCCCCCCTCCTTTTTCTCCAACCGAGAGGTAGTAGAAACGTGTACGACACCTTCGTATTCAGGAACAGGGGTCCGGTCTCACCGCAATACGAGGGCAACAGGGGGTATCAACACTAACTAGATTGATTCACTTGAATGAAAAGAAAAAATAAATAAATAAACAAATAAAAATCCGCTATAGTAACTTGGAAGGATGAAAGATGCAACCTGTCAGCTGCATGACGAATACGATGTTGCATCGAGCCAGATTGTGGCCACCTCCCTTCCAATGGATCGACCTACTCATAGCAGTCCTAGATGTCCCCCTCAAGCTCATGGCGAGGACCGGGACGGTGCGTTCGCCCCCATTTCCGAGAGTAGTATGTGGTGACTCCATGCTAATCATCTGAAAGTTACCTACAGTCGTCGGACTAACATCAGCTTCTCGTGTCGCGGTCAATACGAGGAGGAAGAAGAAGAAGAAAAGAATCCGTCAAAGTTCTCCAAGTCCGACAATGCGTCAGCCCTCCCAATCGACTTAAGTCTTTGGTGTTTGAGGGTTCAAGGGAACTCGTATATAAGTCGATTGTTTGGAAGCACTCCCCCCAACCGTGGGGTCGTTTTCATGATTCATGGATCAGAGATTCAACTGCATTGTCCAATCCTCTCCTTCGTACTGTTCCACAATGCGACGTGCAACGCTGGTCCCACTGGCGATCTGGGTTGCAGGTGCAGCGGCAGCTGCACCTGCTTCCTTGCCCCAGGTCCCCTCGTGCGACATATCCCTAGCCAACATCGGGCTATCTCAGGACTCGCTGATTTTCTTCCCCAACAGCTCAGGGTGGGAGAGCGAGACAATCCGTTGGACGGAGTACATGGCTCCCACCTATTCCGTTTCGGTCCGACCAGCCCATGTGTCGGACGTGCAGGCTCTAGTACGTCCAGTTTTTGGTTCCCCCTCCCTCCTCCCCTCGGCCCTCGGTCCAGTAATTGTCGCTGACAGTAGACAGGTCAGGTTCGCCACCCGCTGTAACATTCCATTCCTCGCCAGCTCCGGCCAGCATGGGTTCGACACTGAACTGGCCGAGCTGCAGAACGGGATGGAGATTGACTTGTCAGCCTTCCGGAACGTCTCGGTCGACGCCGAGAAGAACACCCTGACCGTTGGCGGCGGAGTGCGCTTCATGGACGTGTTCGACCCGGTCTTCAATGCGGGCAAGGAGATTAGTACGTTCCGCAAAACCCCCCTGGTGGCTGAAGGAACCAGCCAAACTGACCATCAAGTAGGCACCGGATCAGGAGCCTGTGTCGGCATGATCTCCCCTACGTTAGGCGGCGGGGTCGGCCGCCTCAGCGGCACACATGGCATCATCTCCGATCAATTGTTGAGCGTCCAGATGGTGACCGCTAACGGCAGCCTGGTGACCGCGTCCAAGAAGAAGAATCCCAATCTGTTTTGGGGTCTGCGGGGTGCTGGCGGCAACTTTGGCATTGTGGTGGAGGCCGTGTATCAGGTCACCGATCTGACCTCGGAAAATGTGGTCAATCTGGACTATGCCTTCTCCACGAACGACACCGGGGCGATCATTGACTATCTGGCTTCGTTCGGTTCGAACATGCCCCCGAAGCTGTCGTTCATCATTGCAGCCCTCTATAATGAGAAGCTGTTCGGCGGAGTAGGTGAACCCTTGGTTGCGTTGATCCAAACCGCGGGGCGATAGGGGCGCTAATACTATTTCTCCTCCCTTTTCCAGTTCGCCGTCATCGTCAGTGGGCTTTACACCGGCCCGCAGAGCGAGGCCGAACAGTTGCTGGCGCCGCTCCTCCAGAATGCTACTCCGATCAAGCAAAATGTCAGCGTGGTGCCCGAAAATAAACTCGTCTACGCCGCGACCTTTGGCTCGCAGGGGAACTCCACCATCGCCTGCTCGGGAAAAGGAGTCAATCGCAGCATCTTCGGCGGGCCATCAACACGTACGACAAGGCCACGTACGTCGACTTCCTCAAGGCCTTCGAAGAGCTCGTGACGACCAATACCGACCTCCGAGGCAGCGTGTTTTTCATCGAACATTTCAGTAATTATCAGGTTCAAAAGATCCCCGACCACACTTCGGCGTACCCTTGGCGCGATATCACTGCACACCTGTACGTGTTGCCCGATATCTCACTTCATGTGTGACATGGCCATCGACTAACCATTTTGCAGCCTGTTCAATTACGCCTGGAACGACCCTGCAAACCAGCAACTCGTCGACCAGTTCGGCAAAGAGTGGCGCGCAGCGTTCCTGAAGTCAGCGGGATTCAACCCCCCGCGACTGTACGTCAACTACGGACACGGAGATGAAAGCAACGAGATGTTATACTCGGCCAAGAACCTGCCCCGGTTGCGTGCTCTCAAGAAACAGTGGGACCCGGAGAATGTGTTCCGATTCCATCATCCCATCTCTATGTCCTGAATATTCTGTATCACGGCACCCCTAGAGATAAGGAGCCGTGCCGTACCACAGACTAGGTGATTGGGAATGTCCATTGTGGAGCACACGGTAGACCAACTCTGTTTATATATATATATATATATATATATTCGTAGTGATGGGCCACATATTCGGAGGATAATTGGTATTCTTCTGTTTCCATTCCCTTCCATAGGAAAAGACAGGACGTGAATACACCCTCGGTTGTGTCATTTTCTGCGAGCCCCTCACATATCATTCACCACGATCTCCCATAAGCCCAAATCCACCGAACTTGGGTGGTCGCGGAGCACATATAGCGACCATGCGTTGGAAGCTGTTGCCGTGTAAGCTCAGTCTAGGGAGCGGCTTGCGCGGCTTGCTAGTCCGTTGTTCGGTGTCAAATGCAGATATTATTTTCCTGGCAGCAACCAGGAACAGGACATGCAGTCAGTGCTCGCGATGTCTCAGCTCGGAGGATTCGGGGATCATCCCGCTAAGTCCGGTCAAATACGAGGGCCAGTATGCAGCCTCGAGAACCGTCTAGGCTAGCATCTGGTGGATGAACCCTTAGAGGCTACCCGAAAGAGAGTACGCTGCGTTTTATGTATTTATTTTAATCTAATTCTCTCTTCACTATTTATTTTCATCTCCCCCGGACTGGCGTGTTTCAACTCCTTCAGTGAATACGCTGTCTCCGTGGAAGGTCCGCCAACCTGTCAATTTGTTTACGGCAAAAGTACAGAAGGTCTGCTCCAGTGATGGTGGACATGCTCATCGTTAGGCAGGATTTCACTTGTTGCTTGACAACTTGACAAGATGACCGTGGCGATATCCAACCCGGCCGCACCGCCGGTGAGGTAAGTTGGTCTCTTGCAAAGGAGCAGGCCCGTTCCATGAGCTTTTTTAAGGCTAATTAATTACGTTTCCGACAGTGCAAGAGCCTATATGTCGGTCATCGGAGGGACCTGCGCGCTCTTGTGTACCGTCGGCTTTGTCGTTGCCTTTGGCGTCTTCCAAGGATACTACACCGAGCACCTCCTTCGAGGAATGAGCGAGTTCGACATCTCGTGGATTGGGTCGGCCTCGATCTTCTTATTGTACGCATCTGCGCCCATCTGTGGCGTTCTTGTTGATAGGTTTGGGCCCAAGGTAATCATCATCTGTCCGTTGAATTTTGAAACCATCCTTCACGCCGATGACTCGTCATAGGTTCTGCTCATCGCCGGGTCGATCGGGGTCCTCGTGGCGATTTTTATGATTTCTCTCTGCTCCCAATACTACCAGATCTTTCTGGCCCAGGCGGTGCTTCTGGGGATCAGTATGGGTTTTGTCACATGGCCGCCCTTCGCGGTGGTTTCCCGCAATCTGCCACACCATCGTGGCCTCGCCTTGGGGGTGATCACCGGGGGTTCTTCTGTGGGCGGAATCGTCTGGTCGATCATGATTGAGGAGCTCCTGACCAAGCGAAACCTCGGGTTTCCGTGGACGGTCCGTGTGCTGGGGTTTACGATGCTGCCTCTCCTGGCATTCGCATGCATTTCGATTACTGAGCCACCCAAACAACCCCAACCCCAACCCAGACCGGTCCTGGAGGCCACGGTAGAGAGCGGTTCGGCCTCTCCAATCCCGAAGCCGGAGGATGCGTCCCTCCCGTTGCTCCGGAGTCCCGTCTTTATCTCTATCTGCGTTGGCTTCGGCCTCGGCTTCCTGGGCCTGTTCAACCCCTTCTTCTATATCTCGTCGTACGCAGCGGGCCATGGCGCGTCAGCACACACCTCCTTTTACATGATCTCCATCATGAACGCAGCCACCCTTTTTGGTCGCGTGATCCCCGGAATCGTGGCGGACCGTGTAGGCCACTACAACGTGATGATCTTCGTCCTGCTGGCCTCAGGAATTACCTCGTTCTGCTGGACCGCAGTCCACTCCCTGACCGGGCTCGTCATCTGGTCTATCGCATATGGGTTCTCTTCCGGGGTAAGTTGTTCAACCAGCCATTGTCCCCCGCGTCGATTAGCAAGCCATTCATCAATGCTCATTGTCGCAAAACGTTAAGGCCATCCTGAGTCTGCAGGGCGCCTGCGCAGGGAAAATCGCGACTCCGCAGAATCAAGGCAAGGCAATCGGCTTCTTGCAAGGTTCGCTGGCGGTAACGTAAGTGGATATACCTCACAGGAGACAATTCACATCTCACTCGCTTTCCCATGCAGGGTCCTGGTCGGCTCACCCATCGGCGGTCAACTGCTGGGCCACTATGGATACTTATCGCTGTCGATGTTTACGGGCGCCACGCTGGTGGTGGGGGCAGTGGTTATGGGCTATGCCAGACTATGTCTTAACCCAAGGGTGATGGTAGCTGTCTAGGGTTAGTCGTGCGGAGGGGGCTTCTCTTACCCATACCGATCGAAAGGACATTGGGCTGTCTATCTGTCATGTATTGCTATATTTCGTTTTCTTGTAGATAGAATCCGGGAAAGTCGCAGCACGGCTGTCACTAGGACACTAGGTTGATCTCTAGCAATAGATCGTTCGTTATGATGTTCAGTCCGTCGTTTTTGGGCCTATGAGCACGAGGGAGAGGTGAGTAAAACGGCACTATCCTATTGCATTCCAATTTGCCATGCCCATTGGGGTACTGTACGACAAGCAGCTTAGGGTGGTAGGTGCGCTGTCTCAGTCGTTGCGGGCTGCCATAGAATTGCACAACACCCCGGCCCTAGGATTTTCGTATCTACCCAGCGTCCAACCACATACAAAATGTCACTCCAAGAGTTACAGGATTTATGACGGCGCCTAGGAAAGGAGCAGCTACTCAGAGAGCAAGCCGAAGACCAACTGAGGCTTCAAACCCAAGAAACGTCGCCGTCTGAATTCATCGATGCCTGCCATGTGCATTTGTTTCTCGGGCTATCCATCCAAAGAGACAAAGACTCGTCAACGGAAGGCGATCCAGCTAATCCCGACCGTAAACTTTCTCTGACCAAGATTCGCGAATGGACCGCTTTCCCAACCAAGCAAGCTTCGATATGGGAAGATTATTTGATGGGCACAGAGTTTGCGACGGAGCGCCAGTTTTTTCGTCTCTACTAGCATTGAAGGAGTACGGCAAAGAGGCACGGGGATGGATGGTAAGCTCCGAGCTGGATTTGCCGTCAAATACTCACTCTCAGCCAAAATATCTGACAGCTAGTTCTTGCCACGTTATCTCTTGGGGGGTTTAGGGTAGTGCGAGGCCTGCACTTCGTCAGTGGATGGCCATCAGTAGGGACGCTGCCAGGAAAGAGGCCATTGGCTGTTAGGATTGCAAAACATGATTTGACCACTGAGGATCCCAGGAAACGACTGTTCCTCAAATGTTTTGTATACATCGACACCCCCATGTCTCTTGCCGACCAGGCTTTTTTTTCCTTCGTGACAAGCACTCGAACGCATGGCGTGTTAGCCCCTAACACTGGCATCTTCGCAAACAATTGCCACAAAGCGTGTTGACAGATTAGAAGAGATTATGTGGATATCAGTCTCGAGCCACGGAGCGTCGACGACTGAGTGAATCAAGCCATTCCAGTCGGAGAATGGACTGGCGGAAAGGAACGCCCGACTTTTCGTTGGGGATCGACCTCAGCTCTCAGTGGCTCTAAGAAGATTTGTCTCGTCTGCCCAGTCTCTCAGCCCTCGAAATTAAAGGGGTCATTGATGAAGACCTTCGCGCCCATCTAATTTTTCGCGGTGTCACTAAGTCCTTACAAAGGTTCACCGCCAAATTCATGATCGACTGGAACATTGGGATATTTGGAAATGTATGAATGAGAGTCTCGAAGAAACACGACTTCATTCTTCAAGGGCAGGCAACAGCCCGTCCGCAGAGCTGAATTTTCCACGTTTAAAGACCCTCGAACTGGAAAACTCCCTGGGCTGCCTTCCTCTTTCCGACATCGGATTACCGGTCTTGACCCAGATCAACTTTATATTGGGCCCTGGGGACTTTCTTTACGATCTTCCACAGCATCTATCGTCGCCGACTTCAGTATTGCGGAAGCTTCCAATCATCCTCAACCTCGTGCATGTTGAGATCTATTTCGATCCAGATTGGCCAACAACATTGGATAGCCAATATCTGATTATAAATCCAATGCCGCTTGCGGATAGACGTTGCAGGGGGGGATGCCGCGGTGGGATGTTCCGGTGGGTTTGGATTCACGCTATGTTTGCTGGTCAACGAAGTTCGAGCTCCTCCCACCGGGATCCCACCACCCCTCGCACCCTATAACCTCTAAAAAGCAAATGGCCATAGTTGATCCGACGTAATGGCCGTTTGAAGAGACATTCGATGACAAATCAGGCTCGTCAACTAGTTACCCTTCAGCAACCTGAGCAAATAAATACTGGACGAGGAATTATACAGTCCATGCACATCCCTCCAAAAAGACTTCTATATCGTCGTTATCGTCACCAATAGGCACTCTTCCATCCAACCCTACCTCGAACCGGCGTCAACAAAGTCGGCTCTCCTAAGAACAATTGACGAAATGAAAGCTGTCAGACTCACCACTGTCGGCGAGGAGAAGCGCCTGGAGATGCGTGAGGAACCACTACCGAGTCCGGGTCGCCATGAGGTGTTGGTTCGGGTACACGCCGCTTCGCTGAACTTTCGCGATCACGCAGTGCTAAACCACCCATACGGCGCGGCTATGAAGAAAGATGTCATTCCTTTGTCAGATGGCGCCGGTGAAGTTATCAGCATTGGGTAGGGTGTTTCACGGGTCAAAGTTGGCGATCGGGTCGTTGCCAACTGCTTCTTGCATTGGATCGGCGGCCCGTTTCTTCCGGACTACCGCGCGGGCAGCGTCGGATTCAGCGTAGATGGTATGTTGGCTGAATATGTAGTGTTGCCAGAAACCGCGCTCGTCCATCTGCCCGCCTCCATGTCCTACATTGAGGCTGCCTCGCTGCCTTGTGCGGCCGGTGCCGCCTGGTCGTCGCTCAACCTTGCTACACCCCTCCAGCCGGGACAAACGGTGCTAATCCAGGGCACCGGCGGTGTTGCACTGTTTGCGCTTCAGATTGCACGAATGTTTGGCGCTCGGGTCTTGGCAATCACGTCGTCCGACGAAAAGGCGGCAAAGCTCAAGGAGTTAGGCGCGGAGTCTTTTGTGTGAACTATAATACTTGCCCTGACTGGGACCGCGAGATCCTCGCTCTTACCGACGGCCAGGGTGTCGACAAAGTGATAGATATCGCGGGGGAAAAGACTATTGTCAAGTCTGCAGCATCGGCTAGAATCCGTGGCGAGATAACGGTGGTCGGATCGGCAAGCGGCTTGGGCGGCGCCTTATCCCCGGTCGACATCCTTTACCGGTCTCTCATTATCGGCTCCTCCACCATTGGCCCCCGGACGAATCCCGAGGCCCTGATAAAGGCGATGACGATGCATGGAGTACGACCGGTGATCGATCGGGTCTATCCTTTTTCTGAGTATCAGGAGGCGTACCGGCGAATTCAAGGTGGAGGACACATCAGCAAGGTTGTCATCGATGTTGCGCACTAGGCAGTCGACTGCGTGTCGGATGGTATGCCCTGGGAAGAGCATTTTCCACGTTTTGAGTTGTATGACGGAAAGGATCTGCATGAGCAACTCCCTCATTGTGCGGCCCCGTAGTTAACAAATCTACGAGTTGGCGTAATTTGAGTGTCGACCTCGTAGGATAAGGCCTATCAAGTGGCTCCGTTTTTGCCCCAGCTGGCTACCGCTACTGTGATTCAGAGAAAGGTAGGTTATCATTTTTATCTAGACATATGGAGCTTTGTGGACAAAATCGATATCTGGTCGTCGCCTGGGACGTACTAGCTAACCTAGCTAACAAGCTCCTTTCGGAGATGGATATAGGTGGGCCCCGTTCCGTACAAGCCCGGGTATCTTTCTACTTACAGAGGCTCCGAGATCAAACGATATCGGTTACATTAACTGGTCACATCCTTCACTATGTACCCGGGCGGCTCATTGCCGCATGTACGCATATCACCTGGGCTTGCTTCCACGCGGACAAAATTTCACTTTTCAACGACACCCTCCGGAATAAGGCCCACAACCATATGATCCTTGATCTTACCCTAGCCTCAACCCACCCTGTCGGCTGGCTGTTACGCCTGTTTTTATTATTCTATAGTCACTGAATCTCATCAATAAGTGGTGCTGCATTTTTTGCTCTGAATTGTACAGGGTTTCTTTTGTTAGATATTTTCGAGCATTAGGACCTCCGTGGTATATGGAGATATATACCTGCTACGTTTCTATCGGGTTTGGAACTGCTGCCTGGGCTTGCTCGTTGGTCGCATATTTACACGCCCCTCTTAGCATGACTAGGTCAACATATTTAATCTTGTACATTTTGACTTCGACTATACTCCGTGTAGGACACCAGGTGGACTCCCATCCTCGTATAAAAAGAGCGATGTTCCCTTCTGAGCCCACTACATACCGGACTGGTTCTTGAATGGCTTTTTTTTGGTTGTCGGCGTTATGTACAAGACACAATAGTGTCCTTCACGCCCCATAATCGTAGCGTTAAATCCAAGACACAAAATAAGCATATCCCCAAGTTCCAAAGTGTCCTAGCGCTTGCTCCCAATCAGGTCATCCTAGTAGGGGGTACCAGCATACACCTATACGATGTTAGAGCTGAGACTGAAGTATGAGGGAGTTTCTTCGGGTGATTAGTTACCTTGAAAGACTTGATCTGGGGGAAGTCACCACGCCCCGCGCTGGAGCAAGTGTTACTGTCGCGAATGTACTGTTGGAAATTGCCTTTACAGTCATTCTCGGGGAAGAGTGCAATCTCAAAGCCATCGACGTCTCCGTCGATGCTCATGATGGTTGCTTTAGTGTCGAAGTTGGTGCAGCCGTAAGCCTTCTGATCGCCAAAACCAACGGGACCATTCCCCTTGCAGTCTGTCTCTGTAAATCCGGTAAAGCCCCAATTACCAGCCGATGCAAGGGTTGCCGCGGCCAAAGTCGAAAGGATAGCAGAAGAGACATGCATGGTGAAAGATGTTGTGCTTACGTGGTCTGGATTCAATTGGAGAGGATGAGGATGATGGAGATTCTTGGATAATGAGTGAAAATGAAGGACACAGGACCAGGTATTTATAAGGTAGACCATGACCCTAGTCCTTTGTCCGATTGTTTTTACCGTATACTTGCTGCGGTTCGTACAGTGGGCCTTTGGGGCCGATCCTTTGCGGCTGTGGCTGCTTACTTGCTCCACTTGGGCTGCCCAGACCATATCGTACGGGAATGGCTGGTTACGTATGGAGCCTCGAGGATGTAACTCTGATGGCGATCACCACATTAGCCTACAACTAGGGTACACGGACTGTCCAATGTCAATACTGCTTTTTGTTCAGCCCCAAAGGCCCCGCATTGAATGTTTGAGACAAGACTTTCTGTTATTCATTGTGGTTGCTTGGCACCAGGGCCCTTGAATTTGAGATGGTTTAGGGTACCCGAACTGTCCAATGTCAATACTGCTTTCAGTTCACCTCAGTCGAGTACAATATGGAGCCCAAGCACTGCCTCCGGTGATCAATACCGTGAGTGTTATCTTTACCGAGCGGATCTACGTTGGAACTTATGGGGCGGAAGTCGGATGATATGTGCAGATGAAGTTTCCTCCTCTCCAGCTCCTTGCAACCGAGGCTTAGGTACTCTCTATAAAGATATAGCTACTATAGTAGTATTACAAAAACTTTCACCCCCTATAGCCCCTATTAATAAAAAGAATAGAAGACGGTATCTATAGAGAATTATAGTGAGGTAGTCACAACTCACAATTCAAATCACACTGCTACCATAGCATAGGTCTTATTAATGGTAAGAAGAGCTCCATGTCAGCACAAAATCATACTACACTACTTAGGTAGAACCGCATGAATTTGGTCTAGTTGGAGTCGCTCGTGTATATACATCTGTATGTGACCAATCGTCGCCTTAGCTAAACAAGCGGGCGAGGCCGAGGCGGAATACTCATTGGTGTTACGAGCGTGGAGAAACATGGATATCGAACTGCGTTCTGATATTGATGAGCCTCAAGAAGGCGCAACGATAGCGCAATTCATTAACATCTTGAACCGGAAGCAGACCAACTGGTTCGACCGTTTTTGTTTCGAACGCAATACCCTCCACGTCAACCCCAAGGTCAACGACAATGGCAGAACCAGCAACTTCAAAGTCTGAGAAACCCCAACCCCCAATGGTCAAACCCCAGTCCACAATGGTCAACGCAGTGATCCTAAACCCCACAGCCACAGTGGAACTCAAGATGGCCCCCTCGCCGATCAAATTGGCAAAACGGGCAAAAGCAACCAGAACCAAGCTAACGCGCAACCCCAGAAGGCATTGCCAGCCCCGGCACCTCCGAAACGTCTAGCAATCACCGAGGAGAAACGGCAAGCCCAATTTCCAGGTTTGGAATCTGTCTGCTTCAATGATTTCGTTAATATGATCGGCTTCGTCTAAATTCGGACCCGTCGCAGTGACGTCCACTTAAATCATCCCTTGGCAGCTGAATCAGCATTTCAGCACAATCCTTTAGGAATATATAATGCCCGGATTAATGCAATATATTCTCTAAAGCATAACCAGGCAGCAATGGTATACAACGAAGCCAAAAAATGCATCAGAACATACAAACAGCAGGGATTCGCTGGTGGTCATCCACCCAGCTACTAACCGGCCGGCGTGTGGCCTGATTGCGGTCAATACCCGGGTAAGTGTCCTCGCTGGCGATGGGGTCGTGTCATTTATGGCTATTTTTCCAAACTAATGGCGTTGTGAAACATACGAAGCCCTATATCAGAAATTATTCATACCCACAAAAGTATCAGAATGGATTACTAATCATTATGGGAGCAGGTTGCTAATTATAAATCGACATCTGTCTGAAAGATCAGTAGTTTTCCTCTCGATTACAATGACGTCGTAGTGTCAGAATGACTGTGAGTTCTATGCTGGTAAAAGATATGATCACAATGCCATGACCAAGTCAGTGCAGAATACTTGCCCCAGACTTGGCCTAATATCACGGTACCCTGTATCGCTTGCCCTATTCAAACAGATGATACACAAAGAGGTTTCAACTGGCCAAGAATAATCTCAAATCTGCCAAAGAGAATTTCTGCAAGTTTCTCTGCAAGATTCTGGCCAATGGAAACGCCATCTCAGTAGCAGCCCAATACAATTTTGCCCATATAACTATTTTCGCCGTCCGGATCGGTGTTGTGGAGTGTCCAAGATATTTCTGAATTATCCTCCACTGCCATGGTCTGGATTGCGTCCGCCATCATCGTCGCGAGAACATCGGTACCAGTATGATGAAGCAGACCATTAACATTCCAATACCGGCCGGTGTTGATCGTCCACCAGAAGTTCACTCCTCCGACCGAGAGGGACCCTGTTGCAAATGTACCTTCATTTGTCCCAGCCGTAGCCATAATGGCTCTCTCAGCATCCAGACCAGCAGAATATACAAGGCCGATCGGAGGCACCTGTCCATCGTTGGCTTCTGAAAGTGTAACGGATTGGACCGTAGTGTAGTCGTATGCGAGAGCAGAATAGAATTGCAGCCCGTTTTCCAAGCTTTGATAACGCTTGACAAGAGACTGAGAAGCAGAGGCCTCAGACAGTGCTGCATGTTCTAAGTTTCAATTAACAAGCTGCACCATTCGTCATTTGTTCGACGGGATTGCAAGGCTCTCTCACCCTTTGGAGCAGCGGGCTGGAATGGCGCTGCTGCTATGGTTTCGGCAGCCACAAGCAAAAAGATGGTCGAGAGCGGAAGACGCATGATAATAGAACTAAGAAGATATCTTGATATCTGGGGTTTCTGGGTCTGGAATGCTGTTACTGCTTGAGATTGTCATGAACCTTCAAGAAACCTGGATAATGGACATACAGTCTCTATTTATACCGTCCTGAATCCTTTGCTCTATCCCACGCCTTTCTAGAGAAAGGAGGCGAATGTCTTCTTGAAGCATCATCTATCCTACTTCTCAGTGGCTGGAACTAGTTACCATATCAAATTGCTGACTGATATGAGCCAAATCGTTAGCAATCATACCAATGAGGGTCGAATCAGTCAAGTTCATGCTCTTAGCGTATCCACCTTGAGCACTACCTACTATGAACCATATCTCAAGAGAGTGTTTGAACACGCTATTACGCTACTATCGATACTACTAGTCGGCGTCTATAACTATTGGCTAATCATTAATAAACTCCCGGATTTTGTTTTTAATCTATTTCTTCAAGATAACATAGTGATCCACTCTTTGTACTCGGATGAGTTGATTAGTGAGACCTAACTAGTTAACTGAATAATTTCTTCCGGATTTCTCCACCAATCCCCTTGTGATATACTTCTTAGTAGTAGAGAAAAAGCCAGTGAAGATAAGGGGAACTTTTTGAGTCGACGTGGTTAATGCCAGGAGAAATTCAACCTCCTGCGTCTCGGCTGGCATTGTTGAATCGGAAAGACCGAACAGCGGCTTTTTCTTTCGTTATTATTAGAACCCTTCAAGCTTTTCGCGGGCGTGGGCCGTCCCGCGCCCCGTTGTTGATGTTGGAACGTGATTACGTGGTCGATGGCGTCCCACAACGCAAATTACAAAAAGCTCAGACAAGCGGAGGATCTGCTAGTTAAAGATGAAAACAGGAACAATCAGAATAATGTCCTGCCCTGGCTTGGATTTCCATAATCTTTCTGTCTCTGGTAATAATCATCTCCGTGGCTCAAGCATTGCATCTCTCACTTCAATCTGATTCTAGGTGCAAGTGACTGTTGAGAAAGGTTACCTTAGTGAATGGGCCCAGACTTTTGCTATCCCAGAGCAACTTTAAGACACTTTTTCGCTGCTGGGCTTGCAAGTTCCCTTGAGTAGACCTGAATTGAGGTCCTGCTGGGCTACGTTTCATACTTCAACGCCTCCATTTGATGAGAAAGACATGAATTGCTTGTAGATAGCTTAAGCTAACTCTACTTGTGTGTAGGTTTATTAGTTTGTGACAGAAATGACGCTAAACAGACAAGCGTGTGCCAGCCAAGAGAACAGAAGGTATAAGTATATATCCCGTCAGACACCCAGAATTCTTGGCCCCCAATCTGCTCCAAACAATCTTTTTTTTACTTTTCTTTTAGCAGTCAAGTTCTTTGTATCATATCGTTTCTATGGATTCATTTAAACGCAAAAAGTCAAAGTCGCAGAGCAAAGAGCCTGCTTTGAACAATTACACTGGTAACCAAGTTCCGACGGCAGGGATATTATCTCGGATGGGTTCCCTACATCCAACCCGCCCGACTAGTCACCACCTGCCGGCCTTTTCCTCATCTACTTCCCTCATGTGTTTGGGTTGATGCATGCAGCGTGGCATTTGCCGACCCCAGTTCCGGATATCCTGCGTGCAGGCGCTGTGCTTTTTGGCGGCGCCTTTTTTGTCTCTAATGCGATTCATATCTGGAATGACCTCATCGACGCGCCCCTGGACGCTCTTGTCTCAAGAACGAAGCACCGTCGAATTCCCCGATGCGCAGTGTCACCCACCGCTGAATTGGTCTACACTATTACCCAGGCTATTGCAGCAGCCTTATTCCTGCCATTGCTACCGCATTCTCAAACGTGGTTCTACGCGCTGCCCAGTATCCTCGGTTGGACGTACTACCCCTGGGCTAAGCGGCATACAAACTACCCTCAGGTGCTGTTAGGTCTGTGCCTCGCAAGGGGTGTTGTGATGGGAGAACTCTCCCTTGGCATAGAGATGATCAGTTTCCCCCAGGGCTGGAGCTGGAAAAAAAATGATCCCCGGCGAGTTCCACGTAAACCCCGCTATTCTGAGCCTTGCTATTGCAAATACTCTCTGGAAAGCCATATATGACACAGTCTACCCCATCAAGATATTGAGGATGATCTCAAGGCGGGCATAAAGAGCATCGCGGTACTGTGGAGGCAACAGACGAAGATACTATTATGGGGTTCGCTGGTTACGCTGGCGTTACTATTAAGTTACTGTGGCTATGCCAGTAACCTTTGATTCTTCTACTACTTCATCGCAGTAATTGGAGCGACAGGATCATTAGGGCGGATGATATTGCAGGTGGATCAAAAGGATGAGCAAAGTTGCTGGTGGTGGTTCAGAAGTTGAGTTTCACAAGGAATAAGGCGATGTCATTAACTTCTTCTGTCTCGGCCCAGTGTGATCTATGAGATGTTTACTCCGTTGGATCAAGGTCGTAAGGTATATGGAACTCACCGCATTCGTAGAGAAGCAGGGCAAAGAGGTGACAATACATTTGAAATGCATAATGCGGGATGTAGCATCAGATCAACTCTAGGAACACGCTAATTATCGCAGTGGTTGGCTCTACCAATTCATCCAGGATCTGTGACCAGGACTGTTCAATTTCCAAATATAGTTAGCGGGGGTGTGCGTTGAGTGGAGGCCAGTATGCGTGAAGCGGGCTGGCTAGTATTATCTCGAGGTCTCACTAGGGAGATCAAATAATGAAGATCTAATTATCTCAGTCTAGCTGCACTCGAGCGTTCAGATACACATTGGTCTAAATGTAACGTTCCGCCTCCAGTCTATGGCAGCACGGCTGCGGGGCTCTTGGTAAGAGATATGCAATCGACTAAGATGCGTCCAACTGATGGAGGATTAAAGCAAGCCAAAGAGAGTTCAATCCATCGCTGATATTGATATTGAACAAGAACGAAAGCGTACGAGATCTGAAACAAAGGTACATTATGGTAAGAAGGCCTCTTAGAAGATCTTCAGGCCAGAGTTGAAAGACAGTCAGTGGCCGTGTTTTTCATTGTCTCGGGTCCTACATCGAGGATCGCCTGCACCTGGTGAAGCATAGTATTAGATAGATGCTGTAGTACCCTCTCATTTATTGCAAGACATGCCTCCTTTGCTGCGTCTATCAAATGGCGTAGGGTATCCTCAGTATTCGATGCAGGTTCAAGCTGTGCATAGCGCTCGTAGATAATCCCCTTCATAAGAGCCCATGGACTCTCAATTAGATCCGGATTAGGGGAGTATGGTGGCCAGACCGTAACGAGAATCTGCATATCATTGAGGGACCTACTAATATAGGCAGTATGGACTAAAGCACCATCACGGATAAAGATATCACCAGGCTGAAGCAATTCAGGTAAAAGCCTTCATATACAGAATGTATAGCCCAAGATGTTCCCCTCCCTCCCCCCAAAAAAAACCAACGTCAGACGCAGGGTCACCATCTGAAGGGATAAGGCCTGTACGTATATTATATCCAAATGTCCAGGGGCTAGATTCAGGTTCTCTAGCTCGGTGAGCGCGGCAGCGAGAAACATCAAATAGACAGCTAAGGTGAATTTCGAATAGAGTAAGCGGTAAATTATATCAACACTATATTAGTGTCGCCTTCTTTTCCATTTTTTCTGGCACCTCAGGAACAACCCTAAACCATGTTAAACGACAACCCAGACGCCACGGCTTGGTTGTCCACAGGGCTGTCAACCATGAGCGGTTGGGCTGGAAGCTGGAGAATCCGAACCCAGTACAGTCACAGATGATGATGGGGTCCCAAGGATGCTATAGTTGCAAGAGTAGTACTGGTAATATCATATATAACCAAGGCGACCCTTAAGCTTAAACGCCAAGGTTCCAGGGGAAAAAAAAAAAAAAAAAAAAAGAAAAAAAAATATATTTTTGAAATTTTGAAGTGCAGCCGGATCCACACTGAAGGGTCTCTTGGAGGGCGTTGGTGAGAGGAGGTATGTATGGCTAGTCTGGATAAAGGCTGGAAGTTGCCCAGGAGCCCAACTTAGTGCTCCAATATATTATCACTTCAGCTCTTTGTTGGAGAGTAGTATTTGGCGCGCATCCATTGCAGAAACCTCAAAAATGGGCTTTTATGCACATCTTCTAGGACTCGAATCACTCCTTCATAGTCCCACCAGGTTAGCCCTCGATGCCCTTCTTCCCCTTCAACTGCGTAGCGCAGCGGAGTGTAGCCCCGGTCGTCTTCTGCAAAGCTGTCGACTCCTTCTTTTAGAAGCAGCTGGACAGTTGACAGCCTGCCCGCCCTAGCCGCCAAATGCAGTCCGTTACGTCCATGGTAATCCACTGCGAAAACATCCGCCCCGGCCCTCTGGAGCAGTCGAATGCAATCATCTGCTCCCCAACTTGCAGCCGTCAGCATGGCATCAAGGCCATTGTGGGAATCCCGCACATTGACATCCACCCCAGCATCAAGTAAGAGCTGCACGACTTTGATATGTGATCCTTTAATTGCTTGCTGCAATATGGTCTCCCCTTCTCCTGTCTCTGTTTGAATAGTAGGGTCTGCTCCAGCCTCAAGAAGGATTCTAGCAGCGTCCGCTCGGCCCAGCCAAGCTACAAAATAAAGGGGGGTCAATCCTCGTGGCATCCGTCGGGGGTTAAGGTCCGCGCCGGCTTTAATCAGCTTCTGTAGGATAACTGTATTTCGTCCAAATCCCTCATGCAAGGGCGTGCATCCCTCACAATCCGCTGCGGATGGGTCTGCACCGTGGTCCAGGAGAATCTGGACAATCCCAACTGCATCTTCATCGCAGGCAAGATGAAGAGCGGTTTTTCCTCTATTGTCCTTGGCTGATATATCCGAACCAGCATAAACCAGTGCTTTTGTCATCAGTTCATCACTGTTCCTGACCGCTTGATGAAGGGGCGTCCATCCTTCATTATCCGGGATGGAGCTCCGTGGGATCCATTTTGCGAGAGGTTTGATGAGATGTTCAAGCCTTTGTTCCACAATGTGATACAGGATGGTATGTCCATTCTCATCGTGGGCCTGGATATGCTGAGAGTTGAGAAGGGGGCAAAGTGGGGAATGCCCTGAATCAAATTTAGGAGATCCAACGGTCCTAAATAGTCTGCAACCATCACAATAAGCTCCAAGGGGAGGGTGCAAGGACTATAGGCCGCCATAACTTTGTCATCGAAAAAACATACCAGGTGGAAAGAAACGGGTCTGAAATCAAAGCGATGAGGAAATGAATCAGAGTCATGTGACCCGCGGGGCAACAGGGCAACGGCGGCGCAGGAGCCATCCAACAGTTCTCCTACAACCCATCATATCGATGGATCTGCGTGACAAGTGGAAGGGCACCCATGCTTTGCTGGCAGGTCAATCCCTGGCATTTACACGCGTCGTGTGAAATGCGCCTGATACAATTCCCCGCATGAACGCCTTACCTGGCTCCCTGCTTTGCCAACTCCGCCCCTTTTAGCACTTGATCATCAGCAGATCCCAAAACTCAGTGTTGGCTGTGCAGCCTGTGCTCATTTCTGAAGTAATGAGGTTGGTTCAATAGCTTCCCAGCATTACTATAGCGTAGCCATGCCTAACCTCTCTCAGTACAAGCTCTCGGGGGGCTATGAGCAGCTGGCAACCATTCAAAGCCCGGAGATCACCTGGTTACTGATCTGCTCAAGTTACCATTGCGGTCCCACTATCTTAACTTGGCGTAGTACCAAAGGGGCCTTTATGATCGGATAATGATAGAGCGGGTGGCCTTATCAAAATATCCCACCAGCTGAGGCCCTTGGACTGCTGAAGGGTCCCAGTATTTGTACCACTCCCTAAGACCTACAAGGCGATGAGCTAAGGATCATTCCGTTCAGATAAGAGTGGTATTATAAACGGTGTGCTGAGGGAATACACCAGCCCAAAATGTTCCTCGGGAAGCCATAACAGCTAGGAAAGGAGCGACGACAAGTGGCAACAACAACCAAAACAATCCTGAAATTGTATCTAGATGTGACTATCTAGAATGATCCAACGATTGAAGGAATTGAAATGGACAATAATTATATACAAGCATCATTCAAAACATGATTCCCTGAATTCCATCCGCATCCCAGACGTACGACCGATGGGGCTTGAAGCGTATTGGATTCTGATTCCTAAGAGGTAAGGAAGCACTTCAGGGGATGAGTCTCAACGACTTTAGGTCGGTCCACATGGCACCAAGGCCGGAAATGGCCTAAGAGGCTAAGCCAGCAACTGACCATCGGCATTGTAATGTGCATCGAGAACCACATTTTCCTCCACACGCACAATCAACCGATGATCGCCGCCGTTGGAAGGAGGAGGCAACCACAGGACGACGACCTTCCCAAACGGGGTGTTATCATGTGGATCACCATCGACCCATCTAATCGAATATGGTTGTATCGTCACTGTGCCGTCGCCGAACCGACTTAAAAAGTTCTGTCTCAGGACATCCCCTGCATTTTGGTACAGGGGGGTGTCGCAACCACCATGTGCGGCCGCTGACCGTCAAACGCCCGCCTATTTTCGCGTACTTCGTTTTCAAATGGCGAAGAAACGTAGTTGAGAAACTCCTCTGATTGAGGGTTTTCAAAGGGCCTTGACTGGCCCACCTCCTGTTTGAAATGATGCAAGTAAATGCCTCTTCCAGACGCGACGACCACCACGGTACATCCGGTGCAGACACCCGTCGAGTACACTTGGCGCTGGTTCCGATTGATTTCCCAGAATTTGCTGTGGCCTGTGTGCACAAAGAATTTGCCGTTGTCGGTACGTCTTGCTTCGTTGTAAAGTGCGAACGTTTCGCGAGCTGCACCGATGGCGGCCGGATTTCCTTGGTTGTTGTGGGGTTGAAGCTGCATATTGTTCCCACCCCTCGGTGAACCGCCGCTGTCACTCTCTCCATCTCCCCCTTGGCTCGTCCCCAAGACAGGCCGCATAGCTTGCCTCCCCTGACGTGAAGTGCAGCGGGTCCAGAAGGCTCGAGGGTTGGGCTTATCAAGGATCGAGCATGGCTTTCACTGCTCGGAGGTGTCAGCAGATGTTATTTGAACGCCTTTGGAGGAATCGATCTCACCCGTGGACCGGATGGGTCAGACCCTGCCACGTCAGGAAGAGTCCCACAAGAAGGAGCAGGTAAAGCTTTGAACGAAAGGTGTATACATGGCTGGATTGGGCTGGTTGCACACTGATGCCTCAGGGATTGTCAGATCTTATCGAGCCAGCGCTAGCAATGACGATACTGATAGAACTCTGGATGAGTAAAGTATAGAGAAAGCTGTTTATCAAACCTCACGTCAGAAGCAGGAATAGGACTGGTATTTAACCTATTCTCTGGACCCCAAGCATCATCTTTTCCTTCCTCCTCGTCCCGAGTGCTATATTAGGGGCCAACAGCTTGTCCCCCCAAGAGTTGCCCTTTCAAGAGGAATTGGGAAAGGATTCTGGCTATTGCGCCGTCAGGCGGATTGTGATCGTGCTCGTTCTTTGGAGAGAATCACAAGTTCGCTCGTTGGTGTTTGGCGGCCTTCTTCGTTCCGATACGCTGGCTCATGAGCGTTCTTATCCAGGCCATCTAGTGTGAAACATAGTCTGGTTTCAAGGTGTAAATTTAGACGGTCAACCGAGTTGGCTCAAGGTTCCTTGCTTGTGATATTGTTACTGGGATACAGGACCAGCAGATCAGGTAGAAAGGGCTGTTTTCTACGAGGGCCAAGGGACATCACTTAATGCTATTGGTAACGATATGCTCCTTATCTGATTCGAATTAATGAAGACCTATACACTTATTCATGCAGGGCGTCGAATATCGCCCTTCAAAGCCCTTAGGAAGAATGAATGTCGTCCGCATTCTCGATTCCAACTCGTTCTGCCGCAAAAAAAAGTCAAGCTAACCTCGGACACATGGACCAAGAGGCCAATTAAGCGAGCATCAGAAACTATCACACTGTTAGCTCCACCGCTGGACAGACCAAGGGTCATGTGGATGCATTGCCTTGCATCTTGAGGTTCAAATGTGCAGGGAACGCTCGATTATCCTGGTCTACAGCATTCCGCCAGGCTGCTACATTTCTTCCATATTGACTACTGCCCATGATTAGTGAAGCCTTTACCTAATTCTCCCCTGTGTATGTTGGATTTGGAATCGCGGAAGATACCAACACCGTCGGTATTCTGAAACTACCAAAGGCTGGCCCCATGCGGTCCGATCACCATTGTATCTAAAGAACGAGCCCAAGCAAATGTTAAAGAGAAATACCCAGTGGAATTTCCAGGATGGTTTGGAGTTCTGAATGGACACATGCACGGTAGCTTCGCCACCAACAGTTAGCTAAGACCCCTGTCGTCCACCCAACAGCGCCAAAGCTATCACCAACCCCACCTTACGGAGTACTGTCCTATCGGCACCCTCATGTATTGATAGCCTACTTCTCCGCAGATAAGGCAGAATCATATATCATACTATCAGTGTTTCTCCAGGATCAACCCCCTTATGTCCCTGCATAAGGGTCCGTCGGGGAGGAACTAGGTGCTTATGTCGGGGCTCAGACCTACAGCTAGCATGCCCGGGCCAAGCTGGAGGCTTGATGAGGCTTAATGAGGCTAATAAGTAATTAACAAGATAATTGATTGTTTGGTGCTAAACATGCATGTATGGTTGGCTCCCTTCGCATGGTGCGGGGTTATTGAGTAGATAGTAATGTTGGTATAGACATCCACGGAATTGAATGCATGTCGAGCCATGCTTGAGCTCATTAAGTGTTGGGGTTGAATGAACAGCCAACTACGCATGAGGAGAGACCAAATAGCGCCATTTCAAAGATTGTTTAAGAGCTCCTGGAGAAAGAGAAATGGCGACTATACTTGCAGTGGATTGAACAGAGAGCTGCTTGTTCTGTGCCTATTGTCTGTCTGCTGAACCTGTCATCCATCTAGGATACAGGGCCAATATCTTGCAAATTATGCTTGAGCCTGTTTGATGTTAGTGTTAGTAGATGGAAACCCCTTGATCTACGCCAATGTAAATGTTTTGAAACTACCTGCCATGATCTAAGTTCTCTGTTTGCTGTGAAAAGAACAAAAGTCACCTGGATGACTTGATTAGTATGACAACAGTCAGAGAAGTGGTGACGCTGAGCATGTTGAGCATTTACGACTCTGAGTCTGAAATGTCGTCTACTTGTTCAAGCCAAGTTTTAAACAGGTTGGGCATATATTGGGATTCAATCTAAATGGCACAAATGACATAAGCCAACCCACTTATAGCCCTATCGCTATCGCAGGAGAGCCACAGGGTATTCTAGTATCAAGAAATATGAGGGAGGACAACCCCCTTCCACCATTGCCGCGGGAGGTGTTTGCTAAGATGGGCTTGTTAGAGAGGGAGAGAGAGCTAGTGAGAATGCCCTCTTGATATTGACTTAGTGAATGATGCCCTCGCTGTGCGGAGTAATGAATCATTGATGTTCAGCCTAAAGCACAGCCAAAGCTGGAGCTTTACCCCCTGCCTTATAAACCAAGCCTAAAACATTTTGCTGCTCTGGACTGAGCAATTATGAGAGCAGTGCTCCAACCCAGACTGTTATTAATACACCATGAGAGAACTCTGAGTGTGAAGGCTGATAGGCAGGGAGCCTCCATACTCTTGAAGTCCTCTCTTTGCATGACTGGAACCTGTTCTGGCACTAGCGCGGAAGCCAGCCACAATCTTACAGTGATGAAGCTAATACTGGAGACTAAGCTGTCTCAGATGGTTTACTTCCTGGCCCTGGAACTTGTACGCTCCTTGGCACACACGCAGCAGACTTTCGTAGTGGCTAACTAATGTGGCAGGAGCAAAAGAAAGAGTTCTGGAGTTGATAGTCTATAGGTTTCTTTAATTCAATAGATGAACCGCATTGTCCAGCTCAGCTCAAGTTGGAAAACCTGACTGATAGCGTTATTACATTCCATAAGAACTCCCTCACTGCATCCACAGTGTTGATGCAGGCGTGTAGTCCCCCACCTGTGTGCACGCAGAGGCGTTCCGCTGCTGTGAAATTCATTAAGCTATTGCCTGCGGAAATAGTCCCTTTGTTGCCTGACAGGATGACAAAACTTGGCCTGCCTTAGGTGTTAGTCAGCGCGTTGAAATCAACTATAGACATGACGACTCAAATACAATGAGTGTTCTTGGTAGTGGTTGGGAAATTGATGCCTCCTGCTATCATCCAGCATCTGGGAGCAGAGGATGAGCTGCTACTGCAGGGAGTCAATCCACAAACTAAAAGCAACGCTACTTGATAGCCTGTCTTATGGCTCTGAGATTAAACAGCTCCTTCCTTCACATACAATGTTGGAGTTACAGCTGTCTAGAGGGCCTGATACTAGTCCAACACTGCGTGAAGAAAGCTCCATTGCAAGTTTCTAGCTACCAGACTCATTGGTCACTCTCAGGATCCCCAGTGTGTATGAACTTAAGGCTATCACTAACAAGGAGCCTTGCATGCCTGGGTATTCTACTCTCTGCAAAGACCATGGTGATAGTTGCTATCCCCAGAGACACAACAACATCATCCTGAGCATTCTTTGATAACTTGATAGCTTGGATGACCTCTTTGCCATGGCTACCATCAACTGGATGACATACCAAGTCTTTAAGGCGCACAAGATATCCTTAATCCATGATTGTCTCTGGAAGATGTCCCCTGCAGCCTGGGAGCACTGCGAAATTACTGACCGGGTGTACGCAAGCGAGAAGTAGCCAGGAGGCCAGAATCTCTCCGTCAGTCTCTACCTGCGCCATTACTGACAATGCCTGCACATACTCGCCCAGTTCAAGGCTCTCCTCTTGTACTACTGCCGGAAAGTCCTCCGCAGGGAATCCTATAGTGCGCTTCTGGACCCGTGCTGGACCTGTGCTGGACCTGCTTAAAGGAACTGGATGATGCCATCTGGCGTGTCTGGACCTTCTGTGACCTCTTCACTGCATGGAAAGAATGAGATGATGACCTCACTGGTCAGATCTCATGGCTGCAGTGTAACCCAGCGCCCTAGCGCCCTCTGGGGAGTCTAGACGCCAGTGACTTCAGAAGTATGCTTTTTAATCCACCAAGGGGCTTCGCGGAAGGAAATCATGGCGGTCTCACGCCGGCGCAGTTATGAGATATGGTAGAGATCTGGACAGTGATGGCTAGCCTTCTAGGTCTTCTACAGAATGAGACAGACCGCGCGAGGCGGTTTGGTATCTTTGCGGGTATTAGGGGCGGGCGTGTTGATTTAGGAAGTGAGAAGTTGTTGTTGAGTCCATCTCTCTCTTTTGTCCTCCTGTCTTTACCTCCGCCATATACGTTCCAAGCTGATATGTCTCTATTCCAACAGAAGGTTGGACTGACTACTTACTTACCCTTAGTCCTGCGGTGGTATTGAGTATTGCACCCTGTGGGCCCCAGACGGACCCAGAAGTGGTATTTCGTTACACACAGGCTTGGGGGTGGACTATATGGACAACACGCCTCCCCATAGAGATGCCACGAGCTGCCTTCTTAACTGGGCTAATAAGCAGCTTCTCCTATATGTTGCAGAGGTGTTCAGTGCCCTGAGATGTGATGATAGCAGTTATAGATAGAATAAATATGTTATTCTGCAGTTTATATACCATGCATGGATCTGTTCCAGTGCAGATACCGTGCATTCACCACTGTAATGCTAAATAAAGTAGTCAGCCACAGGTAGAATAGCTATCAAACCTGTGTGCCAAGGATCCATGAGGGTTTAATAGAGACTTTGAGATAAGCATCTCTAATCCAGATGGTTCAAGGCGTTTCTTTGGATGTCTACATTGCAATGATGCGAGAGGCGTAGTGCAGCTGCTACCGTGTTCCCCGGTCCATAGCGTCTCGTCGGTCTTCTGCGTTCGATAAGGAGCATTCAGTAGTCTGATCCGGTAGTCCTCTTTAACTTTTAGTGCGCCAACAACAAGGCTGACACGCGGCCCCGCGCAAGGAAATGCACATAGACAAATGTAACTCGCGTTTCAAGTCAATAATAAGCCCAAAATAGAGCAACAAACCCGTCGGGAGCGGGTTCTATCCGTGGACCAGGGGTGTCTATTCTCGTCTTGAGCGCAGGTGCATGGCCCGAAAAGAACTGCGTAGCAATCTCTAGGCCAGTTTCAGGATACCCAGGCATCAAGGCTGAGAATTTCTACGTTGCCAATAGCATGGCTGGCATGATGCCAACAGAGCCAGCCGAAGTGATGGCGTACCCCCGAAAGAAGGCTGAGCTCATGAAAAGTCAATTTAGTTGCGCCGCTCTGAATTGAGGCGATCCTTCCAACGTACTAGTATAGTTGGTTGAGCAGACAGGACAGGCGAGCGCCTCGAACAGCTTCCAACATCAGCATCACATCACTACACGCTCAGGCAGAAGTGTTTCAAGGTCATATGCACATTGCCGAGTACTGTTGGATTGCTTGGAGATAGTAACAATGGCATGCTAAACATAGAACATGTATCCTGGGGAGGTCCTCCGTTCCATAGCCCCGATATCTTCATTGGTTCACATATCACAGTGAAACAGTTCGAGATGTCAGGCTGCACTCGGTGTTCATGTTTGTGGAAAACATCGGTGGTGGAGCATCGCACACCTATATAAACCGTTGATTGTTGCTCGTTCCATCGTAACCCAGTCAATCTTTAGCAGTACAGGTATCTTCATCCTCTCCCAGCATCTACCAAGACCGCAGCCATGGCAGGAAATGCAATTGCCTTCCTCTTAACTGCCCTGACCATGGTCCCCATGGTCAGCGAAATGTTCCCACATTCTCAGGGGTCGTCTACGGTCGTCCGCGTGGCCGCCGGTCTGTCACTGCCTAGGGACGCCGACTACGCCAGGACTGGCGGCAATACGCCAAGCATCGCGCTGTTCGACGAGAGCGGCGAGCGCATCGGCTTCAAAAGCGGCGCCCGCCACGGCAAGATTGGCGATGGCAACTTCAAAGACATCGTTGTTGAGCCCATCAACAAGGGCAACAACCGCGCCCCGGCGTACCTCAGCGTGTCCAGCAGTGGCAACGACGCTCTCTGCATAGCGTACATCTACATCACGCCTCCCAACAAGGAATTCTGGGGCTTCTTCGGAGACGTTCCCAAAGAGTGCGGCGCCGCGTGGTACCATTCCAACCTCCCCGTCCAGCGTCAGAGCGGCGACCCATTCAAACCTAGATGTTTTTGGATCGACTCGCCTGAGCATGACACTGGAAAGTCCACAAGCAACTTCCCCCAGGGGGCGGGCATCCATTTGCTTGATTTCGCAGCCACCCAGGGCCGCGTCCAGCAGTATCAGGACTCCCGTGACACGATGTGCGCCAGCGCGCCCCGGTTCTCGTTGTATCCCTCCCTGACCGAGATGAATTGCCTTCCGATTTTCAACCCCCCATTGACATATAATGACGATGGCACCGATGCGAGTCTTGCCGCCCTCAAAACTCCCGGACAGGTGATGTGCAGTCCCGGTCCGAACGACAAGCCCACCGCGCAGCAGATCCGGCAGCTGCAACAGTGGACCAGTGGACGCGTTTCGGCGCCGACGTACGGCGTCAAAAAGCGATCTGTGAAAGCCAGGCAGAATGACCGGGTTTGCTTCGCGGATCATCGGGTTGTGGTTGTGAGTGAACATGGAGACCACACAGCCACCGAGCTGTGCAAGAGCACTTCGGCTGCGGGGCTGGATTTCGTCTCGACCAAGGAAGGCCTATTCTGCGACATGTGCACCGGAGAACTATGGCCATTATGCTCACAGGCTGTTCCCACTGGATGTTTTGATGTGGACTTGAAGGCTATAAGGGCGAGTAATGGGACTGTCACTGGTATAGGTCTTCATGACAGGGATGTGATTACTGGGAGGGACATTCCAGAGAAGGAATATAAGAAGGTGGTGCATTGGAAGTGATCCTTACCAGTTGATTCTTCTGCCTGTTGTATATTTTTGCCTTCTCCTGTGCTTCCTGTGCTTCCTGTTCTTAGGTTCCACAGCCCCATTTACTGCATGCTTTGTCTTAATTCACGTTCACGTTCGATTAACTTGGGATGCTCTTGTCAAGTAAATGAAACCTCAGGGTAGGTGGTATTTGTTTGGAAGAACACGACTAGTGGCTCTGATTCTAAGAACTCCTTTGCTCTTAGTCTAGCAACTGGCCACCCTTGCATCCATAGATCTTAGCACTTGAACAGGAGACTGGCCCATGGCTATTTTATTGAATAATAGCGTGGAGGATGTAAACAAATGCCATTATGCCATATAAATTCCTCCAGTAGTTAAAACTGAGGGATCGACCTCACTCTGGCTTGCAGCAGGACTAACGTCGCTGAATGAGATACTAATGGTCCAATCCTATTTGGGGATATTCTAAAGTTCCAGTTCAAGGGGATCAGAAGTGCATTTTATCACCCAGATCTTAGTGCTTGAGTCAATACCATAAAAGAGCAATGGCGAACGTCGTCCTTACCGCCAGTATAGATCCAGCTGAAACAATACAACAAGGGAGACAAGCACACTAAAACATATATTGAAAGTCACCTTGGCCATTTACGTCAAACCACCACCTCCTCCGAAATGCATTCTTAAACCATAAGAACGTTGCAGAAATCAACCCCAGTCTGACAAAACCCCACAAATTCACTGCCTGAATCCCAGTTGCCTCAACTGAGTTTGCTAACGTGCTTGAATAGTTCTGTCCTGCAACTGTCAAGCACGTTAAGTAGACGTTAACCAGCATAGCCTGCTATGATGATGATGATTAGTTAGGGTAAAATACTGTCATCACAGGGGTGACACCATGCAGCATGAAGTTTAATCCTGGTGTCCTGTGCAGGACCGCGGACCGGTAGCTCTCTATTAAGGAGATACTGTAGTTCTCCCTAGTGATGGGACGGCAGGAGCGCAAGTCCATGATAGATGGTGAGGCAGAGGGGCTAGTTAGGACTGTATTATAGTTAGTAGCTAGTCCCTCATGATGCACACAGTATATATTTATGATGATATACTATCTACATGGATACTCTCCTGTAAGCGCCCCAACTATAGATTAGGACGACACCGAAATTCATGCTTGTGATTGTCGAGACAACAGTTCCTTCGACTGGGACAAAAATACCGACAACAACATACAACAGCCTGTATATGTGGTGCTCACCCCTCTCAGCGTCTGTTCCCTCGCCGCTTTGCCGCCCAAGTTCCGGCACCTTCAGGTAAAGATTCAGGTGCCTGAATATTCTGCACTCAAGCTACCAAGAAGTTACATTTTGACAAATGGGCAAAATGACGGCCTTAAAGGGAGATAAGTCATCTAAAACCCACGATGCGTTTGTCTTACTCCTATTCCTTCTTCCAAAGTCAAGGTTAATCGGACAATATGCCACAAGAACCAGTAGCAAAATTTATATGCGTGATTAATCTCAACGAACATGACAATAAAGAGATCAAAAGAGCAGTTCTTCCACGAACATCCAAAAAATATGACTGAAGTCTGATGATTTTCGACAAGTAAGTCCCTTGAACCTATGGAGGCTCGCTGCTCATCCTCTCAGATTCCTAAAGCTGCACCCCGAGGCCTGCTTTCCCCCCGATATCAGAACATATAAAGGGTTTTTGGAATTTTATGCAAGAAACAGGCCAGGTCGTATCAAGGAAAAACCTACACCAGAAACAATCGAACATTTTCGCCGGGACTTCGAGACAGCTCTGGCTCGCACGAGGGACTTCTGTGTCCCGAAGAGCATGTCTACTACTATAAAGGAGGTATGCATTCTTATTGTCACAGGCGGCCTGGGCTGTGGTTGTCAGCCATGCCCTCAACCATAGAACATTCTAGAAGAACCATCGGGGAGAGGTTGGAACCCAGTAGAAGCTTAGGAACATGTATATAAGAAGGAGAGGGAGATGTATCTTCCTATTTCTCTCTCCAAGTTTGCGATATTCGTTAATATAGGATTGCCAGTTGAAGACAATACTGCCTACGCCCGTCACACTTATGCTCCATCGAGCTCTATACTGACAAATCTCAAAGTATATCATTTCAGACTTGAAGACCAAAGTTGGTCTTCCAGATGCTGAAATGTCCAGAGATGGACTGTCTCCGAATGATTTAACCATTCTCCAAACACAGCTCTGGTGTTGGGACTTTAAGGGATACCGCAGCCAGTATCCTGACTGGAGTTAAGTATAGCTTTTAGCATTAATGTTACTCTATTGCTTTTCTTCTGCTCGAACCAGAGAGGTGCATGAGTCAACAGCGCATTAATCTATTGCCCGGCAGAAGGATAGCTGCAATGACAAGGATGCTAATCTCCAGGCCAGTGCCATGGCAGCATGCTACAAGGTCTGTATTCAGCAAACCATATTTAGTGGAAGCCTTGTGAAACTGATTGTGCATAGCATTTTATCCTCACCATCAAGCTGGTCGATGGCATTCTAATGTTGGTGTTGACCTATGCTCGGGAGTTCGTAAAGAGGTATTAGAGAATGAAAAAATGGGAACCTTTAGTCCATGCTTTCTACAAGGTGTATAAGGAGGAAGTCCTACTCTTTTTTAACCTACTTTTATTTATGCTTCTATTGTTTTCGGCCGACTAAGCTTTCTGCCATTACAAATCTTACATCGAGGTCCTTGACGTACTGGACTCCATCAAGCTTAGTGACTTGGACTTGCAATAAAACCACGTCATCTCCAGGATTCATTTCCAAGAAGACCTCTTGGATACTCCTGTTTTTAGGCCATTGAGCAAGCTGAATTGTGAAACCTCCACTGGCAGGGCGAGAGGCGCTGACGCATTTGGAAAAGAGTTTGCTGCTCTTGGGTATCGGAGTGGATAAAAATATGCTGACCTAAAAGTGCTGTCTGAGTCACTCATATGTCGCAGATAAGAAATATTCCCAGACAGCTCGAATGAAGTGTGCCTCACACAGAGAAACACAGACTTTTGGCCGATCATATGCGCACCCCGTGTGCGAAGTGGATGGACCTGCAACCTACTTGAATATTGCTTCCCACCATGAGCATATTCAGAATCAACATAGCATGGGCATGCACCGCAATCCAAACTTATGGCAATCTCTACCAGCCAAAGCAGAATTTGAATTTCAGGAACGAGAAGACGCCATAGCCCTTAATACAGAATTTGAGTTTCTGTCAAAATCCGCAATACCGATGTGAGATCGGAATACGCTACCAAATAGAATTCATTGAAGGTCTTGATCTTCTCAAACGAGTGACTATCTAGGCCATATATACACAGTATATACTGTAAATGTGGCAAAAAATGAGGCATTTTTCTTCCATAGAATCTTCCATCCATGTCGTCCTCCAGTTGATCAGTAGCTTTGAATAGCATCAAGTAGGAGATGGATATTTTGATGGTAATCTAGACATGCCTAATTTGGTTAGTGGTAATTTATATCAACAGTTTCTTAGCGCCCACCTTGCAAAGGCCCATAGTCCGGAAACTAAGCGCGGGATTCAGTTACAACGACGTCGAGTCCAGAGCCAAAAGGATAAGCTGTATCTTGAGGAACTTAAACGACAACGTGTCCAACAGGGTACTCAAACCGGAAGCATTTATGAACAAACCCTCTTCCACTACCACCGACGAGCTATGCCCGAGCGGGACCTCCTCGCTCAGATTTTGCCAACCAAGTCAACTATACGAAGCTCAGCCGGACGGGAGGCTATGAAGGCGTTGGAAGCAATCTGCAACCAGTACCGTCCGGTTACCTGTCGATCAAGTTTACACCCAGTCAATGGCAGATGCGTTTGTGGTGAACCAATAGATAGGTAAGTATTCCCTCTCCATATGCACCACCTGTGCTGACCCATTAGGTTTCATGCCCATCGCCAATGGCTTCATCTCTATCGTTGCTACCATAAGAGGCTTCGTCAAATGAGTGTCGATGATTTTGCGGAGTTTTGCTACGAGGGCGACCTGTGGTTCAATAATCAGAATGAATGGCATCAGCACTGTCAGGATCATCTCAGCAAACCTAGCGAACTACTTTGCTGTGATCCGATTATATTCCAGAATTGTCCGGTCAAACCTGGCTACTGCCCTTTGTCTGGGTAACTTAACATGAGCTTAGGGCCGACCCGACAGATGTGGGGCGGGTTGGGGGAGGCAGACTTGGCTATTATCCATCCATCCACAAGCGCTTGTACTTGTTGAGTCGAGGATTGAGCAAATGGAAGCCTTGGCAGAGATACTACACAAATCTACTGTGTCGGAACAATCACCTGTTTCAATTGTTATAACAACAAGCATTCAATCTTCCACTTTTCTTTTCTTCTTTCCCCAGCGATATCTTTTGTATGCTAGTCTTATATCAATTTAGCAACACAGGACTCAGCCCGTTTCACTTCTTAGTGTCATCATCAGTTAAACATTAGCATATACTGGTATAATACGGGATTACCTAAATATGATAGTATTCAATGTGAATTGAATAGGGGAACACAATTTCAGTTTCTATCTATACAATATTACCCCTGTCTCAAGAATTTGACTGATTTCCTCTGCGCTAGTCGTCCCGCATGTCAAGAGGATCTCATTCATATGCGTCCACCAAAAACCTGTCAGGAAATCTAGTAAGCCTGGAGAAAGCTCTTTGTACTTCGCAAGAAACTTCTCAACTAATTGGTCCGACTCCTGGATTGAAAGCTTCTCCTCATCTTGAATCTCTGCGATCTCATCAGGCTCATATTCTGGGTACCTTTCATGGTTGCATGTGTGAGATATTCCCAGACTTCGAGAAGTGATGAAGCGTAAGACGCAAGGAACAATTTCACTGGTGAAGTATTCCCGAGTATGAAGCTCCTGTGAATCGAAAAGTATTTCTAACATTGTTGCAAGCCTCGGTATGATTTCATCCGTTCCTATATTAGACCTTGCTGGGAAGAGACCGTTTAAGAGTCTCGTAAATCCAGAGCATCCACTCAAAGAATAGGGGCAGCAGCAACTGTCTCGAATGTCATCGCAAATTATTCCGCGCAATAATCTCTTGCACTCTTCGCTCATTTGCCTCAACTGAGAAGCGAATTCTTCGGTATCCTTCACTGAATGGATAGCCTCCCCCACAGCGTGTCCCAAGATATGCAAGGCCGAAGAGCTTGATTCCTTGTAATTGATGTCGGTGCCTTTGTTGACCAGCCAGTTCGCTTTTTCCACCAAGTCCACAAATCTAAATGTTAATGGACTCCATAAACTCCATCTAATCCTCATAAGGCCAGTCCTGTCAGCGTATACTTCGTCCACATCTCGGAATCCAGCACCGTACAGTTGATCTGACAGCTCAAGGTTGTTTCCGGTCGAATCATAGACTGACCATCGATATCGATAATCTTCATGAAACTCATCAACATTAAAAGAGCTCGCCTTTAGAGCCTCATAGGTTCTGAAGGCATCAAATCCCAACAGAGTATCAGGCTTGATACTTAGCTCATGGCACAATTCATCTGACAGAAAGGTTTCTGCTACCGCCTTCAGCCGCTTTCTGCGGTCGATGAATTCTTGGACCACTAGCTCCCTAATTGCTGAATGATGATGTATAGCAGCAACTTTTAGTGCCTGTGGCCCCAGATAGCATCTTGTGGACCTGATCAACATCTTGACGCTGTCCTCGCAGTTCGCTTCACATGCTGCTCTAAGAGTGTCTGAACCGGTCGTATAACCAGATTGAAGGAGTAAAGCAAGACCTGCTGGCCAGTGAGTATAAGAGTCAACCCAGTGCTGTAGACCGATTCCCTTTCTAAGGAGCGCCTGAAGGTGTTTCTTTGACCTATTTACCAGAGGAAGAAGCTCTTCTGGAAGGTCGATGTCTAAGGTTAATTAGCCTCCGCTGTTTTTAGACATTTGGGTAGAAAACTCCACCTTCAATTCCTTCTTTCTCAGCAAGCCGCCAAACAAGCCGAATACTGTAGTCTTCGAATAGATGATCATGCCCACTCATTTCATACGCAGGATTGAAAGTGTTCAGATGATGCCTCCAGTCGAGGGCCATATGCGTCATATAGCCTCCCGAACCCAGAATATCAGAACAAATATCAAGAGTGGCCTGTTGCTGGCCAGGATCTCTTCGCCTTCCAAAAACTTCAAACTGTGTTATCATTCTGTCTGCGGGGGTTTCGCCATAGTTGTTAACATGATCTGGCAACAACCCATTCCGTAAGAGGTCTTTGATAAGAGCACGCCAAGATAGCCATGAGGAGGCATCCCACTGGTAACTGTATTCTTGCCAGCTAGTTATCAACTTTTGAAAGTGTTAGAGGAATTCGTCTTCTAAGTGCCAGCTTTCGATCTGGCATAGATGATCCACTTACGTGTAAAATAGTATCACCATTTGGTAAAGTGTCGGAACATGATGCTTTGCCCTCCTGAAATAGCTGGAGTAGCTTTTTGTGGGTACGTCCTATGATAAAGTCGGCTTTTTGTGACCTCAAGCCTTTCTCGGTGTCCATGAGAAGGGTAAATACTGGCGAATCTAGCGGCACAACTGCTCGGAACTCAAGGTTGGGTCTAATCGAGAAGCATCCAGCGCCCTTTGTGATGGTTAACGATGCTTGGACTGAGAAGTTCAGAATCCTGGTGTAGAATGTTTGTTTCTTGAACAATGAAATGATCCTTTTTTCCTGGGCCTGAACTTCGCATCCATGGTAATTAGCTGTACCACTACTCAAAGCCCCTCTGATTGAGTAGGTGGACCACTTGCAATTAGTGCATGAGCATCTCATTCGGGATGTTCTACGTTGGACTTGGCCTTTAGCCATAAAGCTGCCAGTGACTTCGTTGGAAGTTAGGTGACTGTCCAGAATTGACCGTAGTAAAGCCGGTTTCAGAACTTGACTTGCTCCATAATGAAGAAAGTTGGATTCCTTAGTACCAGTAGTGAGTAGTTGTTTCGTCATGACTTAAGAGCATTCTAAGCTGAGGCTTTATTCGTACCAGTTGCTCTAGATGCTGTTCAATCATATCTAATTTTTTGTTAAGACCAACACTGCCTTGGCCCAAACGATCCGCTGCTGCAAGAATGTGGTCTGTATTTGACGCGCTAGATGATGAGCTGCTGAGTACCAAATCCATCTGCCTTTGGTTGATAATCATCATAGAACTATATCCTACCCGTCAGCGAGAGGCTCATAGCCTTCGTTTTCTTGTCCACTTACATGTTCAGTATCTGCAAAGAGGTACTGAGGTTGGCTTGCAACCAGTTCATCGTTCCCATGAGTGTCATCAGCGTGTCACGTCTAAAGGGGTACAGCATCCGATTGATTTGAATATTGGATCCTAGTAGGTTGTGGGCTGGTCTGGTGATTTGGCATTTCTCGAGCATCTTTCTTAGCTTTTGCAGTCCATTCTCGCAACATATGATCGAATCTATCGCGACAGCTGTAGATTGAGCTGAAGGAGAGTTGGATAGTACATGTGCGTTAATGAGCACATTTTCCAGTGCCTTCAAGATCCCATCTAGGGACGATACTCGGCAGGCAACCTCGTCAATCTGCTCGTGAAATGTTTTGAATGGCCCATAGTAAGCAAGGAAACCCTGGCAAACAGTCAGGCCTAGTGAAACGACGCCTACTGCGCTCCCAGCCACGGAAAAGGGGTCAGTCATGGCAGAAGTTTCATAAAAACAATAGAGATGGTGATAGAGCATTCAAAGAAGACACTCTATCTACATAGATATTATGGACTTTTGAACGAGGAAGCGCTGATGGGGGTTAGGTCAGGCTGGATCCTAGCCGCCCAAGGCTGCTGTGTATGTTGCGGCTGTGTACATATGCCAAGCTGCTAACTGTTTCATATGGGGCAAATATTACTGCTATATCTTAGCATAGCTGAGAATAACACAACCATAAAAATCTGCAGAGCGAGGAACTGGATACTAGAGCATCACTGGTACAGCACTTCAGCATCCTGCTCCCCAATTACAACAAACAATCTGGGAACCATTTGGTCCAGGCTTCAATCCAAGCTAATAAAAATGACCTCTCAGGAGTTAGATAGGCTACACCGCCTTCTCAAGGAAGCTGAAGATTGACTGAAGCAAGCCGAAGAGTCTCAAACCAAAGAGCAACACCTACGACACGAAGAGCAACGCCAATGCGTATGGGAATGGCGTTGTGGAATTCCTAGAAACCATTATAGTTGGACTCGCCGCGGATATAAACAGGACGGAAGTATATAACACTGGAACCTTAACTCATTCGCACAGCCTGGTTGGAAGGAATAGCTACTGGGTCGTTGGAAGTCAAATGAATTGGCTCCATTGCCGCGAAAGGTTGACTGGTCTCCAACAAAGCCGTATCTGTTCCCTGTAACAACTCCCCAGTGCTGCTGGAAGAAGACACGTCAGCAGGACAGGGGTCGAACAGGGTCACTGGGTGCGCATTATTGACATTCAGGCTGTTCAGGTGAGCTTCAGGTGAACAGGGTGAAGATAAGGCGGCGACGGCGCTAGACCCCACGAATCAAAAAAACTGGGTGAACTCCGACATACAACAGCCGGGATTCGCTGGTGGTCACCCACCCAACTACTAACCGGCCGGCGTGTGGCTTAAACGCGGTCAATACCCGGGTGGGTGTCCTTGCTGGGTGATGGGGTGATGCCGCTTGAATGAGGTGGTGATTAGCATAAGTGCAGTTTAGAGGGGTGGTGCTGTCTGGAGAATACATCACCAGGCTGGAGCACTCATTGCACTTGGAGAAGGCATAACCCACTCGGCGCAAGATCAGCTGCCTTGATTGGAGGAAGGAATGAAATACAAAACACTGAGTGTTCCGCCATCAGTGCATAGCCACAGACTTTCCTCCTTTCGGAAAATGCTTGAATAAGCCTAGCCAGGCCTGTGTTTGTGCTGCCAGTTTCAGTTTGAAGCCTACCACATCTCTTTAAGCCAGAGTGCTCTAATAGCAGACCAGCATAGTGGTTAAGTTATCGCAGTGCGTATTGAAAACCTCTTCCTGTACTCTCCGCTTCCGCAACCGACAAATCACGGCTTATTGGAAGTGAAGGTGGAGGAGTCTGCTTCCCAGGTGTAGAGCTGCGAGTTCTCAGGTGATCCAGGTTTTGTGTACGTGGAGAGCTGTCGCGACCTTTATGCAGCGGCTGTATGTCGTTTTATATGCAGTTTATCTCCATGTCTGGAGAAGACGAAGAGTCTGCAATATCAGAGGCAGAACAAGTACACAGTGAACGTTTCACACAACGCCAAGCGTACTCATTGGCGGTCAATATGTCGTCGTCGTCTTGAACGTCGGGAGCCAGAAGAATCACCATCTTCTGGAGAGGAAGCCCTGGATTGCCCAACGGATGTTTGCATCGTCTGTTGCGGTTTGTCCCGTCGTTCGGCATCTAATCCACCTCCACCAGGCGGAAGATTCACTTCCGTCGCCATCTCATTGATTTTCATCGTACCCGTGCGCACGAGAGGATTAGCTGCACCTGGGCAGCCTGCTGCAATGTCCCTAAATTCACAGAGGCTACCTAATTTTTGGCCCACGCCGCTAACGTGCCCTCAGATGTCCAAATTAAATTAAAACTCCTCCCAAAGAGACCCTGCCAACTTGCAGCGATACTTCCTCTGCCGACAGCACAGACGCTTCTCTGGAATCATGTGGGCGGTCAGGCACTAACACTCCCGCTCCTCTGTCGATCCCGAGATGGCGAATATCGACCCACGCCTATTAGAACCCCACAAACCCACCGCTACGGAGCCTCCCCACTGCGTCGCTCAAAGAGATTGCGGTTTGAGTAATAGCGTGGGATGACGTCTAGTGCAGTCGTTGCCACCTATGCACAAAGCTCCGTTAAGTCAGCTGCTGGGATCCTTTGTCTTATAGAAAATATTTGTTGGCGTCTACCGTCTACCGGTGTACTATATAACTAGTCTCAGGTACCTGCCAAATGCACTTGTATTCTTAAGAGTTAGTCGTTCTTGAGTAGTATAAGGATGTATCGCAATAATTGGGAAGTGCCCTTGCATGCGTTATCGTAATCGAAGTCGGCTTCCTCCGCCGCCGATGCAATTACTTTATCTGCTTCCCAACGAAGTCCCTCAACGTCGACGGGCTTCACATCGGATCGAACCGTCCGTCTAGCTCCTCAGTACCAACAAATTGAAACTTCATGCCTCTGTATCAGCTCCTCGTTCCCAGAATAGGCCCAAGTCAATCTTACCTCGACCTTTCGGCTCGGCGCGCAGTTGCAATGGCCCGGTCTCCACGAGCCAGAATCTGCTCCATAAAGACCCGGCCAAATCCGGAGGAGCATCCTGTGACGAGCCAGACGAGGGGAGACGTTGTGTCTGATGCTGAGGGTCAAGATACATAGGGGGACACTATTATACGGGAATGGAATTGAGAAATATGTCCTCACGGAAGCTTTTTATGCGCTTGCTTCAAACGTTCCATCATAGGTTGCTGTATATCTGCCGTGACTCATTTTCTCTGACTCATATTATATTACTTATGGAAGAGGATTGTGTTAATTATCAGGCAAGGTAGATTGTTTGGACTTGATAACGAGGGTGCCGAGTGCCTGGGGTTATGTCCAAACAGTGCCAGAACAGATACGCATAGCCCATAATGCCGACAAATCTTATTTTCCTAGACAGGATGACATGTAAGCCACTTGCAGGATATACTTTCTTAAGGCCTGTAGAAACCTGAGCACTATACAGAACAAGGCTCCGTAATTAAGTATTAAATGGTCGTTGCTGACCTGGTTCCGGACTTGACAAACAGTATCTCCGGGACACAAAGACCATGGCCTGTCAAAGCTCACCAGTGGTAGTTACTACAAGCTCGGGTAGCACAATGATATCCCATATCACTACCTCCAAATTTCAGAAGACCCAACCATATGCTCTGCCACAGGAATTTCCACAGCGTGTTCCGACATCATGGGATTAAGACACTTCATTCCGATATTGTTAGCCACCCCCACCACCACCTCCAGGGGGAGGAGGAGGGGGACCACCACCGCCGCCGCCTGCACCAGACATCTGGGTAGAGAATAGTTAGATAGGGGTCTCTTTAGAAGGGGGTTGCTGAACGTACGATGTAGTTTAGGTAGATTGAAACGTGTAATAGAAGGATCGGGATGAGATAGATAGATGGGAGAGGCTTTGTCTTGCGGGTACTCGAAAGAGCGTTGTTCGGTAACTGCAGCTTCTGTGGACCTGCTATCAGGCGGGGATGGACTGAGTAGGGAGATATATACCTGCTGGGCACGGGTGCTGCTTGGACCACGCACACATCCTCTCAGCGTTTGAATGACTGGCGGGCTCTCTGCACTTGGTGTTTCTGGCACTGGGGTCGTCAGAAGCGGGGAACCCTGTCCTGCATCTTGAGTAGATATGTATGATGACGAGATGGAGCGGGCTGTGGATCAGCTGAGACATCCATCGAGGTGTATGGAAGTTTGCCCCATGCATCGAGGGGGGAAGATGGCTCCTGCATACCTCATTGGCGATTTATCTTAGGATACTGGCGAATGACATGATTGCGATCTATTCATTTATGGGAGAAGAACTGCATTCTATCATCACGGCGCAGAACGAGCTAGAATGAGTGTGGGCACAAGTTGTTTTGAGTCATGGCACTGGCACCACTGCAAGGACAGTATAGTTCGTTTTTGGCAAACGCAAAAACCAAGCATAGATTATATCGTGTTTCCAGCCACGAATCCTAATTCCGAAAACAGCCAAACCCCCTCGTTTTGGACCGATAAACCCTCCGCAGTTCCTCGAGCATCTTACGTCCATTGACACTCCCGAGCCCACTCACAGCATCGTACCCCTCCTCCGCCACAAAGTACGCGCAAGCAGGCATATCACCAGAATCATTATGCCCAAAGGTGACATCCCGATACACACCCCTGTTAATCTGATACAAGACGGTATTGAGAGGTCCAAACAGCACCCCTCCTTCTCCTCCCCCTCCCAAGGCGCTGGCTAGCGCAGCAAAAAGCCCCGCGTAAAGAGGCGTACTGCAACTCGTACCTATGAAATAATTCCGTTTGCCATCGACAATGAAGCCCCTAAACCCAACCATGCCAGCAATATCCGGAATGAAGCGCCCCCGGTCCACCGCTCCCCATTGCAGTCCGTCACCGCGCTAACCCCGCCACTCAGTTGGTAGGGAGGTGTAGCGAAGACCCGGCTCATCCCTCCCCCCGTGACGCCCAGATGGCCATCGATCGTAAACTGGCTGTCTGGGTTGTCTCGATCGCTCCATGCGTGTTCGGTGAACGAGCCTGAGGAGCGCACGTTGCCGACGACTGTCCCGCCTACGCAGGTCACCCAGGGGTCACTGCCCGGCCAGCCTACGTGTGGCTGTCCGTCAATGATGTTGTTGTTGGCGCCCCAGTCGCCGGAGATAGCGAAGACTGTGGTTCCGACTACGGCGAGGCGCTGGAAAAGGAAAGATAGGCTGTCACGGTATGTTTGCTCGTCGTACATTGTCCAGCTGATGGAGACGATGGTGGGACGCTTTTCCTTCCCCTGCGGGAATAACACGCGCGTCAGAAAAGCCAGCCAGCCCTGCTCGGTAAGATCACTGAAGTAGACGTTGACAGTGCACCCCTGTGCAATGGTGGCGGCGGTCATAATGTCCTGCGAGAGCTCCTGGGTTGGATTATCCGGATCGTTGCTGTACGTTTGGCCGCCCACAGTCAGCGAGACAGGGACAACGGTGGGTGCGCAGTTGTAGCCAATCGTCTGGTTGTTGAAATAAGTCGCGACATCGGCGGGGCTGTAGTTGCTCAGGGATTTGCCCTTCTCGTCATTGCCTTCACCGCTGAAAATGCCGATTGTTTGTTGGCTGGCGTCCACCCCAGCCGGGAAACCATACAGGGCCGCTAGCTCCGCCACCATCAGTCGTTGGGCGCTGGGCGGATCCCCCGAGCATCCGCCGGATGCGCCAAATGTGCGAGTATCAAGACCAAAAATGTGGATGACTTTGTCATGCAGCGCAGACGGCACGGAAATAGATCCTTCAAACCCAATGTATGTCTCCTCAGGGGGTTGGTTATCGTCGCGCCGCTTGCGAGCCGCGGGCCGCAACTGCCCTCGATAGTAGTACAGCTGCACATTAAAAACGGAGTGTATTTGGGATGTCTTTGCCTGGACTTCCACGGTCCCTGCACCGGTGTGTCTGCTCCGGATGGTCATGCCCCGGTCCTCAAAGAACGAAGCCACGCTCAATACATCATGTTCGGAGGAGCCATAAGTTCTTTCAAACTCTGCAGACGACAGGAACTGGCGCTCGGCAATGGGAATAGCCTGCCATTGGGTCAGGTCGGGCAGACCAGGGGCACCGGTTTGGGAACGGACAAGCACCGTAAAGGCAATTTCCTTGTCAGGCTCGACAGAATTGAGGCGTGAACTGCCGGGGGATGTGGCCGAGCTGAGCCATCGAGAGAGTACATTGCGTTGGTTGACTTAGCAAAAGTATACTGGAATTAGGGAAAGAGAATAGTATTGGACTTATAAGGCACCTCGGGCAGCAGTTCTTGTCAATTCAGGTTCATTCATGTGTGATACTCCTTCTTTACACCCGCATACGCATGCGCTGTGTCTGCGGACTTGATTTACTCGCTGCGCTATGCATATCTACCTGGCTCACTTCAATACTCCCAGTATCAGATCGTCTAAGCAGTACATAATCCACTTATTCGAGACCTCCTCCTCCTCCTCCTCCCCGCCTCCTCCGCCGCCTCCTCCTCCACCGCCACCACCGCCACCACCACCACCTTTGCCCTTTCTAGTAGACGTATTGTTGCACATCTAAGGCAGTTAGTAGAAGATCATCAGGGTCGTTTACAGCAGGACATATATGTCTCACTTCGAAGAACCCGGTTTGGACGATGGAAACGAATAAGCAAAGAATGCGTACGTGTGTCCTATTCACACGACCCCTTCTATTAGCGGTGGCATGTAAGTATCAGGAAAAGAGCGGCGCACTGGAAAATTTCTTGGTTACAGATGGAGCAGGGTAACTTCAGAGAAGGTTGTTCCGATCTCTGCCTCTTGCTCGAGGCGAGCAACGGTCCTCTATTTATCTCTCCATCGTTGAGTATGTCTCGTTCAGTTCGGCACTCGCAATGCTCTGGCTCTCAGAGTTCCGATGCTCGGAAAGAAAGTGACAGTCACGACCGATGGAGGATGGTGAGGGGTAAATGCTGAGTATCACAGGAGATTGTCACACAGGGTATCTGTTGTGTTGCCGTGCCATGCTTGCAGGCGAAGCGCAACTTTTGCTAACTTTCATGAGCTCTGATAGGATGCAGACTAGAGAGACAGGCGTAGATTGTGCTGTGGCTGGCTGGCTGGCGAAGGTGTTTGCTTCGCAGGCTCGCGCTAACTAAGCAGTGATACGACAGATGACAGCTCACAAGGTGGCTTGGTGTAAGTGAGCGTCATATACAGAGCCAAATAAATTGAGGAGGCAATAAGTGCTAGCTGCTACTGAGAGTGACCCTATGCAGAAAAGGAGAAAGAAGCGAAAGGCTATGGAGAGTTGAGGCCGAGTGTTGTGATATTATTATTTTGGGGGGTTGCATCCATGTTTGCCCAGTATGATAGGATAATAGGACTGCTGAGACACAGCTTGGCGACTACCGCCAGCCTGACAGATTGAGGCTTGCATAATGTGGGCCTAGATTCCGGAGATGTCCGGCGAGGCTGAAGTTGTGCCTTTCTGCGTCTATCTTGAGGGATTGTGGAGCGGACACTAACATGTTCAATCTTACCTTGTGCATCAGGACGGGCCGCTTTCTATAGCATCTGGTGGAGCTTACTCCCAGCCTTGCCAACCACAATATTCTGTTGCCCTAAGAAACTCGGCTGGCTCCTCTCACCGGTCGTTAGTATATCGGGTAATGACAAGGGGCTTGCATGGCTAGAGCCTTTATTCGTTCACACTTGGGCCAACCGTCGCACAGCTGGAAGGTCTAAGAGGAACGAAGTGAACGGGATAAGCTCTGCAACTTCGGCCGAGCCGTCAGCCAACCTAATAACATCGACAACAGAGGTTACCTGACATTCCCAAATATAAAGTATTCCGCATACATTGTGTCTATGCATCTAGGAGTAGCGATATCAGTAGCGGTCTGCTTAGTACCACAGGCCCCTCCTCCTAGACCAACCACCCCCTCCGCCTCCGCCTCCATAACCACCAGCCCTCCTCCGCCAAACAAGCCGCCGTTGATGAAAAGATCGGGCAGTATATATTAATGATAATTGCACACTCCTGCGAGTAGATTGGGGAGAAGATGCCGTCCTCATCAATCGTCCCCACCAGTTCTCCCCTGCCGTATCCACCTTGCACAGCTGACTTGCCAATAAAACGTAGAAATGAAGACGCCAGGTTGACTTTATCGGGCACTACGAGTAGTCCCTCGGGGACTTGCTCAAAATGAGCGCCTGGGAGGATCGTGGCGTCTGTGTCATAGTAAAGAACGCCCGGGCTAGGTTAACCAAATCAATCACTAAAAAGATTAAGAAACGCCGGGACGAAGACAAACTTACTCTCCCATTCAGAGGCATCCTTCTTAGTGGATCGAGTAACATAGTAGACACAGTTATCGCCCCCAACAAAGAAGAGATAAATGCTTGACGGCCCCTGGATAGCACAGAGCGGGCTCCCAGTTTGAGCTGTAACCTGCATGAGCATTATCTGCGCCGTCCAACGATTCGCGTCGCGCTGATGCTGCAGATCCACAAGAGCGCCACTGGGGTTCTGGAGGAAGACGTGGGCCCCGGATACCTGTGAGACACTGGCCATCTTACTCTGCTTATGCAGGACGATAGGCTCGGTCGTGCAGAGCGGGGGCTCAATCCAGGGCTCTTCCTCGGTGTGGGGCTGAAAACTATGGCAGTTGAGAATATCGCCGGGATTGGCGCTAAGAAGAAGGATCTGTTCAGTTAGGAGTTAGCGGTCTGCTGTTTTTTTCTGAGATGGTTAGGTCGGGTTGGCGATGACTGGAGGAAACGAAAAGGGAAGGGGTACCATGTCCGGTGTCACAACATATGTGGCTGGCGTACCCAGCTTGACGTCGGAGGTCGCGTACACTGGGTCGTCAGCATTGCCATCTTGACCCAAGACTTCTCGGTTAGCATCACTTGGTCGTCGCCGAAAGGGTAATGCGCTGTTCGAAATACTAGCATTTATATAACAGCTAAGGGCTGTATCTCTATCTTTCGTAGTCAATACTGCAAGGAAAACCAATGGGCATCATACCGTATCGGTGGTCTGGGCGGACTTTGAATGAGCATAGTTATATGACGTGGCTGGCACAGAACCAATTAATTTTGCATGGTAGTGTCACTTTGAGCCGCACCGGAAGCAAAATATGGGAGAGCTGAGTAATTCCCACTTGAGGTTGCAGTGCATGGCTGGCTGAGTGATGGTCACACGCAACCTCTGTCAAATTGTGGTCATCTGCAGAAGTATTTCGTGGTTTTCACATGTTATTCATGTTCCATTGAGCTAGTTGATTTTCGGTGATCCGCCGCATTCAATTCAGAACCCAAATATATCAACAATGAATACTTTAAACTCAGTTAAAATTCAATATTGGTGCAATAACTTGGTTATAAAAGTTGCCCGGGTCGATTAAAGCTGGGTGGTAATAAGTTAAAAAAAAAGCTAGGTAGCAGTAGGACTTTCCTAGCAAATCCTTACCTGACAGCTGAACATCCCTAAGCCTTCGCCTGGAGCCGAGCGGCCCGAGCCACCCGCTCATATTAGCTCTACTTAGATCTTTATGTCTATTGGTCCGAAGCGGGACTGTCCGACGCCCCACAGATGGTATGATGGTTCAGTAGACTTGGTTCTCCGCGCCATTGGCTATTTGAGTGACCTAGTGCAGGCAGGAATCACTCTTTGATTCGTTCGTCCACATCTCTGAACACACGGTGATATGAGAATTGGATAGGAATGGAGAGATTGTGCTCATTGTTTGCTCATGTGGTTCAGTATCCATAAAGCCAACTCAGAACTCTATAAGAAATCCTCCAGGACTTCCTCCAAACCCCATACCAAGGTCATTCGAAGATTGGGCCCCCTTTTAGTGTGAGCCGGATGGCTGAGTTGAGTAAAAAGAAGCCGCATGAGAGAAAGTACTCAACACCAGACCATCTCCAGTAAGGCTTAGAGCACCAATAGGCTTGGAGCCCTGCTAAACCTATCGCCCTGGGACACCTGGGTAGCCCATGGATCGAACGATCCGGTTGTAGTCGTCTGTGTTGATGTTTGCACCACCGTTGGTGGTTCGATAAGTCATGCCAGTGGCCTGATGATAACCGTAGCCGCTGCTGCCGCTGCCGCTGCCACCGCCGCCGCCGCCACCGCCGCTAGCGTTAACGGTACCATAGTTGTTACCGTAGATAGTGACATTTCCTCCACCACCACCTCCACCTCCACCTCCTCTGGAAGGCATTATAACTTGCGCGGTAACCGGAAGAGCTGGAACTGAGTGGAGACGAACGAGATGGAACCCGGAGGCAAGGAACTCAGAAGACGAGCAATAGAAAGACGGCGAGTTAACCCTTTATCTATCTAAACGTCAGACGTGAAGCGCGCAAAATAAGGAACTGCTGAGAACTATAACTGACTAAAAGATCGGTATTACCTACTTGTATTCAAGATCCGACACGCGGTGTTGATTAAGTTTCTGGCACTTCTTGCTTCAGTCGTTTCGGCCTCGGATGTCGAAGATTTCTGATACATATGAAGATATTAAAGAAAAAAAGGAGAAGAGTAAGACTTTATATATGTCTGAAACTGGCATAACGGAGAAAAGTGGTGAGAGATCACCACACAAATTCATTGGATTTGGTCACGCAGCTGATGACCTGTGCCGACCGCCTCGTCGGGCATCCCGGATAGTCAAAAGTGACAAAGGGCTGAAAGGTATGCAAGACTGCCTAGCAGTGACAGATCACCACGTCAGTCCTTTTGATTCAACCACTTGGAATGCCGCACACGCAGGAGATGACCAATACTGACAGCCTCGTCAGGGCCTTTCGGTAATTAAAGGCGAAGTTTGCAGCAGTCAGGCTGCTACTACCAACCCTCCCCGACGCAGCCGACGAAAACCAAATCCAAACACCCTGGCAGCAGTCGCAAGATCCCCCAAAAAGGTGTTATGCCAGCAGCACTCAGGGCAACGGCTTGGGCACCATCTTGGGCACCATCTCCTGTACCATTTCCTGTATCTTCTCCTCTACCTTCTCAGGTCTTCTCATTTAAGTCCTCAGTGATCCTGTGCAGCGCTAAGTCTGTTTTGGGACTCGGCCATCGTCTCAACACGCCTACTCCCTACTCAACTTGTATGCTGCGGCGTCGATGCTTCTCCCTGCAACGCCGCTTTTAGGGAAGCGGACAACCCTGCCTAATCCTACCGAAGCAAGATGAGGCAAGAAAGTGAGGCTAGAAGTAATCTGCTTTCCTCACATCGCGTTGGTGACGCCTAATCGATGTCTACATGCCTTGACAGTCAGCCTATGCACAGAGGGTCAAGATATGACAAGCAGTAAGCCTCGGCTTGATGCAGCTCTAATCAGTAGTTCTTTTACGTAGCACTTAACAAGGGTATTAATTATTTCGTCCACTAGATCCATACCAACTACCATGGTGTACGTATCTCCTAAGGCAATAAAGAAAATCCAGAGGCGAGCAGGGCAATCAGCTGCCCATTTATCTTAGAAGGCATCATGGAGCTGCATCTACCTACGTTGTTTGTTTTTCGGTCCGATATTGACTTAACTGTTCCAATAGTAGCTGTATCATAGCCTTGTGTTAAGTCGATTGGCCCATACCAATTTGTGGCTTTTAGTACACATATATCTCTTGGGGCCGGTACGTTGCTGTAAACAGTAGAAGAGGGGAAGCCAGTCATCACAAGCCAACTAATAATATTTCTGTAAAGAATGTGAACAACCTTCAACCAGCAGAAATCTCACCCTTATATAAAACAGCCTACCCTGTGGTTGTTACTTACGGCTTTGATTAGCTTTAAATGCACCTTGTCGTTGTAACTAAGCGACTGTTATTATTACTTTGCCTTTCCCCAGGTTTCGATCCTCAACTCTTGATTTCTAGGGATCAGACACCCTACAGTACTTGCCATACAATTTCTACGATTCAACTCTCCTAGGGGTCAATAATATTGGCCTCCTGCTCAAAAAAGTCTTTAAACTATAACCTTATAGTACTTAAAGGACAGGCCCGCAATATACAACAGAGCCCTACTTGAGGTTAGTTTTTAATGTTTGAAGACGGCGAAGTAAAATTATAACTTCGATATAGATATTAAATTACTTCCTCCAGTCATAGATAAAGGTAATCAATATCACTCTTTGCGTTTCGGAACTATTACTTTGGTTCTATGTACATTCAATCTAACTTTTCGTAGATGACGAATTCAGCTGAGTCCCATAATAGCCATAACAGTGGTGGGGACGGAGGAGATGGGAGACGATACGGAGGTGGTGGAGGTGGTCCATACGGTGGTGGAGGGGGTGGTCAATACGGAGGAGGAGGAGGTGGTGGTCCACACGGTGGTGGTGGAGGAGGTGGTCAATACGGAGGAGGAGGAGGTGGTGAATACGGAGGAGGAGGAGGTGGTGGTCCACACGGTGGTGGTGGAGGAGGTGGTCAATACGGAGGAGGCGGAGGTGGTCCATACGGTGGTGGAGGAGGTGGTCAATACGGTGGTGGAGGAGGTGGTCAATACGGAGGAGGCGGAGGTGGTCCATACGGTGGTGGAGGTGGTGGTCCATACGGTGGTGGAGGAGGTGGTCAATACGGAGGAGGCGGAGGTGGTCCATACGGTGGTGGAGGTGGTGGTCCACACGGTGGTGGTGGAGGAGGTGGTCAATACGGAGGAGGCGGAGGTGGTCCATACGGTGGTGGAGGTGGTGGTCCACACGGTGGTGGTGGTGGGGGCGGCGGCGGCAGCGGAGGTTGTTGAAGTAGGTTCAAAGGTATGAAGTTGTTGTTCTCATTATGAGGAGCAGGTGGACTGCATATATACTCTGTATACATGTACAGAGTACTATGAGTATACACACAGACCCACATTTCGTTCAAAACCTCACAGCCACCATGATATTCAACAGAGGTCGCGATTTATCTGAGGTGTCAGACTATGAACACAAGGCAGAAATTCTGCCGCCGCTAGTCCTAATTGGAATCATAGTGCACTGCCTAAAGGGCTACATAATCCTGCACACCGCTTTCACATACAGTGCCAGATCCTGAGACTGTGTGTGCGTCTGAGAAACTGGTCTGATCCCTAACTAACCAGTCATGGACTACAGGTTGAGTAAGCTCCCGTATATACTGGGCGTTCTGCATCCTGAAACCATGGATAGTGTAAGGTTCTTGGTCTAGCTGCTGCTGGAGACTGACCGAGGAGAGGAGGCGGAATTGTTGCTCAGAGATTCCGTTGATTAACAGGTGGCACTGATTGGAGGAAACAACACCGACTTGCTACAGTGTATGAGCAGCTTTGCGATGTGATGGTGGAGCATGGTGCACGGACGCTGCGCCTGATATGGCCAAGCGAGCAGGAGAGACTAGAAGCCACTATTGTTGTAATTCAGAGTGTTGTGATTCAGAGGAAGGTTGATCGTTGTTATGCTCATCTGAAAACATGAGGGTTTATATACAAGTTGAATATCAGATTGATTACCAATCAAACTGATTCAATACAGAATGAATTCCGTATACGAAGCTCTATTGTCTACTTAATCGAGCCTCGATCCACAACAACTATCAACGGGCAGAAATTTGGCCGAGGTGCTAGAGACACTCGGTGCATTCGCAGAAGCAGAAGATCTGAGTCGGCAGGCGTATTAGGGACAAGTTAGGATGCTAGGTCTTGAATAAGCGACAATAGCTAGCATGGCGGACCTGGTCAATGTGCTGACGTGGGGGCAGGAAAAGTGCTTCAAGCAACAGAACTAAGCATTTCTCTGGTCGATGTGAAGCGGAAGCTGTTGGGTCCCCATGACACCACTCGACGCTATGGAATATGTTTACGCTTGGAGCGCTCTACGAGCGTCAGAGAAAGTTCTGTACTGCACGGGATGCATACAACACCAGCAAAATCGACATTCTCAGATTATTTGTGATCCGCAAACTGGACCAGTGTCTCTTGGGCATGATTTTTAGAGATTAAAATATTTCTTTCCACTATCGGACGCGAAGGTGCTAGATTATTTAACAAGTTAGTTGGTTTACCGGAAAAAAAGTGAATTTGTTTCTGACACTGTCAAGGCTTAAGAGATATGAGAGAAATTAGTCCATTGACACTTACACATATTGCAAGCCAAAATTAACCGCAAGCCTCGGCCTAGAACCCAAAGATCAGAACATGTCCGGGCGCGCAGGCTAGCGCTAAGGCTAACCACGACCGTGCTTCAACCGAACGAGTTGGGCGGTACTCGCGCGGCAGCCACAGCCAGTTCTGCGAATTCCGCGTGACCCAGACGTCGCCGGAACGGACACCGTAGCCTCGGTATTGAGATTTCGGCCGCTCCTGAGCGCCATGTGGCCCTCGGGACTTCAGAGGGAGAGCCTCTCTAAGAGTTGTTTTAGAAATTGTCGGCAAGTCAAGAGCGACACTTCCAATTTCGGTATAGAGAGATGAGCCGGTAAGATCAAAGGAGAGATCGAAGATAACCGTGTCAATGTTGAGCGTCTGTAGGCAGGCGCCGCTATGCACGTCCCAAATCTTGACATTCCTGTCGGATGACGCAGAAGCAAGGCGGCTGCTGTCGTGCGAGAACGCTACAGAGTTGACGGAGGAGCCATGGCCCTTAAGCGACTGCAGGAAGGCGCCACTATGCGCGTCCCAGGTCTTGACAGTCATGTCGTCCGGTGCCGAAGCGAGGCGGCTAAGTCTCCCTATCTCTGACCTCATGTGCTACAAATTTGACGACGGTTACTTAGTGGAAGGGATTCTGGGATTCTGTTGAGCCTGGTTGCTTGGATGGATCCCAGTTGATCGATATGATCAGAACAGGTTCGTATCCTTAGAAGCATCGTACACGAAGCCCTATTGACGGTCATGCAGTGCTAGCGCCTCGGGCTTGTCAAGATAACGATTGGGTGGAATTCTGACCAGGATGCGGAAGTTGACGAAAGCTTAGCGCCGCAGTTGCCGCCAACCAAGACTCCTCACAGACAGGCTTCGGGAACAGAGAAAAGGTAATTATGTGTCGCCGAACATGACTAGGCCCTCCATGCCAAGATCTGGTGAATTCCAATATACAACAGCCGGAGTTCGATGGTGGTCACCCACCGAACTACTAACCAGCTAGTATGTGGCTTCAATGCATTGGTGGACGCTGCTGTTATATGATACAAGTTTTAGGCAAATGGCCTTAGTTAAGCTTAGGTAAGTGCAGAATATACAGGGTGAGGTATGTAATAAGATGCATCATGAGACAAATCGAATGATACGTACATAGTTCCAGCAGGCAGGAGAGGTTAAACAATTGCATCAGTTCTGCAATCACGGTGCTGCTCATTATGAATGTTGTATGGTAAGGGCGGAGCACACACAGTCAATGGGTCCCTAAAGACTAGCCGCCCTCGCGTATATGCACGTCTGTCACATTCGGAGATTCCAGTCACAAACATACTCATGTTGATACGTCGCCGCTGCTGCCATGTAGGCAGTAGAAAGCCTGATAGTGTCGAATTAATTTTGCATCTTCTGTAACCAGTGCCAGTGCCTTTCAACGTATCTCCACAATTACTGACTTCCAACCTTCATTTCATAGTGGCCGTGCTGATCTTGCCCCATCTTCTGGACATTCCCGCCCGTCGTGTTGAAGGTCATGTTGTTATTCTGCTTGTGTTAGCAACGCAAGCATAGATTAACGTTAGACAAAAAGGGGTTCCGATGATGCCTTCCACTTACATTTTGCTCGAAATTCTGAACTGCAGTCTTTAGAACTGGGTCGCGTTCGGAAGCGAGCCTCAACTCTTTCATGACCTCAAGGAGCTCCGCTAACTCAGTCTTGCCGAGCTCGTCCTGCTCGTTTGCAGGCGGGGTGTAAATCTTGTACAGCTCATCGATATGGTCGTTGATTTTCTGGATCAGGTCCTCGAGATGCCTCTCCTTGTAAATGGCGAACTTGACACGCTGCGGGACTGAGACATTGTTTCTACGCCCGTCAACGATGTCCTGCATTTTCTTATGAAGGTAGCGGTGCATAGGGTTCCAATTCATGCCAATAGGGGCGAACGGGCTGATCTCGTTCTCTTTGACGCAGGGGTCATTGTCATTCTTGCCGTTGCGTTCGCGGTGACAGAGCTTCTGGCACTCTTCGAAGATGGCCGCAACAGTACGGAACGTCCGGATCGCTTGCTTCTCCTGGTCCTCGTCGAGCCTGAATGAGCCCGAACTCTTTAGCGACTCCTCGTCTTTAATTCGCCAGCCTGTAAGGCCGGCCGCCTTGCCCCAGCGCGTTAGCCTTAGTTGCGCATCGTCAAGTTTCACGAGTAGCGATTGCAGCCGCGGAGCCGTCTGCTTAGCGACAAGGACATAGTCGAACCACGTTATAGACGCGTTGAAGAGGCTGGCTAGCCCAGACGCCGCTCCAATTCCTTCTACGACGACTGTCATATCGACTTGTGTGAGTGTCAGCGTTAAAAGCTCAAGACAGATTCCTGGTTATCGGAAGCTTGACACGGACACCTGCGCATACTTCGCGGGGGCATGCAGGACGTATTTGTACCAAACGAACGGGGCGTAAATGCGCCTGGCAAACATTGGATGATTGCAGAAACCGGAGTCGCCGGAGATGCAGAAGTGCTGCATACCTGTGGCTGAAAAGCCACCAGTGCAACTACCTTTCGGGAAATACTCGCCTGTACTCCGAAGAGCTCCAATGTGGTGGCCAGTGATTTGCACAAGTGCGGAGGCATGACGTGGCAATACGATGCGATTCGTCGAGATGGATGAGGGCTCCTTTACCCCACCCTACTTCCAAAGGCAATAATAAGCGATAATTCAGGCAACGACCTGATATCTGCATGACTTAACGCTAGAGCATCACCTGCCGCGGAGATGCAATAGAACCCTGTAGGGCCCTCACGGGACCAACCCTGCCATCTGCGGCGGCTTTGAACCCTATAACTAGCCCTATTCTCAAATCAAGGGCAGGCCACCATGAGATAGATCTAGGTCTGCCTCACGACGGCTTGCTCTAATTGTATGGAGCTTACCGAACTGGTCTGCTAGGACTGCCGCGTTGGAGAGCGATTGTTGCATACGCACGACTCATCATGGAGCAGACCAACTTAGCATCGTCTGACTCGTTCCCCGCAATGAATGGTCAGCAGTTCTACAACCGAGAGGGAATAATCCAGTTTCAAGGGATGGCGAAAGATTCGTAAGAAGACATCGACGACTATACTACTTCAAGAGGCCGTACTAACATAATATATTCCAAGCATCTTCAATATGTATGTTGGAGGTACGTCTGATTACAAATCATATTCTCAAGCGGTTCTAAGTCTGATGTAAACCGTTTAACATCCAGACGGACAAAGCAAGGATCGCTGCCTGGAGTATATAGCAGTGACTGACCCGCGCGACGTCAAGACGGGTATCCATCAGACAAGAGGCGCCGTCCTCAAGGAGTCATACGGTTGGATCCTCGACCACCGCGAGTTCCAACGTTGGCGCGACAACGAAGACAGGCAGTTGCTTTGGATCAAGGGGGATCCTGGCAAGGGCAAGACTATGCTGCTCTGCGGTATAATTGAGCAGCTCCTTCCGGCCACAAGGTTGGCAGGCGTCCAGTCCGAGACCCTTTTATCCTACTTCTTCTGCCAAGCGACTGTCCCCAAGCTCAGTAACGCTCGAGATGTCCTGCGCGGTCTGATCTACATGATCATAAATCAACAGCCGTCATTACTCTCACACGTGCGGGACAGATTCAAGGACACAGGGGAGCCGCATTTTGGGGATACAGAAGCTTGGGCTGCGTTGTGCAACATCCTCCTGAGTATCCTGCGTGATCCGAGACTGAAGAAGATCTATGTAATAATCGATGCTCTCGACGAGTGCGGGCAGGACCAAGACCAGCTCTTAAAGTTCGTTCTCCAGGAAGCGAAGGTGCCGCGCGTCAAGTGGATTATTTCTAGCCGGAACAACATTGAACAGCGTATACGGCTGGAAACTTCGCAATCGATCCTCGGCCTGGAACAGCAGGAGAACGGAGATTCTGTATCTCAGGCTATCAAAGCTTATATTACCAACAGGACATCACGAATCGAATCTCTGAAAGACGACAGTTCACTGCAGGAGCATGTTCGACGGGTCCTCCACAAGAAAGCCGAGGGAACGTTCCTCTGGGTAGCTCTCGTTGTCCAAGAGCTCGAAAACGTCGACAGCTGGAAAGTGCGGCAGGTGGTCGACAACGTACCAAAAGGTCTTGATGATCTGTATGCGCGGATGATAGACCAGATTGAACGACCTGGGAACACGGACACAGAGTACTGTCGGCTGGTCCTCTCAGCGGCTACGCTGGCATACCGCCCGCTTCAGCTGCTTGAGCTAGGCGCAGTATCTGGACTTCCAGACGCGATTTCCAGTAGCGTCAGAAACATCCGGAAGATTGTCAAGAAGAGCGGCTCCTTCCTCACAGTTCGCGACGAAACAATCGACTTCGTGCATCAGTCTGCCAAGGACTATCTGATAGGGAAGGCCGCCTCAACCATCTTTCCTTCTGGGTCTGCAGCTGCCCACCGTGGCATCTTCACACAGTCACTGCAGGTCATGGAAAAGACGCTACGGCGCGATATGTACGACCTGCGCGCCCTTGGAACCCCAATAGAGCAGGCCAAAAAGCCTGAGCGAGATCCATTAGGGGCTGCACATTACTCATGTGTCTACTGGGTTGACCACCTGGAAGAGAGCGGCCAGGTGGACGGAGGAGGAATCCCTCTGTTTGCAAATCTCGGCGCTTTACCTCGGGTAAGTCGGTTTATACAGCGCTTCAAGCCGTTTCTAACATTATTGTCAGGGGAGAGCAATGACATATGGACTACACGAGGATCTCCAGGATGGCGGCGCCGTCGATGTGTTTCTCCGAGACCGATATCTCTACTGGCTCGAGGCACTTAGCCTTCTCCGAAGCATGACGGAGGGGATCATGTCGATACAGAAACTCGAGCGCTTGCTACAGGTACATTTTAGCTATCACCTCTAAGTACCGTCCTAATGTCACGATAGGGACGATCAGGAGCGTCTGGATTGAGCGATCTAGTCCGGGATGCGCGCCGATTCATCCTATACCACAGAGGAGCTATCGAGAACAGCCCCCTCCAGACGTACGGTTCAGCACTTGTATTCAGCCCATCCCGCAGTATCATAAGGGGACTATTCCAGCACGAGATACCAGAATGGATCACGACCAAGCCAAGGATGGCAGACGATTGGGATGCGCATAGTGGCGCCTGCCTGCAGACGCTCGAGGGCCATCGCTCCTCCGTCAGCTCTGTAGCATTCTCGCGCGATAGTAGCCGCCTCGCTTCGGCGTCTTACAAGACTGTCAAGATCTGGGACGCTCATAGCGGCGCCTACCTGCAGACACTCAAGGGCCATGGCTCCTCCGTCAACTCGGTAGTGTTCTCACACGATAGTAGCCGCCTCGCTTCGGCGTCGAACGATATGACTGCCAAGATCTGGGACGCTCATAGCGGCGCCTGCCTGCAGATGCTCGAGGGCCATAAACAATTGATCTTCTCGGTAGCGTTCTCGCACGATAGCCGCTGCCTCGCTTCAGCGTCTTACGACAATACTGTCAAGATCTGGGACGCACATAGCGGCGCCTGCCTGCAATCGCTTATGGGCCATGAAGAGAGCGTCAACTCTGTAGCATTCTCACACGATAGTAGCCGCCTCGTTTCGGCGTCATCCGACAAGACTGTCAAGATCTGGGACGCTCATAGCGGCGCCTGCCTGCAATCGCTTATGGGTCATGAAGAGAGTGTCTACTCTGTAGCGTTCTCACACGATAGTAGCCGCCTCGCTTCGGCGTCTTACGACAATACTGTCAAGATCTGGGACGCGCATAGCGGCGCCTGCCTGCACACGCTCAAGGGCCATGGCTCCTCCGTCAACTCAGTAGTGTTCTCACATGATAGTAGCCGCCTCGCTTCGGCGTCGAACGATATGACTGTCAAGATCTGGGACGCTCATAGCGGCACCTGCCTGCAGACGCTTAGCCATAGCCATTGCGACTACGTCAAAGCTGTAGCGTTCTCGCGCGATAGTAGCCGCCTCGCTTCGGCGTCGATCTATGGGAAAGTCAAGATCTGGGACGCGCATAGCGGCGCCTGCCTGCAGTCGCTCAAGAGCCATGATGGACAGGTCAACTCTGTAGCGTTCTCGCACGATAGTAGCCGCCTCGCTTCGGCGTCTTATGACAATACTGTCAAGATCTGGGACGCGCATAGCGGCGCCTGCATGCACACGCTTAAGGGCCATGGCTCCTCCGTCAACTCGGTAGTGTTCTCACACAATAGTAGCCGCCTCGCTTCGGCGTCGAACGATATGACTGTCAAGATCTGGGACATGCATAGCGGCGCCTGCCTGCAGACGCTCGGGGGCCATCAAGGGAGTGTCAACTCTGTAGCATTCTCACATGATAGTGGCCGCCTCGCTTCGGCATCGGACGACAAGACTGTCAAGATCTGGGACGCTCATAGCGGCGCCTGCCTGCAGACGCTCAAGGGCCATGGCTCCTCCGTCAACTCGGTAGTGTTCTCACACGATAGTAGCCGCCTCGCTTCGGCGTCGAACGATATGACTGTCAAGATCTGGGACGCGCATAGCGGCGCCTGCCTGCAGACGCTCGAGCGCCATGGCTTCACGGTAGCGTTCTCACATGATAGCAGCCGCCTCATTTCGGCGTCTTACGACAATACTCTCAAGATCTGGGACGCTCATAGTGACGCCTGCCTGCAGACGCTTGAGGGCCATTGCTCCTCCATCAATTCTGTAGCATTCTCACATGATAGCCGCCGCCTCGCGTCGGCGTCTTACGACAAGACTGTTAAGATCTGGGACGCGCATAGCGGCGCCTGCCTGCAGTCGCTCAAGAGCCATGATGGACAGGTCAACTCTGTAGCGTTCTCACATGATAGTAGCCGCCTCGCTTCGGCGTCGGATGACACTACTGTCAAGATCTGGGACGCTCATAGCGACGCCTGCCTGCAGACACACGAGGGCCATGGCTCCTCCGTCAAATCGGTAGTGTTCTCACATGATAATAGCCGCCTCGCTTCTGTGTCTTACGACGGGACTGTCAATATCTGGGACGCGCATAGCGGCGCCTGCCTGCAGTCGCTCAAGGGCCATGATGTAGCGTTCTCACACGATAGCAGCTGCCTCGCTTCGGCATCGGACGACAAGACTGTCAAGATCTGGGACGCTCATAGCGGCGCCTGCCTGCAGACGCTTGAGGGCCATGGCTCCTCCGTCAAATCGGTAGTGTTCTCACATGACAATAGCCGCCTCGCTTCTGTGTCATCCGACAGCGCTGTCAAGATCTGGGACGCGCATAGCGGCGCCTGCCTGCAGACGCTCGAGAGCCATGACAAATCTGTCGAATCGGTAGCGTTCTCATACGATAGTAGCCGCCTCGCATCTGTGTCATCCAACATCGCTGTCAAGATCTGGGACGCTCGTAGCGGCGCCTGCCTGCAGTCGTGCGAGGGCAAGGGGCCCCATCGGTCGGTGTCGGTAGTGTTTGCTCATGATAGCAGCCGCCTCGCTGTGTCATCCCCGATAGACAAGGCCATCACGATCTGGGACGCGCATAGCTGCGACCGCCTGCAGTTTCTCCAGGGCCATGATCAAGGGATCAACTCGGTAGCGTTCTCGCACGACAGCAGCCGCCTTGCTTCTGCGTCATCCGACAGGAATGTCAAGATTTGGGACGTGCATAGCGGCGCCTGCCTACAGACGCTCAACATTGGCACGGTCGTCTACAATCTCTCCTATGATCTTACCGACTCATCTCTCTACACTGCCGTCGGAATTGTCGCTCTTGACTCGCCGACAATTTCTAATACAACTCTTACAAAGGCTCTTGCTGTGAAGACTCAAGGGCGTCATGACGCTCAGGAGCCGCTAACGCCTCAGTACCGAGGCTACGGTGTCCGCAATGTCTGGATCACACGGAATTCGCAGAATTGGCTGTGGCTGCCGCGCGAGTACCGCCCGACTCGTTCGGCTGTAGCACGGTCGGGGTTAGCCTTAGCCCTCGCTTGTGCGTCCGGACGCGTGGTGATCTTTGGGTTCTCGGACGAGGCTCGCGATTAACTTTGTGCGGCGTCCAATACGTGTAACTGTCAATGGACTAATAATATATTTTTTCTCTCCTCTCTTAGGTCTCGACAGGGAGAGAAACAATTTAATTTTTTTCTGGTAGACAAACTAAGCTGTCCCGAATAATCTAGCACCTTCCGTCCAATAGTGGGCGGCGTCAGAGGTGGACGGCTAGTCGATCACAGTAATTTGAAGCATATGATTGAGGGTGCAAAACTCCAGTGTGCACGTCTGCACTCATCAGATGAGGGTAAGTGGCCTCTGCCACGGGGACGCGGTTCACCACTGCCGGATTCCGCTGGTCGTTGAAGGTTGACTCGAGATACAGACTTTTCCGAGGTGCACATGTCGTAATGCCGGGTCTGAGAAAGGTTGTGAGAGCGGCAGGAGCCAGGTGCGATTGCGAGTAGTAGCCGAGGAGATGGAGACGCTGGCCCAGTAGGAGTGGTGATGCTGAAGGGCTGCTCGTGAGTCCATCTGGCTTATACCGGCATCAGTAAGGTCCATCGTAAGTACCGTTCCCAGGGCCGCGGCCATTCACTCTGCTGACCGGCATTTTACCGGCTCTGTGTGGCTCCTGCCCGTACCTCCGCGCTTGACGGTTACGAAAAGAGATCGTTCCAGTGAGCTTCTGCGAATGTAGCAAATTATGATTATACCACTGGGCATAGATAACGGGCTCAAAACTTTAGCTGTGATAATTATGGACGGATGCTAGAGCCGTAGACAAGAAGGCTTTAGAACGGCTCCGCCCAAAGGCGCATGTACTAAACTTATCAGAGTCACATGGCCGGCATTCGCATCTCACTCGCCGCTTCTCTCTCTCAAAATTGTTGAGCTTTTTGGAGTCATGTCACGGACCCGGTCTGCTCCCGTTTACTTTTCTGATCATGGGATAGGGCTGGAGAGGTGGCCTCCTTATTTGGACTTTGCTCGCTCAAAATCGACCTGTTCTCCGCCCCAAGTAGACGAGATTACGCGGCCAACAAGGCTTGACCGCCCTTTGGGTGCTAATGTTCTTCGAGAACATCAACTATCGAGGCAAAAAGACTTGATCATCACTGCCACGCAGCTCTTGTGCGTGTAATCTCAATTGGTCACTCAAGATGCAGGCTAGTAACGGAACATAATTCCGTGCCCCATTCCCATAACACCAAACTTCAGAGTTACTTAGCTTAAGCCGAACGTTCAATGGCATATGCGCTCCACCTGTCGGCCCATCTGCCCTTCCCATTGCCACGTCATCTGGTAGAAGAACAGCCGATTTCGCCCAACACTTTTTGTGTGCGCTCGATTTATGAAGGTTGCTACATGTGCATATTTGAAAAGCAAAACCGGTCTGGAGGCCGAGAATGAAATAAGGAAATCATGTATTGATGTACATCAGCCCACAGCGGCGTCTCATCACTTCCTTTAATGCCCCTTTGCGTAGCCGACTCTAATACCAAGGCCGCAGGCGTCAGTGACACTGTCAATGACTGAAATTCAAGACATTGAGCGAGTGGAACCAAGCGTGACCACCAAGCACGGACGAGGCCGGACGTTCCCGTGTGCATCGGTGGCTTGTGTATAATTGGCACACCTTACCGGCAACAGTCCGCCGGTCTCCCTCTGATTCAAAACCCACGCATTCTGTACTTTTGTCTTATTGGGTGGAAGATCTTGCGTGCAGATTGCAGACGGCTCCGTACATAAACGTGAATGGGGAGAGGCTAGCTGCTAGCGTCCTAGCCTATCTACTACGTATCTTTGCGTTGATACTTGATAGATGCTATTGAGACGGAGGACGATATGACACGAACCGGGATGGATGCCTTCTGCTAAGCTGTCGCAAAAGGAGTTTGCCTTGTAAATGATTCTCTTGTCCTTCTGCGCTGATTGGATGGGTGGACGTCACTTCCGCGGAGTATATGCAGCTTCGTGTTTGGACAGTCAGGGTCAAGCCCGCCGCCTTGCTGCAGCCCTAGAAGGCACTTTTGTGTGCAATATTGAGCAACATAGAAGACCCTCCTGAGGAATGGTTCTCACCATGAGATTGACCTGATCTCACTTACAGTCGACCTTCTGGCATCCCGCTACGATGTTAATGATCTAATTTCATTCATCTAGAAGGAATGCCTGCAGCCAGGCAATTCCTAAGAGATCTTTTATTTAATATGTTCAATCGCTTGCGGCGATTACTTAGGAGGGCCAACCTTTGCTGTTATATTTCCAGCATCAACTTAAAGAAATGATATCTGCATCATTAAATGATACTAATATGCTATATAATTAATTTATACTAATCTACATCCTTAGAAAGTGTCATGATGGAGTCTATAGAGGAGACTTAGGCTCTAAGCATTATTATAATAAGATAGCAGAGTGAGGTTGGAATATCCCTATGATCCTGTCTATTAGTTTAGAGCGACCAAGCATTTAATGATAATGTCACACCCTGGGATCCGTCTCTGCTGTTCTCTGCTAGTCAACTACTTTGGGAACGGGGTGGTATAGTCCCTGGACTATATCCGATACTTGCCTAAGGCCTACCGACCGTGTAGCCTAGCGATGCAACGATACAATGATCCGAATAGGATTAAGGACAACCAAAGGTAACACAAGAACAATAATAGTAGAGATAGAAGCAAGGCCTATTGAGTACATATACTTAATAGTAGAAGAGTAACTAACAAATTGGACTAGTGAACTTGTACTTAAGTAAATAACTTATATTAAATGTGAGGAACTAAACTAAGAGTGCTAGATATAGTAATAATAAATGTCCTTATATATCTATAGTTCCTCTCAATAGTATACTGAATGGTATGTTCTAAGTATAAGGATGGTAGATCATATACTCTTATTCTGAGGTCTTTGGCATACCCTTCATATACTACTTTATCACGTGTCCGTGGTTGTAGAATAACTGTTTAGTCATATCCTACTGTGTGGTTTTCCTGTAAGAATCCATCTAGATTAAGTGTTTCTCCAGATCACTCCGTGATCCTTCCTGGATTGATTGGTGACCGACGATCCCCTTCGATTCTGCCCGTCACATCCGCCTTGCACTAATGCGGCTGTGTTGGTGTCGTAACAGATAAAAGATATATAAGCACAGCACTGAGTGTCTGCTGTAGGATCATAGATATTAAATACCTAATATAGAATCCTTGCTAGTCCTAAAGTGAATGAGGATAATAGCTATATACCCTAAGTAGCTGTGGCCTCAGTAATAACTTAGATTACATCCTCAAGGTGGTTCAGGCTAGGGTTGTTATTTTCGTGGGTTGGGCCGGGTTCTCCTATCTTTTGAACCCAACCCGTTTTTAGAACCCAACCCTTAGCGGGTTCTAAGAATTAGAACCCAACCGACCCACGGGCCCTAGAACCTGAACCCAAACCCGGCCCATGGCGGGTTAGGGCCGGGTTGGGTTAGGGTTCCCGGGTTGGGTTTAACCAGTCTACTTGCTAATATAGCAGCACTTAATGCCTGGGAGAGCTGCCACCCTAGAGGGGAAAGGGGGGAGTAGTATAGTGGGCAGGGCCTGCTGGGTGCTTGGGCTGTTTAATTAAATTATACAGCCCTCATAAAGTTGCATCTAAACTGGACACTAGCTGCAGGCCATGTGACCTTGTACTAATTAATATAGCAATCTGCCTGGTCACATGACCGCAAGAACCATTCGCACACTCCTTTTATTGAATTATTTTACCGCTTGCCCGATTTAGAAGCATACGAATTGGCGAAGCACTGCCACTCTTGGCCGAATATTCGATAGCATTCGATCATTTGGAGACCCCGCAATCCGACCCCTATCAAAGGCATAAATAGGAGATAGATAGTCATTTGTTTAGAAGAATCGGACCTTTGTTGCCTTTCGATTGGCCATATAGTTTACTAGTGATTTGGAAAGTCTACGTATCTAGACTGGCTGACCCAATCCGCAAATCCATATCCAACCCGCCCAATCCGCACTTTGGGTTGGATAGGGGTTGACCCTGATCCAATCCGCATGGATATGGATGGATGACATCTAACCCACATAGATATGGATAACCCATTAGGTGCACGTGATCTAGGGTCTTAAGGGACTGATAAGCTTATCCAACCTAATCTAGGCCTAGGTAGGGATATATTTTTATATATATAGATTGTAGCGGGCAGGGCCTGCTGGGTGCTCGGGCTGTTTGATCAAATCGTACAGCCCTCGCGAAGTCACGTCCAAACTGGACACCAGCTGTAGGTCACATGACCTCATACTAATTAATGCAATAATCTGCCCAGTCACATGACTGTGAGAACCATTCACACACTCCTTTTTATATTTGGCCGCCGCGGCCCTAGCTAGATTTCTTCCTTAGTGATTTCTTACTATCCAAACCTAGGTCATAGGTTGAACCGGCTTCTAGCCTGTGACATTAGAAATTGCTCAGCACAACCAGACAAACCAGATGAACCAGATGAACCAGACGAACCAGATGAACTAGATGAACCAGACGAACCAGACGGACTAGATGAACTAGATAGGCAATATAGACAGCATGAACTATAATGACATATTATCACAGATGTCAACATCCCCTGAAGGACCTAGCAAAGAATGACTGTCACAGTAGAATAATATGCAGATGAATCTCATGGCCTAAATAGCCTAATAGTTATAGAATATTGCTAATTAAATAGCTTAACTTGAAGAATAATAAATAACTACTACCATAGTAGCATCTACTCCTTAGATGACCCTACTGGCTACCATGGTGGAAGACCTAATGAAAAGACCTAAGCCTGCACTACCTAATGTGGAGATATATGATGGCTCTGATAAGGCCATGTACCAGACCTTTTATGCTAAGCTACAGGCAAAGTTATTGCTTGACTGAGCTGCAATTAGTTCCTTCTATAGGTGCCTATGGTATGTCTTTAGCAGACTTAAGGGGAATGCTGCTGCAGCCCTAGCCCCCTAGATAGATTAGTATGGAAATGATCTAAATATAATGCAAGTAATATTAAATAGCTTGTATGACTAACTTAATCTTATGTTCCTTAACCAGGGTAGAAGTGAGAAGGCCCTATAAGAACTATGAACCCTATACTAAGGCAGCTGCCTATTTAATAAGCTGTTAGCGGACCTTAACTGACTGCTAATAGAAGCTGGAGGCTATTCTTGGTCTGATAAAGTAAAGAAGAACTATCTAGATGGCGCCCTAAGCTATAAAGTAGAAGGAGTACTTACTAGTATTAAGAAGGAAGAGACTTTTATAGACTACTACCACTAAGTATAGTAAGTAGCTAACTGAGTAGAAGCCCTATATGCAAGAGGAACTAGCCACTCTAATTAGCATAGAAGGAATGCACAGACTACTAGCTGTAGTTATATTACCTATATTCCTATGCCCCTGATAAACCCTATCTTAGCTATAATAAACCCTAATAATACTATAGACTGGGAACCTTCCTTTATAACCTTAGCTTGCCAGCAGCACCGCGCTAAATAGGTTAATGAAAATAAGTTATCTTATTATCATAGTGAAGGAAGATGCCTATGCTATAGGGTATCTAATCATATAATTAAGGGCTGCTAGTACCTAGGGGCTATTCCCTTATAGAGTAAGGAGCTAAAGCCACTATGCACTTCTTAAGCTGTTAGACCCCTACTTAAAGATGATGAAGTAAGTAAGGTGGAAAACTAGTTACT